ACTGAATCAAACGCCTTCTCGTAATCTATGAAGGCTATGTATAGTGGTTGGTTATATTCTGAACATTTTTCTATTACCTGATTGATAGTATGAATGTGGTCGATTGTTGAGTAGCCTGTTCGAAATCCTGCTTGTTCCTTTGGTTGATTGAATTCTAATGTTTTCTTTACTCTGTTAGCAATTACCTTTGTAACTAGCTTGTATACTACAGGGAGCAAGCTAATCGGCCTGTAATTCTTCAAGTCCTTGTCATCTCCTTTTTTATGTATTAAGATGATGTTAGCGTTCTTCCAAGACTCTGGTACCCTTCCCGTCAAGAGACACCTGGTAAACAGGGTGGCTAGTTTTTCTAACACAATTTGTCTTCCATCTTTAAGCAGATCTGATGTTACCTGATCCTCACCAGCAGCTTTGCCTCCTTGCATGCTCTCCAAAGCTCTTCTGACTTCTTCTATCATTACTGGTGGGGTGTCATCTGGGTTACTGCTAGTTTCTATAGTATTAAAGTCGTGGTTGTCCCGGCTACTGTACAGATCTCCGTAAAACTCCTCCGCTATTTTAACTATCATATCCGTATTGGTAGTTATTTTGCCTTCTTTGTCCCTTAGTGCATACATCCGATTTTTGCCTATCCCAAGTTTTCTCTTCACTGCTTTGACGCTTCCTCCGTTTTTCAGAGCATGTTCAATTCTCTTCATGTTATACCTTCTTACATCGGATACCTTACGCCTATTAATCACCTTCGAAAGCTCTGCCAGTTCTATTTTGTCTGTTGTACTTGAGACTTTCACGATTTGACGCTTCTTAATGAGATTCTTCGTTTCCTGAGAAAGCTTGCAGGTGCCGGTGCAGGGGAAGCAGCGATGGCGTAGTGGTTAGAGCATCCGCCTCGCATGCAAAAGGTCCGTGGCTCAAATCCCGGTGCTGCGCAGTTCCCAACCGGATAAAAAAAAATCCGCGTAGTGATGGAACTGCATTACGAGGCCTGGGGTGCAGCCTCACCGGTAACTACCTCTGGGAACGCACTCCATCACCAAAGAAGGATTGGCTACCATGGTGCAGTATCTGGCCACTACCTCCCACATGCATACGTCAAATAACTCACAGCCCTCAGTCCCTAGCAGCTGCGAAGCAACTGACCACGGCAGCGGTCAGATCTGCAACGCAGCAGAGGGTGCTAAGAATCTCTGGATCCGGACAGGCCGCCATTGGAACCTGAACTTGGCAACGTTTAACGCTAGAACCTTATCTAGTGAGAGAAGTCTAGCTGTACTGTTTGAGGAGCTGGAGGGTGTTAAATGGGATATAATAGGGCTCAGTGAGGTTAGGAGGACAGATGAGGCCTATACGGTGCTACAGAATGGGCATGTCCTTTGCTATCGGGGCTTGGCTGACAGATGAGAACTGGGAGTGGGGTGCTTAATTCACAGAAACATAGCTGGCAACATAGAGGAATACTATATCATTATTGAAAGGGTGGTAGGTATCGTAATTAAACTGAATAAGAGATACAGGATGATTGTGGTACAGGCTTACGCGGCTATATATATATACATCCAGCCATGATGACGCTTCAGTTGAAAGCTTTTATGAAGACGTGGAATCGGCAATGAGAAAGGTAAAAACACAGTGTACTATAGTGATGGGAGACTTTAATGCAAAGGTAGGAAAGAAGCAGGCGGGAGACCAGGCAGTGGGAGATTATGGCATCGGTACTAGAAACGCCAGAGGAGAGCTACTAGTAGAATTTGCAGAACGCAATAATTTACAGATTTTGAATACCTTCTACCGAAAACGAGGAAATCGCAAGTGGACATGGAGGAGCCCTAATGGCGAAAATAAGAACGAAATAGACTTTATAATGAGTGCACACCCAGGCATCGTGCAGAACGTGGAAGTGGTTGGCAAGGTACAATGCAGTGACCATAGAATGGTACGGTCTCGAATTCGCCTAGATTTTGAGGAAGGAACGACAGAAACTGATACGCAAGAAGCCAATCAATGAGCTAGCACTGAGAGGGAAAGTACAGGAATTCAGAGTCTCACTTCAGAACAGGTACTCGGCTCTTAGTGAGGAAACCAACCTTAGCGGAGATACAATGAATGATATTCTGGACAGCTACTAAACCTCAAACTAATGAAAAAATTGAATGTTAAAATGTTGCAATGCTCAAAATGTGATTAAAACACCACATCCAACATGAACAGCAACTCAAGACTAGAGATGAGCAACTATATAATAAAAGTTTACTTGATAGTAAACCCATAGGGCTCTATAAAAATAAATGTAAAAACTTATGTTCCAGTCATTGAAGCGCTACAGCCGACATGAGATTCGCGAGAAAATTCAGATGCGCTTGCCATGTCATTGCTAGGCAGTCAAGTGATTTTTTTATTATGATAGAAATTGTATAGACACTCGATGAGATTTTGCCGTTGCTGCCATGTTCCATTGTAAACTACAAGTTAGTTCCATTCTCCGCGCATCATACATTGAACCTGCCCATAAAATTGCGCAAGCTAGGGTGATGAGCGTTGCTTAAGCAGAGATTAAGAGGGGAGGCTACCATCAGATACCAACTTTTTTCTTTATTGAGATATCTCAATGAAATTTTCAAGATAGACTAATAGCAAAAGCATTAGAACTACTACAAAATTTCATTAAGTTATGTTCACTGGTTCTCCAGTTACGACAGTATATCAGAATAGTGCACATGGTTCTCTTATTCCAGGCCTGGAGAACTTTCAAAAAATGCAGGAACTGTGAAATTAACAATGATGATCCTCAGATTGATACCTCAAGGGGTAACAGAGCTCTTTTTTTTTATTTCCTTACTGAAAAGTTTTACCAGACCATCAAATTTAGTGTTGGTGATAGAGATATTATTAATCAAGTTTTGATTAAGTATCATAAATAACAGGCACAATCTATTAAAAAAATAGGCTTGTCTCCCCCTCAGAAATTCATTCACGAACATAATAAAAAAAAAGACTTGTGAAAATAGGATGAGTGGCTCCCCAGATATGGCTCGAACAAGCACCCTCACTAGCCAAAAAAGTCATTTGAGAAAAGGACATTTTAAAGTTCTGGGCACATATGCAAATCTAAAGCAACCCTGCAGCATAAGTGAAGGTATCCTTTGGCACTCTCTTTTTCGCTGCGTTTTTGTCTTCTCTTTTCACTGGCCCAACTACAATATGGAATGGGTGTCCACGCTTTTGCCACATTCCATCATAACACACTGTTATATACAGGTGAAAGATTCATCCACTTCTTTGTAAGTGGCTTTTAAAGCAGAAGCAGATTCTGCACAGAAATTTTCTATGCATTGCGTGTGCTGTTCCCTAAACTTCTTGAGATGTTTATGGAAAGTCTTGTGATGGACGCCACAATGGAACACGTTCATTGCTGCCCAAAAGTCGTTGAGAGCTGTTTGTCCCTTGCCTATCTGTTTAGTTGCCATCATGGCTCTAACATTCACATAAAAAGCCCTTTAGTCATCCTGAAGAGCAGAACTCCACGAACTCCAGACGGCAGATCTCTGTCGCTCGGAGGGCGCGCACGTCAGCAACCCTTCGTGTATTAGAAGTGCCGTCGAAAGCTCAAGCCGAGAAGAGACACGCCCCCCGTCTTGAACAAGCATGAAAAGACGCGGAAAAAACAGGGGTCGCTAGAGCAGCAGCGTGAACTTTGATTCTAATCAAACGCATGGTTGCGATAGCTGGCGTACGCGATATCGGCAAGCATCAGCGAACGGCTCGTAAACCGTTCTACGTGGTGCGCTCTAAACGGAAGGAGATTGTGAGATAAAAGCATTTCTCCCTGGAGCAGACGTATACTTATTCTCTTGCACCAGCGTTTTCTAGTTGTGAGTGTCACAAATTCGGATCCAAAAGATTTAGCTGTCAGCCTTCGTATTGTCACGGGATTGTGGAGTCAACGAAGGCAGCAGCAGCTGTTTTCATGAGTGAATTTTTTATTTGGGCTAACCTGTGCCCGGAGAAAATGAAATGTCAATCTACCAGCAATACACGCTGTAGACTAATAGCAGCGGACATAGAGCGTTAGCTGTCGACAATGTGCCATACAACAAAGTGCGGCGATACAGGCTGTAGACTGATAGCAGCGGACATAGAGCGTCGGCAGTCTGCAATGTGCCACGCAACAAAGTGCGGCGACATTTAAACATGTGCCATCAAAGATTCCAGCGTTATCGCTAGCGGCAGTTTCAGAATAAACTGTGTGTACGCGTTGTGTGCATAATCTCATCGGAAGGTTCTAAGATTATCTAGATAGTCCTCAGTCATTCGGGCGTGGTTTGCACAAGGCAGCGTTACATGTGTAATGGTGTGGTAATGAAAATAGAAAAAAAAGGAGAGCTTGCGGCAGCACCATTACAGCATTAAAAATTGTTGCTATTGCAGTCACAGCTACGCCGGTGACACTGATCTTTATTTTGATAGTTTATATGGCAAAAAACTCGCTGCCCCGCAACCACCGAGCATAGCATGCGCTCGGAAGTTGCTCTGAAATGGTGCGGCAAGTTTTTTGCAACAGCACTGCCATCTTTATAGTTTGCCTAACAGCTATGCTGTTAAACCATACAGCGAGTCGCATAATGAGGTATGCCCACAAATGCCACCTTAAGAAGAATCATGCATTGTGTTCATGTGGCACAAGATTCATGCATGATCCGAAATACGACATTTGATATGGATGCGGTTGCGTCCTAGACCCGTGTTGCTCGGTCGATAATAAAACTCTTGATGAAATTTGGCATTGCACCTGCAAATTGCTGTTTAGACGCGACTTGGCACAGCAGGTCAGACTGGCACAGCACTTCCACCCTTGACTCCACCACTTCATTTTTGTTGGGTACCATGTTTGTGCCATGCATTTTTGGGATGGGACATTATAATAGCTGGACTGAATCTAAAAAAGCATACTCCAGCCACAGCAAGAGCTGCAAGCTGGATTGTTCTTGCTTGTGGATGCTCACCTTACTGTCTTCCTCCTCGGGGTACCTCCACAGTACCAGGTGACTTCCCTTGAGCAGGCACCACAGGCGTGTCCAGGCACCAAAGCCACCAACCTCCTCAAACAGGGTCTACAATTTGACACGCAAAAAGCAAGCAGCGAAAGGGGAACCTCATTATCATGAGGTCATGCCTTAGAAATGCACGACTCTCCATCCCATATTTTAATTTAATGACGAGCCCAAAAGAAGATAGTCGAACCCACCTACAACGATCCCAGATATAACGATCTATCAGTTATAACAACCATATTTTGGTGCACTTAATATTTTCCTATACTACCCTTTAAAACTGAGTCCCCCTACAGCGAAGATTTTCAAAGCCTCTTACTTTTACAATGAACACTTCGGACATGGTCGCGGTAAAAATATGGCGCACAATAAGCGAAAAATGTTTAAAAAGGCATTCTAAAGCATGTGATTGGTGCTTGCTCGCGCGTACCCCGCTGCAGATTATTTGCAACAAAGATATCGTAGACCACGGTGAGCACCACACGTAGATTTCAGACGTGAGTGAGATTGCTCACTTTCCAGGTGTTCATCGGCAGAACGGAAATGAAAAAAAAAAAGAACAGAAATAGGAGGCAGCATGAGGACTTACGGTCAGCTTTCGAACTTTTCTGACACCGTTCTTAATGTTTGGCGGTCGTAGATGCCGTTCTTGGCATCTACGACCGCCAAACGTGAACCAACCATGTCTCTGAACGCAGAAGCGCTAACTTTTTGTCGCATAAAAGTTCACTGCGATGCTCAACTCTCCGACACCACAATGTGCTGCAAAACATTTTCAACCTTTCGGTAACGGCAGAAATCAGCCGATTAGTGATAACGATTTCCGCGCGGCTGAAGCAGTTTCTGAACCGGATAAGCAACAGAAAAGAGCAATGGCGAGATGGCCGGTGGCAATGAACGTGCACTGTTGACACATCGCCGGCAGTCTTATCACAGTCACCTGCCGATATCTGCGCTGCAGAGTGACGGGTGTACAAGTGCGTCATGTCGGCGTTCGCAAGTTAGCCACCGCCGCGTCGTGCGAGGCCACTTGCGCATGTTAATTGCAAAATTAGTCTTCACTGTGTTAAATGAAAAGGCTACTCGCCACACCCAAGCATGATCCCGAGTGAAGCATGCAGGAAGAACGCACAAACGCGCATATTGGACTGCGAACGACCAGGCATGCGACGGTGAGAGCCGAGTAACGAAGCGCTGCACGCAACTAGCCAGGGATGACTCTTTGGACGTGGCGGTAGCTCGCATCAGTAGTACAGTGCGAGTTCATAGTGAACGTGGTTCAATTCACTCGCGAGCACATAACGGACGTCATTTGACACGCGAAAAGGCTTAACTTGTGAGCAGATGGGTTTTTGGCACTTTTTAGTAAAATTATACAGGGAAAAAACGGTATGGCCGCTAAGTGGACGTTTTTATGGGCGAGTCTATATACAACGAACTACTAATATAACGACCACTTACCACGACATGTTCGAGTACGTTATAAACCGGTTTGACTGCATGTATATTGAACTGGGATACATTAAATAGGCTTATAGCAGAGTTGCAACATCCCCTAAGAATTTTCAAGCTACAGTACAACACTGCCAATGCATACATTGAAAAAATATCTAGCACTGTGCCTCCTGAAAAGTCTAACAGCATTGTGATCACTTCTTTTACTGGAAACATTTATACTAAAAAAGACAACATTCGGGTTCTGGCTGGTGCTGTCAAATTAAGCAATGAGTATGAAGGAGATTCTATCCTATAGTGGGAAAATGAGCAAAGTGCATGCCTCAAAACATGGATGACCACTGTAGCTAGTGTTTCATTTAAATCGTATATTAACAAATAAGCTTTAGTAAGCTTTGCTACAGCACATCAATGTAATGCAGCAAAGCCGATTAGTAGCAAAACAAACGATCGTGCAGGGAGGCGTGCTACCTGCGACTTATGGAGAATATCAAACCACCAGCATGCCAAACTATTTTGTGATCACCTTCAGATTTGATACATCCAAGCTTAACTGTGTTGACACAATGTTTTATTTAGTTCATTATATTCTATATTTTCCTGTTAAGTTACAACAGACTTTTTTATTGATACATTATGGAAAAGAATTACCACTGTGACACAGGATACTATATTAGGCTAAAAAATGAATCAGTTTGGTTGTAGCTGTTGGCACACAAGATTCTGTCAAGTTATCACAACTTTATCTGCAAAGTTTGTAGGCTATACCCCTTTGCTATGGAAAGCTGTTTCATGCATTTATTCCACTCAATAATGTCATTTACTCACTTTTCCCACAAACTAGGTGAAATTGTGAGATAATTTCAAGCAATCATTGATAAAACAATGGGGTGAGTAATCTGTTCAAGTAACAATAAGCAAAAAGCTTGGCAATACAACATAAAGTGCAAATGCAAAAGTTGTCCACAGACTTTTTTGTGCTCTAGAGCTTGCACATAATGAGAATGTGTAAAATACTGACCAGGAAGCCATGATGCTCCAAGCCGTGGTCAGCGTGTAACTGTAATTCCACAAGTGCCTTGCCCTCTATGCAGAAAGAACCTGGAACCTGGAATAGAAGAGCACATGTTCACAGTACATCATCAACTGCACATTACACTTGCCCTTGGCAATAGTACAGGTACACTGATGTTACCCTCAGTTGAGTTCCAGTGTGCAATTTTTAAAAAACGGCCCACAAAAAGAAAGAAAGCACCAGCACGTGGCGCACAAATCAAGGATCGGAAATAGACTCTGCGACAATGTCACGATCAATACTGCGACATGTCAATGACTTACTCCCACCTCTTGCTCATTTTAGTGTAGTGCTCAAAAATCTTGCTCTCAATTTTGTTTAGTCATTCATTCTCTGCACTGTTTTGTGATGATCGAAATAGCTGCACATTAGCGCACCTTGGACAAAGCGAACACATTCTGGTGACAGTTTGATGTGGTCAGGATGAAGGAACCAAGGCTCTGGAACGATGAGGTGCGCACGGCATTTGGACCACCGGGACTGGATATTCCTGCATTAGAGAGCAACAGTTGCAACAAGAGGGAAAGAGAAAAAAGACGAGGTACAGTTGATACCTCAGCCGATGTGCCAAAAGTAATTAACAATGCCGATTTTGAAAAAAAAAACAGATTTAAAAAAAAAAAAAAACCATTTCTCGGAAATGCCTCTGAAAAACATTTCTCGAAAATTAGGTCTCGCAACTGCTGTGCTGCACACGTACACTTAGCAAAACATGAGGGAATGGGAAGAAATCAAGGCATACCAATAGTCATGACAAAAAAAAAAGGCTCACGCAAATCAGGTCAAGGGTCAGGTGGAAAGAAAAACTGAAAGATACAAAAGATTCTAAGTTACCTTCAAGAAGTGTGAAGATTCTCAAACTAAATTACAAGCAGATGAGGTTCTATGCAGTTGTGGCCACCAAACCGTTCTATCCTAACAGTAAGCATAGCTACCGTACATCCCTTAATTAAAATAGATACAAATACAGTGAGCAACTTAGGCATAACTTCAATGGCTCTTGGCTACATAAACCCTCCTTTTCAATATATAAAATGCATGAAATAAATGAGGGGTTGCCTTGCTCATCACAGTTTGGCATGACACCGCATTATACACAAGGACATCTAGTTTCAAAGATTGCAAATAATGTCCATCATTGCTGCAATAAGGAGGACACGAGAATGAACGAAAAAGGTGCGACACACACTGCAGTGCAAGGAGAAGCAAGACATTTACCTGGAGTCATAAAGATGCTGTCAGTTTTCCTGCCCCTGGAAGACAGCTTCATCTTTATTGTTTCCTGAAAATGCAAAGATTCCCCAGCATTAGCTGACAGTCAAGAGTGATTGCGAGAAAACTGAACGATTTATAGTGCATGTGTTTACTTACCAAATGCATAGGCTTTGAAAGCTTGACCTATATGGCAAATATGTATACTACAACTAATCACAGAAATTCAAGCATTAAAATACAACTAAGATAGACAGCTATAAAGTGATTCAAGGGCACACATAATGCGACTCATCATGGTAATTAAATCATTAAACTACATCTAAAATGAAGGGCACACATAATGCGTCTCATCACGGTAATTAAAGCATTAAACTACATCTAAAATGAAGGGCTATACAGGTGATCCAAAGGCATACGCAATTTCAGAGCAAGAGCATAGCCCGATGTATCCAAGAAAGTCCAGTATGAACACTGCTGCAAGAACAAAACCAACCAACATTTTGTGAAAAATTCTTACGTATGATGCGAGTGTTATATGCTCATGCCAATCTGTTAGTTCTTCAGTAGCACCTTACAGTTATGCACAAGCTGTTAGCATGAATGCCCTTCCATGAGCAGGACTTCATATTCAAAGAGCTACCATATTTTCTTGAACATAAAATGCTTCTACATTCGATCTGCACACTCTACTACAGCCACTGATAAACTTAAAAAAAACATTCTCACATATTGCCCTAACATTTAACCTGTGCAATTTAGGTTTAGAACTTGACAGAAATGACCCCATTAACTATGCCCGAATTGCAGCCACTGCTGTCCCTGCCACCTCCCTCAAATTATTACCTTGCACTACGAAACTCTTGTATAATCCACACCCAAACTCTAGTTCCAAACTTTCGTTTTTCTCTGCAAGTTATATGCAAGCAAATATGGCAGATTTTTTTTTCATGTAATGACTTGAAATAGTATACTAGTAATTATTCATGCAATACCATAATATGCCAATAGTAATAAAAGAAGGCAAATTCAACTTTTACAATTGTATCAAGAGTACTTTGACAGGTTGGAGAAAACACCCAAAACTCACTTTTTTAATGTGGTACTTCTTGTCATGAGGCACTACAGGGCTGACAGTTTTCTGCAAACGAAAGGAATCAGTATTTGTGATGCCACTTCAGCCATACTTGATAAATTTATAACATGTCTTTAAAAAAATGCAGACTACTGTGCTTATTATTTTTTCTTTTGATCCTTTCGCAGAATTTCTTGGTATTTTTTGTATGCTTGGGTATCTTTCAACAACTCCAGTAATTTTAGTTAAGTGTTGTAGTTAACTGCAGGCTGCAATAGACCTTTCAGTTCAGTTCCCACTGGTGTCAAGCTGTTTCTTCCACTTTCACTTCCAGTCATATCATAGTTAATAGACTTCAATTATATGCTATAAATAACATGTTCTGCAGTTTACTTGACTTCATTATCTATTGCCTTTGTGCAGTTATGTTTGTTAAAAGTGAGCTTGATAAAAAATATCTTCCACAAAATATTTTACAGCTTTTCCTGAATTGTTTCTTTCAATATACAAAGCGATTTTGAAAAACGATTCACATCTACAGTTTGCGCATTATAAGAACATGCATAGGCTTATATGATAAGAAGCAAGTTATCACCTTTTATGACATTCGAGTACAGTAGAACAATTAAAGAAACCCTGAAACTGTAATTCTGCTTGGTCAAAAATATCAGGCTTTAGAGAGCAACAGCCATGGACAGATGATGTAGAAATTTGAACAAAAGTTTTGAGCATCCTCACAAAGTGCAATGCCTTACTATTTTACCAGAATGCGCTAGAAATTTACATGCCACTGACTTTTCAGAAGCCACTGCTAGTGGTGTTGCCAATCTTTGTAATAGCAGAGGCAAGGCAGTAATGGGAAGGCGTAAAACTCATACTCACTAGTCCATACAGGTCGATCTGCACTTGGAAGTCCTCATCCATGCTAGAATACTCAATCTCATTGTCAAACTCCAGACAGTTGTCCTCGCTGCTCCGTATGGTGTCGCTCGAGATGAGCTGAGATGCGTGCACCTTTCCACGGTACTGCACCATGCACAGGAAGTGGTGCACATAGCCACCTGCACAGCCATTTCAATTCACTCAGACTTGTTTTGCGAAACCTTCCAGCATTTGGAAGCCTTAGTAGTAGTGCTGCAATTGTAATTTATGAAGCAGAAAGTAATCAAAAGCACACAATGCTAACTGGCATTAGTACAAATTTTATACGAGAAAAAAGAAGCTTTAAAAATGAAACAGCTGCAAATTTGGGTGTTGCACAGGAAATTCAACAGGCGGTGGTAACCCAGGACTGGCTAAATGCAGGCTAATTTGTACAAAAAAAAAAAAAAATGTGACCACTAGGCCTGTACAACTTCTTTTGTTGTTTGAAGGAAAGTTGAACGGAATGGTAATTAGTTTGAGGGGGAGCGTAAGATGGTTTGACGAATATGACTCCCTGGTTGTGACACGAATAATGTCACTATTTTTTGCATTCGCTATCGAAACCTTTTTGCGAGGCATGTGGCACATACCCCCAGGCGGGTATGTGCCACAGGTTAAATACAGTTTTATCTACCAGGGAACGGCGAGAACAGACACTGTTAATTTCAGCGAATGAGCGTTAAAGAAAAGCTGTCATTGGCAGCATTGCCCTGAAAAATGCAAAGAATAAATGTCAGGGTCCCAGCAGGAATCAAACTCCAGCATTCTGTGTGGCAATCAAGTACTCTACCACAGAGTCACGCCAGGTCTCCAAACTGCTTTTTAAATAGGCCATAATGTTCGTGAAACATCAATTGTGGTTGCAGTGCTGCCAATCCAGTTTTACAAACTTTACATATGTACTCCTTTGATACAACTGTCACGTCGGGTCAACGTTAGGTGCCATCAGCTGAAGTTGATTTATGTAGCAGTGTCCAGGGTACCATCCTTGCAAGCACCGCTGCTTTATATCAGCTTACCATTTCTGGTTTTCCTAACATCCATGTTGCCGTTCGCATCATTACACAACTGTAATAAACTGGTTATATAAAACATATGCGGCTGTTAAATGTATGCCTGTGTGTGCATTTGTTTATACCTTAGCTCCACTTCGTAATGTCTTGCCCAATAAAAAAATTGTAATGCAGTCCCCTTCAATCTACATGTTTCGCCTAACATCGATTCCCAAGGTAAGTTAGATCTGCCCATTTTTCGCCATTTGAGTTTTGTAAAAAAATTCTGGGGCATTTAGTAAGACATTTCAGGGGCTCTAACACTATATTAAAAAAAGCCTCATTATTTGAAAAATATTCTATTAAGTTCAAAACTTACTAAAGAAGAACATCAGTGATATAAGCAACATGGTGTTGCTCGAAATATTCCTACCACACAAAACTTTTACAATGAAAAGATGAGCAAAGTGACAAGAAATCAAGTTTACTTGGAACCTAAAGTACTTTTAAAGCATATGCTGAATGTGTATGCCATTTCAGCCACCAAGCCAAAGCAGTCAAGCCCAACCACACACATCTGACATATGTATATGTGAAACTTGCACTTTAGAGACTGAACGCATGCAAGGAGAAAGTCTACATCTAGCAGCTGACCATCTCAACTAGCTTTAGCAGCTGCTGCACATCTCCAAGCTAAGGTGCACAGGGGTAAGCCCAGCCGTACAGAGAGCCAGCACTGCAGCCACAGCCGAGCTAAAGGAGATGCACACTCTCATTCCCTCACCCTTCACATAATTTACCTTACTATTGCATGCTCACTTCACTAAAATTTTCGCCACAACTATTAAAGGGGTCTCACTGTGTACCCCTACAGTCATTGTAGGGGTACACAGTCAATGTACCCCTACAGACATTGGACAGAGTCAAGCTTAAGGGAACTCAGTTGAAGAAAAAATTGGGGGACCCTAAAGCTTCACCTATAAGAGTTGAATGTAACAGTGGTGTACTGTCCCTAGTGCGTACTTCGAATATTTAGAGCTTGGAAATCTTTCGGAACTTGCTATGCACCTACTGCACGGCTGTAAGAGAATAGGCACAGTAGCGTGTGTGCCTTTTGTAGTGGGTGATCAACTTCAAATCATGAAGTCAGTATGATGATTCCTTGTTCTGAAGCCCGATGGCAATGTGCACTTGTACCACGCATTATTGCTGCAATATTTCGTGTTGTATTGTGAAGCATGTATACAGGATGCATGCGTTTGTAAAGTATCAAAGTTACTTTCACTGCTTTACCAAGCAATGAAGTTATTTTCACTGTATTCACAAACAGACGCGTGGCCATGTGGTAGAACATTCGCTTGCCACACAAACGACCCTGGTTCGGTCCCCGCTGTGACCCAGAATTTTTTAATCATTAGTGTTATCTTCATCGTTCTCGATTGCTCGGTCACGCATAAAATGACTTTTCACTCACAACCAACGACGCCAACGCTGGAATTTCTGAGAAACGAGCTCTTCAACGCTCTTGTCTTAAAACCTAATGGAACAGGAAACTGTATGTCATTGCTGGTTCAAACACTTTCTCAACGTACATCATACCAATGTGCACAGCAGGAAGCACCAATATGAGTTAACTACTGTTGGATAGTGGGATGCACACTAACTGGAGGACTTCAGCGCATCCTTGTTGATGGGAAAGCGGATCTTCTTGATCACCAAGGAACCCCGGGGAAGCTCGCTTGCCGGATTGTCTCCTCCCACCTTGAGCCGTTGGATTTCATTGAGGTAGGCCAGCCGCTTCTGAGCTGTATAAACAGGCAAAAACAAGAGAATTGTTCAAGAAGTTTCTGAGCTGTATAAACAGGCAAAAACAAGAGAATTGTTCAAGAAACTTCAAGAGAATTGTAGATCACTAATACTCAAGTCTGACAGCTACAAGTAATCCAGATCAACAGTGCATTATTTTCCCCCACCTGATATTTCAAATAATTCCACCAAATCATTTTTAATCACCCTCCACCCTCGTAACTGATGCACCAGGGACCGAATGTGAAACCTAGGTGTTCACCATGCCCATATTTAAGCCGTGCCCTTCATGAAATGAATGCTTTTCTAAGGAGGTGGTACGCGAAGGAGTCGGCTGCCATCCCGTAATAAGATAACGTGCTACCTGATGCCAATACAGGCAAAGAAGAGTGTTCCACACTAGCTGCAATGGCAACAAGTGGCACTGACAGAAGCTCCAGCGTTTAAATGCACATATACACCCTACAGAGTGCCCCCACCGTAGCTTGGTGGTAGAGCTTCGGACACATTATTCGAAGGTTGCAAGATCGAATGATGCAGGTGGCAAGCCATTTTTTCGTTCACTTCTCTTTCTTCACATTTACATTGCAATTACTTCTAATGACATCCCCTATACTTTCCCTGGCATTATTGTCTGCTAGTTCTCATTAAGACTGTGTCTATTGATGAAAATGAGCCCTTAAAAACTTACACTTCATTTTTAGGCTATGCATTCTAAATTGACCATGTTAAGTAATGTTAAAACTGTGTGTGGGTTACTTACACGAGTAAGCCATGCATTGTAACGCATGTTAAAAGACATTAATTTCAATATTGACATTTAATGTTTCATGAAGCAAACACTTCCTTGTAAATAAAAACCTAATCTCACTATAATTGATAAAATTAGTGCCCTAACATACTCTGAACACGAGATCAAAGCAGAGAAGCAGTGAGGGGGAGCACTTCACAAAAGCAGGCAATTGAAAAAAACGCCAGGCTTGCGCGGAATTCGCAGCACTGTAACAGCGAAAGCTCGAAGAGCAGCCTTTCAGAGCCTTTTCTTAACACTCTTTGAGTAACTGCTACAAGCACACTTTCTGTGCATCCACTATCGCCATAAATAATCATAATTTTTGTGTAGTAGGCTCGCATTCACTACGCTATCCTTCATTATTCTTCAGAGAAGCGTGGTATCCGCTACACACTTGCTAGCAACATTGTGCAATATTTTGTATGCAGTGGCTGACGGCCATGAAGAATTGGGCCTGAAGTGGGTATGCGCCACAGTTAATAGATGAACAAGAACAAGCTTTTGAAATGGGTTGGATAACTGGACAACCCACACTTTATGCAATTCGCATTGTGCGATGCCCGATTGTCCTTTTCATGTCCTAAAAAGCTTTATTACTCATAATAGCATAATTCCTTTCCTGACATCAAGCCTGCCCAAGGGCCCAAGGCCAGTTTTGAAAAGAGTTTTAAGCACCGGCGTGGCTCAGTGGTAGAATACTGGGCTGGCACGCAGCGGACCTGCAATCAGTGTGTCCTAGGTGTCCTTTATTTACCAATTTTTTTCTTAATTCTTGCGATATCGGTTACGGCCACCGGCAACGACGGAAAACTACAGCGCCACGTGTGGCCTGTGTTCTGATCTCATAACAGCTTTCGCTGTAAAAATGAATCAAGATATTGTACCATCAACTGATGATCACAAGTCTTGGTACTGTTACAGCTATCTTGGATACACAGTTGAGCCCGCTTATAACGAACCTGAGCGTGACGCGGCATTTGTTCGCTGTATCCCGAAGTTCGTGGTAAATGAAACACAGCTTTTAAAAAAGCTGCGAGTGAAAACACTTCTTTTTTTGCCTCAAAAGGTCCGTGAAGCACGTACTTCGAAGAACAGAAGCGATAAGGGCGGTCTCGAGTTCATCTAAAACAACAGGGTGCTCGTTTGCCGAGGCCCGTGGCATAAGCTGCATGAGGCACTGGCTCCAAAGTTCCGTCGTTCTCGCAATCCGATTCCTCCAAATCGCTCTCGCCACGTACTTCATTCACTATGCCCAAATCTGTGCACGATTCCGCAGTGTCGGCATCATCATTGGCCGTAATTAAACCATCGCAACAGGTGTCCCACCCGCTCTCCCAGGTCGGAGTCGACGACGCACTGCCACAAATCGCCGCCGCAGTGGTCGTGTTCGGAAGCTTCAGGCTCGGCATCGGGCCCGACGTCCACGAAGTCGGCCTCGCAAAAACAGTTTCGCGTGCATGTGGCCATCACCGCCGCCCACGAAATATTCACCACCTCCACAGCTGAATATCGAGACGCCCGAAGCGGCAAGTTGGCTGCCAGGTGGTCAACAGCTACGGCGGCCACACTTTCAACGTTTTGTTGAGAGGCATGAAAAAGCGTGCTAGTCCTCCCGTCGGCCATCATGACCACACACGCACACCAAGAGCGAGCAAAACGCGCACACGCGAAACACATGCTAGAACGCATGGAGTAGCTCTGGGCCCGTTTCCAGTCAAAAAACGAAACTAATTCGAGCCAGTGTGGCGGGCGTCGCGGAGCAGTGGAGAAGGGCGAAGGGGTTGTGATCAAGAGAGGTGAGCCAGAGCCTCCTAAAAATTGCTAGGAGTTGCGATAAAGAGAGAGGAGTATGCGGCAGGAGGGCAACCTTGAAAACCAAAACACACGGGAAAGAGGCAGGTTGAGTAGATTGCTTGAAAGGTCCTCGAAACTCGCACGTAGAAAAACTTGGAAAGAATGCATGGCCGCCTGAATCGCTGCACTCCCAAGAATCCTGTAGACTCACAAGAATCGGTGGCCATGGTCAAAAAATTGTTTTGTTGCGCCGGCGGGTTTGCATGGCATCACGAACTTCGATATTTAGCGATTCATTCCGCGAGAATTAACAGCCATTTTCGCGCCTCCGCACGCACGCAGACGAGTGCAAAGCAAGCGAGAACAAGTCCTAAACACGAAACGAATCGCAAATTATTAGAGTCGGTGGGGTAACGTATGCACGTCACGAGACGCAGACTGTCGGATACAGTCGGTGGCCGACGATGTTGGCAAATGGTCTGGTCGCTCCTGGCCGGCAACGCCAACGACAGTACCAGCGATCAAAAAAGGGTAGATGGCCGACCTGTCTTTGAAAGATCGGTGGCAGTGTGAAAACATGGGCCTCGTCTGGCGATGCAGGGTGCTCAGAGTAGCAGGGGGGGAGGGGGGACAAAGGACGGAGGGGTGTGTAACAAAAAGCGGTCGGGGAGAGCGGCAACTAGAGGGGCGCGGAGGGAGGGTCGGCACCTCCGCCGACCTCCCTGTATGGGCACCTCGCCGATGCCTGATCGGTGGTCGAAATTAGTTTCCCGGGAAGTCAGCAGACCGCCGACTCCGTTCGCTGTAACCGATCAGCGGCGCTCGGAGACGTTCGTTGAAAGTGCGATTTTGTGCCATTAAACCAATGTATGTTTTCCCGGTCACGCGGATATTGTTCGTTTTAAGCGAAAGTTTGTTTTAAGTGAGGCCATTATATGTGGGCTCGACTGTACTAAACTGTGCACACAACCGCCAGTGATTCTAAAATCTTGTGCTACTGCATTCAGCAATCCTGCAGTCCTTATCCTATCATCATCATCATCATCAGCCTGACTATGTCCCAATATGTTGTAACAGTACTGATTGTTGGCCTAGCTGGTACTTGCTTAACGACATGCTTTGGCCGCAAATAACACACACACAAAGTAAAGAAACACTCAACAACAAGCACAAGTGGCTATCCCACTGACTATGTCCACGGAAGGACAAAGGCCTCTCCCATGTTCTGCCAGTTAACTCGGTCCTGTGCTTGCTGCTGCCAATTTATACCCGCAAACATCTTAATCTCATCTTCCCACCTAACCTTCTGTCTCCCCCTAACCCGCTTGCCTTCTCTGGGAATCCCATTAGTTACCCTTAATGACCAGCGGTTATCCTGTCTATGCACTGCATTCCCGACCCATGTCCATTTCCTCTTCTTGATTTCAACTATGATATCCTTAACCTCCGTTTGTTCCCTAATCCACTTGGCTCCCTTCTTGTCTTTTAAGGTTACACCTACCATTTTTCTTTCCATTACTCGCTGCGTTGTCCTCAATTTAAGCTGAACCTTCTTTGTAAGTCTCCAGGTTTCTGCTGCGTAGCTAAGTACCGGCAAGATACAGCTGTTATATACCTTCCTCTTGAGGGATAGTGGCAATCCACCTGTCATAATTTGAGGGTGCTTGCCAAATGTACTGTGCTCCACCGTATTCTTATTCTTCTAGTTACTTCAATTTCGTGGTTCGGCTCCGTGGTTATTACCTGCCCTAAGTAGACAGTCCTTTACAACTTGAAGTGCACTATTACCTATCTCGAAACGCTCCTCTCTGCTGAGGTTCTTGTACAGTGCTTTCGTGTTCTGCAGATTATATTTAAGACCCACCTTTCTGCTCTTCTTGTCTAACTCCGCAATCATGAGTTGAAATTCGTCCCCCGAGTACTCAGCAATGCAATGTCATCGGCGAAGCACAGGTTACTAAGGTACTCTCCATTAACTTATCCTATAGCGCTGTTCGAAACAGGTGATATGCTCATTCAACTAGTAATGTCAGTCCACACTTACTTGCAATAAGCAGAAGCTTCTCCCCTTCAACTTGCTCAGCTGAGCCAAGGAACTCTGCTGATGCTTGGCAGAGGTTCAGAGCCTGGGTGGCCTGACTTATGACTGTTTGCTGGGCCAGAACATTATCCTGTAGGGCCTGCAATAAACAAAAATATGCAATACAGGTAAATGGTACCAGCAACAAAAAATACGCATTGCTTTACTTTACACAAAGTTTACGCAGTTCACAATGCAGCAATGAAGTTTGTATGCCCATGGTACACATGTAGAACTTGTATAAGGCCTGTAAATAAATTGAAAACAAGAGTAAGTTGTATGTTTGTACATGATGCATATGTGCTAACTTAAGGAATGAAAAATAAATTCATAGCAATTACCAAATAAAGGCGTAGTACAATATCTGTGCTTTAACATACTTAAACCACCATATGATCATTAGGGACACCGTAGTGGAGGGCTCCAGAAATTTCGACTATCTGGTGTTCTTTGACATGCACGTACATTGCACAGTACACAGACCGCTACCATTTTGTCTCCATTGAAATGCGCCGCCAAGGCCAGGATCTAACTCTCAATGTTCGGGTCAGTAGCCGAGTGCCGCAAACACTGCCAAATAAAGGTGACAAACATGTTAGCAGTATAAAGTTTACGAGCTGCTAATCATCAGGTTTTATTATTATATTTGGCGGCATAGTGATTCTCAATCTTCCGCAATGAAACGTGTAGCAGTTGAATAATTCATGCTGCTGTGGAAGACAGGGTGCGCAGATGTTATTCATACACTGTTAGGATGCTGGCGTGTGTAAGAGATCAGATTCAAATTTCCATTTTCGGCTAATTGCCAAGTGATATTACATGGCAAGGCTTCAGCAGAGAAGTCAACTGGACAGCTCCACTGCAATGAGTACCAGCCCCTGAATTACTGTTTGAAATGACTGCTTGAATTACGGGTGTAGGGGTCCATCATGCACATGCATCAGCCTGTTCAATATCGCAAGATTCCAAACTTTCTGTTAAAGTCATATATACCATGGTACTACACAGACAAACAAGTTCTCTTAATTAATAACCACTGGTCATTAAGGGTAGCTAGCTGGACTTGACGAGCACAGCTAATGCGTCAGGGGGCAACAGAACATTAGGTTGGCTGATGAGATTAAAAAATTCACAGGTTTAGCATAGCAGCGGTAAGCACAGAACCGGGTCGAGTGGAGTAACATAGAAAAGGCCCTTACCCTACAATGAGTGTAGTTAGGCTGATGATGATGAATAAAAAAAAAAAAACGCCAGGCCTGCGCGGAAGGTACGGCACAGTCACAGCGAAAACTAGAAGAGCGGCCCCTTTCAGAGCTTTTTCTAAACACTCATTGGGTAACTGCTGCAAGCACACTTGCTGGGTACCCACTACGGCACTAATGAATTCTGGGTAGTGGACCAGCATTCGCTATGCTATTTTTCGTCATTCTTCTGAGAAGCGTATCCACTGAATGCTTGAAAGGAATTTTGTGCCAATTGTTCATGCAGTTGCTGACGACGATGAGGAATCATGTCTGAAGTGGGTATGCAACACAGTTAATGGGTGATCAAAAACAAGCTTTTGTAATGGGTTGGAGCATTGGATGACCCACTCTTTACCATATTTGCATTGTGCGTTTCTTCTTTCTTCTTTTGCTGTTCTAAAACACTATTACTCCTATTAACCGATTCCTTTCCCAACATCAAGCCTGCCTAAGAAAGTTTGCAAACAATTCTCAAGAACCAGCATGGGTCAGTGGATAGAATACTGGGCTGGCACGCAGCGGATCTGGGTTTGAGCCCCACTGTGTCCTTGGTACAAGGTTCTTTTTTTTCTTATTTTGGGATAGTGGTTACGGACACTGGCGGCGAACAACTACGGCACCGGGCGTGACCCGAGTTTTAATCTCATAACTGCTTTCCCTGTAAGAAAAGGCCCTGACAATACGTGCGTAGAGAAGCTGGAATTTGATGAGGACTGTGTTGATGAAAATGGCATTACAAATACATTATAGAAGCTGTCGTATCCTTTGAAGCATCTTGTCAGACATTACTGTTCATCCAGCTCGCTTGTGTTTCCTTTCTCGAAATTTGGGCACTTTCTATCAAGATTGCATGCCATGGCGATGTGGAATTCACACCATACGCAATCAGAAGTACCATGTATGCAGCGTTATAGCAAAAAAGGGCATGCAAGACAGACGACAATTATTGTGTGACAAAAAAAAGGAATGTTTTTAAAGTGTACACAGCAAATCCTCATGATTCAACAAGACAAATAAAATACATTGACGTTTTGAAAGATTCTCGTACACTGGCACTGCACAATTGCCCAGCTTCTTTCAAGAACAACGTAAAGTTAAAGAGCGAATTCGAAAAAAATATCAGTGATAAAGCTGGAATGAAACTGACCTTTAGCCTGTTGTCCAGAGATAACTGGTCCTCTTCTCCTAGACCAGCGTCCTTTGAAGTCTTTGATGGTGTGAACGCAAATGGGCATTGCTGAGGTGTGGCATCACGCTGCTGCTTACGAAAGGAGCTGATTGTGCGTGGAAGCTCCGCTGTGTGCTGGCCTGTGGAGGCCTTTGGACTAGCAGGTTTCGGCGTAGACATCAGGTGACTTGAGGGCAGCTGGTTCACAGCTGCGTGGGAATTCTTAAAACGAAAGCAACAAAGCCATTTTGGCCTCAAGGCATGACATACTATCATCTGGACAGTTCTGCTTGAAATCAAGAGAGACAATAATTTCTGCGTGACCTTTCTACCTTTATAGCAGAAGTGCCACTGGTTATTGCAAATGGGTTTAAATTTCAGGGCTTGTATGCACTAAAACCACGATATATTCAGAAAGAATGCCACAGAGAATAATAGTAGATAATTTGAATAATTGCTTGGTTTTAACATCCCAAAACCACAGTATGATAATAAAGTATTCCAGAAGCTTTGATCATCTGATGTTTAACTGCAATCAAATCTAAGCAAGTGGGCCTCAAACGATTCACCTTTATCAAAAGCGGCTGCCGCACCAAGGTTTCTATGCCGCAACCTTCACGTCAGCAGCTGAGCACAATGGAATAACTTAATTCGGGCACTGATGTGCTTCTTTAATGTTCACATAAACCCAAGTGAAAGGGTTTTCTTTTTGCATATCAACCCAGTAGAAAGGCAGCCACCATAGCCGGCAGTAGGCAACATTTCCTTGAGTTTAGCAGCAAAAGACCTTAGCCATGAGGCTACCATGGCATGAGGGCAAACAGATTACAGAGCCACGGTCATAAACAGCGTTTGGAACAAATTGCTGCTAATGTTCATGTCCGAACACTTTTACTGATAGACTGCAAAAGGCTCTCAAACATAGGTGTACCACTGATGAAACTACCCGAAAAGGCACATGCTGGAGTTTGTAAGTGATACAGCTGCCATGAAATCCCCAGTAGCCGGAGTAGAATTTGTTCTTGGCTATTGTAGTCACCATAACCAGCAACATCACACAGTCCATTGCAATCCTTTGCAATTGCAAGAGGCATTGGTCAATCATAAGGCACTCAGTTATGCACCTATCTGATGAAGAAAAGCAAGTGTAAGAGGAAGCCTAATATAACATGAATCTTGAAAGACCTACAGTCGAGTTTGTCGCGAGAACGCGAGTCGAGCACAGTGCACCATGTGACCTAAAAATTAGAAATAATTTTCGAAGTGCTGCCAGGAAATCGCTCTCTCTTCTCTTGACAAGTGATGTCGTAAAGACAAATGACTGTGCCATATATACAAAGTACGCTGGCCATTGGTTGAATAGAGCGTGATGAGGTGCGGATACCGTAGCAGCCGCAGAATGTCACAACATGCCTGCACGCTTGCTCGTGATCACACTGAAGGTATGGCAGGAATTTGAAATAAAGTAGAAAGAAAGTGCTCAAGATCATGACACACTTAAAAAACAAACAACTTCTAGCCCCCATAGTCAAGCCCTCCCCTTCCTCTTATACATAGCTTTCAGTACACTCACTGGAATGGTAAGAGGAATAAAGTGCTTGACACATTCAACGAATCCCTGCAATGGTGCTCGTACTTGACAAATTAAAGAATTTCTTTCTCGGTCGATCCACGAGGCAATAAACTTCTTCATGAAGCCGTTTGATGATTACTTAAAGAAGTGTTGCAGAGCTCTTCTAAAAAACACAGCAGTGTTCAAAGCTCAGGTAGGACCACATTACTTTTCAACACAAAACCAAAAACTCGGCATGCCGTGCTTTATTAGCATGCACAATGCATTTCAAAATTCGTTTAGTATTATGTACCCAACACCTGCCTTCTGTTACCTTGTGTCTCCATGGAGCAGCTTTTCATTTTTTCATGCATCAACGTGCGTGCACACTCTCATGAAAATAAATGAAACTACATGCGAATAATTTACGTTTCGATTTGTATGCGTGAAGCAGTTGCGTGCAATTGGGCTATGGCCACTGATGGAATGTGCAGAAAACAGGGTTGCATGCAGTGCTGCTACACCTTGCTTCCATGTTCTCAAATGTAAGTTAAGAGAGAAAAAAAAGAAATTATCAAATATTATTAAAACACAAGTGTCCTTTTGCCTACCACTTACTGCAGCAATGACAAGTCAAGCTACTGCATTTGTTCTGCTGCACAGCATGACCATGAAGTCGGATATTTAGAATGCATAGCAATTTTCTCAGAGTAAGTTATAGGAAAATGTATTTCAGTGCGAGTACTTAAATCCAGAACAGCCTATCTTAACTCGTAGACCTCAAAACGTAAACTGCAATTAAATTAAACCTACAGAAGCCAGTCTAGCCATCACAGGCCAAGTGCACATAGGCTACATCAGAGGAGATGGATAACTGTGAGCGCTTGCCCTCAGTGGTCATGCCGGCCAATCAATTGCTTAATGCTGTATTACTAAAACTGTCCAAGAACAAAATCGCATCATTCAATCAACGAGTCAGCGAAGCGGCTAATTCCTGCAAGCAGGAAAACGATGCCAGAACATCTTCACTCACTCGAGGCGGGGTCGAAGAGGGCTGCGGCAGCGCAGGCTGCGCGGAGCTGTAACTTGTATCGCTGCACTCGCTGTCCATGGCCTCATTCAGGATGTCGTCAATTTCATCAAACACTGCTGCTTCCTCGGGCGTCATCACAGATTCTTTATTCAGGTTGCACTGCTGGACTCTACTAACATCCTTAACTGTGTTGTTTTCAGTGTCTGGTCCACTTGAATAACCTTCCGCACCACTATGTTTCGACGCGTGTGAAACACCCAACTTCTGTCCATGTACCTCATCAAGCTGAAAGTTCACAACACACACACACACACAAGAGAAATTTTTCAGGTTTCATTAGCTTACTTTTTATGTGAAGCCAATGCTAGCATAGCCTCAATGACTCAGAAAAAATTGCCTCATTGCCTCAGAAAAAATTATGAAAAAAAATACATCCTCTCTCGCTAAAGGGAGCCATGTGTAGATGCGAAGCAGCGAGCGCTAACGCTTACACTGGCAGCGAAGTCGACGCTGGCACTATTCGCAGTGTTGCACAGGAGAGAAACCTGAGGAGGCGCAAAGCACACAGTGATGGACCGGTGTTTTTCACTGGAACATGCCAATCACTGCTGATGAACAATGAGAGACCGAAGACTGGTTGGACACAGGGACCCACAGTCCACTTTTAGTTAACACGCACACTGCGATGTTCAACAACGCAAATGAGAAATCTCACACTGGCGCTACTTTGGAGGTCAAGATCCAGTGTCTACATATCATGTGGCCAGCGAACGGTTGTGCAGCGCGAGCCGTCTGTTTTTTTAATCAAGAAACTCACTAGCAGACGCTGCCTGCATTGTCCTTGCGAGGTTAGAGAGAGGGGGCATAGGAGAGGAAAGAGAGGGGAACGGGACACACATGCGCATTAAGGGTGGTGACTCTGCACACCGGATTGAGGTCTACCCTAAGCTGCTTTGCATTTAAAGCAGTTCCGGCAACCCATTTGTTTCGGTATCAGCTATCGCCCAATTTCTAATTGTCAAGATAATTTAAATTATCTAGTATTGCCGAAGAGTGACATTCTACAACTCTCAGTGTATGACATATCATACTTGTTGTAAACATTCAACGTCACATAAAAAAATGGTGGGAAATTCTACAGCACCAACTGCTAAGAAACCTTCTACAGAAAAGTGGTGCTGACCTTTACATTTAGCTATTGCAACTTTGTTGCCTGATGTAGAGTAGACATATGCTGACAGGGTTGTTTTAAAGCTGGCCCTGTAATTTATTTTTTTGAACAGTGTCATGAAAACCAAGTACATCATTTGTAAAAATGATGAGAACCTTTAAGAATGTGCTTCAACATTTCATAGATTACGATTGTAAAAAATAGAATATCACTGGAGTAGATGGGTGCCATGTCAGCCAGTGGATAGCTTTTTCAACCTGTTCAGTGATTTTCAAATAAATTTCTGCAAACGTGAGCATTCTCCGACCATCCAAGCATTGACTAGTGACTGCTTTCAGAAATTTTCCCGCACTTATATAATAGCATGATTAATTTCTTTTTACTGAAAGTGCGAAGATACATTGAAAGTTTTTTAGGTCACAAAAGTAATGCAATAAAGAACGTTCGTGGCGATCGGACAGCTCACAGTAACCTTAATTTTTTTTCCAGCCACTGGTTCCTGCTTTGATTGTAATGATCTCTTGGCTGAAATATTTATTTGGTTGTTAGCTATGAAGCTAACAAGCGCCACAGACACTATGACAATGACGAAGAAACCCACAGATGATGAAGATAGATGGAGAAATGAATGATGATCACAATAATGTACATGTGTGGAGGAAGCATACAATGCCTACAATGCCAGCGTCTCCAGAGTGCATAAACAAGAAGTCTGCGCGGACACCCTGTCAATGCAACATGCATCACTGGCACCAATGTCATAAATGGGTGACTGCAGTCGCACAAAATAGCATGCACTTATCCAATAATTCAGTAGCTCGTAAAGAAGAAAAATCCCCCACTGTACAGCATGCGTGTGCGACAAAGAACGAAGAAGCAGTGAAATGTTTAGCACTCATCCCATGCCTCATGAACTATGCATGATGACAAAAAAAAAAAAAAAAAAAAAAAAAAACAGGCTCACATGCATACAACAGGCAATACAACTGAATGGGCTAACGACACGTGGAATAATGGTTAGCCTTCACTACATTGCAAATCTGAGAACAGTATTTCGTTGATACCGATCGCTGCTCGAATAGATAACCTGCTTTCGTGCTGCTTTACAAAATAGTCAGGCTTCTTTGCCGAGCTAGCCTTACAGTCTGCTGTTACACAATGCCTCAACACTCGATTGATATGTGAGGTTTAACGTCCCAAAACCACCATATGATTATGAGAGACGCCGTAGTGGAGGGCTCCGGAAATTTCGACCACCTGGGGTTCTTTAACGTGCACCCAAATCTGAGCACACGGGCCTACAACATTTCCGCCTTCATCGGAAATGCAGCCGCCGCAGCCGGGATGCCTCAACACTCAACACGTGAAGCGCGAATATAAAAGTGCTTCACTGCAACAAAGTATGCTTGCAAAATGGTTTTCCTTTTTTTTTTCTCTTTTCATTTTTTTTGTCCAGCATGCAAACGCGTTGCATTGAAATACTGATGTTTAGTACATGTCTTAATCACGGAGCAATGCATATAAAGCCCGACAGATTAGACGCCAACACGTAGGCAGCGCATCTGTGTGAGCAAGATCAGCACATTTGTAAATGCAGTACAGAAAGACAAGGAAAGATCCGGAGCTTACAGCTTCAGCTGGAGGGAGTGTTTCAGTTTCCAAAGGTGTGGCTGACGAAAGTGCAGTTTCAGTTTTTAATAACATTGCTGTACTGGCCTTTTCAGTTTGACCGTCATCCTCCCCAGCACCTGGTTGCTGGCCTTTGTTTCGCAGCGGTGACAGTTTCATCAATTTTAGGAGCAACCACAGTTTTGTCTGAGATGCCTTCGTCAGAAAAGTTCTCAGACATTGTAGCAACTTTGCTGGTCTGAAACACATGCAGGCAAAAATCATTGGTAGAAGTACCAACTCTTAATTTTACTAGTTCTGGGTGCTCCAACTATAGCAGCATTTAAATTTTTATTTGATATTTTGTCTACATTTATCTGTAATAAACAGTGTATCGATACTATTTGTAACTTCTTTTCTCTGCGATTCCGAGCCCCAATAAATATCACCTCTTTGAAGATAGAATGCACAAAAATTGGCCGCAGATGGAAGCATAGAAGTCTGACAAAACACCACCACAAAAAAAGGGGGAACCACAGCTACAAAAGTGAGATGGACCCTACCTACACGGACGAACATAACTGCTAATTTGGTATAACAATACCAAAGCAACCTTGCAGAAATGATTTTCACAAAATGCTGTCACAACAAAGAACTACATATGCATTAGTACATCTTTCTGGCTTACTCCAACTAGAATAAAAAGTATGACTTACAACTACATTGTTGCATGCATGAATGCATAACAAAAGTTTCAAGAATGCAGGTAAATCCGGTGTGTGCAAATGCTGCTTAGTCAAATCCTTACAGACGCAGCCATCGCTATCAACAAAACATGGCAACGATTGGGTGGCTGTTTCTGAAGTAAATGCAGTGGCAACATTTACAATTTTTAGAACATTCTTGGCAGAGTACAATGAGTGTTTTTCTTGAAGTGTTCCACGTAAATCAGTTACCAGATTTATTCCTCTCATAATGACAAGCTGCAACTCCTGTAGTCCAGAAGAGACAGGAGGTGAAGGCAGTATATTTGTGTTCAACTTTTCATTATTCTGGAAAACTAGTAATAGGGATATATATTCCAGATCTGCCAAACGGGTTACAAAAGACTCTAAATGTGGGACACTTCAGATTAATCTAAAAGCTATAAAGGTCACTCACAATTTCATAACCTCAAGTTAAATACAGGTGATTATAACTATTTGTTATTTTTCCGTGGACCTAAGGTAGCTACTGCTGTCGAGATGAGATTTTTTTTACCTTTCGCTCAGCAGAAAACCATCGTGGCACAATGCAATGCTCTAATACTGGCACAACATGCAAGTAAGTTCTTGAGTTTAAGACAAATTTACATTTTTGATAAATTAAATAAAGGGAAAGAATAGCTCACCGACACCTCATGTGCAACATCATCTTCCTCGTGTGGAAGAGAAAGAGAACCATTTTCAAAAACAGAATCGTCCGCATCTTCACAGTCACCAACTGCAATACCACGAAAACATACAAGCTGGCAAAAAGCACCATACCACTGCTGGAGAACTGCTACACATTAAAATACCACATTTATTCAATTTTGCAGCCAGCCAATTCTATAGATATACCTGCCACAATTACAATTTACCTGATATTTCTGCAAATTATTCCTAAAATTATACACTCTAATATAACACTACGCTACGGTTTTAATGTTACCAGATGCTTACAAGGAAAGAAAGAGCTGGAGAAGGTGGTATCATCAAGCACACTTTCTAATACAATAATGAAGCAGCAAACAAAACAGCTGTACATTATTTGCTAACTTTTTCACACGACAAAGGTTATGAAGTAATTTTTTATTAGCTACTATCAGTGCCTACAGTAATAAAAGCCCCTATAAGTACTATCCTGATGATGCAATACTTATTCTATCATGCAAACAATGATGTCTGTATTACAGCTAAAGATTCTCCAGCTCAGCCCCAACAAAATCTAGCATACCAGGCTGAAGGGCTGCTGAAGCATCGGGAATAGTTTCGGCATTGTCAGTGTCCACAGCTATTCCATTTTCTTCGGAACCTGCAAGGAGGCACAGCAAATGACCATAAAGGAGCTTTCAATTGAAGTGTGATACGAAATTTATTAAGTTAAAAAAAAACCTTTTAACGCAAAGCACTGAAACTGAAGTTCTTTTCAGATACTTTCACTTTTTTCTTTAAGGCATTGAAAGCATTTTGAATTGCACAGGCTTTATTGCTTTGCCTGTGACACTAAACGCATTGAGCATATTCTGGTGCAGGCTGCCCTTGAAGGATCAGATGCTTTTCCAATGTTTTCACAATTATTTTGATCAGGTTGCATGCATGGCACAAATTATACAGTGAATTTGAGAGTTTACGCAAGCGCTGGTGACTATACCGTAAATTTAAATATGCATGAAGTGCATGATGGCTTGTATTCTAAATAGCTGTCAGGTTAAATTCGTAGTTGAAATTTCTAAGCTTAAGAACTGCGCTCATCAATGTTTTACTCAGAGTACAGTATTTTACTTGGCACTAATTCCCCCAGTAAAACGTTAAGCTTCTTTAACACCTAGGTTGTTGGATTCTTCATCATCACAACATGATGCCACGTGGAGAGGGAGTGCTCTGCAGTAACAAGTCTCCTGACCCCCACCTACCTTTGGTCCTTGACCACAGCAAGGAGAAAATAAAGTTTTGTCTATATTCACGTGCCGGACTGTTTTGTCGAACCGTGAATCAAGACTAAAACACATTGTATCTTGTGACAATATCCAAGTTCAGGACTTACTGCACCTGCTTGGAACACTTAGAAAAGGTCCACACAGGATCCAAGTGCTCACCTGTCTTCATTGCAGGAGTATTGCCAGCAGGTTCCTTGATAATGGCAAGACCCGGCAATTCTGGCTTCTTGGGAGTACCAGGCCTAGCAAGCGATTTTTCTCGGTTTTCAGCTGGAGGCGGTGTCACTGCTGTCAATCATGGTAATCAAAAATAACCAGGCAACCAGACCTGAGACACTGATGTCATGTAAACATTATCGTAGCAACAAGAATTTAGCAGTCAGCAGCTCGTAAAGACTGTACTCAATTTCCTTACAGGGTCTGACTTATCTAGTCGCTCATTGTCAAGCTTCCCCCTAACAGTGGAAGACAGTGTACAATATGGCATTTGACAGACTGTAGCAGAGTATCACAAGGTAAGGCATAGTCGCCGCTTCAGATTTGACTGCGAATCATAATTACCGCTGAGCCTCGCTAAGCTGGAAGGCTCAGCCTTAGAATGTAGGTAACCGAAGTATTACCCTAGAATTCAGCAAGACCAAGATTCATCATCATCATCATCAGCCTGACTACGCCCACTGCAGGACGAAGGCCTCTCCCATGTTCCGCCAGTTAACCCGGTCCTGTGCTTGCTGCTGCCAATTTATACCCGCAAACTTCTTAATCTCATCTGTCCACCTAACCTTCTGTCTCCCCCTAACCTGCTTGCCTTCTCTGGGAATCCAGGTAGTTAGTTACCCTTAATGACCAGCGCTTATTATGTCTACGCGCTACATGCCCGGCCCATGTCCATTTCTTTAGACCAAGATTATGGCTCAGCAAATTAATGTTTAAAAATTTGTTTTGATTTAATGAAAGTCCTGTTGGGAAAGTAAGACTCATGAAGACAATGAATAAGTGTGAGCATTCTGAAAGAACAAATGCAACATTGAGGCCCCTAACATGCACTTTTTGCACTGGCACACCTCTCATTTACAGGTTGAAGTGGCATCAGGTTTAATTTCATGGCATTATAGTCCACGTACCTGAGGCTATTGGCCATAGTATGGTGGCCAATAAAATCTTACGCTAATGACCTCAGCGACAGGCATCATGTGTCAAAAGTTCTAGAATATAGACAATATAAATTATTATAGCATTCGTTTTGAGCATAATTTACATTATTATTATTAATTAGCATCTTCTCATCGACAAAGCACTAGCTAGTTCACACCAGCCTAGTTACATGAGTTGGTGCCACGATGTAAGGGACACCGTAGCAGAGGCTCCACAAATTTCTACCACCTGAAGTTCTTTTATGTGCATCAAATATAAGTAGACACAGTAACGTATGCTCTCGGGCTAGTTGGTCTGTAACTGTGCAGAACATCGTTGGCGCAAACTTAAAGACGAAAGAAAGACGAAATTTAAAAGACGTGTGGCATATTAAGTGCTCATTGTTTAAAGAAGCACGAAAGGAAGTTTTTGGATTGTTTAGTAGGCATTGTCTACTTGATCCTGCTCAGTTGTGGCAAGGTGTACATTGGCCAGTCGAGCCGTTGTATAAACGATCGCTTAAGGGAACGTGCACTGTCAATGAGAAACGGCACGGGTTCGCATTTGCCGCATCATTGTAAGGAATGCTCGTGTGAACCGCTACTGCACCGTACGAGAATATTGCTAAGAAGCAAAGACAAAGTGGCACGTGAATTGGCAGAGGCAATGTTTATTAGACAATTTGGCAAACATTGTATCAATGTTCCATCTCTGTCATTGTATGATAATAAATTTTATTTTCTATCTGATAGATTGTGATTATAGTTGGTTGGTCTCTTCTTGTGGTTGTACGCATGCGTGAGGGTTTATAAGACGAGCTTCGGTTTAATAAAAATCAGTTGCGAGTGTGCGCTTTTCCGAGTCTCTTCTTTCATCTTTTAAGTTTGCGCCAACAATGTTCTGCAAAGTACACACAGTATTAACGTCTCGAATTGGGCTGGTGGGTACATACTGACTTTGAAAGAAGAAACAGCGCTGGAACAGGACGGAGACGAGAAGACACAAACACAGCACTGACTGAAAACCATGTTAGTCAGTGCCTGTGTGTACTCACTTCTTTCAAAGTAAGTACAAAGTAAGTACAGACAGGCCACAAACATTTGACCTCCATTAAAAAAAAAAAAAAAAAAACAGCCACAACGACCTGGACTCAGTCCCGCAACCTTCAGCTCAGTAGTCAAACTTATGCAAGCCTTTTACAACACGTGACACCACCATCGCTTTCGCCTACCCCATCTCAGAGGTTTCTGAATGCTTCGCATCTACATCAGCCGACGACGGGCTTCGACCGACACCAAGCGACGTGACTTCACCACTTGCAAAAGTTGATGTCAACTCGACCCTCTCGTAACAACAGACTGAGCTACGTGAACTGCTATATCAATTTAAAGAGTGCTTCGCGTCCACCTCGAAGGTTCGTCAGACACCGATCGCCAAACACCGAATAATTACGTATACCGACGCCTCGCCCATAAAACAACACCCTTACCACATTTCGGCAAAGGAACGTGACGTGATGAATGCTCAAGTCGAAGAGATGCTGCAAGATGACGTTATCCAACCTTTGAAGAGTGCCTGGTCATCTCCGGTCGTGCTCATGAAGAAAAAAGATGGATCACTGCGCTTCTGCGAGGACTACAGGAAACTCAACAGCGTGACTAAAAAAGACATCTATCCCCTGCCCGTATCAACGCTTCCTTCGACAGACTGCATTGGGCCAAGTATTTTTCATCGATAGAATTGAAAAGCGGTTACTGGCAGATCGAAGTTGATGAACGAGATCGTGAAAAACTACCTTCGTTACACCGGATGGCCTATATGAATTCAAAGTGCTTCCCTTTGGCCTCTGTTCTGCACCTGCGACATTCCAGAGAATGACGGACACAGTTCTTACCGGTCTAAAGGGGCACATGTGCCTAGTTCATCTGGATGATGTCGCGTTTTCTGCCACCTTTGAGGAGCACCTGAAGCGTCTGCAGAATGTGCTGGAAGCGCTCCGCTCTGCTAACCTGACACTGAAGCCAGAAAAATGCCACTTCGGTTACAAAGAACTAAAGTGTCTCGGCCGTGTTGTCAGTGCGGATGGTATTTGAACGGACCCTGATGAAAGTACCGCCGTGGCCTCGTTTTCTGTTCCACGTGATAAGAAGGCAGTACGTCGCTTCCTAGGGCTTTGCGCGTACTATTGCCGCTTTATAGCCAATTTTTCTAGGATTGCTGAACCGCTCACTCTACTCACTCGTGAAGATGTTCCATTCGTCTTGGGGGAAGAACAGGACGCAGCTTTCTCTGAGCTACGGGAGCGTTCGCAGACACCACCAGTCCTCGCTCACTTTGACCAAGACGCTGATACTGAAATTCATACTGACGCCAGTAACATGGGTTTTGGTGCTGTTGTCGTACAACAACAAGAGGGCACAGAGCGAGTGATAGCGTACGCTAGCCGCACTCTTTCCCGCGCCGAGGTCAACTACTCCACGTAAGAGAAAGAGTGCCTCACTGTTGTATGGGCCACATTGAAATTTAGGTCTTACTTTTACGGACGCCACTTCAAGGTAGTGACCAACCATCATTTGTTGCGCTGGTTAGCCAACCAAGGGGACCCGTGTGGGCGACTGGCGCGATGGAGTCTTCGTCTGCAGGAATACGATTTCACAATCGCTTACAAATCGGGTCGCAAGCACGAAGATGCTGATTCATTATCCCGTGCACCTGTCGAAGTTTGTGGCCACGACACTGAGGATGATGGTGGTTTCTTTGGGGCTCTTACTACAACAGATCTGATTACACGACAGCGCGCGGACGATGAAATTCGCGCAGTTATTGAAAACCTTGAAGGACGCAACTCGTTCATATCTCGGTGTATTTCTCGAAGTCTGTCATCGTTCTGTCTGCGAGATGGGGTCCTGTATAAGAAAAACTCCAACGGCAATGAGAGAACTTAACTTCTAGTTGTGCCATCTGACATGCGTGACGACATTCTTCTTGCCTGTCACGATGAGCCCACATCTGGTCACTTAGGTTCCTCTCGAACTCTCGCTCGAGTTCGACAAGCATACTACTGGCCTAAGCTCTCTGCATCCGTTAAGCGATACGTGAAAAGCTGCCGGGAATGTCAACGCCGCAAATCCCCGCCACTCAAGCCCGCGGGGCTTCTTCAAGCAATAGAACCACCCAGAGCGCCATTTAATCAAATAGGAATGGATTTACTGGGGCCCTTTCCGCTATCATCTGCCGGCAACAAGTGGATTGTAGTAGCCACCGACTATTTGACGAAGTACGCCGAAACAAAGGAACTACAACGCGCTACGGCTTCCGACGTCGCCCAATTCTCCATGCACCTGATCGTACTTTGACATGGCGCCCCGTCGTGCGTAATCACAGACAGAGGAACAGCATTCACGGCCCAGCTCATTCATGACGTATTCAAGCTCAGCTACACGAGCCATCGCAAGACCACGGCATATCATCCGCAGAGGAACGGCTTGACAGAGCAACTCAACAAGACCATCTCTGACATGTTATCTATATACGTAGATGTCCAGCATAAGACCTGGGATTAGGTGCTACCATACGTCACATTCGCGTACAATACTGCCGTCCAGGAAACTACGCGCTTCACGCCTTTCCATGTTGTCTATGGACGTGAGGTCCAGATCATGCTGGATGCGATGCTGCCACACAATTGCGACGCTTTGATCACTCCTGATGCTATGCAGCTTACCCAGTACGCCGAAGAAGCACGCCAGTTAGCAAGCCTACACATTATGCACCAGTAGAGTACAGACGCATGCCGCTACGACACTCGCCATGGACAAGCTGAATACCATCCAGGCGATCAAGTTTGGGTGTGGACTCCAGTCCGATGCCAGGGATTGTCAGAAAAACTGCTCAGTCGCTACTTCGGACCATATAAACTGTTGTGACGCGTGAGCGATGTTAACTACGAGGTAGTCCCTGACGGCGCCTTCTCACCATGGCAGCGAAGGCCCTCCTCGGAGATTGTGCACGTAGTGCGACTGAAGCCGTACTTCTTGCGGTAGTGCAACTGCGCATGAACCTTATCGCTGTTTTTGTGTATGCGCGTATTTTCTGTTGGTTCGCCCCGACTTTGCCTTTGTACTTTCCGAGCATCAGAGCGACGCCCCTTTTTTTTTTCAGAGGGGGAATAATTCCACTTGGCCGCTAGTTAAGGCGAGCGCAAGCCATGGCTGCCCGCGAGAACGGAAAACTATGTTCTGGGGCAGCGTGTGCTCTGGCTAGTTGTTGTTGATTATTGAGGCAGCCATCTTGCCAGTTTTCGGTGCGTCTCCCCGCCGGCTCGGTTCTTCCTAGTTGAAGACCTTTTGTAGCATGTGACAACATTGAACTTCAACATTCAAACAATGAATCAGACTGTTTCGACAATACCACGAAGAGAAAAAAAAAGGCATGATGACACTGCAAAACCGGCCCATTATTAAAACAAGAACAACGGTGACTCAAAAACTACTAATAGTAATCAAATTTTCAACGAAGTAACGTTTGCGTCAACTGACCTCCACCCAGCCCTTCTGTCGAGTGGGCAGACAACTTGGCAGCTGCATTCAAGGGTAGGGTCTTCAGGAAGGACGGGCGTGCAACATTCACAGAGGAGAAGGACTGCATCAGAGGAGGCCTCGAAGTCGGCCTCTTGAGAGGAAGGGTGCCTCGGCCATTGCTGCCACTTGACTTGGAGATCTCACTCTCAAACAGGGCAGCCCTCGCAGCCACCGAGACCGTTACGATTGGTTGGTCAGGGCCAGTGCCGTTGCCAGGGCATCCTCTCGCTTCCCCCAAGGCAGCCAGTTTGGTGAGCCCCACCTTTGGGGCTTCATCTTGCGGCACTACAAGTGATATGCAGACAAACATTGTATAGGAACAGCAAAAACAAACTCTCACAAGCTTGCACAAAATAGCCTGCATAACTCACTCAGCTTGGCTTAAAGCTCAAGAACTCGAACTAGGAATAGTTAGTACATAGTTACTAATAATATGAATGTTTTTTTTGTCCCAATACAACCATGTGATTATGAAGGAAGACGTAGTGGAGGGTTTTGGAAATTTCAACCAGCTGGTATTATTTAACACACTCCAACATTACACAGTACACCAGCCTCTACTATTTCACCTCCATCGTAATCTGACCACTGCGGCCAGGATGAAACCATCAATTGCGTCAGCAGCTGAGCACCCTAGCCACTAATTCACCAAGGTGGACTACAGATTTACCATGATGTCTGAAGTGTCAAATAAAACAAAGCTCTTTGTCCTTTGATGTTCTGTTTTTCACCTAAAACACCACGGCAAGCTTGAAAATAAGTTTGTAAGGTTGATTAATAACTTAAGATGACTGAAGAATATAAAATGTTTGGAAGAAGTTTATTTTCCACACACAAAAAATAAACAAAAAAAAAAGAAGGAAAAATGAATTTCAGTTGCTTAAATAGGCAAATGCTCTATTTAAACCTGCACATCCCTCTTGCTCTTCATAAGAGGCTATGTGGTAACCCTATGAGGATAAATTTTCAAGGACCTTATGACGCAAAACAGAAACTTAAGGAAAAGGACCCTGGAAAGGCACCATGACTGCATGACATAACGGACAATTGTGCCATAAAACTGTATACAGAATTCATCACAACTAAGGGTCTGTACAGCGCCTCCTCTATTTTTTTCAGTGCCCAAGCGAAGGAGCAGATTTCAATGGGAAGCGGCTGTCTGTGTTAGTGCAGCGTTTCGCCATCAGGTGCCACCATCAGAGTAGATATGCTGCCGCGTCATCTCTGTCTCAAACGAATGCCCTGGCTGCATTCGAAGCTGCTATACAGTTCAATTTTTGGCTGTGTTTGCATTCTCCAAGGTATAATGAAAACTTGTAATTGAGGATTGTGAAGCACTTGTTCTGGACACCCAGCTCATTTCAAAGGCATGTGTCGTTCACGACAACTTGATCCAGGCACTCACGCGTTTTCCGCTAGGCTGATACCACACAGCTCCTGCCAGTAATCCGCGGAAGATCATTTCGTCAGCGTGACGTTCACTTGACAGAGTTACTTTTTTTACTCACCGAAAGTCCATTTTTTGTTCTCTGCCTTTGCCAGGAGCTAATAATAAAACTTAGGTGCTTAATGCTCTCGGGTGCTTGCTACTGTCTAGTGGTGTAGCACATTACACGCAAGCCTGCAGTTCATACGCCAAAAAGCACAAAATGCCCCTAGACTGCTTCGGGGGATACAGGTGATCATTTCCTTCACAAAGATTTTGAGTATTGCATGTGTTGCCACCGAGAAAACGCAAGTGCCAGAAAATGAACTATGCCAGGTGATTTCACCATTTGAGAGCCTAAACAATGAAATCGTCGTCAAACAAACAAGAACAGCTCCATGTGAGGCCCGATTCCTGCAATCATAGCCTATGTTTTGAACAGGTGCTATTAAAGTCCAAAGTATAATGCAGACTCTCAACTTGACCCAAGGTGACAGGCATGAAAAATGCGGCCTGATGTCAGTTGCTTGAGCTCGTCGGTGTATTCGTGGACGGATAGTCATAGCCTTAATAAATGGCTGCTCAGCTGTTTCTTTCTTCTTCCCTCTGGCCTCTTAATGCGGTAGTGAGCAAAGTAGAGGCAGAATGGCTGTCGACCAGGACGCTTTTGTCGCGCGGGGCAGTCTATTCAGCCTTGAAAGCACGCATGCATTACGACTCAATACATAATAAGTGTCGCTTGTTCCACAAATAACTCATGTAATGCCCATGAGCATTACATGAGTAATGCTCAGATTTGGGGCGTAATGTTAACGTTGCATACGGCAGTGATCGCGAGGCAGCGTTAATATTTTTGAACTAATTTGTTGACTGTTCGAAAGCATTGATGATTTGATATGTGGGGTTTAACGTCCCAAAAGCACCACATGATTATGAGAGACGATGTAGTGGAGGGCTCCGGAAATTTCTACTACATGGGGGTCTTTAACGTGTGCACGAATCTGAGCACATGGGCCTACAGCATTTTCGCCTCCATCGAAACTTCGGAAGCAGTGCAGTCCCATTTCGTGATGCCAACTGCCATGCTTCCAAATGTGAAGGGCAGTCTTTAGCAACCACTTCCTATAATTTACAAAATATTCAGGTTGTAAATGACTACCACACATTCGCACGTAGTGTAGTTTGAATATGTATTAACTATTAGGAGACTAATTATACCACCCGATTACTGCAACCACCCTCCCCCGAACACCAGCAGCTGAAATTTCACGGAACGACATTTGTGCAGTATATTAAAGCGAAAGCCTAAGACGCGTTATAAAAAGCGAAAATTCATCGCCCGTGGCGCCCGACGTCTTTTCGCGTCGACGGCATTATAATACATCTTAGTACGGTTGAAATGGGCTGATTACGAGGGCAGTGCATAACTAGCTGAGAGGCAGAAAGCTAGGTTTGTCTCCAATCCTTGAGATAGTAAGAAAATCTCATTGGGCACAGAAATGTCCGAGAGGGAAGTATGAAACAGTCAAGAAAACAAAGATGGTTCTAGCTTTTCAGCAATCTCAGGTTAATCCATAAGAGAACCTATTAGTTTCTTTTTTTTTTTCCTTTATTACTAATGAAAAATAAAAAAAAAAGACAGATTTATTTCTGTGACATATGCAAAGTGGTACGCAGCAGTATTATATACTGAGGCATGCAAATGATGAGGTCGCAATAGCTTGCACGGAAAAGTAAACGCGGATGCTGTAGACTAATGCTGTAGAACTCGAATGCAAATATCAAACCGATAGCATGGCCGAATAGATTGCTTGTGGAATACTTACTGTGGGCATGAAAAGGAACGCGAACATGCTGTATCTACCTCCTTTTCTGTTTCGCATTTAATTATGAGCGGTTGTAGCCAGGAGAATTGATAAAGAGACAGTAAAAAATGTGACAAAGACCATATAGCATCTTTTTGTTGCCACCACGGCCGGAGCTCGGTGAAAAACAGCGCGCCGCTATGTTCATGTTACTTTTCATTCACCCTGTATCTGTGAAAGCCAGCTATAAGCACAAATGCGAATTAACTCGCATGAAAACACAATTTCCCGAGCTTCCTAATATGCGCAGTCGTTCAGCGCCAGCTTCTCGTAGTCTATTCCCGCAGCGCCACCATGCGGCAGCGGCGAGCAGAGGCGGAGCGCGCGTTTAGTGACCTGAAGAGAGCGATTGCCCAGGCACTGCAAAAAATATAGGAGGCGCTGGTCTGTACCAACAATAAATTTTCAAGGACCTTATGTCCCATATGCACAAAGAAAAAAAAGGTAAGGGACCCTCAAAAAGCACCATGACTGCATGACACAACAGACAATCGTGCCGTAAAACAGTATACAGAATTAATCAAGACTAATTGTCTGTACCATCACCCTCACTGAAGTAAATTCGACTTGCTTTTACATTTTGCAAAGCTGCTCAAAACTGTTAGCCACAGAACCCCTAGTCAACTTCTTGGCACACAGCTTCACCCATGTTGTACCAATAAATAATGGGTTCTATGTTTTTATTTTGTCTAATTAAATTAATCCAGAAAAAAAAACTAGGTAGATCCCTCACAACACAGGAATCAATGTCATGTGAAGCGTGCAGAGAAGCGACTGGCGTAACTTTTTGTTGAGCGAAACGTTACGAAATGACGCTAAAGATTCGTACAAAAGTTCTACACACAGACATGCATGCTGAACAGTAGCACGTGTTCGCACAGTAGTGGGCTAGAGCACACTATTGCTCAGGCAGGCCTCTCTGTGAATAAACCTCTCTCTTGGTCTATCCCAAGTTAAGGAGGTGATCGTGAGAGAACCCAGACGTAGGTGGCTGGATAGAGAGATATGCAGATAGAAACGCTAAAAGTGTCTGCAGTACGCAAAGAAATGCTTTACATTGAAAACACCATCATTAGAGATCTGGAGATGTTAGTTCTACAAAGCAGTCTCTTCCAACTGTGGGCAAATAACAGCAGAAATCAATCCACCAGAGGGGATACAATACCAATTTTGTGAGTACAGACACACCACCCAATGATACTGTTGGATAGATCATTGAAAGTACCTTGCAAGACTTTTCCAGCATGGTCAGAAAATGCTGCCGATCGGTACTTGAGAACACGTGAGCCAAACAGCATGTAATTTGCAATTCATTCTCAAAGCCAACTCAAAATTGTATCCTCTGCTCTTTGCAAATGATGTCCTATACCCAAACAACTGTGCCATAACCAAAATTCATGGTCATTGGCTCATTTAAAAAGCATTGTGCGGCGCATAGTTACTATGGTCGCTGCAAGAGGCCGCCACGTGGCAGCAATCGCACTGAAGGTAAACCGTACAATTAAAAACAAGAAGTGCTCAACATTATGACAAGCAGGTGATGTAGCTTCTTCCCCAAAGTCATCTCTTTCTGCTTTGCTTACAACGTTCTTATCAAGAGAAAGCAATTACAGCGTGCAACCAATCTATCTCAGCTCATATTTGTACTCAAAATTTTTGCAGCGGTTAATGGTATAATAGTTATAACAAATGCGCCACAATTTCAAGCACCTATATCACAATGTTAAGTTAAAGCTGCTCATACACAACTTGTTACCATGCCAATTTTCATTATTAATCTCTTTAAGACAGACACGTACAGAAAAAAATGGTCCCTTCTCAGTAATTTTTTGTAGTAAAACATAGCGAGTATTACATGCTACAAAGATGAGAAAGAAAAGGTCAGCAGGCAGTTATGCTTTCATGTCTATTAAACAAGTTCAGTACCACAAGACTAGTCGCAGCTGAGGGCATACACTAACATGCATCACAAGATGTAAACGTGACAGTACAGAACTCACTCTGCTCAACTGAAGGCATGGGCACGTCGTTCTCTTTATCCTTATCAATTCCCAGGCTCTTACCAGAATCGTCAGCACAGATTTTCTTGAAGATGGTGCAGCGGTCTGAAGTAAAGGAAAAAGAAAGAGTGCGACGTCTCTACTAAAGCTATCCGTTGATGCCACAATAATGACAAGAAAAGATGAGCAGGCAATAAACTTATGTTATACACATTCAGCATACACAATAGCATGACTGAAGTTTTACCTTCGGCAAATAGCTCAGTGACCCGTCAAGACCGATCGCAGATCCACTTATAAGCATGTCGATAAGGCTCCAACAACAATAAAAACAAACATACGTACACGTGAGAATCCATAGAAACCAACACTGGCATATCGCAACCAGCGCGACTTATGCGGCAGGAAGAGAGTCAAAACACAGCGCTCTCACCGGAACTAAGCGGAGCGTCTGATGTGGCCACGTCCTGTATCTTTCGCTTTGCAGACCGCGGAGACGAAGGCGGCATCTTGCTGGGAGTCCTCTGGCGAGCCTTCGCACGAGTGAAGAGGCTCTGCAAAAACCGTTGCAGTCAATCGTACGCTCGACGCGTAACAAGCAGCTCGCAAATCCACAACGCCCATGTTTCGCGGACAGAATGCTAGATTAAACGACTGCGACGGGTGTAAACGACTCGCACAGTAGTAAAAAAGATAAAGGCAACGCTGACACCAAAACGAGGAACTAGCGCGCGCGTGTGACTCAACTTCGCAGGAAAGCGGCGTCGACGGGCTTCGAATGTCGCCGTAAGAACACAAAGCGGCAACGGAAACCGAAGACCGCCGCCCCTCGTCTTCAGCGAACCACTGAGCGGCCTCGAAATGCGATGGGCGTCTTCCGACCAGCTCACTGCACATCATCAAGTTTCAAGATGACAGCCGCGTAAACAAGCACCGGCGGCGGCCGGCGTGCAACGGCTGTCGCCTCGAGAAACCAAGTTCGCCAACACAAACCGAGATTACTGCCTAAACTAAATGACAGCCGTGAAATGCGCCACAACGAATAAGTATTGCAGAACAGCCACAATTCAAAAACGTGCTTACAACCCGAGAAGAACGACGCGGACGGTAACTCGGACACTTACCTGCGCCGCTGCCTCTATTTCCTCAATCTTGGCGGCTGTGCGGTCAACTCGCGCCCCAAAAAAGAAAGGTTCAAGACAACTCCAACAACCTATCGAAATTTGAAACGCCGGACTGGCCGGACGGCTGCACAGAATCAGATAAGAACAGCCACGGGCCGTTTGAACGGTTCAAACATCCCGGCCGTCGAGGTCACGAGCGTTTGTCCGGCGCATATCGGATGAAATCCTTTCAACACAAAAGTGTTGCCACCACCCGACCACCCTTATTTTAAGGCGCTGGCGACGCGTTGTAGTTTTTATTAAATAAATTACTAATTAAAGTAAACAACACATCAACTAAACTGTTATAACATAATGAATAAAAAAATTATACGCATTTCATTTGCTTTGCTTTGGGCTTGTAGTTGACTAGAAAAAGACGCCAATTCTTTCTTTTAGCATCAAACGCTTGCGCAAATTTTGATAGATAAAGTACTTACCGTTTTTCATCTGAACGTTTCAAGTCTCCAACTTTGAGGTTAATAAACACCATCAGATGCCGCTCCAATAGTTTTCGTTTAATTTTTTGCTTAAACAACAGTTTCGTTTGTTACTGAGTACATAGCCTCCAAGATAAAAAACGCGTCGTTACGTCACACGTTTAAAATCTCGAAGGCCAAACAGAAAGAGAGGAGGTTGGATTTGCGCTCCAATCCTTTCCCGCGCGCTCCATCCGCGCTTTTTCATCCTCCTCGTCCTCTCGCGGCTCTGGGCGCTCCTTCCTCGAATAAGCGAAGCGCCGGCATCCAATCCCCCCCCTCCGTGGAATGATCAGGCCGGCCGGGGAAAATGCGACTACGAGTCGTCGTCCTCTTCACCTATCCTGATCATTTCTTAATAGGACTACCACGAACCTTCAAGGTGAGAGAGAGCGCCGATTGCAATCGACGTATCAAGTGCCGGCTATTTCCGCGCGTCGAACAAACATCGCACGTCGGCTGCGCGCGCGCGATGACAGGTAGCCATGAAATCGATGGCGGCCCGCGCCGCCTGGCCCTCTTCCTTTTTCGAGCGATGTAACGGCGCATTGCCGGGTTTTAACTGATACGTTCGGCTTACGATCTCGAGTAAATTGTGGTGCCCGTAAGCCTCAGGCCGCGGATGCATTTTAGACGAGTGCGCCCGGCGCCTCCACTCTACCAGATGCTCCGCCTTCTCCCGCGGTTCCTAAAACAGCACTCGAGGACGTTTGTGTATACAATATATTTCGGCGATCTCGGCGCTGAGAGAAACGTAAATCACTGAGGGGAAAAAAGAAATAAACCATGTCGTGTGCATATTTATAGGCGCAACTCTGTGGGAAGCCTATAAGCGTGGATTTTATTAGTTTCGCTTTGAAACGCGAGGAAGTTTAGGATTTGAGAGAGTCTCGAAAGTGCTTCGGAAAATGTTTTCTTTGCGATCCACGTGCATGGTGTTCTGATCGTGAAAACGCGCTCCTGTGATTAGTACAGCCAAATGCTCTTATATATACGTTAAAAATGAGTATGCACTATTTTTGCACTCAAGAACCCTTTTTTTCAAAAGAGATTTCAGATGTAAGTGTGTGTATATATATATATAACAGGAAGTGAAATAATATTGTTTTATGCCATTTTAATTTTTTTAATTCATTGATATGCATATATTTCAGCGATAAAATTTTTGTCGGCAGATTTTTTTTTTTTAGTGTATGTTTGCGTAACTATGAGATAGCCAATAACACCTTCTCTTATTCAAATGCATTCTTCGCAGTCTATACTTGAACAATGCTAGCCAGAAAACAAAGCGTCCGGGGAGAACCAATCCTCGCAGACTATGGACCTGATGAAAGCCTTAATGAAAATGCTGATATCGAGTGGGTTAACAAGGTAAGTATAGAGTTCATTTTAACAAATATATGTGACTTGTTCTCTTTGTTTCCCATGTTCCATAAATTTTTCACTCACACATAAGAATTAAAACGAGTGTGTACATATTGCAATTATAATAATCTTCGCATATTTTCATTGCCCACCCATAATAGCAGGTTTTTTTCCTGTTAACTTTGATGATTAATACCATAAATTACAGTAAACTAGAACATATTTATTCTGGCTGACTTTCCTTATGGGCACTATGTAAAATATAGCACAATGTTTAATCGGTGATATTTTCTTACAAGCCAAAATAACATGTACTCATTGGAAGAAATTATAATTAAGATGCCTATGTCAATAGAATCTTCTGCTGAAAGTTTAGTTTCATTTATACTTATTTTAATTGTTCTACAATCATAATCATAATTATCAATATGTGCCTACTTTACCAAATATGAAGCTGGCAGCATCGACGTAGCTGCGTACAAAAAGTGAGACATCTGAACTTCATGGAGAATTTAAAAAGTTATTTTGCTACAACACTTAAGCTGCTGTGTACTGCTTATGAATAAACTCACTCAGGTGAAGCATTTCTCAAACTAGCAAAATAAATGATTTACAACAAATTTTTTACTCAACTCTATTCAATGGTGTGTATTATCCAAGGTTGACTTATGTGCTGACCAATAATTGTAAGCACGGCACATCTCTTGGGAAATATCTAGGCGATGCAGAAACATCACGTGCTGGAACATATGACGATTCTTAGTTTTAAATTATTTATATTCTGCGATTGTGTTGACCTGCCTGTGCTGAAGTTTTCTGTTACATTTACCATAACTATTTAAATAGTATATGGGATTTGTAAATTATCATAAAAAATAACTGAATACAGAAAAGAAGTAACTTACTTCATATTTACTTATTCATAATGCGTGTATTGCTTCATTTGGCTGTCAACATTAAAGTGGGTGTGTACGATGGCAATGTTACTTTACCTTACCTTGCTTTCCCCATTTCACTTTTTTTTTAATTTCAAATTAACCTGTCAGTACCTACAGCATTTCACAAGGCTTCTGCAATGGTGGTAATCGAAACAAGCAGTGATGCAGTTTTTATTGATATGCTATGGAAAAAGAAAATGAGGACAATTAGGCCATCACAATGTTTTATTAGAAAATTATTACAGTGCCTATGTAATAATAAAGGCTCATCATACATGTAGCTGTTGTATATATAGATCTTTCAAACTTGTCTCAACACAAGAATAGATATAAACAATTGTGAAGATATCATACATTGGCATTTTATTGTTAATGCTGCTGTCATACTGATGTATTGCCTCTTTCCTTCTATGCTCTTTCTCATTCTTCTAAGCTGTATGATACAAAACAGTGGTTGTTTAAAACAACTTTGTCTGACCAACATTGTTTCTTTAGATGACTGCAGTTTATGACTTTTTGTCTAGGGTGAAATCGACCAATGCAAAACTATATTATTCAAGACAAATACAGTGATAGAACAGCTAATCCAAATAGTCTATGACTCATTATAGATGCTTACGATGTATTCGATGAGAGATTATTACTGTTCTCTTTGTAGTTCTAATATGCATACATAGTGTAATTACACATTCTCTGTTCGTGCTTAAATCGACCACAGCATCTTATTCTTTTTTTTTTCCTGTGTCACACCCAAATGTACAAATTTCAATGTGTTTAGTGTTAAACAAATTTCTAGCACTGATGGTACAATGCACCTTTAAATCTAACAGAATACCATGCGTGGTCAAGTTTTATTATTTAACTGTGTATCCCTTGACTGACTTCTGTTTAGTCAATGTTCAGAGGTGTTCTTTTCTTTCGTTATTTCATATTATTTTGACACTTTTTGACATTTCGTGCCTTGTTTTTTATTTGCTTTTGGCAGATTACGAGTGCCCATAAATTTGTTACAAAGTTCTCATGAACAGTTTGTAGCTGTTTGTGGGCGCTTTGAAAACAAGTGCTTCGATTCGAATTGAAAAGCTGCCTATAGCAATGCACGCGAAAGCTCGCTGATATTTTTGCCTCGGCCATCATGATTGCAAAGTGCCTTCTCCATCTATGCATGTGCGTGCATATTCGCTGCATTTTCTCTGTGCAGGTATGGGTGCGACGAGTACTGCGTATGTGTGCGCTTCTGTCCTTGGTTTCTGTCAGCCTCAACACCACACGAACGTTTGAGAAGCACCCGCCCCTTGTATACGTCACCTTCTGCTGGGACATCTTCGCCACTCTGCTCTTCACTGCAGAGATGATTGCCAAGATGCACATCCGGGGGCTCATTACGGTGTGTGCACTGTTATCAGTTGTACTTGCCAACCGAACAAGTTTAAGCAAATAGTCGATTTCTTGTGTATAACCCTTAAACAAAAGAGCTGAAGTAAAATTAAAAAAAATTGATATCCGGTTTGCAAAGGTGGCTTCATGGCACTGCTTAAAACTGCAAAAAAGCTAACTTTGTGGGAATGCGTGGGGGTTGTTATTAAAAAATTTCCTCCCAATCGTTGTTGAGTGTGCGGATTATACGCGAGAAAACAGGATATGTTTTATAGTACCAAGATCAATGAACAATATAAAAAGAGATGGCGCACATACAAAAATACCTTAGGGTGCACTAAAACAACTGCTGTATTCTTGCTCAACTTGCACATTTGCCTTTGCAGTTGTAACTTGATATGTGGCTGCATACGTGATTTCGTCATGCACATTTATGTAGTGATTCTTGGCAGTGTATATAAAATTACCACCTTGTATATTCGTAATGCTCAGTACAATGACAAAATGTGTAAGTTGCTCAGATACATTGTCCAGCTGCTACATAACACGACAGTTTTTTGTTCTTGTCCTCTCATTCATGGTGGCACCAGAACAAATGTCAATTAAGGTGACCTCATTTGATTTGTGAAACAATTTTATGAGGATTCAAATACTTGAAGCTGTTCAGTGCTCACTAGAAGATTTGAAAGTGAAAAGCTGTTCATGAAATGATGCATGCACAGCATGATTTTATTTATTTCAATCATTTTGCCATTGCTTCCGACTTTGCATTTTCATAAAGCACGGTCTAAAAGCTCTATTTTTGCTAATTATTTGTACTTCCCCACTTTTTTTTTTTTTTCAGGGAGAGTCACCCTACCTGAAAGACCGGTGGTGTCAGTTTGATGCCACAATGGTATTTTTTCTTTGGATATCAGTTATTCTTCAGGTGAGTCACATGAAAATGGTTCTGAACTTTACCGTGTATCTAACTATAATGTAAATGTAATCCTTGTGGAGAACAAAAATCTGATCGTTTTGCAGTAGTCAGTTGTACGTAAGTGTAGTCCAAGCTTATATTTCTGCAGCGCCAAACTGCAACTCTTGTATATGCTTTCATGTAGTGGGAATTTTCAAGGCAGTCCGACAGAAATCTCTGTGTACTTGAGCAAGCATGGTGCTTGAATTTTGTAACACTGTTGGTGTGCTGCAGAAATAGTTGCATTTTCCAGAAAATAATATTTTCTGTGTTGAATGCGTGTTTTTGGAATTTCAGCAACAGAAGATCAAACCTTGGTTTTGTGTTTTTATTGGCTGCCATTAAACCAAATGTGTTATAAACTATCAGTGTCAAGCAGAAGTCCTATGAAATATGATTTATTTTTATAATTTTACCGCAAACCGAGTCTGATGGCCTGGCACTTTCACATATGATGGTCACTCCCTGAAAAGTGCTGACAGCAGTATGTGTGCATTGAATATAAACAGGTCTGATTGGAATCTGCTCAAGCGTTTGTCTATATTTTGCTCAGTAGAGTTCCAGTACCTCGTGTCACTTCACTGCAAAATCCCATGACTATCAAAAGTAGTCATTTAATCACAAAATAAAATCACTTTAGAAATTATGATTACATACTTTAGTCAGCACACACGGATTAAAGCATGAAAATAACAGCTAGGTAATACATTAACCCTAATTTTCAGCACCTACAGTTCATGCCATGTCAGGTTTAATTTTGACTCAAACGATTAAATCAAATCTAACATCAACTTTAGTAACCAGAGTTGCTGCTACACAGTGCAATTATCACCAGCAAATGCTCTTAGCAGTCGTTATATAAAAAAAATGATGTCGCATTTTCATCTGTGAGTACTGCATTTATATGAAATGTTGTGGGAGGCTGAATTGCTGACATAATACTGTTGCTTTCACGTGATCTGTGTTATGTTTGTTAGGGGGTTATTGGTCTTTTTAATTGATAAATGTTAACAAGCTATAGTTGGTGTCTACAAGTGACTGGTTGGTCTAAGTTCATGGTGGCAAAATTCACAGCACAAAAACATATGAAAAATGGAACAGAGTAGAAAAGGGCGCTGTGCTTTTTTCTACTCTGTTCCATTTTAGTGATGTCCTTATGCTGTGAATTTCGCCATTATGATTTAGGTATTGCTAAGGGGTCTGTGCTGCGTGTTGTTCCTCTTGCGTTTTTTTAAGATGGTGGTTAATTTTTTTGTTGTAAATCATTTTACAGAATCGATATTTTTAATCACCTTTGTACTTTAACTAAGGTTCTAAACCTCTGGCATTGGTAGTATTGTTTGTTCAATAGACACATATTCTTGTGCAGCTTTTGTATGTGCTTTAGCACAGATCAGAGAGGTAGCTAGGTAATTTGATGAAGATGCATACTGATGATGAATACCATCTCTGGCTTCACATTGCAGGTTTTCGAAATCACGGAAGTGGTTCCCAAGTTTTCCTACCTGTCCATCCTGCGAGCTCCTCGACCTCTGATCATGATCCGATTCATTCGAGTCTTCCTCAAATTTTCAATGCCAAAGTCCCGAATCAACCAAATTTTCAAGTGAGTAGTGAAAGTCTGCATTTAATGAGGATAGCCATTGTACAGATCATTCATAAGTGCTCGTGTTTCTGTGTTTGTCATCTCAAATCATCTTAATATCTTTAAAAGAAGGTAACTAAAGCCTCTGCACATCATTATGCAGTTTTAACACATTGTAAAAAATTTATATTGGAAGCAGTTTATATAAATGCAATTTTACTAAAGAAAATGTTGGTTTCCTAAGCTATCATCATCTCACCCTAATTACTCCCAAAAGCAAAGAACATTGTGCTTGTCTGCACTGACTTTCAAATTGACCTTTAGTGACTAAAGGAACCTTTAGCAAAGCAAGAAAACTGCCGCAGCCAAAGCAACAGTTTCATAGAGTGGCCAATTATACTAAATTAAATTACCTTACTCAGATAAAAAAGAAGAGCTTCAATGACATATAGGACTAGGTGCAAAGACGCACTTTGTTTTGTGTCTTGTGCTGTTTTTTATCGATGCTGCTTTCTTGTAACCTGTGTTGTGCAACTGCAGTGTGCCCCAGAGCTTTACCTCTACGTATGGAGCACAGCATGTTAGACTTTCACTTCACTTGCGTGCTAAACTTACGACTTCACTTCCACTTATGCACTAGACATAGTGTGCAACATGCTGCTATGAATAGCTTTATAAAAAACATTTGTCTAGCGGCACATGCAAGATTAAGCTTTTCAAAAACAGATATGTTATGGCTAGTTATGGTAGTTTTTAAGTATGCAACCATAAACTGAGTGAAATACGCACTTCTGTGTAAGCTAAATGTACAAGACTCTACCGAATCCAGTTTCTTTCGTGACAATGTTGTTCTGAGATTTATGAGTGCCAGTGTATTAGAGCATTTTAAATCATGGAATTCACAGTATAATTAGCAAATTGTACATGTAGAAGCAAATTTTGAGATGAGCATGGACCATAAACTGAATTTTTGCTGTTTATTAAAACACAGGTGATGCGCTTTAATATGGCCATTTTATCTAAGACATACGGAGGCCGCCATCTCAGGCTAGCCAATGTTTTCACATTTTTGTATATTGCGACTTGAATTAATAAGGCTATGAAACATCGTATGCACCAATCCAACCATTTTTATGTGCATGGATCTACCGTAACACTGTTTATCTAGTTGTTGAGGATGCGAAGCACAAAGGTTAACAAGGCCAATATGGCTGCCCTGAAACCCATTTGTAAAATACTAGTCAATACTGTCCTCACAAATGACAACTTGTTTAGTGCACAAACACTATACCACTGCTAATCGAACTGGCTTGTTTATGCTCCTTGCAGACGATCAAGCCAGCAGATATACAATGTGACATTGTTCTTCCTGTTCTTCATGTCTCTATATGGTCTGCTGGGAGTACAGTTTTTTGGCGAGATGAGCAGCCACTGTGTTAGAAATGGAACGATTGCAGAGTGAGTGCACTAACCATTTTAAAGGGACACATACCTGTTAACTGAGGAAAGTACGATCAGTCTTCTCATTTTGTGCAACGTTATTTTAAAGGGGCCCTGCTTCACTTTTTGAGCATGGTCAGAAAACACAGCCGATCCGTAGTCGAGGCTCCTGAGAAAATGCAAGCCAAATATTATAGCGCAGCACACGGCCTAGAATTCACAATAAATTGTCAAAGTCAGTTCAAAATTTCTTTCTTTTTCTCTCGACAAATGATGATACAAGCTCAAAAATCACTCATCACAGTCATTCTATCAGCCATTGGTTGATTTGGGAATGGCGCGCTTGTTCGTTGTTCGAGTCGCCACGGGAGGCCGCATGCATGACGTATTTTCTCTCCCCATGCCATTCCTCCCTGCTTAGCTTCCAGTGTTTTTGTCGGGATGAGAGAAAAGAGAATGCAATTGCAGCCTCTGACAGATCTTTGTAATTCCGCCAGTACTGGACGGATTCTAAAAATTTTTGCGAAGGTGAATTCGTTAAGCAATAAGCTTCTTTAGTGAATCCATTTCATGGCTACTTGAAAAAGTGTTGCAGGGACCTTTTAAGGGTGGCATCACTCACAGCTCTTCTGTGGATGACAGATGAAGGTGGAAGTGTCACTGAAGGCCACTTGGAGGTTTGTCTTCTTCAAAACAAAACTACCTGGGAAATCTGAACAGCAAGTGTGTTTCCCTGAAGATAAAAAGAAGTTGCTTTGTCAAAAAACATTTGCTTCTGTAGTATTATTTGTATGTACCAATGCTCACCATGTGAAGTCTCCATCATTTTGCAAATTTTTCTTGTGTTTTGTATTCCTTTCGTCTGGGTGGTAAGCACTGTAAACTATGGTATTCACACAAAAGGTCTACAATTTTATTAATTTCCTTGTTGATTCTTATGTTAGTTATTTTCCTCCCTCATCATTGAACGATAATTTTTAAACCTTACAGTCCTCCTCTTAATTTAAGGCAGTAGCGATTCTGTGTCTATGCAATAACACTAGCAGCAGAACCACTTCTTGTTAATGGCAGCAATAAGCGTTTCTTCTTCGATAGTCTGAGATTTTGTTAGTCCCCATGAAAATATATATTATCGATGTTATATTTGTTTTCTGTTAAATAATTACTTTTTGGAAACATATTCATTTTAGTGCTAAAAGGACTAACACATGAAGACCACAGGACATGTACTTCTGACAACTGGTTTATTGCAATGGATTGCAATAAAATATAGTATAGCAAGGTTATGTGCAGATAGACCGAGCGCATAGCTAGACATTGTGACTCATTTTTTTTAGTTGCAACCCATTGCAATAAACTAGTCATGAGTGGTGCCTGTCTTGTGGTAAGTGTTTACCCTTTTAACAAAAGCATATATTGTTTGACGAACATTTATATTGTTTGACCAACTTTCAAAGAATTTTTCTTAATCAGGCTTTTTGATATAGAACAACAATTTCGCACACCTTTCAATTTATGACTATGGAAGGAGGGATGCCTTTGTTCATAAGCAATAAGCGTTTCTTCTTCGATAGTCTGAGATTTTGTTAGTCCCCATGAAAATATATATTATCGATGTTATATTTGTTTTCTGTTAAATAATTACTTTTTGGAAACATATTCATTTTAGTGCTAAAAGGACTAACACATGAAGACCACAGGACATGTACTTCTGACAACTGGTTTATTGCAATGGATTGCAATAAAATATAGTATAGCAAGGTTATGTGCAGATAGACCGAGCGCATAGCTAGACATTGTGACTCATTTTTTTTAGTTGCAACCCATTGCAATAAACTAGTCATGAGTGGTGCCTGTCTTGTGGTAAGTGTTTACCCTTTTAACAAAAGCATATATTGTTTGACGAACATTTATATTGTTTGACCAACTTTCAAAGAATTTTTCTTAATCAGGCTTTTTGATATAGAACAACAATTTCGCACACCTTTCAATTTATGACTATGGAAGGAGGGATGCCTTTGTTCATCACGCATAATTTCACTACAGCATGCTGACACAAAACTTGACCATTTGCATTAAAGCAATACTAAAACTTTTGCAAATAATTTCAAAGAGTGCAGAGTGGCATTGCAAGTTTTGTTGACCATAAATTCACTTTCAAGTCCCAATGCTATCCAGATTCCGTGAAGGATGCATTACTATACAAATAGTACATGTTAATTTTTACCACATACTGTTCTACCATTTTAGTGACATCTGGTCTTGCAAGCATTTACACAATCTACTTGCATTTATCAGAATGTGACTATCACTGCCAGAGACCAAACGTATGACATTGAGCTCAACAGCTGAACGTTATATATAAATGGATACCACGTGTAATATAATTGTAGCATATCTTCAGCACGCTGCCAACCAGTATCACTACTATCACTCGACACAAGCACGTCGGTACATACACTGTCATCATAAACAAAAATGTACCTACACATGAAAGTTGATGATTGATAGAGTTAACACCCTGAACTAATATAAGTACTATGATAAACATAATATTGGAAAGTTCAGAAGTTAATTTAGAAATCTAGTGATTTTTTAGTGCATGCCAGGAGCTAAGTGAATGAGTGTTCTTCGCACTAAATCTTCATCCGAGTTTGGTTGATGTTACCAGGAAGCTCAATCTTTTGCCTTGAATCGCTGCTTTTCTCTCTAGTTTTTTTTAAACACATTCTGCCTAACATTACAGTGCAGGGCTGAAACCAGATATTTATTTTCCGGTTTACATCCCTGCCTTTTTGCGTTACCTTTCTCTCTCTCTTTCTACAGTGTGTTCATCACATAGTGTGAAATTGATGTCCTTGTAATAGGCAAGAAAGCCCTATAAACCCGTCATAAATATGCTTTATGTCATTGTCTCTGAGCCACGTTTAACGACAATTGCAATTACAGCTTATGGATGTACACATTCACATTAGGAGTTCCAAACTTCTTATGCTGTGCCATGATGGGTAAGACTGCATAGCCATAAACTTGTGGTGTCCTTGCAGGAAGGTCACGCTGAATGACCTTGCAGTGCCAGACGCCTACTGTTCAATGGACAAAGAGTCCGGGTATGAATGTCCTCAGGGAATGGTGTGTATGGATCTGAATCTTCCAAAGAGCATTTCTGGGTTCAATGGCTTCGACGATTTCGGTAGGTTCTCCCTCCTCTAATCTTCTCTTTCTTTCCAACTAGTGTTTCACTAATTTTGTGTGATTGTTTAAGTCAGTTTATTAGGGAAAAGTGTTTGGCCTTTGAAAATATGTGCACATCTTTGACAACTGTGCGTAAACCAAAATATCAGAACATGTTATTAGCAAACACATAAAGTGCATCAGGTGAAATAATGAAAAAAACAAGGGAGGTGTCTTTTGCTTATGTAAATTAATGTGGATGCAAAAATCACATGTAATTCAATATTTAAATTATGTGGCTTTTGATGCATAATGGCACAATATATGTAATAATGGTGCAATAGAATTTTCAGGGCAATGATGATATAAAGACATCTGAGCATGCAGTCACTGCTGGTTTATAAACAGCACATGCTAAATTTAATTAATCAATTCACTTAAATGCTCAGATCAATTTCAAACAAAGTCAAGATTAATATTGCTAGTCATCTTTTCTGCTCTAAGTAATGTAGTTACCTCTTGAAAGTTATAGCACTCTGAAAGAGTAATATCATGGCATATTTATGGAAAATGCATTAACAAATTGATAGTACCGTAGTAAATTCATAAAGTAACACACACACACACGCACACACACACGCATACGCACGCACGCACCCACGCGCACACACACTCACACACACACACACACACACACACACACACACACACACACACACACATATATATATAAAAGTGTCTCAAACTGACAAAAAAGACTAAGACCTGCGTGGAAAGGGCAGCAGAGTATCAGCAAAAGCTGGAAGAGCGGCATGTTTTAAACTCTCTTGGGGCTACTTATACAAGTATACAAGTACAGTTGCAATGTATCCACTAAGTTATAAATCGTAATTTTTGTCAAGTTGAAAACCACCCCCTACCACATTATTCATCATTCTGCTGAGAGGCGAGGTACCCGCTATGCATTTGCACATGCACTTTGTTAATGCGGTGGTTGATGACAAAGAATTATGGCTGGGCCTTTTGTAATGAGTTGGAAGTATTCAACAACCCACTCGTTACATATCTAGTATTGTGTGATGCCCCATTGCATAATTTGCATTGTGTGACAGTTAGTTGTACCATATATTATGCAGTAGTGGGTGCATGCAAGAAATACTGTCAAAACACTCTCAAGGGTTCTTACAGAGAGGGTTATAAAGAAATAAAAGAAAAAAGAACAAGATTCACAAATATACACAAACACATAATGATGTAATTAAGTAAAGATAGTAAAAATATGTGTTTTTTTATTACAGGCACAATAACATATAGTACAATATTTAATTTCTGTCATTTGTACTGCTTAGTGCTAGATATGACTTTAAATGCATGGCAAGTATGTTTGCTGTGTTCAGATTGAAAATGAATAATAAGTTATGCTGACACTAAGAATATTCTGCCTTTTGTAATCTCTTCTTTTGACACTGCAACTGTAGTTATATTGACAAATTTCAGTCAATGCATACGCACATGTACAGGAGAGATGGTAAGAAACACGAACAGAGTGACGTGCTGTGTTAATCACTCTCTGACCTCGGTGGCAATAAAACTATGCTAGAATAACACTTGATCATATCATGGATCACGCTAGTGGCTCTTTATAACCACCCAGGCTACAGCCGCTTTAGAAGAAATGAGAAACGGCAGAGAATGTAGGTGCCACCCTTCTTTCCATCCCCACTGTACATATTATCTCACAGTTGATATCATATGCCACAAAAATTAGCAACTTGTACGTTTTTATGCATCACATTGCTTATATGTAATAGTCTACAGTAGGCATTTTTGTGCTAAAGAGTCCTTCAAAATTATTTTGTGGTGATAAAAATACCTCCAGTAAAATAACAAAAATTAAATTGCAGTGATAATTTATCAACTATGGATGCGTACTTGAGATAGCATCTAAAGCCACAAGCTATAAGCATTATTTTGACTAGGTTAAGAAAAGCTTCTGCTCTTTAGCACTGACATGTAAAACGATTGTTAGACCACTATTAGACAACTCTGGCAAGTTATTTCCTGTGAGTTATTAAACACATCTCACAAGCTTCTGCTTTCTAGTGATGAGCTTTGCATTGCAAGTCACTTATGACAGCCACTTCCGAATGCGCACTTGGGAAGTGCTGAGGTATTCCAATCTTCTTCAATGTTCTTCATTGCAGCCCATAGTTTTTTTACGGTGTACCAAGCAGCCTCCCCCGAGGGATGGGCCATTCTCATGTACCAGGCCATGGATAGTCTTCCAGCGTGGAGAGCCACTTTCTACTTCACCACCATGATTTTCTTTCTCGCATGGTTGGTCAAGGTGAGTCCGATGTGATTCCATTCCTACACATACTGTGCCTACTATGTCATAAGCAACAGCCACCTTTTATCTGTGAATGAAGTATTTCATGACAAAATTTATTGTGGAATAAATATGCCTTCCACAGTAGCGTGCATTGCATGCAATGTCATCTCTCACTCCTTTTGTTAACTTTACTTATGATCAGGAGTGCCTTTCTCTACTTTTCTTTGCAGAATGTGTTCATTGCGGTCATCACAGAAACATTCAACGAGATTCGAGTACAATTTCAGCAAATGTGGGGAGAAAGGGTACAAATTCAAACTGAATCAACACCTCAGGTGAGAAGTGCAGCATTTTATGGTGAACACATAAAAAGAAATCTTGTGCTGCAAAATTATTCTTTATAATAAAGCAATTATTGAATAGATGCATGAAAGACAACGTAATTTCACATTCCTAATGATGGATTCTTCATGTAATTTATCAAGTAAAGTACTTTCAACATTTTTTTATTGTCAATTACAATTATGGTGATATGCTTTATTAGTTAACTTGATTCTGGCACTCCCTGATCTTCAATATGAACACAATTTTCACGGTAAAAAATTAGAAATGTGGCACTGCTCATAATTGTGGCACACAGTCTGATTTTCATAATTAATAAAAAACTAGTCCAATGCATTTAAATACTTTTTACTGAATTTTTATAAAAGTTAACTAATGGGTGTTTAATTTTTTGTGCCTAGAAAGAGACAGTACTGCTTCATTGCATCTGAGCCCTAGTACACACCTGGCATCATGTCATTATTGTCAGTAAATGGCTTGCATACTATAACAATGTCAGGAACTTATACACTGTTCACACATCGTAGCTCTGCTGTGGGGATGTGGATAGGCTTAGATAACAGCGATTTCTAATGGCAATCAAATCGGTCCTATCCCGTTGCTGTACTGGTTCCATTCTCAAGTCTACAACACGCGTATCATGTTGTAGTAAATTATCTCGGCAAAACCAAGCACTTACTATATTTGGTCAAGTAAGTACAACCTAAGCTTTACCACCTATGTCAGTCTCTGCGAGAGGTGGGTGCTCATGCACAGGGTTTGGAAGCGTTCTTTTATCATAAAAGTGTTTTGTGCCAAAATCCATCGAGACTTCGTCGATGTCATTTCTGTCACGTAAGTCACATCAGTAAAATGTACACGACAGATGACAGAAAAACTAGATATTTTGTTTATGCGGACGACCTGGTAGTCAAACTCACGACCTTCGCGACGATAGGTGCCGAGAGCTCTACCCACTGTACTACCAATGCACATAGACGAGTTGTCACAACCGCCGTTTATGTGTCCAGTAAACAATTAACTGTACTGCCGTAAAGACTAGGTTAACTTTTGTGTTATAGCAATTTCTTTGACAGAATAATCAACCATGTTCTTTTCTTCTGGGTTCCGCCTGTATGTCTAAACAAAGAATCTTGAGAAGCGGAGAAGTGAAGGAAAATAAGGAGCTACCACGACTACATTGGGTGATGATCTTCTATGTGTACCTGTGTAGAAAGCAGTATACGGTAGACGCTTTGAGGCTGCTTAGACTTCAGCACTTGATCCATAGCAGTTATAATTGCCGGACAGTGCAAAGATAGCTACGCTTAGTGCTTCTAGTACAGTGCACCAGCTTTTATATTAGTCATCGGTACATGCACAAAGCGTTGAACCACTAGCTTGTGCACAGCAGTGCTCAGTCGGGTTGCTGCACTGCTCTGTGATAAGCTGTGTTTAGTCAATTATAATGCTCCCTCTGCTGTAATGTGATCCCAATTTTTCCAGCCATAAATAAAAGTACATTGTTAATCTGTAACGCACATCCTGGTTTGCATAATAAACAGCAACAACAAAAAGAAATGTAATTGGTGTCTCAGGTCAGGTAGTTTTCAGCAATTTATTTTTAAATATCCCACTGTATATTTATTATTTGTTTGTGTGGGTGCATCATCTATAGGATGCTTAACAAACAAATAATGTTATGTTGCCCCTTTGTTCTTTCAAAGGCTTTACATATTATTGCACAATTTGTACAAATTTTAATTCACCACTAGAGTGAAACCAAGAAACATACAACTTCCATATCAGGAATGCTGTTTGAAACATTTTTCAATTTTCCAGAGATTTGTGACTGCCAGCATGCTGTACTAGTACTGGAGTTTCGTACTGTGGGAGCATTCAAAACTTGCATTCTGAAAATTGAACATGACAAGGCTCTTCATGCATTTTTAAAATTATTTTTGATATAGTTACAGTAACGAGATTATGTGCCTGAAATTGCTCCATCACCCTACAGAACCTGGCATTATTGAAGACGCTCAGAAGCAGTGACATAAGCTATGGATCCACATGCTCTCTTATATACCTAGCAGTTTCCTATGAGAGGTGGAGGGATTTAATGTGCATGTGTATAACCCACTACGGTACCGGACTTTTTGCCTAAAAACACAACCCTTGTTTTTCCCCGAACAATGCACCAAAACAATATAGGTGAGGTTCTTCAATGTTGAGGTTGCTACAGGCAGTAACATAACAGAGCTTTCCCTACTGCGACTATGGCTAAAAGGTGTCAGCGTAGTGCTAACATAAAATATTTTTCTTTGTAGTTTAAACACACTCGATAACTGTTTAAAACACCTCGATTCTGCATCTGTGCATCAATATGCATCATGCTGGCTAAACTGTTCTGTACCAACACGTGAGATTTGTATTCTATGGAGGGTCAGCCAGATTAGGCACAGTTGATCAGACCTATACGTTACCTATCTATACGGAGCTTGTACTGTATGGTGCCCAGTTATATAATGTCTTGCTTGTGACCTCCTCCATGGGGTTACTACTTGATCGTGACTAGCTTCCTACACGTGCAGGTGCTGAAAGGGGACGACTCTGGCTGGAAGCTGGTTACGGTAGACGAGAGCAAAGGCCGTGGTAAAGCTCCGCGATGCCTTCAAGTGGCCATCCACTCGGCTGCTTTTCAGGTCATTGTCATGATGGTGAATGTGGCGAATGCCTTTGTGGCCGCAAGCATTTCCTTCGTGCACGACGAGCGACCACGGGAGGACTTTTTCAAGACTTACTATTTTGCCGAGGTAATATACATTCCACTGTTCCGACAGGCGCCCACTTTATGTGTACGTCAAGCTACAGGTTTTTGCTGCTATCCCGAGGAGTCCAGTGACTACTTAACTCTTTAATGGACACTGTTGCTCATCTGCCATAAGAATTACTGCAAAAATGTGAACACAGTCAGTTTTGCGATGTTTCAATGTAGCAAAAAAACATTGATTTTATAGTGTCAGCTTTATCATGCTTTTCTGTTGCCGTATTAGTACCTACTTCTGCGAGAGTTTTGAAGTAGTCAGTAAAAACTACAACAGCAATAACAAGGTGATTTTCTTTTCAGAAACAGATTGTTTGCATCGGCATACATAGACAGTGAGGAAACCTACAGTTATACAATGGTTTATTAAATAAAGATATTTAACTTATCAATAATAATTCAAGACAAATGTTGCAATAGCATAATCATAACTGTTTGATGCCACCCACTTTGTGAGCACCAGTTTCGATAACATCTTGAAACTGTTGTTGCCTTTGTATTAGAAACATTTGAATGATTCTCCGTCAGTTTCGAGAATATGTCAATACTGATTGATTGACATGCACTCATATAGGCATTGGTATACCACTAGCTGTTCAACAAAGTTTTTCTTGTACACTGTGGCACAACAGGATGCCACTGTACTTCAAGAGAAAATTGTTGAAATAAATGATCTCAGGCTAGGCTTCAAGTAAAGCAGACATAACTATAGCCAGCACCGATTTGCTTTGCTTCTACAATTGTTGCTCGCACAACAAAGGTGATAATGTTAAAGCCTTATAGTACATCTCATACAAATATAACCTCGAATGAAAAGCTGCGTGAGCGTGAACTATTCAATTTGTGAAAAAAATCTTTTGAGCGTGAGCGTATTCAATTTGTGAAAAAAATCTTTTTACTTAAATGGATGTTTGCGTGATATAAAGTGCATGATAAGATAGCCACACCAATTGGCTGTTGCCTTCAAGTCATCTCAGCCAAATGCATAAGGGGCTTTGTGAATTTTCACCTAAAAGGTACAAGTTTATGATGCTTAATTTCATATGAAAATGCAACCAGCAATTACTGCACCTCTGATGTTCACAATCGCAAATAATTCATTAGCAAACAAAGCATGTGTACTTGGTGGACAGGCTTCAGGAGTTAAATGAAGACTACTTGAACACGCTCACTATGGGTGCTTTACCAGGTAGATTTACAATAGACATGTAGAAGTTTTCAGATAATATATTTAATAACAGGGAGAATGGGGCATCAGTAAAAGCATTAAGCATGGTTATAAAATTGTAACCATAGCTATAAAATTATTGCTTGTATATGTGATGACTGTGGTGATGCACCATCACACGTTTCTGTATTTGAGCATAATTACCTTTGATGACATGCTAACATTGCCCTACTCACTTGTTACAGATTGGTTTTACAATATTCTTTGATTTGGAGGTACTCCTGAAGATTTGGTGCCTTGGTTTTAATGGCTACATTAAGCGTTCCCTGCACAAGCTCGAGTTCATCCTCGCCATTGGGACTACACTGCATCTCATCCCCGACTTCTTCACCTCTGAGTTGACATATTTTCAGGTGCGCTGAGATTCACGTCATGGGTGACGTCATGCACCTTACTTGCTGATACTGTTAACCAGGGAGGATAGTAATAGTGAATTTTGCTGATACATATAATAAAAATCATTGAAAATATTTAACTCGAAAAATGAAACATGTCAGAATGGCACGTAGCTCTGGGCATATATGGGAAGTGTAATGTAATGTGGAAGTGTAATTAATCTTGAAGAATATAGGTCAGATTTAGCTTGATTAGTTTGAAAATGATTAAAATGCTGCAATTGATGGACATGATACTAATAGATTATATTAGTATTGAAGCTTCATAAAAATTTTCCTATTTCAAAAATGCAAGAATGAAAACTGTTATAGCAGTTAAGCTGATATTGTATCATGCAAGAATTAAAATGATTACAGCAATGAGCAACAAACTGAAATTTACGCCATTTGCTTATTTGCCAACAGACGTTAACAGTCATGTCATTTTATTATACAGGTTTTGAGGATTGTCAGACTTATCAAAGCATCACCAGTGCTTGAAGACTTTGTTTACAAGGTAAGATATGCCTCTTTTATTTCTTATCTAGATGACAAAACAAGCTGACATGCTCAGTTTATGTAAAAAGATTAAATTTGTATTCAACATACAAAAAAAAAGGTTGTAAATGTGTCATTGTATGTGTGTTTATAGCCACAGTTCAAGTTTCGCTTGTTTTTTCAGATTTTCGGTCCAGGCAAGAAATTGGGAAGCCTTATAATATTCACCATGTGTTTACTGCTAATCACATCTAGCATCAGCATGCAGTTATTCTGCTGCCTTTCAGACTTCATGAAATTTGAATCATTTCCAGAGGTAAGCTGGAGGAATAAAGTATATAATTGTATGATTCATGAAATGATGTTCAACTGATTGGTTGATTAGTTTGTGTCAATTTAGGCTAGTTAGGTTATGCTGGAGAAAAATATTGATGGAATAGCTTGTACATCGTGGATAGGTTATTTTTTCGCACAAAGTGTTTTGAGTCATCTGTGAAGACTAATTCACCTTGGCTACACAGGTCATTGCAATAAATGTTTTGTTTTGATAAATAGTGCTGCATTTCACTTCAGAAGTACCGGCTTCATAGAGCAGGTAGTATAACAGACAGTAGATATGGCGGGATAAGAAATACCATTGCCAACATTGCCGAACACTCCAGTTAGGCCACTCTTAATGTATTCCTTGGGATTAAGGTACAATTGCTGTTGAGCAGGGGTGTTTGTGCAGCACAGCTTCCATGTCTAGCTTTGTTGTATACTGATTTACATACAGATGAGCATGGAGTTGAAGTATGGTTCCTTTCACCAAGAACTTTGTAACAATTTAAGTGCTCATTCAGTGTGAAGTTGATGCGTAAATCTGAATGAACTCATTTTTCTGTCTTTTTTCTTCAGGCATTTATGTCGATGTTCCAAATCCTCACTCAGGAAGGCTGGGTTGAGGTGATGAACGAAACGATGTTACGAACAAGCAAAACGATTGGCCCACTCGTGGCCATTTATTTCATCCTCTATCACCTCTTCGTGTCTTTGGTAAGAAAACAAGTGCCCTGAATCAGGCAGAAGTGCATGGTATTTTTGTGTGCACTGAAAATTCTGCGCTGTTTTCTTCTCTTAGATTGTGCTCAGTCTCTTTGTAGCTGTCATTCTCGACAACTTGGAATTAGATGAAGACATAAAGAAGCTTAAACAGGTACGTGACCCACAGTCAACTCTCGATAGGTGCTGTGCAAGCTGTCTGTATAAAGTTATATAATTAAGTCTGAGAGCAAGTGATGCTGCTGGCAGTAAGTTTGCCGACTGGTATAACTTTCTTTTAAGAAGTAGCTCAAGATATGTGGTAATGTGAATTTTCATGCCAGTTCTTTGTCAAATTGCTGCTAATAATGGCAACTGTTTGCATGTTTCAGCTGAGAGCGAGAGAACAAAGTGCGGGCATCACTGATGGCTTACCTATACGGCTCCGCTTCTTTGAAAGGTTTGCCGATAGTCCACAAATGACCCGACTCCATAGAGCACCCTCGGAGTTTGGCGTGCCCAAGGTAAGTCTCATATACTTGCTTTGTGACTGCAAAATTCATGCCCTGCCCAGCTGAACGCTGTGCTGAGTTACTGAATGAAGTAGTTTTAGTACTTTTGAAGCAAGCATTGTGCTGATAATAATTGACAGAACCATTTCCTGTTCTGCTTACAGCCCTACTTTGCAACAATTTCTCGTTGGGCCCATGTCATGACATTGTATTAATGAGTGCTCAGGTTCAGTTATTTATGTTTATTATGTTAAACGTTTTTACTCAGGGAGACATTAAACAGTTCCTAAACACTACAGGCCAGCAGGTGGCACGTTGTGCCGTACTTTTCTTTTTGAAGCCCACACAAGAAAATGCCAGATATGTGCATCTAAACAGTCAAGATTAAAATGAGGACATAATTGAGACGGTTGTGTAAGAGTCAATTTCACTCTACGGATGTCAAACCTTGTAGCTTACTGCAGTTATGTAGGTGTTATAAATTGGTGTTTCCGTGGCCACTAGAATAAAGGTAATTTATTAAATTATGAGGTTTTATATCTCGAAACGGGTCTCTTGCATTTGACCTCTGTCAAAATGTGGCAGCGGCAGCCAGGATTCAATGCCACGACCTTTGAGTGAGCAGTCAAGCACCGTGACCACTGCTGCAGGTCACTGGAAGGAAGCTAAGCATTCTATGTGTGCTCTCTATGCTGTGGGTCACAATTACGTCGGTTTGGGCATGTTGGTATGACATAACCAATGAATTCTGAGTGCACAAACAGACGAGGACAAAAAACACGTATTACACACAAGCGTCAACATCCAACACTTTATTGAAGCTAGGGGAACAGAATATATAAGATGTTCTCCTCCTCTGGCTTCAATAAAGCGTTGGAAGTTAGCACCTGCGCGTTATATGTGTTTTCTGCCCTTGTCAGTTTGTTCGCTTAAAGTTTATTGATACTGTGGCTTGCTTCAACAGTGGCATTAAGTTTTAAAAGGGCCAAGAATTCAAGGCCAATCAACAAATCACTGTAGTCCCGCTCAAGTGAGTTTTTGGAGCCATTAATGGTTAGCTCTGTTGGTCCTATAAAGCTGTGAATGTACTGTGGCATGGCACTGCCTCTAGGATTGGCTTGCATTATAAATTACGTCAGAGACTGTGAGGGAATCATCACGCACTGTTATAACTATTGCCAATGAAATGACTGCCGTCGGCTAGACTGAACCATGGCCTACCTTTGATTGCATTGTCTGTGATTAGTCCTGTTTAGCCAAGGATTGAAAGCTGAAAAGAATAAAAAAACTTGACCTCACCACGTGCATTTTAGAAATAGCTGTGAAGAGACGACACTTCTGCACACATTTTATGCGCACCATTACGCAATGTGCCCAACTTCAACAAACCTGAGATTTCCCGTACTTTTACCCGATGGTGCTTTGAGTACAATTTTTAAGGCACTTAATACTTTCGTAAATCTTTGCTGGTACAGTGTAGCTGTGCTTTGTAGCACTTTGCCATGTACAAGTATTTGTGCCCAGGTTCGGGAGAGCTTTATGCGTCAGTTTGCGGAGGAGCTGCCCGAGGAGTGCTCGGAGCTGAAGAAGGCGGCCGCTGCCGATCTACCCGAGAACCTAGTGACATACCGCAAAAAGCCGCCCATTCACCTGCTGTCCTCACCGAGCAAAGGCCGCAATGCTGCCAGTCTACTTAAGAAAGTCAGCGTCACCAGCATTGTTCTGTAAGCCCAACACATTTTATATTGTGCAAAAGCTTTCCAGCTATATGCTTGGTGTGAGTTTCACAGCTACAATGACAGGCAACAGAATAATTTTGAAAGCGCTTAGCATTAAAATTTTATGTAGCATACGATTGACACGTGGTGGGAACAATAAGAACCCTGCTGGCTTTATTAATGCGCATTTATGCCCAACTCTGAGCTGATAATATTAATATGCAGCAGTTTTTGATCCACAATTCAATGTGGCTATTATGTAGATAGAGTACAAATAAATTGAGTCAACTCTTTTCTATTATCGTATGTGTAGATTGTCACATTATGACGAGTCTTGCGATCCTGCATGTCGCCATTTCAGCGTGAATATCCACACATTTGAAAATGTATGCTCTTGCAGCTAGGTGGATTTACTGGTTCTTTTTAATGCTAGCTGGCTGAATGGAGGTTCATATAAACATTAGCAGTTTTAGTGATATTAGAGTGGCTGTCAACACGGTGTAGACATGGTGCTGCATCTCTGCCCTACACGAAAACCCTCATCCCGTGAGTACAGGTATTGAAAGTCACGTGGAATGATGTAATTTTGTGTAGTTGTGCTGCACACGAAACTATATTTTTAACAGGATGTACAAGAACACACTTTTATATGCGACACAAAAACACAACCTTAATTCATTCTGCACTTCCACAATATTACATGGTACTAATAGAGCAAGAGTGTTTGAGTTTCAGGTGTTCCATAAAGACGCAGCATTACTTTATTGATGTTACATATATTTTGTATAAATTCAAGCTTTAAGAACTTATTGTACATTCAATTTGTAGGGGCTGATCTCACAGGCACTTTTACATCACAACACATAAATGAACATTAGGCAGTAGTGACTTGTACTCATTTCTTTATATTGTAACACAGAATTGATGAAGTCTCATTAGTGGGATATTTTCCAAATGTGTTAGTACATATACTACATTGCTGTAGCCATCTGTGAGCATAGAAGATGAGTCTATCATTCATGAAACATAAGTATCCCTATGATCTTGGGCTAGCCCATCTGTAGTTTGGTGACGTGCAGTTTGTTATTTGCTGTTTGCTGAAAGAATGAAGAGCTGAATTATCTGCTAGTGGAAAACTCTGATGTCTATATTGCAGTTTTTGAATCAATCGTGTCTCTGCACATTGCTTTTTCGCTGAGTTACCTTAGCTGAGCAAAGTACACCTTTATGTAACCACAGCTAATGAGAAGCTAAGGTGAGGTGAGGAAAACCAAAAGCCATCCAGCTAGCTATGAGAAGTGAATAGTGCTGCATTTAAAAATCTTCCCGTGCAGTGACTCCAACAACCAGCGACTACTGGATGGGGAATCTGGACCTGTTCCAGCGACTGTCAAAGGTCAAAAGCAGGCTCAGAAGCAACCTATGAGATTGGATCGTAGGTGAGTGCACTCGAATCACCAACGTATACTGTCACGAAACATTTTGCTTATCATTGCAATGATTTCCATGAAAGAATCAGTATGCATACTTACAATAGCAGCATATTCATCCCAATAAAGCATTGTTAGTAAAATGAATAGACGGTGTATGTGTTTATTGATCACAGCAAAGTCACGCATTGCTGCAACTCAAATACATTATTGCTTGCCTAGTGAAACCTCTGTGTAGAGCAAACATAGGCATAACTAATTTTTAGACAACATATAAATGGACATTGGCCTCGGCCTGTGAGAATGTTTGAGCACTTTTTGCTACAACACAAAGTTACAAAAAATTAGGGGACCCTTAAGCTTCGCCTTTAAGAGTTGAACGCAATAGCGAAATCCGGCCCCTAGTGCACCCTTCAACCGCTAAGTGCATACTTATTCATATGTTTTGTTACATACACATGCACGCACACAAACACGCACACAGTAGATTGGACCAGCGCACGCTATTATCGCCGAACTGGCTTGTTTTCGTCGTGATACCTGTCGAGCAAAATGCATTAAAGGGGCCCTGAAACATTTTTTCAAGTAACCATAAAATGAATTAAATAGAAGAGCTTATTGCCTCACAAATTCAACGCCGCAAAAATTTTAAGAATCCGTCCAGTGCGAGTGGAGTTACAAAGGTTTGTCGTATGCTGCAATTGCATTATCTCTTCTCTCGTACCGACAAAAGTGCTGGAAGCTAAGCAGGAAGGGGTGGCAGGGCAAAGAAATTACCCCACCTTGTTACCTTGAGCACTCTTTTTTTTTTTCTTCGAATGCGCAACTTTTTCAGTGTGATCGTGCGCGCACGCGTAGACAAGTAGCAGCCTCTTGGGGCTATCTCAGTAACTTGACTTTTCGGTCACAGACGCACAGGCGATTTTTCGCTCACAACCAACGGGGCCGATGCCGGCGGCGGGTTTTCTGCGACACGAGCTCTTTGACGCTATCGCGTTAAAATTTCCGAAATTCGGCAGTATTCGAAACGAAAAAACTCGTTTTGCCGTGTGTAATACACCTGAAAGGTAGATTCACTGCACTTTAAATTACTATGCTGTGAAACTATATAACTAGGAGAAATCAGCACTGGCGCAAAGCGACACTTCCAGGTTAAATGTGCGCACTACTTACACCCCAATCAAATTTTTTATAAAGTTTGATTGTGTGTTACACAAAAATATGAGCTAAGTATGGTGAATTGTAAAATGCTATGTATTTCATGGGTTATAACTTACAGCTCATTGCTATTGAAATGCTTTTACTATACAAATTCCCTTCAAAATTATTTGACAATAATTACCATTTCATTTTGACTTCTTTTTCAAATTATCACAACGAGATTTTCATATTCCTGATATTGGTGGGTAACGTATGCTTTTAGCAAACAGTATGTTTTGTAGCTAAACGCATATTTTATGTCCCACACAACTTTGCTGTGATAACATTTACCGGCATAAATATTATACATAGAAAAACATTTTTCTTGGTGGTTCTATTGCTGACACCTGAAGGCGTGGCATAATGTGGCGCATTCTCGTACCTGGCAGGTTCTCCCGGTCTAGAAGCATGCGGAGGTCTGTTCGTGGCTCCGTGAAGATGAAGCAGACCTATGATCACTTGAAAGAAAATGGAGACATGGGTTCTGTCAATGCCGCTACGTCAGGCAGGAGCCTGCACGATTTCGACATCAAAATGCTGCAGCAGAAGCGTCAGCAGGCTGAGATGAAGAGGTCAGTTGCACATTTTCTAATGCGGCAACTCGTCGCACTTGCGTCGCTTGTCTGAACGCAGAAGTAACGTGAGACAAATTGGTCTTCTACATCACGATTTCTCTATGCTGAATGACACAGCTGATATCAAGCCTCAAATAACTATGAATATAAAATACTTGCAGTCCTTGTCTTGACACACTTATCGCTCTAATAGAGCCACTCGTTGTTAGCACATAAATGAGCAATTTTTTCAGACCTCTAAGAACAAGTGATTCGTTGCAATGAGATCACTTGCTTGCTAGCTAGGTTACTTACCTGCTGCTCATTGGGTGCTTTATGTATTGAAAGCTTAGTCATTATCAAAATGAGGTAGCAAGTGTGAAGTTAAATTGAGGAGGCATTAGAGTTGTGAAAAAAAAAACATCTTTCTGTTGATTGTAAGTTTAATATGTTTTCGATTGTGTGTAAAATGTTCGCACACAACTTAAAGTTTGCATAAATTTTTGCCTCGAGATACAGCTGAAGATTTCACTTTTGTGCTTTTACTGGGAAGGTTAGCAAAATGGTCAGTAGGCTGTTTCACTTTGTGCTGCCTCTTAGGCCATCCTAATTAAGAAAAATGTGACAACGCATGCTATGCATTTCATGTCAGAAGGCACCTAGCACGGTAAGGCTGTTATTAACCATGAAGGTAGATGATGGATGTTGACATACGTGAGCTGTATGCAATGCATCACTGAATTGATTAGATAGAGCCACTGTGTTAAACTGTATCATGAAATTGCGCTGCGAATTCATTAAAAAGGAACACTCTATGATGCAGGAATCAACGAGAAGAGGACCTCCGCGAAAACCACCCCTACTTTGACACGCCTCTGTTTGTAGTGGGCAGGGAGAGCAAGTTCCGCAAGATCTGCCAAACGATCGTGTACGCCCGCTATGACCCCCGGTTCAGGGACCCCGTCACTGGACAGGAACGCAAGATTAAGTACAAGGCCGTGCAGTGAGTATCCTTGGGCAGGGCAGCTGCAGAAGTATGGTTCAGTCATGCTACAAGTGTGTAGGTGATTTATAGAGCTGCCTTCAAACATTTATATAAAATTTTCAATAGTGTTTGACAAGCTTGAACTATTGAACAAACTTTCGCTGCCCGATTTCTTTACTCAGCTGTTGTTCTAAGCAAGGCATGCTTGGCCTATTGGTATTTGGTCAGTCAAATTTGTACACAGTACTCGTAGTACGTTAGCATTCAGGTCACTGGCTTTTATTTGTCAAAAAAGGTTCTTGTTTTTGCTAAAATGATTGAAGTATAAAATTTTATTCAAATAGCTTGGGTTTGGGTGAAATCTTAAAGCAGAAGCCCCTAACTGCCAGAATCATAAAATTGCAGTGTATGTATGTGGTACACTGTAAGTACATGTGGCAAAGATTCTATCAAACTCATTATTTTGTTTTGAAAACAGCATTGAGAAGTAAACATATTCGAATACCAAGCTTTACAGTAAACCTTGACAGCACATCTGTTTTTGTTTTTGTCTTTTGAGAAATAGAACAGCTGTATAAGCTTTGGGTTGAACAGCTGCAGAGCCAAATATTTGTAATAATACATCTTGCCTTAAAACATGCCAATTTACAGTTTGAACTCTGAAGCTATCAGTGCTGTTAAGTTCTAAAACATGTAGGTTTTTGGTGGAGCACCCAAGTGATTTGTATGTGTTAATGTGATTTCGTTAATGTAATATCACTCATATGGCATCCCAATACACTTGATGCACTTTGTACTTGTCAATGAGGCCTATCAATTTTTTTCTTTGGCAAGCATAGCCAAGGAGAGAGCTTGTTAACATTATATTGGCACTGCACAAAGCCTGATGTGCACATTAATTAAGCATAGATGGGAACTACCTGACAGGGGCTTGCCTCCTGTTCAATTACTGTGCACATAATAGCAGGCACACATACTTCAATAAGAATGTCATGACAACATCCCCGTACACTTGCATGTTACCTTATAATGTTTTCCATCTGCAAAGCTGCGACACCTGAAAATGCAGCAGCAGTACCTACTTGGCATAAGGTGGCTGTGAGTGTGTTCCACTTCTCTCAAGAAAGTGCAACAAACAAAGCATCCGAACATCTTTGCAGCAACCTGCTTGGACTTGTCACATACCTCGACTGGATGATGATCTTCGTCACAACACTGTCATGTGTGTCCATGATGATGGAGACACCCACACAGCGAATTATGAACACACCAATGCTCCAGGTGAGACTCCATGCACAACTTGGATGTACAGTTAGGCTTCACGGGATGACATTGCATGTGTGCTGTAACATGTTTTATGACAGCCAGTTCTGCATAGAGAGTCGTGAAAATTTCAAGAAACCAGATGTTCATTTTTCTTCAGTACTCATCAAAATCAATCAATTGTTTCAATTGCAGTCTTTCATTTGAGCCAGTGGGACACAGCTGTTGTCAGGAGCAAAATTTTTATTTTGATGCATTCAAAAATTAAAGCTAGCTGGCCTTCACAAACCAGCTTAGCCAGAAGTAATCGAAGTTTGACTCCTGGCACCACTAGGACGCTGGGAACTTATGAAAGGCTTGTTTAGTGCCGATTGAAGTGATCTATATTTTGATCTATATTTTAATTTAGATCAGGTACCAAGTGCAACTATTGACGGGCGCAGCCAGTGTTGCTACATACACGTCAAACCAGTCCAGCCTGTAGGACCACATATTCGATAATAGTAATACCTGTACAAAGGCCTGTTTTCAGAATTTACGGAAACAACCCATCTCGTAACCCCGTGCATTATTTTGCTGAAACTTGTACAAGTGAACGAAGTTTATTTGTCACTTAATTATTTCTCGATTTTTACATTGTGTGGTGTGCAGTTTTTCTTGTACTGCAATAAATGCTTACAATGCAGGTACGGTAGACCCCCATTGAATGGAAACTTACAAAACCAGGAAATACGTTCAGTTTACCAGGAGTACCATTTACTGTGAGATGAACAGGGTTGTAGAATTCAAGTGCAAAACTAACCATACCAGAGGCAGTTATTCCATTTAAGCAGCAATTCCATTTAAGAGATTTTCGTTAAATGAGTCTATTGCAGCGTGTTTTTTAGTAATTCTTCTAGATATTTTAATTTTCATCATGACTTTAGTCGAATGTCTCGTGTTATATTGTTGCCTTGAAATAATTCAGTGACTGCTATGTTCATGTTTGGGATGAGCAGTGAATTCAAATGTACTGTATTTACTGTGTTGATTTATTGTAAGTGCTTTTTTCTTCTCTTTCTTTTTTTTTTCAGATTGCAGAATACGTTTTTGTAGTAGCAATGAGCATAGAACTGACCCTGAAAACTCTTGCCGATGGATTATTTTTCACACCAAAAGCCCTTATCAAGGACATCGGAGGCATCGGAGATGTCTTCATTTTCATAGTAAGTGATGCGTCTTTCAACACCATGAATCGTCTCGCGGCTTTCTGATTGCCATACGATACATTATGTATATCCACATCCTAGAACTGACATCCATGCGAAATACTGCTATGCCTTCTCAAAAAGAAAAGCAGAGGAAGAAGGAAAGGGAACATGATTTATTCAACACAGTTTTCATAATGAGTTACAGTGACTATAAAAAATTATGGCAATGAAAAATGCAGTTACAGTAGTTGCTTGTATGCAACATCAAAATGAGCCATAATTTTGTACCTTATTACCTTCAAGATTCGTTCACATTTTTAGACTGCTGCCTCAGGAATCAACCAAAAAACCCGAGATATACCCACTATGAAAAAATGGGGTTTACATGCAGACAATCTTATTGACATTAAAAACATTTTCACATCTTGCAAAGGTTTCTTGCTTTGTTTATGTGCACCACTAATCGTGTTACTACAGTAGATTCTGTGAATCAACTGACCTTGATCGTTTCTTGCAGCTATACTATGTCGTATGTGATACGGTGACTGAATAACTCTTTTGAAATAAAGGCGTGTCATGCTAGAAAGCTAAGCTTATCGCTTTGCACTATTTTAGACCCCCTTCTTTTTCTCCTGCTCAGGTAAGCCTGGTCTTCCTGTGCTGGATGCCCCAGCGAGTCCCGCCACAGTCGGGCACCCAATTGCTGTTGTTGCTGCGCTGCGTGCGGCCGCTCAGGATCTTCAGCCTTGTGCCTCACATGCGCAAGGTGGTCTGCGAGCTGTGCCGAGGATTTAAGGAAATTCTCCTGGTAGGCTTGAGATGTTTTTGGCTCTGAATTTACGTGAATTTCGTGAAAGGTGTGCTCTGTGTAATTCATTCTGGTTGGTACTGGAGCAAACAGCTCCGTACAAAGTGTGAGGAGAACTTAAAAATAATGGACTATTCTTTTCATAGTATTTGATTACTTCTTTAGACATTACAAAACACTGTTCACCCCAGATGTAGTGCACTTGTCCTACAGCTTTATCCATTGTTTAAAGGTGTTCAGCCATTTCTTGACAACTGATGACCCATTGGTGCTTTTATTATTTTTTCTCTACTCAAAATCCTCAAATTGCTTTTTTACTCTTCCTTGTTTTAGTGTGATAAATGAAAAATTGCAAAGGGAAAGATTTGAGGAGTAGGTCATTGCTTCAATCATTTCATTTTTTACTGCTTCTTTTGAAACCCTGGTTTCAGTTTTGCAGATGAGAACTTGCTAGAGAAGAAGTGTGTAGAGTAGATAGGGTGATCCAAAGTATTGTTATTATCCTACATATCTGTATAAGTTCTGCACACTGAATGCGGTGTATGTCAATATGTTGTTGTGTTGCACAAGTTACTAGACCGAGCTCTACACGTTCAAGAATTTTATCCGAACTGCATCATGTAACCTGCATGCTGACAATGTGTTCACCACTTTATGATCACGACTATGGCATAAAAAAATGGACAGGTGAACACAGCAAATTCAATGGAGAGTTGAGCCTAATGGCTGTTGCTGTAACAGTGAGGCCCCGTATAAGAATTGTGCCAGGGAGATGTCTTCAGCCATGTACTTTTAACCAGACCAAACTAATTTCAGCATAAGGAGAACAACCAGAGATCAGTGTTCTCTGTTAACCTGGTTAACCACTCTGTCCCTCTTTTCTAAGTGAATCCTCTTTTATAAGTGATCACAAGTGCTTTGGCGACCTAAAAACGACTGGTTAGGCATGTGCAAATAGTATTCGAGCACTTCGAATATTCGAACAAATATTGCAGTACTTAAATTCTGTTCAACAAGAACTTGAAATATTTGTGTAGATATGCACTATAAACTACCTGTAGCTTATTGCAAAGGTGGTGTCACTGCAGTTGAGGGGTGATATATTATGAATACACTAGTACAGAAAAAATCCACACTGCAGTGAAGCCTCACTTCAAGGTTAAATGAGTCTATTACTCTCACATAATTCATCATCTCTAAGTTAAAAGCTTGTCTTACCGGCTAAATACTCCAAGTATATAGCAAATTTTGAAAAGTAACATATTTTACAGGTATCATTTGCATCCTACCGAAAGTCATGTGCTGCTACTATTCAAGGTTGCTTCCAATTTTCCTTGAGAAAGAGAAAGAAATTTTTATGAACACTAGCAGAACCAAAAGGAATACATTTTCACGTGCATTGTTTCAATTAAAGATCAATGTTGTGCAGGTTACTTGGACTATGGTAAATATGCACTTTTTTTTATAATATGTGATATATACTATTGAAATTTGATTTCAAGTTTTTCGACCAAATCACTATTTGCTTTTAATTCACTTGGAACCTAAAATTTACTATTTATACATGCCTAGTAGCAGTGTTTTCAGCATAGAATAATCAATGAGAAACACTGTACTCACGAAATGAAAGTTGACATCAAATTTCGAGCTTAACAACTAGCCTGACGGATTCCTGGAAATAGCCACGACATGTCACTACGAGCCCGGCTCATAAAGGGGATGTAAATGTAAATGCAGATAGCATGTAAATGTACATAGCAATATTACACTTATGTGGAACCAACTGAAGATAGACGATGGCAAAGACAAAAGTACATGAATTATCTAGAGCTAGAATGACATGTTTCATTCCATGAGCACTGTACAATGTTCTAACTGTTCCCTTGCCATGCATATATTACTTTCTACAAACAGAGAAGGTGTATTTTTATGATGTTAGATAACTTATTGGTGAGGCAAGAAACGTTCATTAACTTGAGCAGTCTACAACAGTGCAGCAGCTGGGTAACTTGAGACATCTTATTCTTTGCAGGTCTCCATTCTGTTAATTGTTCTCATGTTTGTCTTTGCGTGTTATGGTGTGCACTTGTTTGGTGGCCGACTAGCCCGTTGCAATGATCCGGATATCAAAACGAGGGTAAGCAATAAATTCCACAGACGGTTGTCGCTCATGGTCATCTTGCCCGCTTGTTTCTGATTAATTAATTTATTGAATATTTGCCTTTGCAGAAGGAGTGTGTCGGGTTTTTTATGCGCAAGGTATTTGTTACCAAAATGAAGCTCCAGCCAGCAGAAAACGACACTTACCCTGTAATCCTGGTGCCTCGTGTTTGGTACGTCATCTGCGCTTGAACCCTTGTGTTATGGCAGTGAAAACTTCAGTCTGAACTTCTACATTTTTGAAATTATCTTTTTGATGTCATACACGCTACCCCACTATTGGTGCGGTGTTGCTTCTTTTTCAGCACTTACTTTAACAGCAAATGGATCAATTGCATTGAGAATTCTCATCACTGAATAGCCAGGTTAAATACAATGACCATAGCAATGAAGTTTGCTTAATTGAGTGCAAAATATACTTATCTTCGTCTGAAAGGTTTAGTGCTCAGATTATTGTGGATTTTTAGAGCCCCTTTTGCACCAGACGTGACAGAATGAAACAGTATGTTCACAAAATTTCTGTAAAGTGTCTGAAGTGAAGCAGCTGAGGTTGTGGTGTTATGTCTCTGTTGGTGTGTGCAACAAAAACAACACTTTGTTGCTCTATAAGTTGTGTGCCCAAACCATGAAAAAAACTCATATGTTTCATGTATAGTAGTAAGCCAGCCTTTGGGTGCTGACAATGTTTTATGCGGTGGCGTATCACAGTAAGACTGCACACACACTTCTATTTGTGCAAGTCAGCACAGAGGCAAAAGAAAATTGTCATTTTTGTACATTCTATACACAATGGCTGTTCAGCAGGAAGGGGAGCAAGGAACACTGGGAAGCACAGTTCATCAAAGCAGCAGAGAGGATTTACGAGGTGCCATATGCACTTCATAACACCCGTTCATTGAAGCTATGATAGTGAAATGTTGAAAGTCAGTTTATGGTGCACTGTTGCCACAAACGTGTTTTTGTTTTTCTTTTCCCAGTTGTAAAAACATTTTTCAAAACAATTTTTTCTCAGGCTACACATGTAACTGACATTTAAAACACGTGATGTGAGGGTCACAGGCATGTATTGCAGCACATATATGTTTAATTGACGTAGCGCGTTTAGAAACATAGGACAAGGGAAGGGACAGGAGGAAGCGCTTACTTACAACAAAATTTTATTTCGAAATAAAATTTTGTTGGAAGTAAGCGCTTCCTCCTGTCCCTTCCCTTGTCCTATGTTTCTAAACGCGCTACGTCGATTAACTATGTCTTACCAACATGCCCAACTTTATACTCTAGTCAAACACATATATGTTCTTCACGTCATGCTTATGCTGGAACGAAATTCATTTTCGTTTTAACAATCACATTTAATTAGTACTTAAGGGGTTACTGACACCTTTTTTCGAAGGCGAGTTTACTGTGCCATACAAATCTCCTGTATACAGCGAAGGCTCTGAGGAAGTGTGACGCTCAGCAAATGCTGATAACATATTCGATTTTGATATTAAAGTCCATTTTTCCACAGCGCACCTACCGACATTGGCACTAACTAGACATCAGGCTACAGTAGTAATACTTGTGACTTTATGCAGTGGTCTGGCTAGTAGTGATGATGTCAAGCACAAAAAAAAGGCAGCTTGCGCGTCACTTTCTTGATCGTCTTGCTCACGCTATGTACAGTCATTGTCATCCAGCGTACCTGTGAAGTGAATAAGCAGAGTCTGGAATAGTGTATGTGCACATGAATACAAGATATATGCTTATCAGAGGACAAAGGAATCGTTTGAAGAAGCAACGAGGGACGAGGATACGTCACGAAAACTTTCGCGTGCACATACTACCCCTGGTGGCGCTGCTCATACCATGTCGTGATGTCAGCGTGCAGTAGGAACCAACACTAGCTCTTAAAAACATGAAGTAATTAATTTTTAACGGCGCACTCTCACTTACAGGTACATTTTTTATACTCTCGGGGGCTTGGACTATCATTTGAAGCAAAAAATGATAAGCAAAATATTTCGTGCCAGTACCCCTTTAAGAACATAATTTTGGGCAGTGTAATGAGGAGGAGCATCAAGTTTTGTTAAGCTAGCATATTTATGTCAGGGCTGCTTCTTGTTTATATAAGTTCTAGCAACGACATCCTTACTTAACTTATATAGGCAAGCCTGAAAGACGAAGTGCACAGCGGCAACATACAACTCTCATTGCCGTGTAGAGCTTGTTTTCTACTGTGACTTTTCTGGAGCCACCAGCGGCAAACTGAAACTGTTCCTCCCTTTCCCCTTCATTGCTTCCTTCAGGGCTAATCCGAGAAACTTCAACTTCGACAACTTAGGCAGCGCTCTGCTCACCTTATTTGAGGTGCTCTCTTTAGAAGGCTATACCGATGTCAGAGACATTATTATCGAGCAAGTGAGCCGTGTGAGTTTCAACTGCACAACGAATGCAAGGCACAAGCATGCCTCCGTTTGGGTGATTGTCCTCGAGGACACACGCACTGCAACTAAACCGTCATCACTAAACTGACTGCAACGCAAGCTGGCTCAGCAACTGCAGCTGTGGTGCGTGAATGACCACTCAATGAGGCCCTTTGTCCACTGCTTTTAACATCGCTTTTGGCACGCTAGCGTGGCATCATCAAGATGCTACTAATGCGATCTCAAGTGAAAAGCTTTGTTGAACGACATGATCTAGTTTAACGTTGACATCAATTGCCTGCGTCAAGCTTTTTAATACATTGTGACGCATCTAGGCATGGTGTTATCATTTGCTGCATGGTGTGGAAGCTGATCTGGATTTGTTGATATTGTCGAGTTGAAATATGCAGTTGAACAAAGCGAATTGTAAATGTTGAATGCAGAAGCAAAGCTTTCAGACGGAAACCACAATGAACGCATTTTGAACATATTCTTGTACATTGCACAGTGTTGGCAAAAACAGACCAGGTGATGTGACATATTTAACGTTTAGCTTTGCCTCCATATAGAGTAAAGCGTATTTTCTTGTCACGGAAGATCAAAAAAAAAGGTTAAATAAAACAGTTAGCTGTTTCCTTACTTGTATTAGCTGATTGTTTTTAACAAGAACTGTATACCAGCAAACGGTACATATAGTAAAAAAAACAATCCTAATTTGGCATTAAAGAATGATTATTGAGGAGCACGGGTCTTATAATTGGAGGGAACAGCATGCCAAAGATATGCTTAAAAGGCGTTCTTGTTGTTGCTACGGTAACAGAATTGGGACACCGTGAGCAGACACTCGATACATAAAAGGAAAGTTCAGCACTACAAAAGAATGGAAATTTACATCCCATTTCATAAGAGGCACGGACATGCAAATAGTTATGCATGGCTCTGAATGCTTAGCCCATGGCTATGTGCTTAGATTGTTAAAAGCATATTGGACAAAATCTATTAAAGCTATGGTTTTGCTTGTGTTCTTGGCTTTTAATAGAAGGCTGCAGTTGCTTGAATCCAGTTGGCAGGGGTGCCCACGATGACTTGCAACCACAAGCAACCTGTGCACCTCTGTCATTCTAAAAAGCTGACTAAATTGTGCCACTTGAGACTAACTGCACTCTACAAATGTAGACCGGTGCCCGCACCATCACGCTCTGAAAACTAACATTTTTTTTAGAATGTGTTTGGTTAATGTCACACTTTACCCAGCTAAAAATACTGTGTACTGCATTGATTGTTTTGAAAAAAAAAAAGAGAAGAGAAGATCAATAGCAGCGTAGGCAGATGACTGATTGTTAGTTTGGATTGTTTATTATCTTTTGTGGTGAACACCTCCTATGCTGTCCTTCAAAAATTGTCCCCAACATACGGCAGTTCTTCTTGCCTTCCGTGTAAATTCCAAGTGCAAACCAGCTACTAAAACGATTTCAACTAGCGGTTTCTTGTTCAAAAACGTCTAATGAACTTGATATTTATGGTGTGCATGATCAATATTTGCAAGAAAAACAGAGTGAATCAAGTTAATGCATGAAAGCGTAGGTGTGGTGCTAAAAGCAGTCAATACTAGCTTTCAATTGGTGACAATCTGTTTAACCTCTGATTTGCAGCACCCATTAAAAAGCTCGTAACATTTATATCTCGAAATTTTTTTCTACGACAACACAGAGTGCAAAAAGTGTCAGGCAGAAATTGTGTAATGTGATTTCTTTAATGTGCTGTAAGAAACTCTTATGTGAATATTTTATCATTAAATAAGCAGCTACTCTGCATCTGTAACTGCTAAGGTAGGAAAGCTTGCGATAATTTATGACGGCACAAAAGTTAAACCAGAGCAATAGAAAAGTGGAACTCGCAGCCAGGCACCATTCACAGTTTTGCACATATTAAAATCACTAGCTATACGTTATTGCATTTGCAAGTTTAAACCAGTAGCCTAGATTTATATGAACAAAAATGATACAGTTCTTTTCGTGTAAGACTGCTTGCAAGAGTAACTGACAACTTGTCACTTCTGCGCAAAGAAGCACTATCAGTAGATGGTCGGTCACCCTGCAGTAGCTACAGCTGTTAATAGCACAAGCTGAAACATGCTAAATGTTTTAACTGATTATACAGTAACACCTAATAAAAGTGTATGTTCATCAGCTCGCACCGTCAATTGCCTCCAAGAGCACATGCAAACTGAAAACACTGAGCACGTGCTGAGGCTGCGACATTTTAGCACCGCATGTGTTCGACAGCAGCAATTTATGTGCATCTAGGAGCTGCATTTTCTTCACCGACCAGAAATGCATTTGATTCAATTTTTTGACAAAAAATAAAACAGAAAGACAAGTAGTGGCACAGTTAGAAAGAGCACGTTGCCATCATTTGTAGTTTAATTGTTCACTGCGTGCTTTCTGGACAGAAGAGAGGCGGGTCCCCTCTTCTGTGCTCTTCAGTGTGCTTACCATGACCCTTCTTTTCACTGATCTCGCTGCTGTCTTCCCGCCCCTAGGGCAAACCCTCGCAGGTTCAACTTTGACAGTATTGGCAATGCTATGTTAGCACTCTTTGAGGTGCTCTCTTTCAAGGGATGGCTAGACATTCGTGACGTTCTCCTACACAGGCTGGGACCAGTAAGTCTCTCTCAAGCTTGAACACTCACACACTCATTCAAAGCATTCATGCTGATACTGTCATAAAACATAAACCCATAGAGCGACCGAAGAGGACACACAAAGAAAAAGACTTGATGCGACGTTGCACCCCATCTTTTGTGTTTTGTATGGTTGCATTCTAAATGTCCTTGTCTTTTTTTTTCTTTTTGTGCTGTCTTAATGTGCCCCTCATTATTCTATCCTCCTTTCGGAGGCATTGATGTCGCTTATAGTAGCCTCAATTTAGGGCTTCTAGTTGCATGCATTGCTTGAGCGAACAGAGGTCTGAGCAAGTAAACCCGCACAAAATTTTTCTTACTGCTTATCAGTAATTAGTTGAGCTAGTTACATGTAATATTTAGTGCTGAAGGCTTATAAGAACTAGCCATGGAATGGAAATGAAAGCAAATAGTATAATTTTACTGTAGCGATCACAATTTTACAGTGCTTTTTCTTCATTAAAGATAGAATTGTTTAAAAAGAGTCATTTGCCACTGTCAGCCATATTTTTCAAAGAAAATATTATGGCATTGTGTAAAAAGTGAGATTTACCTGAAGACTGTAAAGTTAATAATATTTCTGTTCTGCGTGCTGCATGGTCAAGCGATTTCAGGCCAGTTTGTTGTCACTTTTTACGAAGTCCTTTTTTTTACTTTCTTTACTAAACTCTGTTACTTAAGTTAGTCCCTACATGTAACAAATTCTCCTAGCCAGAAATTGGATGTATAAGCACCTCATACTCATCCCTCTGGACCATATAATTGTGTTTTCTCTCTCTCCCACCATTTGTGGGGAGAGTAATATTTGCAAAAGTGTGAATGTCAGTTTCTTATGAAGCATATCTCCATTTATACTTCTCAATGTACAAAAAACAACAACAAAGAAACTTGTTTATGTTCATCAGCAAAGATTGGTTTCCAAGTGACGACTGCCCTTGCAAAGCATTTACACATACCTCTCCATGCATTGATTTACGGTCATGTTTACTTGGCACTCATCGCCATTGATTAACTTATGCCATGGGTATTCATACATGCTGCTTTCAAGTTAGTCTTAAATTTTCGTTTCCTTAAATATTATTTTTGAGTACTATCCTGGCACTTCCAATGGTGGCTTGCAGTTAGTTAAGTTAATTATACCATAAAAAAAGTTTTCATAATGCCAACCTGAAATAAAATGTTTCAGAAGTGGTGCAATGTACATTATCTGAAGTGTTAAGGCCTTGATTTATGTACATTTATATGCGGTGATGCTCATTCTTTTTCTATCCTACTAAACATAGTGTAGATGTTAACATAACTAACACATTATTAGCATTTGCACGTGCCTATGGCATTGCTCAGGTTCTAAACATCAGTGTTAGTAGCATGGCTGACCCTCATTCTCGCTTAGAAGAATGATTCTGTTCATTCCACCATGACGTTTTTTAAACGTCGATATCTTCTTTCGTGCAGGTAAATTAGAAAGTAAGCTGACACCCACTTCTGCAAAATATACTTGATTGCATCTTATAAGCACAACCATGATCATTGTCTGGCTTATATGGTGGTGCAAAAGTGCTTTATTTGCTCTCTTTAAAACCAATTATAATGCAATTATGAATTATGGCCAGAAGTGCTAATGCTTGATTGATCAGAGTAAATTATTGTGGTTAATAAGCATTAATTATTAGCCTTAATAATAAACCTGGTATATTAATGGCATTAGTTCTTCAGGGAATAGCTACTTTTACAAAGTGAGTCTTTAGTTTTTCATTTTAACATACATCATGTTTTGGTGTTCCATAACCGATGGTAAGAAAATACTGTTAGTTAAAATATAGTCATGCTGTCTCTACGTGCCAGAAAAAGTGAGTTTGCCCCATACTGTAAGAAATTAAACTTAGAGTAATAGGATGTTTCTTAATGTGATGCACTATCATCATGCCATTTTTTGTGCATTATTTTTCAGTTGCAGAACATGTAAGCTTAAGTTTTATCACTAAAGTCATGCGTGAAACCAGACTTATGTTAAGATTTATGTGAGCGCGATAATGTAGTGGCAAGAACTGTATTGATGTTCGAATACTAGCATTTTGTGCCATGACCCCCAACTTAAATATCAAGTGAGAGGTGCAAGAAATGAAGAAACTATCTTTACTTTTCAGGTTCATGCCATTTACATTCACATATTTGTGTTTCTTGGCTGTATGATTGGGCTGACACTGTTTGTCGGTGTTGTGATTGCTAACTACAGTGAAAACAAGGTGAGAAGCTTTGTCTAGTTTTTCTTTGAATGTAGTAGCAGCAAGTAACTACTATTCAAGCACTACGTATTTTACACTTCACTATTTATTTCTTCTAGTATTGCTCGTTTTATGAGTGTGCACGTAACACAGTGTCGTTTCCTCTTTGTTTATCATTATACTTTGCGGCCTCAGTAGAAATAACATTTTCAAAGCACCTAAAGCATGTGAATCAAGAACACTGCTCAGGCCCCTGTAGATATTAAGAAATAGAGGTGGGGGAAGGGAAGAATGAAGGTCATGGAAGTTAAATATGTGGAATTAAAAAAAACCAGTGGTCAAAGCTGTTCCTTTTTCTATGCCTTTACTTTGTGTCCATGGTGTCCTTCAAAAAGTTCTAAGATGTAAGTACATGTGTACATTGGAAACAGCAGTCTGTTGGGACTCTCAGCAGGAAACTGATAACAATAGTAGAAAAGGTCAATAAACAGTGACACCGAGGCATACCATGACAGTAAGCAACACTAGTTAACATTTTCAAGTCTAGGTTACATAATTATGTGTGTACTTATCTAATAAAAATGAATGGGTAAACGATTATCATAACCAGAAGCATCACTTATGAGGCATGGCTGGGCTACAATATTCCCTTCCCCTGGCCAGTATACCTTAGCAGCTCCAATTTACAGCTGTGTTTTGTTCTAGACACACAGGATGTGTATTGCTTGAATAAACCTTGTGTAAACAACCTTCCTTGTTTTGAGCATTGTAATGAAAGGTTTACTTTGCATACTTCACTCAATGCACAGCTAGCACACCTTGTGTCTTGTATAATGGTGCGGGACCCTTGCGGTTTCAGGACTACAATATGACATATAAAAGGCTTATAAAATGCCTGGCCTAGCCCCTTCTTTTCTTATGTTCTCTGTTCCCACGGCCCTGCCGATGAACAGGGAACGGCTCTGCTGACAGTTGACCAGCGCCGCTGGTGTGACCTGAAGAAGCGACTCAAGATTGCGCAGCCCCTGCACCTGCCACCTCGCCCAGACCACCACAAGCTGCGCGCCTTCATCTACGACATCACCCAGAACCTGCTCTTCAAGAGGGCCATTGCCATGCTCGTCATGGCCAACAGCAGCCTACTATGCGTCAGCGTGAGTGTCCCTGTTTGGCAAGCCTATGTGGTGAAACTGTTTTGTGTTCAGACATGAAATGATGCAATTTGTCTGAACTGGTCAATGCCAAGCAAATAATGAAAGTCTTAATCTTGAACAAGTATCTTGGCCATGGAATTTGTCCTTAATAGGCTACAGTCGTGTGTGTACTTCGATTTATGCATCACGGTGACGTGGCACCCATGTCGCTCCGATGGTGATGCCCAACACAACAAAGTTCCTTTGGTGACAAAGTTTAAGCCCACTGTTAAAATCTAAGAAGTTTTCACCCTTTTTTATATTCTCTGTCTCCTTGTATACCAAGCCAGTCTTTTCTATGCTTGTTTCAGTGGAAATCGGATGAACCTCATACGATCCCGCTTGCGACAGTTTCTGCCGGTTTCACAATATTATTTACTGTTGAGGTGAGTAGTACTTCCTTAGCTCCTTAAAAAGAAAAAGTGGACAGCTTGCACTAATGAAGCAATGCTATAAACCAACTGTGTAAGTAGAAGCATAAGTCGAAGATAAAGCCAGAGAAAACTGGTTCGTGATGGTAATTCCTGTTCGCATAACATGTTGCAATGAAAAGCTAAAGAGCTCTGCTTTCAAAAGCTGCAATATACTAGAGTACAAGGTATCAATTGTCGTCCTGTTGTAACTTTGGGCATAGTAAAACTCCTCTTACAAAAACAAAAGTGACTGTCCCAATCGAATACGTGTGTGTTCTGTGACACAAGTGCACCAATGCAGAAGGCATTGTCCACACTTGCAACCTTTCGTGTTTTGTAGTGCTTGTATTGACACTTTGTGTGTTGCAAGGGTTTAAATTGATGGTATAGTTCTAGTGGCTATGCTAAACTTGTGTGCTTCATGCACTCCCAATGTAGTCTGTGCATTATGAAGTTCTGATGTTATAGGGCATTAGTGTGGGGAGATGGCCAGCACACGTATCACAAGAGGAAGACTTGCTAAAATTGTGGATAATAGTGAAGTGAAAGAAAAACAGTATCCCCCATGAATATGAAGTTTCAGCTCACCAAATTGCAGCCATCTGAGACAGAGTAATATAACCACCATATTGAGCTAAAAGTAATTGAGATGTCTACTTCATACTGTGATGAAATAACAGCTATTTCCTGTCAGTCTTATACTGAACAATTATTATTCACATCTAAACGAGTGTTTGCACTGCCTCCTGTTATGTTGAAACACCCATATGAGCTAGTCACACAATTTGCTTCATGCGGTTTGGCTTACACAGCGAGATTTTATTGTATTCAGATCCTCAGTGGTTCAAATTTGTCCTCTGCAGCTTGGAAATAAAGCAATATCTTCGGAAGTTAATGTTTAAAAATAAATACAAAAAAGCAACAAAAAGTTAGTTGAACATAGTTTTCAAGTGCTAGGCAAAAATGCAGAACACATAGCACACTGAATGAATGACATACTTTCTTAAGGAAATCTTGCATCAGAACAAAAGTGTATGATTTTAATGAGCATAGAAATTATGCTGTATTCTGACACAGCATGCTTATTGAATTGTGACAAGATGTACTTTTCTATGCCACAATGTTGTGACGAGATGTGCTTTGATTGACATTGCAGGTTACTATGAAGAACATTGCTTTCACACCCAGGGGATACTGGCAAAGCAGGAGAAATCGATATGATCTGTTCGTCACATTTCTCGGCGTCATCTGGGTGATCATGCATTTTATGATGATGGTGAGCACAAAGCGTCAGAGCAACCCTGCATCTGTCTTGGTATTGCCGTAGATATACGTCGACTCTCCAGTAGAAAATCATGTCTAGCAAGGAAAGTCGACTTGTGCGATTCTGTGCTTTTTCACAGATTAATGCATCAGAGTGTTTTTTGCACTCAGGATCACGAAGTTAACCACATTTTTCTTGTTTATTGTTGCAGAATGACTTCAGTAACTCATTTGGATTTGTTGTGGTTATATTACGTTTCTTCACTATTACTGGTAAACATGTGAGTATCTTTAAGTCCTCTTGCAGTCAGAATTGAGCGGCTTTTTTGTCTTTTTTAAGTCATAACAATATAATGTGTCAGTGTATTCTGATACATCACTACTGTGTGCTTTAGATTATTATTTAAATTATTATTTAGAATATTATTATTAGGTAATGATTATAGAACTTTTGTATCACTGCTTTAGGGAGTTGTAAATCTGGTAATTTTATTTTCTGACATTTTGCAATTTTTTATCCAAGTACTAGAAAAGCTAATTTTTTTACTGTCCCTGGATGTTAGTTTGTCCTTTTAAATAATGAGCCTAATAAAATTCTTTGAAGTGGTTGTAGAGAGACATACTTTTCAGTTTTAAAATGTACTACTTTGGCATAACTAACAAAAGTAGATGGTGAGGCTGAAGTTGGAAGACATAGGTCAGGGATTGCATGTGATGTGTGCATTAGAGAAATAAAATAAGATGAAGGATAAGGGGAAACTGAATGTATATAACAAGTTTTCTTTATGTAGGACAGTAGTAACTGAATAGTCAAGTCAGGAAAAGGCCTATTTTTCTGAGTGGGCCTAAATTTGATTTCAATGCGTTGCTTTCTTGTACTGTGAAGAAAGTGCACACCAACCTCGCCAATATCTGCGTATGTTAAAATTGTGAAGCTTTAGTTGGTGCTAATGAATGCAGCGGTACAGTGGAAAAAAAAATATCAGTAGTAGGCACTACTACTAGTGTTAAGCTGTAGTCATTGAATTTAAATTAAACTAATGATTCATGTTTTCTCTTAGAGCAGGTGGACATGCAGGTGCCTACAAAAAACAAGAAGAACATGACTGACGCTTTATAACATTCACTGTTCTTGCTATCTCGTATTTTCAGGCCACCTTGAAGATGTTAATGCTGACTGTGGTGGTCTCCGTGTACAAAAGCTTTTTCATCATCATGGGCATGTTTCTTCTCATCTTGTTTTATGCTTTGACTGGAGTCATTCTCTTCGGGAACGTCAAATTCGGGGAACACATTGGAAGGTGAGTGTAAAGAACTTGCTCATACCTGCTCACACAAAGTTATCCGTATTACACATACACGCAGCACATGTTCCTACTGTATATTTTACCTGACAGAAGAGGGAAACCTTCAGAGCGCATCATTTTCTTGTTTGTTTGTTCATAAAATATACTTGCATTGAAGTTACAAGATGTATGCCGCTCAGCAATTTCACAAATCTCTGAAAAGCAGTTGTTTCAAGTGTTACCATATACATATGCTTAGAAATTTACCTATGTGAAAGTATGCAACTCTCTATTTTTGGCTGGTATTCATAGATGGGACATGAAAAACGTAAGCTGAATATGTACGCAGCCTTGAAGTTCTCAATTGAGTGCAAGTCAAGGCTGGTGTAGCAATAATGTTAAAGTTTACCTATCAGCTGCAACCCATTCCAGAAAGAAAACCTACATCAACTGTGCAATCATATTAACAGGTTATTTTTGCAACTAATTTGAAACCATTCACACATTTGGCACTCAGGAAATGTAATGTTTACAATTGAGGTTGCTGAATGGGTGCAACATGACTCAGCTGCACCAAATTGCTCCATCATCAAACAGGGGCACAGAAAGCTAGCTTATCATCCTGCAAGTTTGCAGCACTGAGTCACTTCATGCTTCATTTCATGACTATAAATCCACTTTTAAAAGTTTGCTCACTTTGCTATTGCACCATCAAGGTCAAAACGTTTGATTTGCTTGCTTACTTAGTAAGGTTCATCTTGAACAGCATTTTGAATTCGGCTAAAGCACATTTTCAAGCTAGTTCACTTGTATTCATAACAACATAGTGCACTGCGACTATAGTGTCAGAGAAAAAGATGACACACACACACACGCAGTGCTAATCTGCCTTATTGTTACTTCACATTAGGGTTTTATTATGTTACACTATATTGACTAGTGTTATGATGTGTTTTCTTGTTTTATAATATCCCAAAGTTCAATCATTTATGTACAAAACTGTGAGCTTGTACTTTGCATGAAAATGTAAAAACAAGGTTATTGAGCTTTTATTTTGATAATCACTTAGGGAATTTGTTGATGAACGGATAAACCACAACAGTGTTACAACTTGCTGCTCCTACATTTGCGGTGTTCTTTAACATGTGTCCACCGGCTAACCAACACCTCATGCTTCGTTCCTTGCCTTCACCCTGTTTAGTCCAGGCCTGCACGGATAGTTATCGACCGTGTTTTTCGTTTCGCAGTCTTGCGGGATTTTCATCTTTCTGTTTGCTGCTGATCCAGACTGGCGTACTTTTTGAGCTTCTTCTCTCTTTTCATGTATACTGGTTCAGGCAAGCAAACTTTAAAACCGCCCCCAACGGAATGGCTATGCTATTCAGGATAGTCACCGGAGAAGACTGGAACAAAATCATGCACGATTGCATGGTAAGGACTTGCGTACACATGCTATCAGTGCATGTTGCATATGTTGTTTATAAATGTCAAACAAAACAAGTGTATACTTTTTTGCTATCACGTGCAATGCAACTTACAAGTAGAAGGGAAAAATCGGTCTTTTAGCTGAACTAGCCCACTAACAAGAGAGAGTTTTAGCCCAGCTTGCACATTCTAATATGTTCCTTAACACAAGCGGTCTGCAAACACTTGTACATAATCTGCTCTGCCTTAAATAAATGCAAGTGCAAAAGAAAACTTGCAAGTTTTTTACAATGAGAGCCAAGGTAATACATCTCAAGGGAGAGCAAAGACATCATTATGCCGAAACATTGACATATTTAGAGCCCAAAAACTGACAGTAACGCTGATTACATTCATAGTTCTGTACCAGCTTACATGCTTTGAATAAACAAAAGTTAATGTGAGGGTACTTAATGTGAAATGATGTATATAAGCTATTGTATGAGCAGAAATAATAATGAAAAAGAGATGACTCAGGATCTCGTGCTTGCGCAAACAGGCTCAGAGTCAGCACTCTTGTGTTGTGCTTATATTTAGTATTTCAATATGCTTCTAAACTGATTGTCTTCAAATAATAATGCAATAAAATAAATATACGATACAAAAGTATTAGTACAGGATTACCACTGCGGTTCAAATTAAAAATTAAAGTACTCGCTTTTTTTTTCTTTTCATGCTTCAGGTCAGTCCTCCGTATTGCACCCTTGCTGCCAACTACTGGGAAACAGATTGCGGGAACTTCACTGGGAGTCTTATCTTCTTCTGCTCTTTTTACGTTATTATTACTTACATCGTGCTTAACCTTTTAGTGGGTAAGTCCAGAATGCTTAGCAACTTGCCAAATGTGATTGTGTGTAAACACTATTACGTCAGTGCCTTGCTCACAATATTTTGGAATGATGTGCAACTTTCATTCATGTCTTTACTTTTGGTCACTTTCAGCCATAGCTTGAGCACACAAAGAAGACTGCAAGCATGAAAACAATAATGAGAACTAACTGACCATAATGCCAAGGAAAGTATAGGGGATGTTATTAGAAGTAATAGTAGTGTAAATGTGTAGACAGAAAAGTGGACGAAAAGATAACTTGCCACCGCCAGGGATCTTTTTATCTACTCCTCCACTTTTTTTCTTCACACATACATTACGATTACTTGTAATAGCATCCCCATACCTTCCTTGGCATCATTGTCTGTTAGTTGTCATTATTATTGTGTCTAACAAAGAAAATGAGCCCCAAAGTTTACACTTCTTTCCTTCAAGCAAAATAATAGTGATATTAAAAGGAGGCTGAATGAAAATATGATCAACATTGATTAGATTGATACATGGTCTGTGTAGAAGTCTGTCACCACTTTCTGTGTGGCAATAAAGGAACCTAGGCTTGTGTGAATATTTGAATGCTTTGAATGCTTCACTTTGATTCGAATTTAAATTATTGAAAATTTCAATTGAAATGAACCAATAGGTGTACATTTATACGTATGTAACTTTTTTGTAAATGTTGTTTCACTGCAGTGTATGAATGCTAAGCTGTAAAAAATTTAACTCTTCATAAAAGTGTTTTCACGGCACTAACAAAATTCTAAGCCGTGAAAACACCTATCTAAGTCGATTCGGCATTGTCCCAAAGCCCCATTTTAAGGTTAAATGAAGTTATGAACATATTGCCACAAGGCAGTAGTGGGATTGGGGCATAAAGCGGTAGAGGGTCTCTGCAATGTAAGAATATTACCCTCACATTTATTTATTGTTTTGAAGTTTAAAATCTTGTTATACTGGCTTATATGCTCTTAGTACAGTAAATTTGAAAGTGTAACATACTTTACAGGTTATCACTTGCATTCTACTGAAAAATAAATCCTGCTTCTATTCAAAGTTGTTTCCACTTCTTTTGAACCAAAAAAAAAAGCATTTGTGGAGGCCTTGTTTTAATTTCTAAAAAACATTGTGCAGCTTAGTTAGATCATGGCAAATGTGTCATCACCTAACTTGATTCGATTCGAAATTATGCGACCAAAATCATTATTCCCTTCGAATTCGCTTTGAACCTGAAATCTACTAGTATTCGCATGAGCCTAAATGAATCTGTTGAATCAAAAATTACCAGCAAGAGTTCTTGGTACCGCTGCTTAGCTTCAATCGCCTGCTCTAAAAACAGGGTGCCTGATGTCAGAATTTCTGCTGTCGCTTTCTGCTAATTGGTGGGCATCTCTGCAAATGCTACAGTGTGTAGATTCTACCGGCGCTTGTTTTGAGAAGTACTGTTAGTACGCCTGAGCGACACAGAGACGAAACATGTTGCTGAGAGTTTCAATATCAACTAACTTTATTGTTCGTTCAACTTGGTAATCTCGGGGGACCGGTCCCCTCTCTTCTCCCTCTCTGCACCTTTGTTGCCAGTGCAGAGGGAGAGAAAGGATTGTCGGTCTGTAACACGCTGTTAGCGTTACCTGCTGTGCGGTGGTGCGATTGCAGTTCACCACAGTATAACAAATAGCCTCAGTTTGGTGCAGGAAGGTAGTGGTGAGGGGCACTAGCCTCTCTACCTTTGTAGATGTCCCAAAACAGCTCTACTTATTCCGACAGCTTATTAGCATTCAGCCCGGTATCAATAGAATTTTCATGGCACTTAAATTGTGGTTTAAGTGTGCCTGACTGTGTTCTTTTTGCACCATTATGTTTCATTGTTAGTATATGTATTTATTTACATGCAAATATCTATTGTGATGTAAAATTTAATTGTCTGTAGCAGGAATTCAAATTTTTCCTATCTGTAAAATATAAACGTGCCTTGCCTTTAATCTCTATATTTTACACCTTCTTATGAATATTTCTGCACATTCAAATATGCTAATATACTATACATAATAAATAAATTGAAATTTAAGTTTATTTTCACATTGTGCGGTGTTTTCCTACATGGGAATTTCCTCTCATTCTTGTCACTTTTTCAGCTATTATTATGGAGAACTTTTCTTTGTTTTACTCCAACGAAGAAGATGCACTTCTAAGCTATGCAGACATTCGAAATTTTCAGAACACATGGAACATGGTCGATATTCAGCAAAGGGTAATGACCTATGACTTGCAGGTTCTTTTGTGCAGTGTTGTAATGCTTAGAATGTCCTTCTTTGCTTTCTTCCAGGGGTTGATTCCAATAAGGCGCGTAAAATTTGTTCTAAGGCTTCTGAAAGTAAGTGACCTCTTCTGCACAAAACGTTTCCGAACTCTTTATTTGCTTCATTTTTAACATTATTTACTGATGAGCTTCAACGCTTTGTGTGACATTATTATGCTTTTACATCTAGGTATCACTCTTCTTGCAAGCATGGTAAATGCGAGAAATTGAAACTCTGAAGATGCTTGGCCTTCGCTTATAAAAGTAGAATGCTTTAACGTAATTGGATACCGTGTGTATCACTTTCTCAATTGCCAGCCTGGCTTCAGTTCTCAACCACGCCGTAGGAAAATGGCCCGTGGCAGTGGCCATTTCAAACTATCCTACAATGTTTCAAAATGGTCGGTTGTTGGGCTAGTTGGTTTGACATATTGCATAGGGGAGCGTGGGTTTGTTTAGAAGGAAAGAACACACGACAGAAAAGACTCACTTGCAACTGAGTTTATTTAAAAAACCTTCACCCCTGGAAAGCTTATGAGCAAGTGAATTGACAACAGACACTGTCACAAAAAGATTTCAAAATCGCTCCAAAGTCCAGTAACAATCTAAGATAGCTTGAAGGGGGATACACTTAATCAGTTCAAATATTTAACTGTTTCAAAATAAGTTTTTTTTCTTCATAGTCTAGAGGTTTTACAGGTTGATCAGATTAAAATTGCAGCAGACATATGCATCAGTGTGCCTTCGGTGCATTTGACGATGCAAAAAACAAACTTCATTTACAGCGATTAAATGCTTAAACCAATTAAGTGTACCCCCTTCAATCTATCTTACATTGTTTCTGCATTTCCCTGTGATATGAAAATTTTTTTCTGATAGTGCCTATTGGCAATGCATTGATGCATAAGCTTTCTTGGTGTAAAGCTTTTCCAAATAAACTCAGTTGCAAATGAGCATCGTTTCTGTCGTGTGTTCTTTCTTCGTAATCAAATCGGCGCTCCCCTATGTCAACATATCCGTGAATGTCTAGTGCAAGCACATTTGTCAAGTGCCCACTACTCCGTAATTATTCCTTTTGTGAATCAGCAAAGGCCTCACTACACATTCGTAAGACAGCACACATACCTGTGCAGCTGCTCACTTTTTTGATGCTTTTGCAGCTGATGATGATTAAATATGTCTCAGTGCTTTGTAATGGGTGGGCTTTTAAAATGTTTACTTGTTAAGCAATGCACATGTTTTGATGCCTGGTGTGATTTTATGCTTCTGCCATGCAATATTACATGCCTTAACAGGACTCGTTCCACTAAGTGACATTCATACTAGCTCATTTTTTTTTTTTTTTTCATAGCAGTTTCAAGCGATAATGTAGCTCAGTGGTAGAGCATTTTGCTGAAACCGAAACTTCTATAAAATTAGCTTTTTAACGCTATGCATACTGTTAAAAACTCTAGTTTAGAGTAGTTGCATGTGTGTAAATATTTGGTGAAGGCTAGCTTGTCAGCTAAGTGAAATTAAGTGAGAGATGCTGAACATATGGCAGGGCTTCTATGTTTTCTTTCTTTCATTAGTTTTTTTTACAACGAAAGTTGTTATGAGATCACAACATGGGTCACGCACCGCCACTGCCGCCGGTGTCCGTAACTGCTATCGCACGAAATGAGAAAAAGGACAAAGTGGGATTCGAACTAGGGCCCACTGCTTGCCAGCCCGGCATTTTATCACTGAGCCACACTGATGCTTGGGACTCATTTGCAAACTTGCCCTAGTCAGGCTTGATGTCGGAAAAAGAATCGCCTTAATATGAGTAATAAAATGTTACACACCAGCAAAGGAACAACCAGGTGTCAGATAATGCGAATTGCACAATGAGTGGGCTGTCGAATGCTCCAACCTTTTACAAAAGCTTGATCTTGTCCACCTATAGATGGCCCGCACGTGATGTCAGGGACACAGTTTCTGAAAAGAATTAGTGCTACATGATGGTTGCTTCGATCACAAACAAGTTGCTTCTATGTGAAAACAACGCGGCAGGAACGTTTCTGTACATGAATAGTGAAAAAATCTGCATTTGATGTTTTGATAATGTGAAATCGGAAACGTCACGTTCTTACATGCTGGTGTTTCAGCATGGCGCTTTCAGTGACATCGGTGCAAGCCATCCATTCACTGTGGCACATACCCACTGTGGGGGGTTTTGGGGATTACAAAAGCTTCTGGCATAATTCTTCATTGTCATCAGCTACAGCACACAAAAATTGCACAAAGTTCCTTACAAGTGTACAGCAGGTACCACGCTTTTCCAAAGTATGACGAAGAATAGCATAGTGAATGCCTGCCTACTATGCAATGAATAATGGCATAGTGGGTACCCTGCAAGTGTGCTTGCAGCAGCTATTCATATAGTGTTAAAAGAGGCTCAAAAAATGCCCTCTTCTAACTTTCGCTGTGACAGTGCTGCACACTCAGTGCAGGCCTGGCAGTTTTCTGCTTGCACAGCTCTCACGTAATATACACATAAGTGGCTTTGCTTTTGTTTTCAAAGGGCCGTCTTGAAGTGGATCCAGAAAAAGACAGGCTGCTTTTCAAACACATGTGCTATGAAATGGAGCGCCTCCACAATGGAGAGGATGTGACATTTCACGATGTGCTCAAGTAAGCGCCATTGCTTTCATTCAGGTTGTAGGGAAGGATAGTGTATATGCAGAGAACCTTGACTATGCTTGCTCTATGTAGATTGTGAATTTGTGACAAAAAACAGCTAAAAAAGTGTGTACCACAAAAATGTGCAATAACTTGTCAGTTAAAGTTAAATTGCATGTGATAATGAAACAGTGTGAACAAAAAAAGGGTTAATTTTTTTAGGGGTTCAGTTCTTTAATAGACCCAACCAAAAGAATTCAACAGGCATTTAGACAGGCATAAGGTACATTAAGTGTTATATTTATTCGGAGAGTACCGTATTTACTCGATTCTACCGCGCCCTCGATTGTAACGCGCACCCGATTTCCACCGCGAAAAAAAAAAAAAAAACGTAAGACATCGATTGCAACGCGCACCCATTTTTTTTCGCTGGCCCGCACGATCACACCACTCGAAAAAACGATTCCTTTCGGAATTGTCTTCCATCTAAATATGAGGTACGGGCGAAGCTTGTGCCCATCTGACGTGTAACAGAGCATTGCCGTCACTGTAGTTTTACCGTGGACCGATGTCAGCACGCGAACTTGCTTTGCCCCCTTCTTCTCGACAGTTGTGGTGCCAGGCATGTCGAAGTAAAGAGGCGTCTGATCGGCATTCCAGATTTGCCCAAGCAGGTAGCCGTTGTTGCGCCGCAAGTTTAGGACGAACCTCTGAAAACTGTAAAGCTTTTCATCGTACTTCTCCGCAAAAGTTTTCGCATATGCATGTTCCCCTTCGAAGGGAAGAGCCTTTCCTCTTCATAAAGTTAGTTAGCCAGCACCTGCTCGCTTTAAACTGGCTCCGCATTAGACCTTTTTCTAAGACTAATTGCATAGCCCGCACTTGGAGCAGTTCTGTCGTCACGGGCCGCTGTGCCGCTCGCTCCTCAAGCACATACTCGCGGAGCAGCTCTTTAATTTGCGGAAACCGACCCTGCTGTGGTTCACTGAAGCCTTTGCGTGAAGCTTTGCTGTCGACAATCTTCTGCTTTTGTTTCCGCCGGTCCCGCACGCACGTTTCGGGAACGACCGCGATGCGGCCTGACTTCCGTCCGTTTCTGCACACGCGATGACTTTTCTTTTAAAAGCGGCATCGTGGAGCACTTGAGTTTTTGGAGTCGGCCCTTTCACGTCGTCGATGCTAATGCACTACTAGATGACGAACTCCTCAGCACACGTACGAAGTGCCGCACATGGTAAACACATAGGCAGAAATAGCCGACGCACCATGCCGACGCACGTAGGGGGCGGCCATTTTGGATTTGCGATGGCAATAGATTGACCGTAATTTTTTGTTCGTACTCGATTCTAACGCGCGTGCGATTTATGAACTCGCTTAACCGGAAAAAAGGTGCGCGTTAGATTCGAGTAAATACGGTAGTAATTATTATTTGAATTTAAATAAATTACGATGGATTAAAAATCGCACACTTCATCAGTGGGATCCGGAACCACAATTTTCGCATTATGCATACCATGCTCTACGCAATGGGGGGCAACACCAATTCAGCTAGGATGGAAAGTGGTTCCTCATCTACTTCGTTGGGTAGTGAACAAGGAAGCACCTTGCGTTGCAGCTCAGTTGGTAGAGAATCGGATATGTAATTTGAAGGTTGTGGGTTTGGATCCCACCAACAGAAAAGGCGGTTCTCCCCCCACTTTTGAAACATTTCAATTTACGTTGTAATTAGTACACTACAGTTAAAGACAGCAGTTGATGTCCCCTATGCTTTCTTCAGCCCAATTGAATGAGATGCTACATTTTAAAACACGATGACCTGTGCAGCATGTTGTCGTACCGGTCAGTGGATATCCGCAAAGCCCTGCAGCTGGAAGAGCTGCTCGCCCGGGAGGAACTGGAGTACCTCATTGAAGAGGAAGTGGCCAAGCAGACCATCCGCGAGTGGCTAGACAAGTGCCTACGAAGGATCAAAGCGGTGTGTTGCTTTCCCCATATTCTTCCCCCTTCACATCAGCAGTGCACTGGCACTTTGCTTTTCCTACCTGATGTGCTGGCACTTTGATTCCTACCCAATGTTCAGAATTTGCTCAAATACGTAAGGGCAGTACAGCACCAGGTAAAGTTAACTTAGAAATAGCACAACATCTTGGAAGGTAATAAAATTTTGCATTACATTTGTTTAGAAAGTGGTTTTGAGGGCAGTGATTTTTCACCCAACAAATCGTAGCAGTAGTTTCACTGACTGTTCACAAATTGGAAGAATTTATTTGTTTTTAAGGAAGTCTATCTCTCTATGAAAGCTTTGGAGGCTCATAAAGAAAAAAAGTTTAAGATAGTTTACTGGTTATCCTTACTTAGGTATCCTTACAGTGTAAGGATATGTAATCAAGAAAGACAAGAGAGACACAGACAGTGCTGCTGAAGCTTTGTGTCTTGCTTCTTTTGTTTCCATGTAACTTTATGATATAAGCAATGTTTGAGGAAATCATAGGCCCCAATTTTATAGGCAAAAATTGTAAAAGCCCTTTTTGAGACTGTATTTCGTTTTTCATTGCGACCCATATAAGACTGATCCTTTCGCACGTATCTGTACAGCAAAGGTTTCAGCAGAAGGAGCAGAACAGCCTGATCCACAGCCTGCGGGCCACCAACGAGGCCCTGTTTCCAGGGGGCATAGGTGCAGAAGCTGCACCAAACAAGCCCTCCACCTCAGAAGCCCTGAAAGATGAGGGGAAAGACGAACCCTCATCGTCCCTAAGGCTGCGCAAGAAGGGCCTTGGCGCGCGCTCAGACAGCATCTCCTCACAGGTTGGTTGCCCAAAATTAGCATTGCTGCCTGGGTTGCATAGGCTCTGCAAAACACTTTATTCCTTGGCGTCATCAGTCCCAAGGAGACCATCCAGGGAATAAACTGCTCTTCTGAGTCAGTTCTGATTGTAATATTAGATCTAAAAAACTGATTATTTGCTTATCATTGCTGTTTGATACTGAAGGCAGCATCTACATTTACGTTAAAGTAATATAGCTGTCTCTTTCAAATAGGCGTGCTAAAGAACATTTTTGCTGTCCTGAAACTAGAGGTGAAGGTGCAGCTTTTCAAAACATGTTGTTGGGACAGTTAGTTAAATCTATATTGAAGTGGGAACCATGCGACCCAAAGCAAAGAATTCAGGACAGCAAGAGATAACTGAAGACGCAGTGCACTATTGAGACATACGAGAAGCCAACCAAATCTGATAAAAGCAGGTATGAACAGGCTTTCCTCGTGCCTGGTTTGTTTCTCGTGTGTTTCACAGTATTTCTTTAGTCTCTCTTCGAAGGATTGAGGACATCAATTATGCCCTCGATCCTTTTAAAATTTGAATGTTTGTAGCAGGGAAGAACGCAGAGCAGCAAAGCAGTATTTTCATATACTCACAGGGAGGCCGCAAGTTTCTTATTCCTTCTCTCTCGGAAGGCACCACCAGAGTTGAAAAGGAGAGGTTCCAAATGAAGAAATGGGCCACGCGCCCAGTTGGTCAGTATGCACAGCTGAAATATTTTGCACGCACACATAATTGTGTACTGCCGTGGAGGCTGGGTTGGCATTGTGCATGATTTTGTATTACACAGTATGGCTGTCTAATTGCCATAAGGCCATTATGCATTGCACATGCCTTTTTACTACCTTTAGCAGTTAAAAGCTAGTGACAGCCATATTACCAGAATAAGGGGTGCCATCTTTCTGAATGCATATGATTGTTTTTATGTATTCATAATTTCCCAAATGCATACTAGATTTCACTGATACTACACTGAGCTACATCAATTGCAAACAAATGCCGGCATGCTATCAAGTTCACAACATTGCCGGCGTTTTACAGGCAAGCTTAGAACAGTGAAATTTTATTGATGTACGGGATGCATTCCATGCATCGAGTCCGCTCAAGATGGTTATCACTGTTAAAAGTGAATGACAAGCAGGATTCCCTTCAGAGGCACTTCTGTGGGTGTGTAATGAAGCAAACTTACAATGTATGGTGTACCATTGATGTTCTATGTGCATGGGTTTAAAAAATGTATGGGAAAGTTTGTACTAATGATATTGCGCTTACGATAATATATTCTACATAAAATTTTACTTCACATTTAGCAATATCTGGTACATTTCCATCTATTTAGATTATGAAATCTCTTTGTTCTACAATTACCTGAGGAATATCATTGTAGCATTAAGAAAACAGCACTTAGCAGGCACATGAAACACTGTTGTTCAAATGCTGCAAAAATAATAGACATTGCGAGTTCAGGGCAACGCTGGTGAAGTCCCTGTCCTCTGAAGTCCCTGTCCTACAATGGCCTTTAGATAATGATGGATTGCTGATGCACTGCTTTTGATGGCTGCCTGTGTGCCTTTGGCAGGCACCAAGGGCCTGCCAGACGTGAGTGAGGGCAGCGAGCTGTCGTCGCCCACGCCTGACGAAGAGGAGAACAACAACGGGGCTGCGGGCTACCGGGCGCTCCGCATGAGCTCCCTGGTCGGTGAAGTGCATGACTGGTGGGGCTCCCAGCTCGAGCTGTCGAGCGCCTCCGACTCGGATGCATGACGCTGCCCGCCATTCCCTACCTACACCGCCTCTTGTGCCACTGCCGAGACGCGATCGCGCGACAGCCCCCTCTCACTCTGACCCCTGCCACATAGCTTCTCCCAACGGAGGGAGGCCGGGCAGCAAACACTGGTTTTGACAGACACTCGTAGAGTGTGCAATGGCGCAGTGCCGAAGTTGGCTCTTGTAGGCTGTGCCTGTTATGAGCAATTTTACACCTCTGTTGATGTTTAGCGGTTTCCTCATGCCATTTACGAGGTAAAAGCCTACAATATATATATTTTTTGCAGCCACGCTGCTTGTCAGCACGGGCACATTCTGCATGCATTCATTCAGAGTGCACATGCATTCCTTCTTGTAAAAGCAAGGAAAGCTAGTTTTCTCACGATGCAATCATAAACGCTTCGTATTTATTGCGCAGATGCCTGTCCTCTATGATTATCAGCGAAATAGCGCATTTTATGCAATGTGAACAGGCACGACTTGCCACATGTTGCAGTTATTTACCGACTGTACTGCATGCACTCATCGTAGGGGGGGAAGGTGACACAGTGCTGAAGTTTATTATCAGCAAGTACACCTCCTTACAGTTTTGAAAACAACACTTGGGTTGTTGGTCCTAAGAATCCACTTGTTTGCAGGATAAGATATGTGCATGATGCAAAAAATAAAAAGGCAATCTATTAATAGTATAAAATAATCGTGTTTTTCAAACAGCAGGTTTCTTTCCTACTTTCATATTATAGGGCTCAGAATATATTGTTGCATTACTGAATTGAGGACTGCATTTCACGTGTTATGGCCAGCACTTGTTGTTTTTGTATTCCATCATAGAGGGTTACAATAAGATCCAGACGTCAGCTGTGCCTGTTTATTTGAAGCAGTTTCTTTTATTGTTGTCTACACATGAGAATTTCAAGCAGAAACACTAAAGAACACTGCAACTGTGTTGTGTTCATGAGCTTTTTTCCATGGGTCATTCTCTCAGGCACTGGCGCATTGAGAAAATTCTGGTGTGCCTGTACCGTTGCACATTATACGAAGTAAGAACCCTAATGTTGCATGAAGGGACACGATTTTTTGCCTGTCAGCAAGAAAAAACCCACAGAGATGACAGTTGATGGTAAGCATGCTCACAAATATAAATCGACGACGTGTAGTCATCACAGAAAGAGCATAAACAGCACACACTGCTACTGATTGCTCGCTGACATGGTGTAGAGACAGTAGGCTTCAATGCCGAGCCAAAATATCTAATGCTTATTGAGGAAGCTACTCTGTGCCAGTCAGCATAAGTGCATAAGTGTTAGCAACACAATTCGTCAAGGACTGAGAGTGTCAGCACGTGTTATGCAAACCATGCTCCACAACATCAACTATGGGCCATCATGATTATTTGAAAAAACTCAATGGACTTGCACACTTGCAAGCATTATCTGGTATTCATGCAACAATATTGTAATTGCTGCTTGCCCCTCTCCAACTCAGAGAAGTAACCCTTTTTATATAAACGAAATCGATGGCAATACTGCAGACATGTTTCTTACCATTAATAATGAATGTTGAAACACAAGGACGCTTGGACAGGAAGCTTGTTCCCCACGTAAACCACAGTGCATTAGAGACGACTTCGCTGAGAGGGGGCTGTTCGACGATTGCGTCAGTGCGGTGGTTCACGCTTTTATAGACATGAAACACCAATGATAATGCCTGCGTTGGGTGAGGAACTAAGCTTGTCCATCTACATCTTCTAAGGCTACTGTTGAATGAAACTGTTCTTGCATATAGCTGGTTGCCCTGCAATGGTCAGTGCAGAATTAACTATGAGTAAATAATGTCCAAACTGTCACACAAATGTTGCACGCTTCTGTGGATGATGAAATGTTAAATCAGTAGTATTTTTGGTTAGCTGTATCAAGCTATTTTCAATACTTTGGCCAAAACGGCATGAGAAAACCGTTTTGAGTGTTTAGTGCATTTCCAGTTTTGGGATATTTGGGTACAGATATAGTGGTATAGTACAAACATGCAAGTTCTTGCAAAAGCTTATTCCTAACGAGTCTCTCACTGTTAGATATTCTTGTCAACCAAAAAAGTCAATAGCTAGCAGTTCCTGCCTTGATGGTTGGTTTTTTGCTGTGAGATGCATTTGAATGTGTTGAGCACCTGTTTTATGTTTGGCATGCCTAAATGCTGATCTTGATAGCTCAATAGTTTCTTAAAGAATTTTTTTTTTTGGTGACATAAAAGCTAGAAACATTGAGAGCCTTCATTAATCATACCCCCCACTGGAAGTGCTCACACAAAAAGAACGATTAGGGTGGTCTTCCTGAAAGATTCCAAATAGTTTTAAAGACCTTGCCTTTAGAGCACATGTGCATACAAATGAGGCTAGAAAGCTTTATTACATAGATTGATATTAAGTATGCTTGTGGTGACTGCTAACAAGTCACAGTTGGTTTAGTACCGAAAGGCCACGCAACTGTTGGCGTTGACCATTTCCCTCACAAAGTTTGCGCAACGAGCGTGGTCTTTGAAGCGCCCACTTGCTAGCATTTGTTCTGTGCCAGAAAGAGTCACATACACTCCTTCATGTAAGTCATTTGCTAAGCAACTACTCTTGCATTACTAGCACTTTGTACGAAAGCTTTCGCACACTGTCACATGATAAGTCTTTCAAATTTGACTGCACTTATCTGCTTTCTTGTTCTCCGACTCACAAGTGCAATGCGCGAGACCATGTCGTTTACTTTCAAAGGCGGTGTTTGAACACTTTGCACAAAATTCAACGCAGAGGCATGGTAATCATGTTCCATGTGCACTTCCAGGACGCAGACGGTTTGACGAGTGCGTCGCGTCTGAAACCACACGAAGTGTTTTCTTTCTCGGAGCACCTGTTGCATTCTCCCACTGAGCTGTTCGGGAGAACTGGTGAGGACTCATTGTTTCTCGGCGTCATGCACATGTTCTCAACGTTGGTCCATTTTTCCGTTGGTTGTTGACATGTAGTACGTACGTGGCGCGTGCTGTGGTAGTTTAGTGCAATATGTTGTTGTGTTCTTGTTTCCTCTGTTTGTCAGGCTTACTGCACTGTTGTTGACGCTTTGAAGCCATGTTTTCAATAATACAATGTCCACCACAGTGAATATATGTAGCACTCCACAGCCAATCACGAGCAAGTGTTGAGCAAACGTTTCGTTCGTCCATAAAAGAAAAAGCTTTGCAAGCAAGCAAGCGAGCAAACTGTAATCCATCCAGTCACGTTTTATGAGTTGCCCAAGAGTCATTTTATGCATTTTTTATATGTGTTTTGTAACATGCACTGGTGGTGGCCTATCTTTGGGAAAAAAGACAGCATATGCTGCTCACTATGCGAGTTTTCCAGTTTTTGCAAAGCCAGCTACTGAGCTGTATGAAACCACGCACACAAATTACCTGATTCAGTAAGTGCTGTCTATTCCACTAACCTATCTGTCCATGCCATTATTCTTTTTGCTGAAGCACGAAAGTCTAAACGTTTGCTTTTTGAACAGTACTTTTTTTTATGTATGTTTGGAGACAGCTTCCGAGAACCCTAGTAAACTTCCATGTTGCACAGGAATGTGCTGTTACGGGAAGATACACATACGGTTGGTACATATTTGATTTCACAGCATGTACTCACTGGTAAGACAAAAATCGTATTACTTCAATAATATCTGTTAACCTGCCACTCTACATCTTACAATGAAAACTGAGTTTGTTAACCAATGATTAACCAACTGTCAGCTCTTGGCATTTAACAGTGTTATGTAATTACTGATGCACATTTGTCATACATAGCTGAACAAAAGCATCGACGTATTTCATTTTACACTGAAAATGAGCAAACGTGTTGGCAAGGTGCACCAGACAGCAACTTGGAGCACTCAAACAATGAAAGAAAAAAAGCGACTGCAACGTCCTCTCGTCTGCTGTCGCATTAGGTGGCGCAAGATTGAGCAGTGACGTTTTAGCGCTAATACTATACAGATTTTAAGTAAATTCTGGAATGCAAAGCATACTCTAACTCGCAATATCCGCAGTCTTCAAGAAAGTAGCAATGTGTAAAGCTTACTGTTGCATTGCCAAGACTTGCTGCTTGATGTATGAACTTAGATGGCGTGCTTTGCGACTCAAGGGACAAAAAAACGTTTTGGGTGCACGGCTGGCTTGCTAGCGCAACTTGTGGTGTGCCAATTTCGTGTAGCAACGTGCTGTGCACGAATCTTGTACTGCCTGATACATCTTTACCTGTGTTGCTAATTGGCTGTGAGACTTCGACGTGTGCTGTAACGATGGCTCTCAATGTATGTACATTTTCTGTCGGCCGTTCCTCTTGGAAACAAGATGAAACGAAACTCTGCTACTTACAACATGCTCTACCGGTTTATTTATTATCATGATTACGCTTAGTTTTTCCTGTTGAACTTATTGAAAAACTCCTCTTCCAGACCTATTTGCTAGACAGGTTACAAACAGCTTGTTCAGCAGGTCCTCAAGGGAATATTGCATTTCGTAAATTCGCAATATTTCGAGCCACAGAGCCAACGCGAGCATGCGTCAAAGTTTCTCAGACAATTTGTGAATGATGTTGTTGTTCTAGGATATGCAGCCTTGTTGTGTTGCTGGTTGTTCTGTGGAAGAGTTCGGCATTATCCCTTGAACCGCGAGTCCGAAGTTTCACTTCCTGGTGGATAGTTATTGTCATGGTTTAGTGCTCTGGTTGCACAGTTGTACTGCGCTGCGCGAATCTGCTGCCATATACTTAGCATGGGAAAATTGATTGTTTGACCGGGAATGTTTCTTGTTAAGCAGGGGACGCCTTGTGCATGCTTTGGAATTTTTTCGTTCCGAGAGCATAGTCCAGTTCGTCGTCTTTGATCTTCCACGGGATTCTTGCAGCATATTTCAGTGGTAGTGAAGTGGCAGCCGATAACCAATCTTCAGGCTTGCAAGCCAGGCGTAGCGAACTTGCAGTATCTTTACTCCACGTAATAGCGGTAGAGCAGCTACATACAAGTGCCACAGTACTAAACAGCACTCAAACATGGTTTTTCGGCTCTTTTTAGTACAGCTTGTAACACGTCCTGTAGAAAGTATAAATTGTTGTCCATGAGAAGTGTATTTACTTCATAGAATCAATAAAAATATTTACCATAAACAGTGTGCTGCATCTTTCATGTACAGTAATTTTGGAGGTGAATACTTGGTTTCATCAGTGGAAATTCATTCTAAGAGCTTGTGAATAGCTTATGTGCAGCTGTCAAACTTCATTATAATAAAGTCACTTTGAACAAAGCAATAAAGTCACTTTGAACAAAGCTAACTTTCATGCCAGAACCACAGTAATTAGAGGGCAACTCTATATTACTTCTTACCTCCTGGGGTTCTTTCTATGTACAGTCGCACTCAATATGAGTTGCGACACGCTGGCTGTTCTTAAAGTGACCCCAAGCCTGAACAATAAGACCAAGAAGTGTTAAATTGGTTCAGACAGTACTGTAAACTGAGAGAGTTTAATTCACCAATTTTTTCACACGTAGATGCTGATTTGCATTGTTGGCGACATTATGAACCGAGACAGTATGGTGCAACTCATATTTAGGGTTACTATACATGTAAATAGCTACACTAAGTATACACTGAGTTTGATGTTTCTTGTAAGCGGTACCGTAGTTACACACAACTATTCAGGAGGCACATTTTATACTTTCTTCATTATACGATCAAAGAAGCCTAAAGCAAAACTAATCGTACAATACCTGGTTGTTATTTTACTCTTCTACCACACTATACTGCATCCGTTAATGCACTTTCTTGCCCAACATCATGTCTGTATCAAATCGTTTTTAAATGCATTCAAGCATGAGCTTGAACGCATTGTGAACTGGCTGTTAGTATTTGTTAGTAGGCTGTAAAAAAAAGGGTGTCTCTGCCTAGCACCTTGCACTAAGTACTCCTGTAAGGGATGTTGCTAAAGCAATACATATATTTTTAAAGACGATAGTGTTTCTTAAGATAATTGAACGCAGAAGTTTTGGTTTGTCTTTTTGTCTGTCACACAAATCAGCCACCCAGCCAACGTTTAAGCACTTCCTCAACACCCAGCCATCTTGAACTGGTGGCCGCATTCATACTTGTGAACATTGTCGATCAAAAAGAAAATATTACCCATACCTGAGGCACAACATAAAAAATACGCATTCGGAGGTGTGTTCCTTTATTAGAATATACGTAGATATGCAATTCTAAAGACACCAGTGTTTCCTAGGCTGCACTGAAAATGCGACTCTACGCACAAAAAAGTCCTCTGCTGACGTTGTGGTTCTGCCACCAGGCAGTGGTCCTCAATTCTGCACAAGCTCATGTTTGCCCCGCCCCGGTGGTCTAGTGGCTAAGGTACTCGGCTGCTGACCCGCAGGTCGCGGGTTCGAATCCCGGCTGCGGCGGCTGCATTTCCGATGGAGGCGGAAATGAAGGAGGCCCGTGTGCTCAGATTTGGGTGCACGTTAAAGAACCCCAGATGGTCTAAATTTCCGGAGCCCTCCACTCCGGCGTCTCTCATAATCATATTGAGGTTTTGGGACGTTAAACCCCACATATCAATCAATCAATCAATCAATCAATCAATCACAAGCTCATGTTTCCTGATGCCACTGCCAGATGGCATCCATATCTCACACAGCGCCATATTGCGGATGAGACCAGCACTCGTGTAGCACGATAGTTTTAGCGAAGCACGCAGATAAGCAGCCCATTTTTGATTGTGACATGTCCTGAAACACGCACACCCATCTCATTGCATCACTGGCAAGCTGCTGCAGGTTTTGGACAAATGCGCAAAAAAACTAATAACTTTTGCTAAATTGTTGTTTGCATTCATCTCAATTGTTTATTTCTTGCATGGGGCACTACCTCTACTAGAAATACTATTTCTCTGTTTTGAAGAAACAAATGGTTTGCCTCAATTGTGCTGGAACAGCCTCTTCACGACCATTCTTCAATAAGCTTGGCACAGGTCTTTCAAAATTATCTGTTGGTTCTCACTTATAAAAGATCATTTCTACCTAGTACTTTCACAAAACCTGAAAGATGCCCTGCAAGATAAAATGCTTTTCATACAGGGCAATGGCAAGTGCACCATATACATACAAATTACGGATGACAAATTACGAGTTGCACACTTTCTAGCTCACTGAACAGCTTTAATGAGCGAAATTCCAGCTTTTAATAAACCTACCACCTGAGTTTTGTGTATTAATGTGCCCAAGTATATAGTTATGCAGCCATCCTTCATTACCTCCTCCTTTCTACAGGGAACATTAATTTATGTTCAAAGTGCATCTTGCATATTATCTCTGCTCACATTGTCACGACAACTTTCAGAGTTTTTTGTGTTATTTTTTGTTGTTGCTGCAGGTTATTTTTTGCTGCACAACTCATGCCACCTTTACTTTTCCATTAAGAAAAGCAAAGTATCCCATTTTTTTACTTTTTATCTTTATACTATAGAGTTGCATGCTTTTGTGTGGAGAGCGAAGCCTGTGATTGAATGCCTGAAAGTAAAAGATACAGTAGAACAGGCCAGCAACAATTCTTTAAGTAGCCATGGAATGAATCCACCAAAGAAGTGTATTGCCTCATGAATTCACCACACAAAAATTTTCAGGATCTGTTCAGTATGAGCGCCCTTACAAAAATTGGTCGCACACTGCAAAGGCATTCTTTCTTCTCTCGTCCCGACGAAAGCGCTGGAAGCTAAGCAGAGAGGGATGCCAAGGGAGAAGAAAATGCGCAATGCATGCCTCGTGCCCTTGAGCAATTTTTCTGTTTTTTTCTTCTATGAAAGCGCAGCTTTTCAGTGCAATCACGTGTGCACGCGCGGACAAGTCCAACCTCCTGCGGCAGCCCAGCAACAACCAAGTGCATCATGCTCGAATCAGCCAGTGGCTGATACTAGGCCTGGGACATGATCATTTTGAACCTGTAGTGTCATTTGTCGAGAGAAGGGAAAGTGACTTTAAGCTGACTGAGAATTTGTAGTAATGTATAGTAATTCATTTATAAACTGAGAATTTACTGTGATTTCAGGCTACGTGCTGCACTATAACTTTTGGCACCAGGTTCTCGAGAACCTAGACTACCAATAGGCAGCGTTTTCTTTTTTAAGAAACTTTGTTGGCACATTCCCTAATAGGCATCTACATTAGGCACAGCATTAAATGAAGGAAGTTTACTGAGGTTACACACGTTCAAACACCAATGAAATGCTGAACTTCAAAGCAGCCAACTCAGTAGTATCTGCACAGAGACAGGAGTGAGGAGTTAGGTTTGTTGGTGATGCGTAACTGTTCACGTAGTGCACAAATCTGACACTTCTCCTGTCTTGTGTCAAATTGTTGTGCTGCGTGAACAGTTATGCACAAGCACACTTTTATATGTCTTTTTCCTAAGGACATCAGCCAAGTTGAGTGTATTGGTCGATGTCACCGTTGTACCATTTTGTCACCGTTGCACCAAAGAGAAACTGACGAGGAAACGCTGCTGCCTGATGGACAACGGTGCTTCGTCATTTGACTAGATGGGGCACTTGACTCCTGCATTTTTCAGGAGTTAAAAAGCAGTGCAAGATGGTCGTCTTCTCAATGAAATAACAAGGACTTCGCAACGGTTGTTCTGGTTGTCATGTGAGATGATTTTTTATTCTTGAACTCAATGCACTCCACTCGTGTCACCACGCACCGCAGATCGACGCAAGCATGTACAAAAAAGGTGAGTGTAAGTATGTGACAACAGGCAAGAAGAACAAAAAAAAAGTGAGCGATCAACCACTGTACAAAACGAAGATGAGTGAAAATCATAACTCAACATGAGCACCATCCCGCACTTTACCTGCAAAAGACGGAGAGAACCATAATTAATAAGAAGCAACAGCTATCTCGTACGATTGGCACTAACTACTATATAGTAGCACGCCACACGAACTACATGCTTTAAGGTTTGCCAAAATCAATGAAAGACTCAGTATTGCTGATTATCTAAATTACACTGACAGAGGTACAGGAACTAACAACTGACAATCACCGATTTCAGCAAGTTGAAAATTGGTGCTTAGTTAAATTGCAAAACCCACTGTTTCGATTTATTCGAGAGGTAAAAATACACGGTCTTAAAACCGGTTTGTTTACGAAACCCAAATTGGTTAATGCTATTATTATTAAATGTTTACGACATTCCTGACCACCATGCCCAGGTAACATTGTGTAGCAGAAAAAATTACTAGCACATGATGGATATTTGCCAGACACCTACAATGCTACAGACTTGTATGTGTCAAAGCAATGCAAAATCGCCTCTTTGCTGCTGTGGTCAGGAACGAAGCCTATATCTCTGCACTTACCAATAAATAAACAGCTGAGTGAAACCTAGCTTCTATAATCTATGTAGTGGTTCACAACAGCTTTGTGCATGATGACATGATGCCCAAAAGGTATTTGAAACAAAGAAAAGCTGTTTACCTTGAAGCAACAATTAATTTCTATAAGCTACCAAAGAGGACCAGTAATACTAAACATCATTGCAATTTACACCAAGGTGCTTCGCATACAACAGGAGTTCAAAGTATGCGCATTCAGTACGACACCTCCACGCTTTGAGACAAGGAGCTAGAGTTTCTTGACAACACTCGTTTTACTTGATTACCTATTATGCACAGGTGAGTGGACATACCCTATAATTATGTGTCTTGGACTGCGTTGAAAGCTTTTCCCCGTGAGAAATAAACTAGCCGTGTTATGACTGGCAGAGCAAGGACATAGCCCAGCAAGAGACAGTCATCGGTGAGCCCAGCTAACACGGTTCATGTCCTGCAGCAACGCGAGAGGTGTCCATGTGCACCACATCGAACGCGCATCGGCGTCATTGAGTCGCGCAGTCGGCGTTGTTGAGCCGCGCAGTTGGCATCAGACAAGAAGCACGTGCATGGACGAGGGTATAAAAAGCGCGTTGCGTGTTCTCTCAGTGCTCTCTCTCTGGCTTTCGCTTGGGGCTGAGGTGTCTCATGTAATGGCATGCCCCGACGCCTAGTCTATTAAACTCCTGTAAATATATAAATAAATTATGTGTTTGTGTCGACAAGAAGCCAAGGGTTCTCCTTCCCTGGCACCTAGGTGACTGCCTGTAGCCCGCTCCTCGATGACATCAACTGGTGGCAGCGGCGGGATCCGGTTCGTGTTCTTTCATGGTGCCAATGCTGGTGAGTGCTCACATTTCGCAGAGATTCTACCAGGTGTTTTGGATAGATAGATGGTGATGTCTTTCCAAAGGGGCAGATTGGTTGCCGCTTTGTGAAGGTAGTGTTTATTGAGTTACCTTCACAGTAGCTTGAGCAACGAAAGTCTGCACTGTTGGACCATGGATTTGAACAAATCAAAGAAACCTCACTTAGTGCTTTTGTGTGAGGAGCTGGATATTGACGTGGCGAAAGCACATAGGAAGCTGCATTTAATACAGGTGATTAAAGATTCCGGCATCGGTGAGGAGAGGATTTGAGATGGTTGGGAGCTCGTACAGGCCAGGTGTAAGGAAGCCGAAGAACAAGAGCGGCTTGCGCTTGAGAGAGAGACCGCCAGGCGTAAAGAGGAAGCTGAAGCTCATGAAAGAAAAATGGAGCGATTGAGACTTGAGCTTCGGATTGTCCTGGCGAAACGTGCCGGTGGTTAGGCTAGAGTAAATGAAGAGATTCTAGATAGACCAGGCACGATAGACTTGGAAAGCGCAGTTGAGCTAGCTGGTGAGTGCAGCGTCCATTGTCAGTCGAAGATGACAGGTGTCCCAAGCATGACAGAGGGTAAAGATGACTCGGTCGTAAAGGAAGGTTTTTCTCAGTTTGGGGCAGATGTCGTATCTCCGACTGAGCAGGAAGAGTGCGCAGACACACTCGCTAAACCAGAAAGACGGCCGGAGGGGCTATCATCAGTACACAGCGACGTGGATAGGTAGGATTGCCGTAGTGAAACATTGAGTGATATGGACAGTCCCGCGGGTAGTTAGGCGTCGTTTAGAAGTTTTAGTGAGAGTCAGAGTTATAAGACATAAAGCTATATGGAATACAGTAATAAATTTGCAAACAGTTATGTAGCAGGCAATAGCAGATTGCCCGAGCACAGTTTCTACAGTGGCAAGAAAGCCGAGGCATTATCTGTAGTTTCTGCTGTTACGGAGGGCACTTCCTCAAGAATAACTAGTCTACCAGACTTTGAGCCAGATGAAGGCCTCAGGAAGCAGGCGGAGGTTGTTCAGGTACTCTTTTCTCCGTGCGCAAAGAGACGAATATTTTGGTTAAATTCCTGTCTTTGCTGCAACATGGAGAGAACTTCCGCAAAGCGTCGTGTTGGTGTAAAGCGAATAATCAGACACGCATCGAAACAAACGTGCTTCAAAGAGGCTTTTTATGCAGGCTTGGTTGAGTGTGTGAAAATGTTGGTTTGGGAGGCTATCACGTAAGCATCATGTTAACTGGTCACCACCGCAGTGCAGGCTTTCGTTGTGCAAAAATTTAAGGAAGAAGCCTTGAAGAATGTTGACACCTGGTGGATCTCAGAAAAGCTGAGCGTTCTCAGTGTTAGTATTGGGTAGAGCATGTCCCTTCCCACCAGGTAGAAGAGAAATCCAGCAATGCCTGCTGGTTCAGTAGCATGGCAAGGTGGACTGCAACTAGCCTCTGCGAACTGCTGACTTTTCAGCGATGCGTCCCACATTTGACCAGGGAAACCAGGCAGCAGTGACCAGGCCACGGCAGCTGTAGAGCTGCATGTTGAAAACAAGCCGCTTTTGGTGTGCTGTGGATTCTGGCACCGCCAAAATGCGCTTGTTGTGCGACCTGTTTTGTGCTGTGTGTGTGTGTGTGTGTGTTGCAGTCGACAACCGGCGTGACGTGTACGGACAATCGCTACGGACCACGTACAAGGGTCTCTTCAGGGAGCAGCGGTACTGCAGCCCTTACGCGACCTCATTGGGTGGCGGACGAGCTGTTATGACTGGCAGAGCAAGGACATAGCCCTGCAAGACAGTCATCGGTGAGCCCTGCTAACACGGTTCCCGTCCTGCAGCAACGCAAGAGGTGTCCGTGTGCGCCACATCAAACGCGCATCAGCGTCGCTGAGATGTGCAGTCGGCGTCGGACAAGAAGCGCGTGCACGGACGAGGGTATAAAGAGCACGTCGCGCGTTTGCTCAGTGCTTAGTTTATTGAACTCCTGTAAATATGTAAATAAATTATGTGTTTGTGTCATCAAGAACCCTCGCAAGGGTTCTTTTCCCCCTGCGCCTGGGTGACTGCCTGTAGCCCGCTCCTCGGTCACATTGGTTGGAAAAGTGGGCCTGTTTTGTTGATTGTATTCCCATGTACTTGTTTAGTTCGCACCAAAAAAAAAGTTTTCTTCCTATTAATATAAACCAACTTGCCCACAAAGCTACGTTGTTGAAAAAAGGGTTTTCTTTAAATACATGCATTTCACATACCCTACCGAAACGTGATGAGAGCTCCGAAATATAATTGGTGTTCAAGTTAGTTCTTATTGCTGACCAATATGTTGGGAATCTTTTCCACTGCCACTATTATATTTCAAAAGCAGCACTTTCATGTACATAGACAACGTAACCCTGCTGTCAAGTTTGATACTTTAGAGACTGCTTTTGTTTACCTATATCCAGACGTGATGACACAATGTTGCGTAGTTGCAAATAATAAATCTAAGTTGCTGAAGCAAGCACACGGTTTCCATTGGAACTGAAACATTTAAAACAAGTAAACTTGTTACCTTGAAGTATTTGTTAAATTAGGCTGCAGCGTTAGCAATCATTTCAACCTGAAAGCCTAATCATTCAGGAAAGCGTACCCACCATCATCAAGCTTCTTGTCCATCTTTTCACTGTCAGCTTTAGCTGTGTCTAACCTAAGTGCGCCGCTCTCGTAGCGTTCCATGAATTGCTTCAACTCTTCATCATAGTCTTTCCACTCCTTGATGATGCGAGCGGCACTCACTAGCTTGGGCTCCTTCGTCTTCGGGTTATTGCACTGAAAATTAGCAAGAGCAAGAACACGGGCATGCAAGGTGAAAACCAGTGCATAGAACTATACCTTAGTATACATTCGGCCTAAACTTCAACTATTGTGCGCAGCGACCACTTTTTATTGTGATAGCAATTATATGGACACTCTCAGCTGGATTTTGCCGCTGGCGTCGCTATATATACACATATATATGTATACGTATATGATACGTACACATATATTCACCGTATATGTATACGTATCTTGTTAAGACGTTTATTGGCAGACTACCGGGACCAACTCTCTGCACGAGCTGCTCTTCTTCTTATAAAAAGGGCGAACCACTAGAAGAAACTGAAGAGGACGACCCACTGTATATATAAAAACACAAGAAAAAAAATAATCCAGAAAAAAACTCCGGTGGGCGCAATCGATAGTCCGACATCTGAGTTGTGAGTGCAAGGCATTAGCCACTAAGCCACGAAGGAGCAACTCTTTCAACGTTCAAACGGCAAGCTATTTATATCTACCACTTACCGCTGGTGATGGGCATCTCGGGGGGAACTATCGTGTTTTCAGCATTACCAGCCAGATGTGGCAACGAGCGCCTGTCACCAGATTGTCACGGCGCGGCGGCGCGCGCTCTCATTTCCCACGCATACTTTGCCCCGCAGAGAGGAGGCAGGATGGACGACCATGCGTGCGCTCACTTATCTCGCGGTAGGGACAATCGCTCACCTTGGGCTTTCAGGAATGATTCTGTTTTGTGTAGCACACAAAGGTCACTGCACTCGTTGCACACTCTTCATTTGCAAAAACAGCGCACTTTTCAGACACAGTGAAGTAAGAACTGAGACGCTTATTCGCGTTCATTTGTCATTTGTGCATGAGAAATGCGAGGCATGTTGCGATTTGCTAGCCATTTTCTTCGCGTGGCCTTCCAATTTTTGCTATTGTGTTAATTGCTTCGCCTTTGCGGCAAAGCTGTGACATCTTTGTCTCTCAGCGCCATATTATCGAGCAAAGTTATAAAAGATTGCTTCATTGCTTTTTTGAAATATAATTCAGTCATTTAACTTTTTTGAAATATAATTCAGTCGTTTAGCAAAGATACACAGAAAAAACTGTCACTCATGCACAATAGCTAAAGATTTGGCCGACTGTACACTTATACACCTTTAAATGCAGCTTAGCATGCTCACACACCACTATAACCTCCAAAAGAAGCACAGGCTAGGACCATCTTCCTACTTTTGTTTCTTCTGCTGTGGATGCCAATCATTCACCTAAAAAAGTCTGCCAGTGGATTAGTACAACCCTACCACACCACTAAAATATGCTTTCATGTACTGTTCACTTCGATCATCACTAAAATAAAAGAGAGAGAGAGAGAGAGAAAACGGCACGGTGCCATCCTCTTGGTTTGAAGAGCTAATGCCTTGCACGAAAATTGCATTGCTTAAGAAGAGTGAGATGCTGCTATATAATGATGTTCACAGGATACATACGATAACTATGGGACACATTTCAGAATCTTTAATCAAACAACATGGTGCTGATAGCACTGAAAGTGCAATCACGCACAATCAGCTACCTCTAAATTATGCTTATGCCATTAAAAAAACAAGAACACTTACAATGGCTGACTCTAAGAGCCAAAGGTCGCCCGCAGGCGTGGAGAACTGTCAAGCCCGAATGTTGAGCAATTTTTTAGCGGCGACAATTAGAGTACTTAAAGGGCCAGTAGACAGGCTCTGACTTTTTTTTTACACCCCCGAAACAAGCTTGCGATTCGTACAGTAGACCGCGGCGATCACATTTTCCGAATATTACAACGCTGTGCGCGGTGCAGGCCCTCCATTTCGAAAAACAATTCCCATGCCTCTTTCCTTCTGACCAGTCACCCTCGTACGTGCAGCGACACAAGCTTGCCCGTAGGAAACTTGACAGCCCATGCGCTCGTCAATTGCTCTTTTGCGCTACGAAAAGGCGCCTTGGCCCTGCAGTGACGCAGTTTTGGCCACGCAGTCTGAGTTTTCATTTTCCTGTGCTGCTCTCTGCCATTTTGAAGAGCCCAAAACTACCTGGAGAAACGGTATTTCTAGAACTAAAGCCATCGAGATAAAGAGATGCCCTGCTATTTTCTACTAGGGGAAGGGTGCTCCTCGCATTGTGCCTCCTCTCCGCATCTCCATGATGAGTGCTCGTGTGGGGGTAGCCCTGCTCAGCTGTTGGCTGCAAGCCTCTGACGTATTGCTGACGCCGTGTGACGTTGCAGAAGTGGGCGGAGTCACGACGACAGGCTACGCCTTTCCTCTACCTACAGCAGAAGAGGGTGGCGAGGCAGCGCGAGAATTTGAAACCAGCTGAAATGGATGTTCTAACCTGCGTAATTTACTTATTATTGCGATAGAAATTATATGAACACCCTCGGCTGGATTTTTCAACCGGCATCGGCGTCGAAGTCCTGCACCTTATATGTATACCTATCTATATATATGAAAACTCAAGAAAGAAAAAAAATCCCGAAAAAAACACTCCGGCGCGCAGAATCCGCCGTGGGATCTCTGCGTCGTGAAAGCGAGGCGTTAACCACTGAGCCACCCCGGAGCACATCCTTCACCGTTCAAATGGCAAGCTACTTATATCTACTGTTTACCGCTGCTCACTAGCATTCAGCATTACTTGCAAGATGGCGCAATGAGCGCACGTCGCCACATTGCACGGCGGCGCCCGCTCTAACCTCTTACGCGTACTTTGCCCGGCTTAGAGAAGAGGAGCGACGCTCTCTCACGTGCCCTTATCTCGCAGCGGCGAGAAGGGGAAGGTCGTACGCCTTGGCTGGCCTAGGGCTTTACTTGGAACGATTCTGCTGTAGTTACCGCGTGCACAAAGGTCATTGCAACCATTGCAGTCTCCGTTTGTAAAAAAACGCGCACTTTTCAGACACAGCAAAGTAATAAATGAGACACTTATTCGCGTGCATTCGTGCCTGTGAGTACGTTTTGTGCGTCATTTGTGCGTGAGGAACGCGGGGCATGTTTTGATCTGCTTTCCATTCTGCGCGTAACCTTTCAATTTGTTGCTATCGCGTTCATTGCTTCGCCTTTCCGGCAAAGCTGTGACTTTTTACTCCACATATTCACAAAATGTTTGCAGCAGTATGTTCACATAGCAAGTGTGTGCAATATTCTGCTAATTACCATTTTCGGCCCCCGGAGTTGTTTACTGGCCCTTCAAGTCACTAAATGTGGAAGGTTTGCAACAGAACTTTGGACAAGGTGGACAAAGCTTCCAGCTCAGCTATGACACTGACATATTGCCCAAAAATAACACTTTAGTCTCACTTGACCTTAAAGCAACATCCCTTTTTGTTTGTGAATGACAAACTATTGATTACCTCAGCATGCATAGAGAGAACGTCCAAAGGGTACAGATTTGATCTTATTCTGTGGCTGTTAAAACCAACTGTAATTTCAAATTTTTCAGCATGTTTAACCTATGATACATTTCATTCCTGTCATCCTTAATTTCAAAATGCCTAAGATTTTTGAAGAGACACACAGTTGAACATTATAAAGTTCCAAAGTAAAATTTGCAGAACACTAGTAATTTACAGAAATACAGAAAATTACTCAGTAAATTTATGTCCACAAATTGCTCATAACGTGCCTAGGTTGTGGTAAAATTTCATTTTGCCAGCTTTCGTTTCCTTTTACATGAACATTCAACGTTCAAAGTGAACAACATTAATCTACATCCGTTCGCTACAACAGATTCACTCTAAGAAGTTCATCAAAGGTGAGCCCTCTCACCAAATCAATGGTCTTTGCTCGTTTCTTGGAGTCATCATCGCACCACGTTTCACACCAGAGCCATTCTTGAGGTAAAGATTTGATGGCCACCTGGTGAATCATGTTGTTTGGCAGGTCCTGCAAGTAACAACATGAATTCACCATTTGTATGTATACCTCCAATACCCAATGTAAGAAATGTGACTGTAAAATCAACTTATACACATGCTAAATGCTCAGGTTTTGACAATTCTCACTTTTTTTTCTCTCTCTAAGTTTTTGGGTGCTCTTCAATTACAGTACACTCCCAGTAAATGAAACCTGAAGGGACCAGGAAAATATGTTACACTTAACAGGAGTTACGTTGATTGAGAGATAAACATGAGTGCCGAATACAAGCCAGACATTGCAGAGGCAATAGTTCCAGTTGAGCAGTAGTTCTGTTTAACAGATTTCTGTTTACTGTCTACTGTAATTACAATATCAAGGCTCAATTCACAAAATTTGCACTGCCACAACAAAGTGTGTATAACCAGATGCGTCAAAAAGAAAAGTGGCATCTGTAAGCCAGCTACTAATTAGAACTGCACTTGCCAGCACTACAGTAACCTATGGGAAAAGATAATGAGGGGTGAAACAAACAATTACAAACAAATCTGAACTTATGATTCAGACATTGAACAATGAAGACAAAGTAGCTGGTGTAACACTTGGAGAGTGACAGGACTGGCAGATAAAAACCAGATGGACAACATTCTCGAGAAGCTTTAGTTGGAGGTTGATTCCATATTTTCCTTGTACAACCACTATACATGTAAAATGCAGAAATGCTCCGGCGAGAGAATTGCTTGACTGGCCCGAACAAAATGATGCATTTGATAGAGCATGCCATGTATATCCTTTAGTGATTCTAATAAGCGAAATTTCGGTATGAAAGAAAAAATTTCACAAATAAAAAATAAATAATACTAATAGCCCATAAATGAAAAAATAATAGCAGGACAAGCTTTACAAACTCTTTCCTCTTGCTCCTAACTATAAACTGAATCTGCTGTAGAGTGACTACGACATACAAACGAGAGGCATCGATTAACAGCTTACAGAAAATCGCAATGTCAACAAGGATGTCCCAAATGTCCTACTCCTAAAATAGTGGTACATTTCACTATCACTAGATTTTTTCCTGCAAGAAAAAGTTAAAACTATAGTAAGGAGATAAAATGATTCTTTTAACATTAGGTCAACCTCTCACAATTCTAAATTCCCCATTTTTTAGGCAAGAAAAGGTGTAAAAAGAAATCGCAGAGGTGACATCCCCTTGAAATTGACGCATCAAACACTGTGGCATCTGCTAGGTCCTCCACATTTCCTAATCAGTAAAATTGATATATTTTGACCATTGAGGGGGCCACAGACTTAACGTACTAATATTCAGGAAATGTCATTGAGCCAATGCCACTTTCAATAAGATTTCAATGCCACTTTCAATACGATTTGAAATTCACCACATCAGGTGTAAAAATTTCAGCCCGGAATTTGAAAATGGAACTTTTACCATGACTTTCTCATCTATTGAAAAACATGCGGTGGTGAATTTAATAACACTAGAGTTCCCAGAGTACTATTCGACTGTTTCACTTCATTTTCCTTTTAAAAAACAACATTTCAGTTTGAAAATGTGACGCTTCCTTCAGGCAAAAATAATGTTATGTTACGTAATGAGTGAAATAGATAAACAGTGGTCTTTAATGAATAAAACGTGATTAATGCCAAGGGGAAAAAACACAGCTCAGAATAGCATCATTAGAATAAAAAATTTACACTCAGAAGATAAGCTTGATTAACAGAAGGAGCTCTGATAATTGTAAATAAATTATACGAAATTACCTACAAAAAAATGCCTGTCGCAGCTTTTTTACCCTTACCCTTTTAATTTTACCCTTGTGCCTACACTAAGCACAGTAGTGAATACCGACGGTCAAGTCTAACCTAGCATGTACAGAGAAAGTCTCATTTGGACGCTGAGCTAATATCTTAACAATGCATGTAGGGGACATATATTCGAAGGTAGACTTCACAGCTGACATTAAAAGTGATGACATAAGAAGACACAAGAAAATGCATACACTGACTAACCAAATTTAGCTAGTGTCATCAACATGGCAGATTAGAGATGCACAGCTTACACATTCTGATTTTTCCACCTTAAAGGGTTAAAGAGACACCAAAGTGAAACAATAAATATGTCTATATTGATGAATTGTACACTGAAAACTCCAGCAAATGAATTTTCCCATCATATATTCAATATAGCAGGAGGAAATAGAAGTCAATGTTTTACTTCTAAATTTCGTGCCATAATTTTCTCGAGTGGCACCACAAATTTTAAAGCGCATTTCTCATATTTTGGGTACATTTACTCAAGAAAATTTGCTAATACTTTGCATGTTCAATCTCTGCCTCCTCAGAGGACAATGTACTTCACTTTTACTACCTGAGGAATCGCAGGATGCCTTCAAAATCTATGACGTCATGGTAGTTGGTGCGAGAACTTCAAGATGGTGTCGCCATGCACATGTTATTTTCACGCTCTTTCTTGAGCAAGCGTAGTGATTTTGGCATAGTGAAAGAGCAATCTACTGACACGAGACATTATTTTTCTCTTTAGTGCGTCTTCAAACACAAGATACACAAGCAGCAATAAAGTGTCACAGAGATATAGCAAAGGGGTCTTGATGATGAAAGAGTCTCTCCTGAATGTGTCCTCCTAAACAAAGTTGCTCATCTGCACAGGCTTTCACAGAGTAAAAACACAGCCACACTGATGTTATAACATTGTTGCCGTCACCCATTCATTCGCCTTGCGAGAAAGAATTGCCTGTTTTTTGTACAGCGTAAAAACAATTCCAATTCTGTGCACTTTTGCAATATAGCCCTTAATATACTCTATGTGAATACATATATACTGAAAGTGTAAATATGTGTGCGCAGTAGCAGACTATAACAGCTTTTAGATGAAAAGCTATCTTATGCGATAGCCTAGCATGTGTAGAAGTAACATGACAGTATGCAGAATACTCCCCCCAATAGACACAAAACAAGGGGCATTGTTTTAGGGACTTGTTTTTTTGCTCAACACACAAACAGTGAAACTAATAGACAGTTAAGCTTAATTGTCTGTGAATTTCATCAGTGGTGATTCCCAATAGAAGTTGCCTCTTACAACTTAGTGGGTACAAAGGTCCAAAACCTGTGCATCATACTAACAAGGAGCAATAGAGGCCAAGCAATCTCCACGATGTGCATACCTGGTCCAAATTGGACAAGCTGTTGGGGTCCTGGCTGAGGCCCTGATACTGGCCTCGCAGTCGGTCTCCAGCAGCTATTCTCCGGAACTTCTTCAGGTCCACCACGTAGAGGGCACTGTTGGCATATCCACCAAAGTGGATGGAACGCGAACAAACATTGTAAGAAAGACTACGAAATTTTCTAGCAATAAAGTGAAGGTGAAGCACTTGGTTTTTGAAGAAAGATCAAAATAACACAGACACACAAATGCTCATGTACAGAGAGTGGAAAAACAGCCTATCTGTACCCCTGCCTTCCGTCTGAACCTGTGGTGCGAAAGTAAAAGTGACCAAGTTGCCACCCAGCTGCATTGCCTCATGAAACTGATTCCACTGAGCTAAACTACACAAATTATTAGAATGATGGTTTGAGGACAATGCAGTGAGCCATGAAAAGAAAAATGACAGGTGTAACCTTAAGACAAGGAGACAGCAGAGTGGGTCAAGAAACTAACAGGTGTTAAGAACACCTTAGCCGAAATCAGGAGGAAAAATGGGCATGCACTGAAGATGCATAGGCAAGATAACATCTGGTCATTAAGAGTAACAGGAAGGATTCCAAGAGAAGACAAGTTCGCAGGTAGGAGGCAGAAAGTTAGGTGGGCGGATGAGATTAAGAAGTTTTCAGAGATTACACGTTCACAACTGGAGCAAGACCGGGTTGATTGGCAAAATGTGGGAAAGGCCTTTGCCCTGCAGTATTGAACTGATGATGATCGTACAGATCATGAAGGCACCAAGGGTACTTCAGTAAATAGTTGTTTTTCCGGTACTTGATGGCAAAGCACACAGCAAGTATTAGTCGAGGGTTTGATGGAATGCAATCTTACGAGGTCTATAAGCTTCTTGACAGCAAGCTATCAGCAAGCTATCATCAGCAGCTATCGTCACGCATTATACTCTAATAATGGGGTGAATAAAATGCATTCTTTTAATTTGAGCAAAGTAGAACCGCAAAGAGCGTTATGGACACTGCTTCAAACAGTGGCCATCTGGTGTCGACTGGTGCTTGCAGTATACTTTTTATGAAAGAGTTGCACATGTCTATTATGAAAGCTGAATTTAGCCATCAGCATACTAATAAAAGCTGCTACAGTCACACGTTTCGAACAAAATTTATACTGGGTTTCCAACTAATTGACACTGATAAAATGACGATAAAGGCTGTCGAAAGAGCCTCACCTAATATGGTACTTGCGGCCTCCCAAGTGACTGGCCCAGTACCCGGACTTCCAGAACCTAGTACATAGCAAGAGAGAGAAACATCAGCAGTCAGATGTACAGCAGAAACACTACTTGTAACACACTATGCCAAGTGTGAAGCTTGCATTTTATGCAAACTAACAACTATGCCTCAACACTACTGAAAACTGGATGTTGCAAGGTGGACACATAATCCATGTAAACTCTACATAAACTTGCTTCTTGGGCTTTCTACAGCAGGAACAATGCACCAGCTATTTCTGACTTCCATGTTCTGCATCTACTCTTCTTATAACAAAACAGCAAACAATGTTCTAGGAGCACAAAGGTGTAGAATTCAGTTTACTTCACATTTCTAAGCAACAAGTTCATCTCTGTTCTTTGCACACCACAGAGATGTTCACCGTCGTTAATTAGTGGTTCAACAGCCACCACTGCATTAGAAACTGCACCAACCTGTAACCATCCATGTCCTTGCGGCTATCACAGAATGGTGTATAACCATATGGGGCTCCACCAAGGTCCAAGTCTCGTAGCTCTTTCATGTCAGCTCTGACCACCTGAAAATTAGATGTGGCAGGAAGGTTTCTCATCAGAACTATACAGCCCACAATTATCAAAAATAGCATTATTATCCCTTTTATTTATTTTTAGCTAAGCTAGAAAAGCAGCAAATTTTTTCGTAGTGATACTTCCATATTCATTAACACACATGACTAATAGAAAAATACACACACACAAAAAATAAAAATTAACAACAATACAGTTTAACCTCATAACAACAAACTTCCATGGTGAAGAAGGTTTTGATCTGTTGTAAAAGAAGTATGTAAAATCCCAGTATTGTTACAACAGAGTTTTATGTAAACAATGAATGGGTCTGTTATAACCAAAGAGAATTACAAGTCATAAACGAATTTCTTATCAATGAGGGCACAAAAATTTACTTTTTGAAAATCACACTTTCAGTTTCTGTAGTCCTTCTGATTCCAAAATATCTTCACTAACGCTAAAAACTACCTAGAAGTACTATAAAAACTGTTGGCACCTGCCGAAGCAGCGATAAATATTGTGAAAGTCAGGAATGAACAAACAAAACAAAAAAACACAATCATGTTCTTCACAAAATTATAGCTCCACAATGGCAAAAAGATGGAAAATTGTGCTACTTAGTGAAGTTTTTGCACTCATTGTATATTCAAGGGCCGTGATTTAGCTAAGGCAGTTGTAAACGGAAGTTCAGGGATAAAATCGTAAAACCACCAGGCCTACACGGAAGGTGCAGCACAGTCACAGCGAAAGCTAGAATAGCGGCCTTTCAGAGCTTTATTTAAACACTCAATGGCTAACTACTGCAAGTACACTTGCTTGATGCTCACTAGGGCATTAATAATAAAAATTTGGGGGTAGTAGGCCGACATTCCTTATGCTGCTTTTCGTCATTCTTCTGAGAGAAGTGGTATCTGCTAAACACTTGCAAGGAATTTTGTGCCAACTGTTCATGCAGTGGCTGACGTCGGAGAGGAATTATGCTTGAAGTGGGTATGCACCACAGTTAATAGTACGACAAGAACAAGCTTTTGTAATTGTTTGGAGCATTGGACGACCCACTAATCGATAATCGCGTCAGCGGACATGTGAAAATAAGAAGCCGTAATGCGCTTCGTTGAAAGCAATGATTTACATCGCTTACTAGCTCCCCAGAACCACGGATGGTTATTTTCTGCATTGGCAGTGGACCTTCTAGCCAAGCTTTCCATGAAGTGACTGCTGGGTGGAGCGGTGACAGCACGGCTAGCAACTTTGCATCTCTGTGACCCTAAAAGCAACACCAAGCACCCCGCACGCAAATTTTTTGTCGCTCTAGCTAGGCATGACTATTCATTAACACAGACCGGAGATCGGCAGCCTTCGTTCTTATATCGGTACGTCGATATCTGTGCGCGCTGTACCCATCCCAAAAGTATGCCAAGCGATGTTTGACGTTGGAAGTTATTGAATTAGGAATGGTATGTGGTAGGAAAGCCCGCTGTGTAAAGGAGTCCAGACCACCTTGCTGGCCTCACATTTTAGTCAATTATATCCGAATAGAACAAATAAGAAGGTCGGCATAACGACGTCAATTGGTATATAGTATCCGAATGCTGTTTCAAGTGAATTCGTTATAAGGAGGCTATACGGTAAGTATGATTTTCCCAAAGCTGCTCAGAAAAAAGCTCATAAACACTTTACAACAATAAATAGCTTAAATGTTATTTTAACGTGAACTGTTCTTTTTTTAATGTCTTACTTTCAGTTGCTGAATGCACGCATGAAGTTTCGCAATCAGTGTTTATTATAGCCATCCCAAGCACTTATTGCTTGTTTCTGTCACCACTGATTTTATGAACATGGTCCCCTCACATATCTACAACTTTATGTTCCGCTTTCGTAGTAGAGAGTTTCATGGAACAATGCCTGGCCAGGTAAAGCCATTTTTGGATCTGCACGGATTCCGAAACGTCATTCTTCCTTTATTTTGACATTGGTCAGTGACCAGCTTTTTCAACAACGTTCAACTTTGTTGGTCATATCGAGGATCGTTGTCATTACAATGAACTCTGCAAGCAGAAGGTCAGTGGGCCAGAAATCCTATGGTGCTGCCACACCAGCTGCCGCTGACAAGAAACAGACAAATTTTTTTGTAATGAGGGGGCCCGAGCGACGTCATGTTTTCGCACCCTGTCTATAATATAGTGTTTGATGTCTGTTCCTTACGTACAAAACCTTATTTCCCAATACTATCATTGAAATTCTCCAGCTGCAGCACACACTGCCTTAGTTTAACCAAGCCATGCTGAGCAGAAAACAGCTGTGGCAACTTCAAATCTTCCTGCGCCAGCTCTATCTACATCAGTGCCATGGTGGTGCGATTCAGCCTATTTGCATTTCTTCCACTAGTTACGGAATGCACGACTTGATCAATGTTTGACAAATTCTAACGATACACTTAGCGACGAATTTTTTCGTGTGGGAACATAATCAACGGCAACAAAAAAAGGTGTGTAACTCATTGGGCCAATTTCTGAACTTTCATTCCTAAGAAGGCAAGTTTTGGTACTGTGTGAACTGCAAATGTATTCACAGAATTTCACTGGGCTGATAATACATGTTGAAACACAGAGAGCTATATTGCTTTACACTGACACTATTCTTGCTGACCTCGTTATGGAAATGAAGTCAATAGAACATAACTTAATAGGATAGCAGATGATACCAATGTGAATATTCGACATAAATATGTTAATTTAAAGCAGTCTTCATCTATGCTGCGAATTCTCTAAACCGAAACACTGCAAGTGCAACCTATGTGCTCGTGTGAGTGGAGAAACATGTCAATTGGAGACAAGGTCAAGATAATTGTTCATACAAAAGATTCGTAATTTCCCAAATCGTACTTCACCTGGTCAGCGTCGACAAAGATGATTTTCTTAACGTCCAGAGGGAACAACACATCCAGGAACAATATTTTATACCTGTCAAGTAATGGAGAAAAAGGAAAAGGCAAATGTGATTTGAAATATGCACATACCGAGTGAGCAGTGTGGTTCATTTATTCAGGAGGAGCCCAGTTTAAAATTGAAGGTAGCAATATTTGGGAGAAAGAAAACACTGAAGATATTGAGAGACTTCAGTTTTATATAATGACTTGTAAAGCTTTAACACTTCACATACTAACATAAAAAGATTTTAGTGCACCCACCCACTTGTTAGCTATTTCACCAAGGCTGTGGTGGGTTAAGGTGCAACCAGGGACCTTCACAGAACCTTATGAAACCACCTTTTGAGATCAGTACCTAGAAACAGCAGAGCACCAGGTTGGTGTACTCCTCTACCCATTAGTTAAAACTGGTGGGTTTCCAGTTAGCACATGGACTCGCTACATACGGCATTACAAGTGCACGCTCAACCATGCAACTACCGCTGCAGTGCCCCAAAGTGCAACACACACGCACACATGCATACATTATACAAAAATGCTAAAGGGACAATAACTAAGACATTTACATGCGACTTTGTTGTAAGAAGTTTCTACTTCACTAAATTTTTAAAGAGGTACTGAAAAAAATTGTAGCCTGCGGGATTGATGAACACGCCTGTGAACATGCATATATTATCTGCAAAATATCAAGAGCAAATATAGCTTGAAAGGTACTTTAAATTAATTTTGAACTTTGCATGAGCGATCGACTATCTCACGCTATTGACACCCTCAAGGGTGATCCTTGGTGACCCCCCTACTTCCTTGATGTCACCATGCTGCAACAAGTTATGATGTCATCATAGCCACCATTTATATTTCGCAGTGTTTGCCCCAGCACACTATTACATGGCACCTGCTCGCAAGTACGTGACTGCGGAGCAAGCATTGAAAGTTTTGTCTTTAGCAACACTGCTGTCCTGTTTGAAATAACTTTTTAATACGGACTGTACGGAAGTGCCTTACAGTTCTGTGTGCTGCCGCAGTTGAAAGTTGCACAGGCTAGGTGATAACCTCAATATAATAAACCTCAATATAACAAACCTAGATATAAAGAAATGTTGGTTATAACAAAATTAAGAATAGTTTTAAAATAGCTATGATGTTAAGAATATACCGTTATAGCAAATTTTTGGACATAACAAACTTATTTTAATGTAATATGCGCTTTGTGTGTATTTGCACTTGAAGGCTTGTTGTTTTTAGAGCTCTCTCAAACCGTAACTGAGACTGGTTGGTAATAAGGAGCTTGTAATTAATTACCTGTCACACGCTACAGCAAATGATGTGCGGTTCTATGGGAACTTATGACCAACAGGCAGAAAGAAGGCGAGGCAAAGATTTTTGTGTCGGTACCCCTCTAAACCAACATAAGGTGCATGCAATGTGACAGAGAATGCCACTAAGACGTGGTATTGACCTACCCCCAAATGATACGCTGTTTCTCAGTCTGCTGGTTGAGCCAGCGTGGCCACTTGTACTGCACCAGCTCGTACTGAAAGCCATACTCCTTGGCCATGTATGGGAGCACGTCCTGCACAGGGCAATGGGTTCCGAAACATTTAATTAAGGGTCTCATAAATCGTAACGTATATAAGCGTGCTGCAAACCAATGCAAATTAATATTTCTTGTTAGCCTGAATGTCAGAACACTCTCTATTTAGGCATACATTCAGCTTATTTCGGACTCCTAATTCTATGCTAGTGACAGTACTCTTGTAAGAACCCAGTTCATAACCAGAACTGAGAAAGTAAACGAGAAATATATTACTTGTGCTTAGGGGCACAAAAATGCCGCATATTCACGTCAATTTCATCTTTGTATAGTGTAAATAGCAGTTTCGGCGAAGAACTTGCTCTAGTTAAAAGCAGACTGCAAGAACACTTCACTAAGACCAACTTAGTTAAAAACACATCTGCTAGCATGGATTGCAACAAGATATGGTGGCACTTCCAGTGGGAAGCAACTCGTTGACATAGTATGGAGACATCCTGCAGATGCTCTCCCTGACGTTTATTCCGTTCCCAGTTACTCGTCTTGGCTGAACTTGCTACACAGAATGCAGTTCTCTTCACAAAATGCAATGCACAAACTACAAAGTCGGGTTTTCACGCAAGGCGAACAAGCACCCCCCTCCCCGCACCCCAAAAAAAGCAATCTTATTTTGAACTACAGTAGATTCCGTTCTAGGAAGAGGCAATGTAATCTTTCGCACACTTTTCAGTGAGACCTTGTAGTCATTTGTAAGCCCGAAACATATGCGACGTTCTTGCCAGCGTTTTCCTGGCGCCGCTTCCCTCGGCATCATAGCGTTAATGCCGCCAGAGGGTGGCAAACCATATGAGGAGCGCCAAGGTCAGCATTAGCTCAGCGTCGCATAGTGTGTTGAAGAGAATGAACCCAAGACCTTGCAAAGCAGTGTGCAGTGTCTGTCAATGCAGCAACAACAAATATTCCTAAAAATCAGTTTCATGTCTTATTTGCAGTTCTGAGATGAGAAAAACTAATCACAGTACCACGAAAAGTTTTTTCTTTTTCCTTCTAGCGCCAGCTGTTGAAAATAAAAAGAACCAGAAACTCGCATTATACGGCCCCTGATCTTGGAAGTTGTACATCTTTGAGGCCACGTATTCAGTCACTCAAGACTGCTAACCCTACCGATGAATTTGAGTATGGCGCTCGAAAACGGATCGAATAAATTTCGACCGCTTCCTGTCGAAGCTTCTGAGGAACAAGCCAAGTCAAATACAAGCATCAGTTGAAAATTTTCGGGTCACACAGAGCACGGCGTAGACTTAATAGATCCGAGGTGGATGGCAGCCATTTTGACAGCAGCAACGCTGAGGTTACGTAGCAGAAGTTGCTGGCAGCCGTGCGCTGATTGATTCTCTATCCATCGACTCGCTTCTGGCATCGGCCTCGGTGCTGCAGATATCTGAATCCTCCAGAAGGGGACATTTCGGCCACCATCACCGGCAGCGTAGGCGCCGACTGACGCCGGCGTATGAAACGCAGGGCAACACCCCGGAGAAACGCATATGTTTCGAGTTTGAGGCGCTATTTACAACCACTCACATTCCACTTTCTCAAGAAAAAGGTTGAAATACCAGTTCAAGCTGTATACATAAAATTTTATTGTTTGAAGGCACTATAAACAATGAAAGAATATTCTTTTGCCAATAAAGATGGAAAGCAGCACGCCTAAAATTCCATCACACACATTAGTTTCCAGCACATAGGTCGTGGGTAGTAATAGCCTACCGTCTACAGCAAACTGGAGTTGAATTATCCAAGCAAAGGGTTCAATTGAGCTATGGATCAATTTTCACGTTGGTTTCCTTTTACTACTGGAAAGCACTCGCAAGAACACTAAAGTGAGAGAAGTGAGTATCCAAATAAGTTCTTTCTTTTGTTTTTCCTTTTCACAGGGCCTAAATTCAATCATGTATTGCATTTGACTTCACATTACATGCAGGTTTGAACATTAACTTCGACATGCTACAGCAAAAAAGTGAGTCGGCGAGAACATGTCAATATGGCTGATACACAAGCATAAACGATGTCTGTGAAAAACTTTAAAAATTTTACATGTTAATGGATATATGTATCCAATATTCAGCCAACTTTTTCTAAAAAAAGAAAAAGAAAGTTACTTCTGGAGAATTACTTAGTATAATTTTGCAACTAGGGCGGGAATTGAGCATAGCTCATCGCCATTGCACGGGCTTTGTCGCCTAATTCTGCCATTCTCATGTCCTAACATGACTCTCTTCTCTGCAATCCATCGACGCTGGGAGAGCGGGAGTGACATTAACCTCTCGCTCGCACAATCAGATGTTGACTGTGGCGCTGGTCTCGAATCTTCCTAGACGTTTTGCGTGCATGCCAGGCAGGAGTAGATCCTCTCTAGACAGCGAACAATGACCACACGTTTTCTTTCTATCCATCAGCTCCCTTTGTTCTCGGAACTCGCTCAGACTGCCAACGGTGCCTCGCCTCCACGGCGAATGCTTACTTTTTGTTGCCCCTTTTGAACGCTAGGCCGAAGAGCAGTGCGGTATGTTAGTGCATGGTCTTTCCACTCCAAGCCATGCCTCTAAAGCCAACGTGAGCAGAGTTTGCCTTTGCTCGAGCGATCGGGCCCTGTGGTCAGTGATCGTGGGAGCGCACAGCATAGTCACGAGGGCCCGTTCTCTTCAGCAGCATGTCACCATAAATCCTTTTGCACACGGAGATGTGCTCCCAGCACCTGTGTGTTCTACTTTCGCCCATGGCATGGATAGGCCTCGTTTGCTTTCCCGCTGCCCTTTTGCAGAAGGTGCTGTACGACGCTTCTAGTGTTGCTGCAGGCAATAAAGTGTTGCAACTTGTTTGAGAGCACTACTGTGTACGTGCCATGCTGCGTTTCGCCTTGGTTATTCGAACACACTTGCGTAGCAGCATTAGTCACGAGAGGTGACGGTGAACGCGGCCCTGTGGCTCGCTAAAACCGAACCTACGTTAGTGGCCGTACTCCTGAAGGATACAGGTACACTGCACTAGTTAGAAAAGCTGCTAAACTAAAAAGATTTCATAAGGCTTAGAGGCATTTAAAATCACCTTAAATGTAGGCGACAGGTAGTTCTTGAGGAACCAGAACTTGACAGGAGTTTTTGTGTTCTTCAACACACTGAGCATCATAATCCTAAAAGAAAAAAAGAGGTGAATACCAACACATCATAGACACCAAGGACACTTACTAAATTCAACACTCGTAGAAAATTTTAATTGCATTGACCCACAAGAGCCTAAGCAATGCCACAACAATCGAGCTCACAAAAACATCCTTTATAAAATATAATATTATGCCAGTGCAGATTTGCATCCAAAACTGGTCTGATAAATACAAACCTTCAATGGCAAGTTGTTCCGCTCTGTGAAAGGCAAAAAAAAAAAAAAAGGACTTTGGGGTTTTACGTGTAAAAATCACCATACAATACTGAGGCACATTGTAGTGTGGGACCTCAGACTAATTCTGACCATCTGCATATCCTTCATGTCCGCATAAATCCTTGGCCGTGGCATTTATGAATGCGTATTCGTGTCTCATTGGAATGGCCAGCAGTGCAGCATGAAACATTTGCGCCTGCGAGGACATACTTGAGCACATTCTATGCCACTTTTCATCATACCAATCTGAACAACATGCTATGGAAGCCAAGCTGCGTCACCTAGATTCACGACAACTTACAGAAAAAAAGATCCTGGGACCTTGGCTGATGGTCTCGCATACGCGCAAAGCTAGGAAAGCTCTCTTGTGCTTCTTTAGGACCACCGAACTTCACACGTGCTTGTGAAAGAACAGTGTAAAACCGTGCTGTGTAGTCTCGAGCTGACTACTAATCCACCTCTTTCTTACTCTTCTTTTCTCTCTATCTCTTTCCTTTCTTATTACCCCTTTCCCCACCCCACGCCCCATCACGGTGGTCTAGTAGCTAAGATACTCAGCTGCTACCCTGCAAGTCCCGGGATAGAATGCCAACTGCGGCGGCTGCATTTTCCATGGAGCCCGAAATGGTGTAGACCCGTGTGGTCAGATTTGGGCGCACGTTAAAAAAAACCAGGTGGTCAAAATTTGCAGAGCCCTCCACTCTCTTGTAAGCATATGGTGGTTTTGGAACGTTAAAAACCACATATCTATCTTTTCCCCGCACCAAGTATAAGGTAGCCAACCGAGCCAAGCTTGGTAAACCTCCCTGCCTTTCCTCTCTATTTCTCTATCTCTCTCTCCCATGCTCTTAAGAGCAAAATGCCATAGCTGTATAGGCCCATCACTGATGAACAGTGACAGCTTAATTAAATACAAAAAAAAGTAGTAGAAGTCATTAAGCAAATGACCATAAAAGGGCACATCTAGAAATATATGCATACCAATCCAGTCTGAAACAGCATTGTGCATCGAGGGGCCTTGCTAGACAAATACAGTGAGCCCAGCCTGTCGACGCCTCAGCAAAGCTCATAGAGGTGATCAGTTACCAATCTCTGACAGTTTCAAGGCAACTCCGAGAACAAGGACTTGCTAGCTTAGTCGCAGAATATTAAAGGGAACAAAAATGCAAAACACTGATACGCATGCCACTCACCTCAAGAGTCGCTCGTAGAGATGTCCCGAAGCGAGTGAAAATATATTGATCACATTGTCCTGTTCTTCTTCGTCTTTCTTAGCTGGCTCGCCAACGATAGAGCTAAGTCAAATGAGGACGATGGAAAACAAAAGTTACATTATATCGACAAATGTGCAAAAAATGATCCAATTTATAAAAAAAAGTCCAGACTTAACAAAAAGCATGCAGCTAGCAGCCACACTGCAAGCCTAGAGATAAAGTACTAGAAAGACGGCATGCACATACACAAGATTTTTTAAAAGTGTTTTTAAAGGAGAGATAGAGAAAGAGCAAACACAGCACAATAACATCATTACAATAAGGTGGTCCTGACTTTGGGTGGAAAGCCGACACAGAGCAGCACATCACATGCAAGAACAAAGCACTGCAGCCATTTAAAGCCGTACAGTGATAGTTTTTCTTTTGCCCCAGTGCATTGCAAAAAAAAAGTTTCTTGCATAGCGCAGATGGCAAAGTGGCATCCAACATAGAAAGCAGCATCAGCATCCGCAGGTAAGTTGCATACACGCCAGGCATGGAAAGTGTCTCACCTATCACCGAAAAGCTCTCTGGAAATGTGAAAGCAAGACAGTAGGGTGTTGGTTAATTGTAGTGAAACTTTGCATCAGAGTCTGCACTGGCAGCATATGCAAGCGCACAATCACGTGACAGACAAGAAAGCATTGTCGTAGGGACCAACAGAATGCGTTCCTCAATGAATGCGAGCTGATATTTGGAGAACCTTCTGTGCTGACACTAATTCAGGGAACTGTTGTGCTGAACTGTTTTCTTTCTCATCTCAGTTCTTACCCTCAAACACATTGCAATAATGAATTGGTGAATGATGAGCGATTCGCTAATCTCATAATGCAGTGCATAAATACAAAACGTTAAAAGAGGTCTGGTTTGGTGGATGAAGCTCCCTTTGAAGATGCATAAAAGTGAGTGAAAAAAAAAGTTAACTAGAAAAGAAAGCCACCTGTGTTTCTTGTGCAGCCTTTTGAAAATGCCATTTCATCTTTCATTACACTTCAGCAGTGAACATTACCCAGCCGGTTTGTGAGCACAGCTCTTTTATGTTGTTCCACATAATATTACTTAAAATGCCAACAGAGTCTGACAGACATGCACATTTTTGCCGAAACCATTTTTCAGGTTTTTTTTTTTAATTTAACCATAAACCTTATCAAAACTTTTATGCAAGTGGCTATTAAGTGTCAAATAAAGCCATTTCGCTACAGCTTGAGGAAATCGCTGCTCAGCGGTGCCACGAACTTGTACCGAACTTCATGAAAGGGAGCATGCAAGCGTGCAGCTTCTTCCCTGTGGTGACTGCTTAACTCAATCAAGGTGGCAGCAAAAGAAGGTTTTTGGCACCACCCACCGAGAACTTTTGGCCCCACCAACTGATGGGAATAAATAACAGGCCCAGCCAATACACAAGCGCCTGCTAGATTTGCCGCCCTGCCAGTGTGCTGGTTAGCAATAGATGACACCTAGAGCAGGTGTGCCTTCTCCTGCTGCAACTCACTCACTTGTCCTCTTTCCTAAAGAACCCCACTGTACAATGCACACAATAACAGGAAACTGCAGAACATGGAGAATTGCAGAACATTCAACAGTGAAAGCAACACAGATTAAAAGATGTTAATTGGCCTTGAACAGTGTGTGTGGCCTTGAACAGTGTGTGTGGTCAAGAGATGGAGTGAGACATGCATAACAGGACACAAAGAAACTCCCCTAAAAAATATTTAATAACTCACTCTCATGGGATGCAAGGGAAATGGAAGCAACATGTGCTTTGCCACTTTACCATGACAAACAATTTATGAACGAAGAAAGATAATTTCAGTCGTTCATCAAATCATTCGAACGCAAGCGATTCGAGCTCTCTTGTACACAGAAAAAAAAAAAAACATTACTATAGTTGCACCAGCATTACATGCAGACTATTTATGTGTGTTCAGTAAAAGTTTTCTGAAGATGGTTTTCGAGGACACTGGTTTATCTGCACCACAGAAAGTAGCCGACCCCGAGTACCTGAATTACCATCTGCATTTTGTCCTCACAGCACACTTGATACAGAGAAGACAGGATACTTTGTGATGCCACAGTTCCGGTTGGGCTACCTCACTATCGTCAGACAGTGGACACTACGTAACGACGATGACGGAAGTACAAGAAGTGATTTTCTCGCAGTTGACAATGAACAGTTGCGTCAAAAGGAAACCCTTTTTAGCATTGTATGCTTTTCTGCTTTTCCACATGTTAAAAAAGAAAAAGTCCCTTTGATATCAAAGCACATTTAACTGAGAGCCAACCCCTTTCTATCTTTAACAAATACACGCGAAGTTAGTGCTGAACTGAATCGAATAGCATTTACCACATCTGTGAGAAAGGTACATTTTACCAACTGTTGCAAGCTAAGTTTTCATTCACATGTAAAAGTTTAAAACTTTATTCCCTCAAAATTGGTAAATGTATAAAAACAAAAAGCTGATGCACCAAGATAACAGTGCTCAAACTTTACTCTAATAATATACTGATGTAATTTTGTAAATCGTGCTAACTGGATTTGAGTGGTTAACTGTATCTGACTGTTCAAAGTATATGACATCCCACAGGAGCTAACACCTTAAGCAAGTTAATGATTTCTTTTAATTTTCAGTTTTATTATTTAATGATATATAGTACCATAGATCGAAGTATGCATAATAAATTTTTTTTGTCTGCTTCATTTGTTTTAGCCGATGCAGTTGCTAGTACTGCGACATTTTGCAAATACACTAAACACTAACTGACTATAATGCCGTTCAACTACTCAAATGTCCATGTTCTATGACATTACCACAGAACATTATTACTGATGTCCTCTTGCAAAATCACATGAAGAAGCCCTCAAATGACGCCATACAATGGTGTCACCACTCGGTCTTGTGAGTTTCTCACCGTCGAGTGGTAATGCCGATTCTCACTGGAGAGCAACCCATTTGTCACTTCATGGGTCACATAAACCGTTCACATTAAAAAATGCTTATTCATAAACAAATGCATGGTTTCAAAAAAGCGACAAAATAGTTCACACAAATGGCTGTTCAAACAAGCAGGAGCTTAGCGCGATAGGTATCGAGAAATATAAAGCTGTTTGCAAGTGGAGCGCTCCAACCATCACCAACAAAGTCAGGACCACCATCCACCAGGAATTAACGCAGATAAAAATAAATATCCTTAGGAACACACAAGCAGAAAAATAAAGCAACAGAGAAGCACAGCAATGCCTGTGGCTGGCAACGCAGAAGAAGACACTTGCGCGAGCACGTTTTTGAGTACAAGGATGAGCAGAGAAAGCCGGCTGACCTGTAGATTGTTCTGCCTATCTGCCTCCACTCCGTTAATAAGCCGCCAACTATAGGTATTCTGTTTACAAGAGAAGAGAGAAAGGAAAACAAAAAAAGGAGTGCACAGAAAGGAGATGCTTTTGCACCGCTCGGGCACCACACCCACTCCAAGCAAACTTCAAACAAGCTGTACAACATGTGTAAATGTGTGGACAGGCAACAAGCTAATACCCCTCAAAGGCACTACTAACCATAATTATATGCGTTTTGAGGCATTAAACCCCAATAATTATTAATTATAATGATGAGCACCAGAAGCATAATACTGTACTTTGAGAATATGAAAACTGATTGACTCTAATGTTTACCGTATAAACCGGAATATAGGTCGAGATTTTTTCAATAAAATAATAGGCTAAGGTCGCTCCTCATCTTATATAGCGGTGTCTAGCCGAAAGTGCGACGCTGTCTGGCAACATATGGCTTGCATGTGCTTGTGAAGCCAGACGCGGCTATATCCACATCCAAATCCAATCGCAGTTTGTTTTCTTTGTGTTGATGATTTGCTTCTGATCTGTTCCGAGTTTTCGCTCCACTTGACATTTCGCTGCATTTTTAGTGGCCTTTTTTTTTTTCGTTCAATGAATATGTCTAGCGGTGCGAGGAGGCAGTACTCAGCTGCGTTTAAACTAGATGTTGTTAAGTTCGCAGAAGCGAACGGGAATATGGCTGCTCAGCGCTGCTTTGGTGTATCAGAAAAAAGCGTGCGCTATTGAAGGGCGCAGAAAGGGAAGCTGCAGATGTGCAATCCTCGAAAAATATCGTTTCGTGGACGAAGTGCCGTTCATCCGCAGCTGGAGGATAAGCTAGCGAACTTTGTGCGGGAAGTTCGTGCGCGCTCGCTGCCAGTGACCGTAGATACCATTCGCAAAAAAGCCGTGGAACTTGCTCGAGAAGCTGGGCTCACGAGAGAAGAGTTTCGTGCACCAAACTCTTGGGTGCGTCGATTCATGCGACGCAAAGGATTTTTTCTCCAGCGGCGCACATCCATCTGTCAAAAGTTGCCGGAGGAGTTCGAGGACAAGCTCATAAACTTTCAGCACTTTGTAAGCCGGCTTCGGGAGCAGAACGACTACATGACGGGGCAGATTGGCAACGCCGATGAGACCCCCGTGTGGTTTGACATGCCTTCGTCGACCACGATCATGCAGCACGGCGCCAAGGATGTGAAGCTGCTGTCCACTGGTAACGAGCACTCGCGCTTCACCGTCATGCTGGCATGCACGGCAGATGGTAGAAAGCTTCCGCCCTTCATCATTTTCAAACGCAAGACAATGCGATGGTGCGACAGTTGGTGCGACAATGCGACAGTTGCGATGGTGGTAGAGGGGAGCTCCGACGATCGGGATGGGGTGCGCCCAATTCGCAAATAAATGTGGTTTGGCAGTTTTGGATTGTTTTCCTTTTTTTTTTCTTTTTCGGTAACCTGAACTTGGGGGGTCGACCTATATTCCCACTCGACCTATAGTCCGGTTTATACGGTACTTTTTAAAAATGAACAGCAATTATGTGACAGTTTCGGCTATGGCTCTATGACACTGGCCATATGACACTTGGTCCAATGAAAACAAGTGTTTTCTTCTGTGATGATGTACTGCAGCCAGCATGACTTTTTTTTTAATTGCTCATACCCACCGAAACAAATGTTTCTTGGTACCTGCTGACCATATTTTGCACAGCTCAGCAAATTTTGTTAGCTAAGAATATACCCGACAATTTCGTTTTCTAGGTTATTGCTAAAGAATAGAGGGTGGGCACAGACTACTGGAGAGAGTGCTGTCTTTGACATCAGAAGAGCCTTAGTTTTAGAGACTACAGAAACACACATTTTTAAAAATAATGATTTTAGATTTTTGTCAATGGACACACAAAATAATTCTGTTCTCCAGCTAGCAACTGCTGCTCACAGCAAAAATTAAAACATACTTTAGGGCCTTGCTAGTGTGCCCAGCGATCCTAATATGCCATTTCTAGATTGGGCTATCAAGTTCATATCTAAGGCCAATATTTTTATACCTTATGCAAGAAGTGCCTTCCGAGGTGTGAGAACTTGATGCCAAACTGTAGTCATTGTGCTATGTCTCGTTTGTGCGACAAGCTCAAACAAGCACCTCATGACCATTGCAGTGCACCCATAATGTCAATAAACAATGTTACATTATTACTAGATCAGTTATGCACTCATACAAGAAGAGAAATGATCAGCCAAATATTTGCACACACACACACAAATGGAGTGGAGCAGCATTCTGTGATTTCGCCAAATCATCACACACATGTCTGAAAGCACACGCAAGCTCTGCTGTAGTCTTGCGCATGACACTGCAACTGGAGAAACGCTAGCGAACTGGCTGAAGAAGCAGAGCTTACGACATTTTTCATGGGTGAATTAAGAGCAGTTCTTTTTTTTAATAGCCAAGCTGCTAGCCAAAACATGAAAATGGCTGTCGTGCAGAAAAAAACCTCGCTGCGCCACTGCCATAGCAACCGCCACAGCAACCGCCAAAGCTGTGGAACACCTGGCCTTGCCGTGCTTCGTTACTGAGACATCACACCAAACCACGCATGCACTGAAGCCACACCCTACACCAAGCTTACGGAGCAGCTGCCACACCGAGCAGCGTATGTGTCATGTTGCAGCTGCGTAGAGACCACGGCACCTAACAACCGTTTATAATGTAAAATATGACATAATAGGGTTCACCTAACAACCGTGTCACCTAACAACCGTTTATAATGTAAAATATGACATAAATAGGGTTACTGTGCATGTGCATGTCTTCGCAATCTCTATAAAGGCAGTTCTGGCTATGAATCACCAGAGGACAGTCGGCATACCCACAGAAGTGGCTGCTTATAGCACGGCTCAACATGTTGCTGATTAAGAAAGACGTCGTCTACAACAAACCAATCCAGTCTTAACGACCAATGAGACACGGAGGACCAATTGTTATAGAGATGAGCCTAACGACATACAACTTATTAAAATGACGCAGCCTCAACAAAAACCATGCAAGACTTCAAACACCGAAGCTGGTCAATGCGATTGCTAGCAAAGAAAATGTCTAGCATAAGCTAAGCTCCAAATTAGCACCAGCAAAGTTTAGACCTAGAAAAGTTCAAGCCTCGCAATAAGCATAGCCAATTTCGAGCCTAAAACCAGGCAAGTTCGAACCTAGCACCAGTTGAAAAAACGCTATTGGATCGACCAGCATCATTGTTTCAAGCCTTGCACGGCCAGTGCAAGCAACAGTGAATTCTCAGTAAACAGAAATCTGTTAAACAAAACTGCTGCTTAAATAGAGCGACTGCTTCTAATATGATTGGTTTCATACTTGAATTTAGCCACCCAGTTCACCTCTCAGTAAATGAAACTCCTGTTAAATGAAACACATTTTCCCGGTCCCTTCTGGTTCTGTTTTATTAAGAGTGCACTGTACTTAAATTCTTTTTTTTTTATGAAACAAATTGGAGTCTCACCGGCTCATTCGAAGTGGGTTTACGCGTTTCATGGAATGTTTCAAATCAACTCTTTCTATGTAGCATCACTCATTTGTTTTAGTGTCAAGGCACAGATTCGGGTGAAAATAGACCATGCTGCCCATGTCATATCCAGTGTGTCTTGTGTGGAGCCTAGCATCCGGTGCCAGTTTGTATCAAGCACTCTTGGACTTCGCGTATGCTCTTTTGCGGAACATTTTCACTTTCCGCTGGCAAATTCAGATTTGTAAAATTGAAGCACTTGCTCTACAACTACGGTGACTGCTCGGGTCAACCAGTGAAAAATGCCATTAGTTGAAACAAGTTCAACAACTACCAAGATGTGTGAGCGACTGAGTGTTTTAGTCAAGACATCGTAATGAAAGACCAAAGAGTCTGCTACATCATACTTGCACTCAAAACACGGTTGAAGATTTGATTTCTCAAGTAGATTTATGTAAAAATTCACAATGATAATAAAAGAAAGTGTACAATCTTAGAACAGAATGAATGAGGACATGAATAGGTTAAAATGTACTGCAGTCATTTTGGATGAGTTTGCTCTCTAAAGCCTGAACTGAAGAGCAAATTGGGTGACCAAATGACCTTACAGCAAAGCCACACACCAGTTCTATTTTGTACTTTCATACTGGATACAGTAAACTCATTAAACAGAACCTGAAGGAACTAGAAAAATATGTTCTGTTTAACAGGAGTTTACTCAGAGATGTACAAAGGTGCACAATAGAAGAAGGAAACCGATCTTGTGAGTACCATTTGTTTCGTTTAGGCAGCAGTTCTGTTAAACAAATTTTCGTTTACTGAGAATCTACTGCACGGCTATATCTGTGCAAATCCAAAAAACAGCGACAGAGAGTTTCCACGAGTACACTTCAGGGTTGGAACTGCTAGCCTTGAAGAAGGCGAGTTCACTTGTCGAAACGTTGGCTCGAGCACACAACCCCTGTTTACTGATGTATCTGTGAAACTGACATTTAAGTAATCGAGTTCTATACAGTAAATGGGACCTAGCCTATATGCATGTGACATGTTTTGTGTGAGAGACCTTCATGCACTCTATAATGTTTCTTTGCACTGCAACCACATGAATGAAAAGATGCTAACTCAAGGTCTTGCTTTAGCTCATCATGTTGACATGTTGACACTGCACTGTAGCTTTCTCAGAGCGCGTACACAATAAACATTTGAAAAAAGGTACTGGTCTCAAAAGAAAAACCAGCCGATTGGGTATGGCTGACACAGCGAAGGTTTCTCAGCAGGCGAACATTGAGGAGGCATTCAGTTAGGCCTACATTACACAAAGTATCAACAAAAGGAAGTTATTCACTGCATGAATGAAACATGCATTTAGCTGAAATAAGCAGAGAGAAAACACTCACTGCGAGAATGAGCTCCACAGGTCATTTTCATCCTCAACTCCATCAGAAAGCAAGTCCTCATTTTGCTTTCCAGGCTTCTTTGCGACCTGATGGGATGGGTAGCTTACATAAGATGTCGTACTACATACAGAAGCACACTGAATATATTCTTGGGATCATTAGACGACAAAAGAACAGTCTTAGTACCAGTCACACGTTAATACCCGTTGAATATTAACTGAGAACATCATTTTAAAAACTAATTAGCAATGACACTGCAGTGGTAACGAGTGAAACATTCTGCATAGGCAGGGCTACACAAACTACTCACTTTATGTGCATCATGCGATAGATTAATCAGCAAACAATGAAAAATTAAAAAACCCTGTATGACACCAATATAGAACTTTTGCAAATTGAGGCATTGTTAAATAGGTTAATTATTGCAGTTAAATAGTTTGAAAGACAATTCATAGCTAGTGGCACCAAGTTTCAAAGGATGCAATAAGTAGCAATAAACGTGACAAAGGGGTAATAAACAGACCCAATCACTCCTGCAGTTTAAAGCATATGATTGTTCAATATGATACAAGCATATGACGGTGTCATAGCACTCACCTTCACTTTCAGGACGTGGCTTCTGAAACTGTTTATGACTACTAACACATCACTGGAGTCCTGTGAGGAGTCTGTGTTTTCATGGCTGCCAAGAGAGAGAGAAAAAAACTAGGCTGAGATCACACGCAAAAACTGAAGTGAAATATCAACGAAGGCATTCCACTCTAATTTAGAAGTGCAAATTTACATGCAAATTTTGCACGACAGTGATTATTGCAGATGCTATGAGCACTCTAACGACTACAACTTAACTGTGATGAAAAGCACAGGATTTGACTGCTGTTATAGTGGAAAGGTTACCTCACAACAAGCAAAAGGAGCGAAAGAGCAAGTATGCTTCCAGAGACTTAAAAATGTGAAATGTAATTTTTAGCCATATTATAACACTTCCATTTTCTGGCAAATATACACTGCTAGCTGTCAACTGATGGGTAAGATAATTAGGTGAACACAAAATATTACTTCAGCTATGCCATTTTATTTCACTGCCAGCTATCCAGCGATTAAAAGAAAAGTGAGTGCTGAGTTCAGACCTAAATTTGCGCTGTAAGTGAGCACACCGCACCGGCCATTATTTTGCCCTGGCGCAATTCTGCACAATACAGGACCATGGGCACCACTAATAAGCATCACGCTAAGAACCAACCTTGTGATGTCATAAAGCTCGCTAGATCGCCCTGGCCTCAGTCGCAGAGTCCAAGTACCGGGGTTAGCCTTTAGCTGAAAGTAACCCTAGCAGAAAAAAGGAAGTAGACAAGTTTACAGATAAGATTGACACCTAGAATATCACAAAGAATCAAAGGTTCAAAGAAGGCAAATGACAAGGTCACTGTAGAATACCTGTACATGACAAGTTTAGACGATACGCATAGTGAGTGTTCCGTACATCTAATAATAAAAGCAATTTTCATTAAACACAGCGAAACTATTTTCCACCACCAGGTAAAGGCCAATAAACCGCTACCATACTTATGGCTGGGGACCTCAGTCACAGTGAATGGTATTAACAAGACCTTCAAAGTAGTGGTGCGCATGTGCTGAGCTTGAAATATTCATATTTGACTCATTCGGCACTTGATTCAGCAGAGAGAAACTTCTACAATTCGAAATATTCAAACAACCAAAGCTTTTACAATACATTCAAAACATGCTATACTTTCAGAGTTACAGAGGAACTATTGCTGCTTCTACAATGCTACACCATTTCACTTGGATCAGTTTCACAAAGGGTGTATTAGTGTTCCCATGTAGTTGCCAGTATGTGACAATGTGTATGGTATCGAGGGTAATATTGCAACCAAGTGCACTAAATTTCACCATTATACCAACGGAACCACTGGAACATATAGGTGGCCATCAGTAAATAATGATAATGCAAGATTGAAAGTTGGGCTAGTTGATACACCGTGGGAAAAAAAAAAACAGTGTGCAAGCGAACGGGACGAAGGTAGGCATAAGACAACACAAGTGCAAACAATGCCGTGAAATTGATAAAGTACCATCATTCTGGGCTAATTTATGATAAAGGGGCAATTGCAACAAACATCCAGAAGATTGGATGCCATTACTCTATCTCTGAGTGTGATAACATGTTTAGGGGATATGAATGTGAGATCAAGACAAAACACTTAAGCACCAGGACACCTAGTGATGAGCAGCTGCTTCTAGCATTTGGAGAAACTTTGACATGAGCAGGACATCACTGCTTCCTGAATGTGTCAAACCATCCTTTTATTGTAACATTATATAACTGCAGTTGTGATAAACTGAAGAAGTATTGCAAAGCAATGCCAAATTTTGCTATACATTAATTGCTGTGCAAATCTTGATATTTATTAATCTTTGACTGACTTCTTCTTCTTCTTATTATTATTATAATTATTTTTTGCAGAAAGCCAGGAATAATCATATTGCACTTGTTTCACAGATGAAGATTTCATATTCACGCACCCGTACTTTCAAGTCCACTGCGCTCATTGCCTGTTTATGAGAAATAGTGTTTACAAGAAAAAGCACAGTCAGCCACGATGACCTGCAGCTGCCTTGCTTCAGAGCCAAATGTATTGTTGTTTGCAGGTATTTTAATGAAGTGGCTGTCAAGTCAACAAGGTTATCCTTTTCACCCATGTATCGTTTTTGTAGAGCACAGATATTACAAATAGAAAATACAATTGCAAAAAACAGAATTGTGGAAGCTTAGATGCATGGTATTTAAACAAGGGCCCTGGTCCATGGCATAATTCGCCCCACTACATTGTTCAGGATCACAAATGTTTTTACAGTAAAAACGCTACATAGGTGCCAGAAGGAAGAGCATTAAAACTATAACCACTGTAGCTTAGTAATGAACAAGAATAATTGCTCAGTGTGACCTCGGACACTTCGCATCAGCCATTTCTTAAACTCTCCTGCTCACAATTTTACGTAAGCCCCTAACAACCAGACTATGCCAATGCTTTTATGTAATAGCAATGGGATCAATGGGCCTCGGGTAGTAGCAGCTTACCAGGTTTGCCATCACAATGGTGTCCACCACAGCAGGGTTGCTCTGGGTGCCCAGGATAAACTGCAAGCCCCTGGGCGGGTTGCCACTGGACTGTTCAAAGCAGTGCCCTGGTGCAGACACAGTGAGAACAGGGAGGGCATCAGAAGAAGCCGCACCACAATACAGCCCCGTACTTCTGCAGTTTATTATGCCAGTGTCGCACGGGCATTTTTAATCACGATCTGTGCTGATTTAGATTAACCGTGCTGCTACACAGATTTGCTGCTACAGGATAACTTTTAATCGCAATCAGGCCCGATCGGGATCAAAACTGTCGCGATCTGGCTGAGATATCGCGATGTCGTGTTGTCTGCAACCCCTGGCTGAGCTTGTCCAAAGCAATAGAAAAAAAAAAAAATCAAGCATAGTTCTGCAGATCAGATCAAAAGCTAAATATTTTTTAATAAAAAATTTTAAACTGTTTCAATTGATAATAATCTGTAATATTGCATATTTTAAGATTCATATTGACTGCATGTTGTTATGGGAGAAGCAGACGATAAGCAGACGAGTCTGAGACGACAAGTTCAACTCGCGCACCGTCGGAGTAGTTGGAGATCTCAAACAAAATTGATTTGGAGTGTCGCCAGCTTTTCTACTACGTCGCAGCGTAAGTGCACTTCCTGATCGAATGAAAGACCTTTACAGTAAGTGACCGTGGGCAGGAGCAACTGGGAGACTTGAGGCGGCAGAAGTGAAACTCTGGCGTGTACAACAAGATTGCCGTTTCACTGCGACTGGAAGGCTATGAGCAGGTTCCATCGGAAATAAAAGTGTAGATTAAGATTCTTGCAAAGCAATACGAGTAAGTGCAAAGAAAACTCTACCGAATGATGGATTTACGAAATTATTTTTGTAGTGGCCCGGAAAGTTTTTCACGTTCGAGTGGTTCTTGCACGAATAACATATCGCTGATAAGCGGCTATTATAAAATATCAAAAGCTGAGTTTTGTCAATGACATGTCTTATGGCACGCAAGTGCCACCTGGTGCATTTCATCTGATACAAACTTGAACTGGATTAGCTTAGGTTGTGTAGTAGCAGCCATAAAGTTGATCGCGATCAAAAAAAAGCAATCCGGATGACCCTGATCGCGATTAAAAGAGCCCGTGAGACATCGGTATTAGTAGTCACAACTTCTTCAAAATGCCCAAATAACCAATAAACTCAACTGGGTAACACACACACAAAAAAGCATGACTGACCCCTCTGTCATAAGAATCGGTATGTAACCAGAGTGAAACGTGTCTTCACAGAGGTAGTTGGGAGCTTATAAGAAATTGTTTCACCACAAAATTGAAAAAACTATTGCTACAGCATAAAACTGTAATGTCAGGCAAAGAATGGCAAGCTGCTTGAAACTTGCAGCACGTTCTTTAAATCAAGCACAATGGACACAAAAAAAAAAAGAAAAATACATGAGATGAGCACGAACTAACACCTGTCACAGCTGGACACTTAAAGCACTCCGCTCAAACACAAAGAAAGACCTACAGAGCAAATGCACAACTACACACTGGACGAGCATGAACTAACAACTGTGCCAATTTTTACTTGTGTGTGAGCAGCACGCTCCTTTCGCAAGCGCAGCCGCTGCAGCGAGCTTAGAGACCTTTGTGCTCTCTGTAACTTCAATGCACTCTTGGTATGAAACCCTAAGATGTAGAAACCACACTGACCAAGAAACGAGCGCGTGCACATGAGTAACCACGCCCTGTTGAGGGGCGCGCGTATTGCAACGAGCAAGGTGACAAACTATATGGAGTGCCCTCCGGACACTTTGCGCCATCTCACCGGTGATAAGAAGAACACGCTGATGTCACCAATCTTTGAGTACCACCAGCAGCAAATGGCATATATAAATAGCTCACTGTTGGCATGCTGAAGAATGTACATTTTGTGGCCGAGTCGGTTGGCGCCGCATGCTACGAAGTGAGGAGTCGTAGGTTCGACTCTCGACGACAAAACTTTTTCTTTTATCTTTTTCGCCATCTTTTAGTATATAATTTTAAAATTTCCATAAATACGTCAGAGGAGCCGTGGTGAACCCTGGCATAAAACACTTCTGTGTTTTATGCCAAGGTTCAAAGACTTGCACTGAATTTGAAGCATGGTCCTATGTATTATGCGAGCCAAAATTAAGACTCTGAACTGGGCTGGTGAGAGTATTTGATCACTTTGATTTAAATTGAAACTATTAGAAATTTTTAAATATTTGAGATGAACAATAAAATGTATACAAGTGCTTATGTAAAGGCGGCTTCGCGGCAGTGAAGCAGCGCTATGCCATGAAAAAACCTAACCAGGGCGAAATCCGAGCTGCTGCGAAGCCTCACATCAAGGCTTATATGAACATATTACCCTCGCATCAGTTCACTACTTTTTAAGTTTAAAAGCTTGTTCTACCATCTATGTCCTAAGAAAAGTAAATTTTAAAACGTAACATATTATACATGTTATCACTTGCATTCGACTCAAAGTAAAATCCTACTAGAACTGTAAAAATTCGTTTTTTTTTTTTTCAGTTTTTCAGTTTCAGTTTACTCAATATCAACAATATTAGTTTACAAAAAAGTGTGTACAAGATTAGTAACACTCAAGGAGCCTCAAAGCATCAAAGTTAAAAACTGTCAGGGGGAGGGTGGGGGGGCTCCCATAAAAGATGTGAAAGAAAAAGGAAGGTGTACATCATTCAGTGGTTCCAGTATCTTTGGTGACAAAAAAATGAACAGTGTAAAAATAAATACAAAATCAAAAATACTTATACATTGAACAAACATAAAAAAAGCTAACACAAGTTACAATACAAAACAGAAAAGCAATGTAACATGTACCAAACAAAAATAAATTGCTATGATGAAAACAGTTGTTGCAAAAAGTATTTTTTTACTTGGTTTCTGAATGCATGTTCCGTGCTCAATGATATAATGATGTATGAAAGAAAATTCCACAGCTTGATTCCCATAAACGTGATGGTGAGCTTGCCGTAGTTCATGCGAACCTTAGGCAGAAGACGATTATCCAGCTCAGAAAACCTAGTAACTTTATTTACGAGGTCATCCACGATAATGCCATCAACATGTAAAATACCACGAAAAAGTTTATACATAACAATGGATAACTTCAGCTGAAATAGTTGATAAAGAGGATGGATATTTAAATTCTGATAAAGTGGCATTGCATTGGTTAAGAATTGACTGAATGTCATGAGACGAAGAGCTTGATTTTGTATGCGTTGAAGTTGGTTGAGGTGGGTGAAATATGTGTTGACCCAGGCTGATATGCGATAATATATGCAATAATATGCGCGTGATAAAGGGAATGAATAATATGTGGTTGAAAGTATGTACGAATTTTGATTATGGCACGTATTTCGTAGATTATCTTGCAAATAAGTGATTGCGCATTATGATTGAACTTCATATGCCTGTCTAGGATTACCCCAAGAAACTTTGTGCGATCAGACATTGGTATCAAGTTATCGTCCTAACGAACAGATATATATTTTCAAACTACTGTCGGTGAGGAATGGAAGACCATAAAAACGGTTTTGGATGGATTAATCTTTAACATGTTCTTTTGACACCATGAACTTATATAATGTAGATCTACATTAATTTCCCATTGTAGGTCATCAATGTTATTAGTGCAAGTGAAAATGGTCGTGTCATCTCCATAATAGATACAGTCTGCAGTACTCAAAGTATTAGGTACATCATTAATAAATAGCAAGAAAAGCAATGAACGAAGGATCGATCCCTGAGGAACACCTTGATTTACGTTCTAAGCAGCTGAAACTTTACCGCCAATTTGAACAGCTTGAGTACAGTTAGATAAATAGCTTGAAATGAATTGAAGTGGTGGACTAGTCATGCCATACGATTCAAGTTTATGCATAAGAATGTTTTAAACCATAAGGAATGGCACTTCCACGTGCCTTGATACAATTTAAAAAAATATATTTTGCAGGTTAGCTGGGTCGTGACGAATATGCCGACCTTTCTTTATGATATGCAATATATATTATTTGAATTTGATCCGAGATTATTTGATCAAATCACTTATTGCTTCGACACTGCAATTTACTATTTGCACAAGTAATCCTGCACAAGTGAACCCTGCAATAACAGGCACATTCAACACAAGGACATAAGAAGACTTTTGCTATGTGTTTCAACGCTCAATAGAAGTGTCCATAGCATTACTTAAAAAAAATGTTGTGATTAAGTTTTTGCATGAAAGATGTGAAGTGTTACATAATGCCTCTGTTGGCTTGATAGCAAAGGCTTCCCGGCTAACTTCGACGATTGGCCGGCAGCTTGTCAGGCCAATGTGCAGGGCACAGAAAATGCTAAATTACCAATTCACTTTGTACCACTGTTCACACACAACTGCTCGACAAGGGTGATCATATGGAACTGGCACAATGGTATAGCAGTTGCTAGAGTCAAGCTGCTGGCCAAAATGCTTCTGTACGCAGCACTGACCAATTTAAAATTGCTCTTGCTGAGTATTTTGCCATGTTTGATATTCACACACAAACTCTCAGCTCCAAATCAACAAACTTTAGCTTCTTTATAGTTAATATCTTTGATCTTGGAAGTTACAACCTGATTATGGCAGTAAATTACCCAGTTAAATGAAGTACGACCGTCTAAATTCAAAACTTACTTTGTTACATAATATCATTACAGATTTGCTTGTTAAGTGAAGCTTCTACTATACACGTGCGCACACAAGTCAGGACAAATAGCAAAAAAAAAAAAATATTCTGTTATGAAAATACAAGGCAGCAAGCCTTCAGTTGTTGGAATACAGTACAAGGCTCATAGTTAAGTTCTTCGCTAGGCAGTTAGGCATTAATTTCAACTCTACACACCTTCCAAAAGTAGGTACTCCAGTTCAAACTCGGCGTGCACTCTGCTCTCCACCTGAAACAGAGACCAGCAGCAATTCACTCACAGCTGCCTGTAGAATATAGGAACACATCGGAACTTCATAAAACCATCTTCACATAGAATGCACAGATAGCTGTCACAAACAGGCCATGCTATGATTTTACAAAGAACCTCATACTGATTATTGCACTAATTATTACTGCACTTTATACCTCTTATTAGTGCTGGACGTTAGCTTTAAAATAATTTATTTTGGTTTCAAAGTAAACATGAATGCTCATCTGAGTAGGCAGAACTTAGCAACATCGCCACTAGTATGACGTAGACTGAGGCACCACATGGCGTTTCACGAAGTAGGCAAGTACAGTCGAACACAGTTATATTCAACCCACATATATTGAAGTTTTGGCTATATCGAACTCGCAAGTTATCCCCTTTAAATTCCTTTGTAAAGGTATAGGAATTAGCACGTTAATATCGAACGGCATGTTTACCCGGCTTTGGATATATCGAACACCGTGCGAGCTGGAAGGTGCCCTTCGCCACTTGGCCCCCACCCCCTATGCTAGCATAGGGGGAGGGGGGCCAAGTGGCGAAGGGCACCTTCGCCACTTGGCTTAATTTATGCTAGCATCATTCATTAATGATGCTAGCATAAATTATACGATGCATTGGAGCATTTACCACTCCACTTCGGGATTACCAGGCCCAAAGCTACAAATTGCAGCAAAAAATTTGCAAAGAAAACTTTCACTGTCAGGGACCCTTTAATCCCTAAACGTAATCTTTTTAAATGAATTGTCATTTGACAAAGAAAAGGAAAGAAAACAAAAATGTGCTGTAAATCACTCTTTGGTGGTTCACAACAATTTCCTGATAGCCCATGTGAAAGAAACACCTTGTGAATGATGAGCCCATTCCATTTGCCTTTGCATCTGCACCTTTCAAATGGCAAGAGTGCAAAACTGCCTTTTGACTTTATTGTGTACCACAAATCCTGCCAGGTGATGGAGCTGCAAACTGGCAGCAGCATTCACTCATCAACCAAGACAATTGCTTCACATGCTCTTTTATTCACCTGCTCCATGTGGATGTTGTCGAGGTCGTAGGGAGAGCGCACTGCCTCCACTAGCCAGTTCTCGGGAGTGGCCATACCCAAGGTGAGCAGCGGTGACTGGGGCATGTTGACAAACTTGGCATAAGGCCCCGGTCCCAGCTGGCCGTCCAGCCCAAACTGGGGCTCTGGCTCCAGTACAAAGCGGTAGTAGCTGCATCGGTTTTTCACGCAGACACATTGTGTAAGTGAAGTGACAAAATTATATGCGAGTGACAAGCCTGTGTGGCATTCCTCACTTCAAGCCAATGCTATGAATGCTGCCCAAATGTTAGGAGGGCACTAAAGAGACATAATGACTTTACTGAATTTGATAAATTGCACCCTGAGAACACTGATGCCACATGTTTCACTATCATAAGTTCATTATTAGCGGAGAAAATCAAGGTTGAAGTTTCATTTTTAAATTTCACGTTGAAATGTTCGCGCGTGACGTCAGTAATTCCAAAATGTATTTTTTTTGTATTTTCGCAGCATTGACTCAATGAAATTTTTTATATCTATTATGCTAGGTCTACGCCACTGACAGATAACAATGCACTTCATTTTCATCAATTACAAGCTACATGGGACCCAGTAAATGCCTTCAAAATCTATAATGTTATGGTGTTTGGTGCGAGAACCTCAAGGTGGTGTCTCCATACACATTTTCTTTCCATGCATTTTCTCGCTTACCAAGCGCCGTAATGCAAAAAGAGTGGTGCTTTTGGGATTGCGAAACTGTAATTTACCATTTCGCAAAAAATCATTTTCCTCTCTGGTGTCCCTTCAAGAAGGCCCTGCAACACATTCTTGAGCAGTCAGAAACAGCTGCTAATTGATAGATTGATAGTAGAAGCTACTGAGTGTAGCACACAGCCTACAGTTTAGAAAATTTCTCTCCCTTCTCACGAAAAACGATGTCAGATACCCACAATACTGTGCCACATATGCAAGTCTCAGAACATTGGCTGATTTGAGCATCCCTGACGTGACCCCTGGGGGATGCTGCTGCGCACCTGAGCAGGCACTCATGATCACAATCAAAGCACCCATGCGTTTGAAGAAAGAAAAAAAAACTGCTCAAGGTCACAAATCACACAGTCTTGCCCTTTCGTCGTGCCCCTCCCCGCAGCTTTGAGAGCATTCGCTAGTGTGAAAGGAGAGAGAAAGCACTCGAGGGGTGCGACACATCGTGTAATTCCGCTTGCGCTTGACGGATTCTGTCAATTGCCACGGCATGGGATTCGTGAAGTGTCATGCGCTAATAGTGAGGCTATTTCATTTTTATTCAGAAAAGTGTTGCAGGGCCCCTTTAAGACAACGCATGCAAAATTGAATAATGTGACTTCATTTTAGCATTGAAAAAGATGAACACATCAGAGATGACAGAGAAAGTGCCTTTTACTGCTTTTTTAGCCCTAAAATGAAGATGTCATCAAGAATTCGCCGATTCGCCCAGCAAAAACATTTCTTTAAAGGATATCAGCACTGAGTGCAACAGCCTGCGTGTAGTTCTCTGCACATATACTTCAAGCAAATGTGATTGTTGGTGGCTAAATGAAATGCCTAATGATACCTCAGCAGACTGAGAACTGTTGTTGAGTATGGTATAGTTAACCACTAGAAGTTGATGCAGCCACTTCATATAGAAGACTCATTGACAGCAACAAGCACTTAAATATGAACTATAAAATCACAATACTGCCTACCTTTCACATCATTAGAACACAAGACTGTTAGTCCATCTCCTATAATTTAACAGAGAGTGGCTAACTTGCACTTGTGGGTGCCAGCGTGGTGTCCTTATAATATACTACTTCCCCAATCCCTTGTATGCTCCCCTTTATAATAGCAAGCACAACAGGCCCAGGGCTGAGCGACACCTCAAATGCGTCAAATGGTGTTTTTTGGTCTTTAGTTAGCCTTCCCAGTACAAAGGTTGAATTTCCTACCTTTTGAGAGGCATGTCCGAGTGCTTGTTGATGCAGTTGAAAAACACCTTTACATTGGCATTGATCACATTCTGCAGCACCAACAGTATGTGCGATATCTTCTGAGCCCCTCGTGAGACTGGGTCCACGATTACGATGACCTCGTGAGCTGGTTCATCTGGCTGAGAGCACGGGATTTTCAGCACACTGCAAGGGGCAGAATGATGTCACTTCAACAGCTGTTGTCTAGTAGAGGTACTAGTACTACGACTTTGCAAGGCATACATACTAAGCTGTTTTGTTTACTTAGAGAGGCATAAATTTCACTAAATGAGGTAAGGCACCACGACTGTCGTGACGAAGCATCAACTTAAGCCTTGGTGGCCCATTAGAGCTGCTATTGCTGCATTCAAGCTAGTACTTTATTACTTTTGTGGTCCTAGTTTTCTCAATAACTTTGTATTTCAATAATCTGCGCATGCTATGTCGACCTTCCGAACAAATAAAGTGACAGTTCTAACAAAACAGAAAAAGGAAAAGAAACAAAAAAAAAAACAATCTGTCACCAGCAGAGAAGTCTTATATCAAGCTCAAATACCTGAAATTTATCAAGCTCTAAAAGCCACAATTACATCCTACAAAATGTTCCTGGTCATATTTATCATAACGTCCCTATTGATTGGGCAGGCAGATAAACACTTCAGTTGCTGCTAATAATGTTGCTGCAGCTAAATAAAGTATCACAGTATTGCATTTACTAAAATGAAATGCATACCTTTCTTTACCTGACAAAACAGGCCTGAAGATAGCCTGCTTTTCACAATCAGATATGAGACCAAAGCCACATTCACAGCATTGTAACAGCTCATTATCAAAAACGGTGGCAAAGCATATTTCAAAGGAAGGTCATATTGCAGGCTGAAGACAGCTGAAAGGTAGCTACGTGAGGTGTGTCTTGCACGCCTGTCACTTGTGTTGGGGCAAACAAAACGAGATATTGAGCTGCATGTTCACCAGGAAACATTTTTATGGGTGGAAAGCCGGAAGACTTCTGGACTCGGAAGAAGAGCTTGCAGACTTGGCTAAGCAAATCCACATTGAGGGAGCTTGTCAAGGCAGCAGTCACTGAAGTGGCACGTGATCGAGACCTATCCATAAGTGAATTTAAAGCCAGAAGAAAAGTGGATCAGGGAAGTAAAGGAGCAGCCAGGAGAATGAACTCCCCATTTTATAGGGGTAATTTGTGCTCATCTCTTTTCTTTTCATTTCGTTTCATTTTATTTATTGATACTGTCAGCCCTTTCTGAAGGGCTATTACAGAAGTGGAAATAAATCATATTTAAACAGAAATGTGCATAGGAGAGACACGAAAAAATATTTGTTACCGAAACACACATCCCTTCACGGCAAAAAAGGCTTTACAATTGTTAACGTAGGTGCCTGCTACAACTCTCCTGAAAATATTGAGTAACATAAAATTCGAAGGCGCTTTTGCTTTCTGGATGAATAAAAAAAAAAAAAACGCCAGTCCTGCGCAGAAGGCACAGCACAGTCACAGCGAAAGCTGGAAGAGCAGCCTTTCAGAAAGTTTTTCAAACACTAATTGGGTAACTGCTACAAGCACACTTGCTGGGTACCCATTACGGCATTATTATTAATAAATTTTGGGTAGTAGACCAGCATTCGCTATGCTACTTTTCGTCATTCTTCTGAGAAGCGCTATATGCGCTGAACACTTGCAAGAAATTTCGTGCCAATTGTTCATGCAGTGGCTGAAGATGATGAGGAATTATGTCTGAAATGGGTGTGCGCCACAGCTGATAAATGATCAAGAACAAGCTTTTGTTGTGAGTTGAAGCATTGGACGACCCCCTCGTTACGGTATTCACATTGTGTGATGCCTTTGTTTTTTTGCTGTTCTAAAACACTTTATTACTCATATTAATGTGATTCATTTCGTGACATCAAGCCTGCCTAAGGCAAGTTTGCGAACAAGTCCCAACCCCCAGCGTAGCTACGTGGTAGAATACTGGGCTGGCACGCAGCTGACCCGGGTTCGAGCCCCACTGTGTCCATGGTACTAGGTTTTTTTATTATTTCGCTATAGTAGTTACAAACACCGGCAGCAGCGAGCAACTACAGCGTCGCGCTTGACCCGAGTTTTAATCTCATAACAGCTTTCACTGTAAAAAAAAATGCTAGGCCTGCGTTAGATTCAGGGGTGCATGAAAATCTTGGGGGGTGTGTTAGAATCATGAAAATAATGTATGAAAAAAGCTGAACACAACCAGTACAGATGCAAACAAATGAATGAAAACAACACACGTACCTCTTCTCTTCCTTGTATGCGCTCACTTGGTGTCGAACCTTCGTTTGTACATGTGACATTAACACACTTGCAGCCTTCATAGCAAGATCACTGAAAAGAACACACACTCAAGTAGATAAACAACAGGAACTCAAGCCTTTGAATTGCACTGAAGCATCAATCTAACATCATGATAGCATCTGACCCCAAAGAATACTACTCCTTAATGATAGTCAATTTGCCAAAATTACCGGAAAACATTAAAGGGGGCCTTGCAACATTTTTTGAGCATGGTCATAAAATGCTGTGAATTGGTAGTCGAGGCTCCTGAGAGCTCGCCAGCGAAATATTATAGTCAGCATGCGGCCTGGAATTTGCAATCAATACTTAAAGTCAGCTAAAGATCGCTTACTCGTCTCTCGTCAAATGATCTTATATACTCAAAAATCAATGCGTCATCGTCCCAAGTACATATCACGCCGTTTGCTGATTTGAGCGTGGTGCACTCGGGAGTTACCAAGGCAGTTGTGAAAAAACCCAATGTGTCAGCGCTCATGCGATTGCACTGAAAAGTCACGTGTTATAAAAAAAGAGAAAAAAGTGTTTAAAGTAATGCGGCGCACATGACATACCTTCTTCCCCCGTGCCATCCTTTCCGGCTTATCTTCTAACGCTTTTATCGGGACGAGAGACTGAGAGAAAGTGATTGCAGCGTGCGACACGTCTTCGTAGCTCTCCCCCTACTGAACGAATTCTAAATATGCAATCTTGCAAAGGTAATTTATGATGCAATAAGCTCCTTTGGTGAATCCATTCCATGGCTACTTAGAAAAGTGTTGCAGGGCCCCTCTAAAGATGGACTTGAGGCAACCAGAAGACAACGTCGAAGTTACTCAAATGTAGAGCTCTCCAGCAAACAGAACAAGACATTGTAAGGCGATTCCTTCAATTTACTGTTTGATCACGAGAACTTAAAACCAGCTCAAAGGAATTTCAGGGTGCAAACACTTGAGATCTGCTTATGCCCCTGAAAACAAACCCTTTGAAGTACAGTAATCTAATGAGACCCGATTTTAAGATTTTCCCCGATGTAACGAATAAGTTCTCATTCGCCAGCAGGTACCCTTGGGGTTCAATGTTGATTCCATCATGAATTTACAAAACTATCATGGCACTAAACCAGATTTAACCAAGTCTTTCCAGAAATATGTGAGCAACTAATGCAGCCATTTCCTCCTAATTTTGACAAAGACGACTTCTTCTTTGTGTGTGCGCTCAACACTAATGCGTTAAACCTAGCCTTCCCATTCATGACCTTAATTTAATAAGGCTGTGCACTAAACCTATGCGAGTAACAATGGAAGTAGGTTGCGATTCAACACACCAAATGGTGCTGGGTGGAGTGCTGTTATTTTGTCTCCTAAATGCTATCACAAAAATGCTGGGCTTGCTTTCGTTAGTATTCACCCAACTTTCTTACTCGATCTGCTTGCAAGGTCACACCATTCCTTTTTCACAGTCTCTGCACCTCAGAAGTTGTCATAGATTCATGCGACTGTCTACTTAGCGAGCATTCCAGTCGACATTGCCTAGACACAGGAGGCTGCACGCCTGGGCTGCCCTTGTGTACTTTTTAGACACGCAGGCGTGTATTAGAGGCATATGAAGTGCTGGGGTAACTATCGTTAGTCACTACGTTGAAATTTTACATTTTTGAGGAACTCAAAATCCCTTTATCGCTTTTACGAACTTCCAGATTTAACAAAATAGCGTGAGCACTGTCATCATTTCATTAAATCTGGTTTGAATGTACCACTGGTAGGTAGGTATTATAAGATCTAGAGTAAAACATCGTAGCATTTACCAAAATAGTGCAGCCATTGTTTTTAAGTGCAGTGTTCGACTGCTCACCTATCCACATCACCAGGGCTGCTGCTTTCGGCTCTCAGAATGTCTGTTATCTTGGTCCCATAGGTGCTCATGGAATAGCGTTCCAGGAGGTTGAAGTCGTCGCTGTTAAAGATTTCTCCATCTTCGAACGGCCCGATTAACTGCAACGAAATGTTGAAAAATATGCATGAACTTGTGGCGACGCAAAGCGGTGCTTCTGTGTGCGGTGCAGAGAGCGCATGCGCCCGCACGAAAAAGTTATCTTCGAGAGGAAGGGTGATAATAAAAGTCAGTTGTTGTTTGGGACGCGAGTTGTTCCCTTGCGCAGCTCTGCCGAGCGACGCGTCTCAACATTGGTGACCCGGACTCGGAATACAGACACAGCGACCGGAGTGTCGAACCAGCCGCAATATGGATTCAACGTCCACGACCGACGCCCATCCGACAGTCTCCTCAGTCGACGGTAAGCTGTCCCCTTTTTGGACTGCGGACCCCGCGCTTTGGTTCATACAAGTGAAATCTCAGTTCGCAGTCGGACGAATCACCGCAGACCTTACGAAATACCACTACGTAGTTAGCAGTCTGCCGCCCGCCATAGCCAGTGAAATCAGGGATCTGTTGCTCGCACCACCTGTCGAAAACGCATATGCAATGCTAAAAGAAACCCTTATTCGCCGAGTTACGCTCTCCGAACCACAACGACTGCAGCAATTGCTTCGCGGCACGGAACTCGGCGACCGTACTCCTAGTCAGCTTTTGCGGCACATGCAACAGTTGCTTGGCGGAATATCAATTACGATAGATGGAGTATTGCTCCGAGAACTTTTTTTGCAAAAGTTGACTGCAGGCGTCCGCAAGGTCATCGCGGCCTCAGAGCACAAGGATTTAACCGCAGCTGCCGAACTTGCTGACAAACTGGTAGCAATGACACCGCCCACACCCATGGCTGCCGTGCAAGCGCAACAGCCTCTAAACGAACTTCAAGAGATGCATGAGGAGATTGCTCGACTTGCCGAAACAGTATCAGCTTTGCACGCTAGCAGAAGGGCGCAAACGATAACCGAGCCTAACACGCCGCTATCGCAAGAGCAGCACGAGCATATCTGCTGGTATCATCGGAGGTTCGGAAGTAGTGCGCGTAAATGTGTACCACCGTGCGCGCACTCGGGAAACAGCCGCGGCAGGCACTGAGGGCGACCAGTGCTACTACGTTGCCTCCAAGTCGTCCCTCAGTATTTCTTATTACCGACCGCAACAACGGAGTACGTTTCTTAGTGGACACAGGCGCCGAGGTGAGCGTTATATCGGCGTCACAAGCTGAAAGAAAGAAACCTAGTACATCGCCCTTGCAAGCTGTAAATAACACGGTGATAACAACATATGGCCATCGTTCACTGTCGTTGAACTTCGGTTTCGGCAGAACATTTAGCTGGGTGTTCATAGCTGCTGATGTCAAATTCGCCATACTAGGCGCAGACTTTCTCCAGTTCTTCGGTCTGTTGGTCGACGTCCGCAACAAACGGCTTCAAGATCCCGTTTCTCGGGAAGCGGTGCAAGGCACGCCGTGTTGGCACCCCCCTATCAGCCCGGCCTTGCTTAGTCCGGCTGGAGAAGCGTACTTCACCGCAATACTACAAGAGTTCCCAGAGCTGACACGACAGCCACAGGCATTTCCAGAAGTAAAGCACGGCGTCCTGCATCACATCGGAACCACAGGCCCACCGGTCTATGCGTGACCACGGCACCTGTCACCCGAGAAGCTGCGGTTGGCTCGACAGGCGTTTGCCCACATGATGTAACTCAGGATAGTACGTCCTTCATCCAGCCCATATGCGTCACCTCTTCACATGGTCCCAAAATCAACAGACGGTGATCGGCGCCCTTGCGGGGACTATCGAGCGCTGAACCGGGTAACCGTGCCAGACCGTTACCCAGTCCCGCACATTCATGACATGACCTCCTTCCTGCATGGTGCTACCATTTTCTCTAAAATAGATCTAGTGCGAGCATATCCGTAGCAACGGAGGATATCCCCAAGACCGCAATAACAACGCCGTTCGGAATGTTCGAGTTCCTACGCATGCCTTTCGGCTTACGCAACGCCGGCCAAACTTTTCAACAGTTTATGGATGGCGTTGTCCGTGGCCTCGACTTTTGCAAGGTATACCTCGATGATCTTCTGATTGCTAGCAGCACTCCTGAAGAGCACGAGCGGCATCTGCGCTACGTACTTCAGCGACTGACAGAGAACGGCATCGTTATCAATACGGCAAAGTGCGTGTTTGGGTACCGACACTATCATTTTTGGGCCACAGCATTTCAAGTGCCGGAGTACAGTCCCAGAAGGACAAGGTGGAAGCAGTACGGGAGTTTCCACAGCCGAAAAACCTCCGCCAGCTTCGAGATTTCCTGGGACTCGTGAATTTCTACCGTAGGTTTATCCCGAAATGCGCCAACATCCTTCACCCTCTCCACAGCCCACTTGCGGCATCTGGATCTAAGGCAACTGCCATTCAGTGGAACGACCAATTCACACAAGCATTTCGGATGATAAAGGAAGCTCTCGCAAATGCTACCATGCTCACGTACCCGCAGCTGGGTGTTCCTCAGTGCGTCATGGTGGACGCCTCCGATGCAGCGATTGGAGCCGTGTTGCAGCAGAGGGTGTGCGGAGTGTGGCGACCAATTTCCTTCTTCTCCAGAAAACTGAGCCCGTCCAAACGAAGGTACAGCACCTTCGGTAGAGAACTCCTGGCCATATACGCGGCTATCCGGCATTTCCGACATTATGTGGAAGGACAAGAATTTTTTGTGCTCACGGATCACAAGCCACTCACCTACGCATTGCTCGCGAGCTCCGATTCTGGTGCGCATGTGGCACGGGAGCTCCGCCAAATGTCGTACATCGCAGAATTCACGACAGATATACGCCATGTTAGTGGCACGGATAATGCTGCTGCCGACGCTCTTTCGCGCGGTCCAGTGAATGCCATCAGCCTGCCGAGCGGCGTAGACTTCACCACACTTACGACGGCTCAACGCAGTGATGGAGAATTGAAGCTTCTACTGACGTCTTCAACCAGCGCCTTGAAGCTACAATGGTTAGCAGAACCCACAGGATCCGTATGCTGCGACATGTCTACAGGCAAGGCCCGACCGTTCGTCCCCTCGAACCTCCGTCCCAGCATTTTTTACTTGCTGCACAGCCTGGCCCTGGCGCATCCCGGGATTTGAGCCACGCAACGGCTATGCACAGCGAGGTTCGTGTGGCCAGGAATAAACAGGGATGTCCGATACTGGACACGAGAGTGCATCGCATGCCAGCGCTCCAAAGTTCAGCGACATACTGTGACTCCCTTGGGATCCTTCCCTCTGCCGGACTGTCGATTTGCCCATGTGCATGTTGACATTGTGGGACCAGTGCCGTTGTGCCAGGGGCAAAGCTACTTGCTAACCTGCATTGATCGCTTCACGCGATGGCCGGAGGCCATGCCCATTTCAGACATGACTGCTGATACCGTCGCCCGCGCATTTATCTTCCACTAGGTGGCCCGCTTCGGAGTGCCGGCAACTAGTGACTACGGATCGCGGAACACAGTTTGAGTCCACCCTGTTCGCAAGCGTCACCCGGCTCTTGGGTACTCACCGCATCAGAACAACTGCCTACCATCCGATTAGCAACGGTATAGTGGAAAGGTTCCATCTGCCATCTGACGGCTACTGCGAGTCACAGTTGGGTAGAGGCACTGCCGTTTGTTCTGTTGGGCGTTAGGACGGCTCTGAAAGCAGATATTGGATGCTGCTCCGCTGAACTGGTGTACAGAACAACGCTTCGCCTCCAAGGGGAGTTTTTCACTACCAGTAAGGACGAAAACGTGTACGCGAACGCGGACTACGCCGTGCGACTGCGGGACATCATGAGCAAGCTACGCGCTGTTCCTCCGCGTCCGCCCGCAGCCCGGCCAGTCTACGTGGACCGGGAACTCTCCTCCTGCCCTCACGTGTTTGGGAGGCACGACGCCGTACAGCCTCCGCTCAGGCCCCTGTACGACGGGCCTTTCAAGGTGCTGCGACGGGCAGACAAGCACATTACAATCGACAGAGGTGGTCGTCACGACGTGGTTTCTCTAGACCGCGTAAAATCAGCACACGTGGACTCCGACAGCGAAGCACCTGCACCACCTCGAGCTCCATCTTCGCAGGCACCCCCGGCAGACCACATAGCGCAGCCCCAACAAGTCCTCAAACGGTTTACGTGGAGTGGACGGTGTACGAGACCCCTGGTGCGCATGAACTTATGAACCGCAGTGGGTCGTCCGAGTGCGGCCGTTGTGTGCGCACTCACTAGAGAGGGAGTACTGTGGCGACGCAAAGCAATGCTTCTGTGTGCGGTGCAGAGAGCGCATTCGCCCGCACGAGAAAGTTATCTTCGAGAGGAAGGGTGATAATAAAAGTCGGTTGTTGTTTGGGACGCGAGTTGTTCACTTGCGCAGCTCTGCCGAGCGACGCGTCTCAAACTAATGCAGCACTGTGTGGCCTTTATCTGCGTCGCAGTTTTGTATACAAGAAGAAGCGCCACAAAAGGGTCACAGAATCTATACAAAGCTCGATGACATCAGCAAGATAGAAATGCAAAAAGTTTAAATGAGGCATTTTTCAGCTTTCATGGTCAATTGGTAGCTGTTAAGCTGTTGGTTGAAGCTGAATTAAAGGTACAGCATTCAGAAACTATCGTACATATATCTATATATCGAGTCAGGCAACTAGTATGAATAAGACCAAACCGTTCAAATAAGAAGGGGTGCTCAAGTGAATCAGACAGATAAGAAAAGTTCTCGAACATTTTGGTTTATTTCTTTAAACAGGACTAAAAGCATAGAGTTTGGAAGGTGCACTGCGCAAGCTGGTTGCAATCTACATGGGCACTGCATTCTGGTATAGTTACAACCTTATTTGCGCATAGCAGTTAATCAGTGTTACACAAAATGAACCACAATGTATCATTGAAATATTCCTTTTCAGTGCATTGAGCACTTCATAGCTGAGATTACGTTCGTTGAGGAATTTGTTCAGATAATAATATCTAGGATACAGGTCCTAAAACCATGACATAATTACGAGCGATGTTGTAGTGGAGAGCTTCCGAAATCTTGATCGGTTGGCGTTCTTTAATGCGCACTGACATCGCACAATACTACACGAATCTCTAGCATTTCGCCTCTATTGACAGGCGACCGTCGCCACCGGGATCGAACCTACAACCTTTGGGTTGGCAGCCGAGCATGGTAAATGCTATACCACTGTGGCAGACAGCCTTTCGTTAGGAAATCGCCAACTTGAGGTTGTAACTGTAGATTGTTTCAAAGTAGTGTGTGATAAGAAAAGAACAACTCTGTCCTGTTCGTGCAAATGCATGAGCTTGCATGTTGTGAAAACTGCGAAGGGCAGGCAAACATCTAACTGCTGTCATGACATGACACGACAAAGAAGGACATGACACGAGACAAAGAATACTGTTTCTCACCCTGCCGCCAGCAACTACAGCACGCTGTTGTGGAGAGAGCTTTAGAGCAAGCCGGGAGAATGTTCTATGCCATGTAAGGAAACCGCCGTCGCAGTCTGCCAGGGCCTTCTTGAATGCATCCACTTTAGAGTTCTGCTCAAAGACATTCGGGATAAGAAAAAATGTTACGCACATACAGATTATAACATTAACTACAATAAAAAGCAAGATAATATCCCACCTAGGAGAAAACTTTATCTAATTGTCTCCTATTTCAAGCTATAAAAACAGCGATATGAGCTTTTTCATGGCAACCACTACCTGGAGATTGCTTAGATTTGTTAATATCTGTTGACTGAAGTGAAATAATTATTTTATTCAGGTTACTGATTTATGAACAGAAAAAATTTGTTGAAAATTTTGATGGTTCAGAAAATGAAACTACATAGTATGGAGCTTACATTGTAACTCTGCCAATATATATATATATATATATCGGACGCACTATTCGAAGGTCGTCGGTTCGATTCCTGCTCACCGCAAGTTATTTTTTCACGCACTTTTCTTTCTTCCTATATACATTACATTGGTTCTAATAACTTCTTTTATACATTCCTTGGCATTATTGTATGTTAGATCTCATTAATATTGTGTCAAAACACGGAAAAACGAGCCCTTAAGTAGACACTTCTATCCCTTATATATATATATATATTGTGGTAAAGCCTTTGGACAGTGGGTCGTCCTCTCCAGCGCCTTCTAGTGGGTCGCCCTTTTCATAAGAAGAAGAGCAGCTCGTGCAGAGAGTCGGTCTCCGCAATGACTGTCACTGTCGTGAATCATCGCGAAGTGTCCGCCAATAAACCTCTTAACAATATATATATATGAAACTGCTCCTCATAGTAAATTTAGGGTAGTCAAAATTCATGTATTATGTGCCGCTCTGAAAAAAGGTTTTTTTAGTCGGAATCACTCGGACCTAGACTTACTTGACTTTTTCTCTGCATGAGTCACTCAGACTCACCAAGTGTTTCATGGCTGGACCAACTAGAACTCGGAGTCATGGCTCAATCCAAGTTGGAGTGGGTCAACTCATGAGTACATTGGTGTATTATCAGCCTTTTACATTAGGGCAAGAGTGCTCTTTGATGCTAATTTCACACAAAAAGCACTAATCTATGTGGTGCCTTTTGATCTTGCACCTTCCGATAAGAGTTATTACAAGTTATATTTCATGCTTAGGACACACTCGGACTCAGACTCACTTAATGTTTTCTCAACCTTACACACTTGGACTCACACTCTCTACAATTTCTCTCATCTGGACTCGAGTGACTCGTGTCGCAATCCTGAAGGATCGGAAAGAGGTACCGCGGCCCACATTTTGTGGGATTGTGAGAAAAATCCGAGGAAAGCACGGACAGAGTCGACGAACCCGCCATGGCTTTCAGCCGCCGCAGTACGTGACCAACGGGGAGAGCCGACACAGGCCATCCCAGAGGCTGCCCTCCAAAAGCAGGGCCTGAGCGAAAGCATCAGGTGCCCACTACCGCCCTAGCACAGGGGCGGGCACGAGTGCCTGAAGAAGGCGGCAGTAGCGAGGGCTGCTCGCCAAGTAGAGGACATCATGCTGAGGTGATGCGTGACTGCATCGCGATGACACTTCCCTCACGGGGCTAGGATAGTCGTCCACCGAATAATTAAATTAGGTCTTTTCTCTCTCTCTCCCTCGTATTCACCAAAATATAACTTATCTGGACTCACACAGACTCAGACTAATGGCTCGATTTGACTGTGAATGAGTCTCAAAGAGTCAATTCATGAGTGAGTTTGTGCTAATACAACCACAAGCCACAGTGCAAATACCAACTTAGCTGTCAATGCAGCAACATGAGTAATACATCATTCAATTAATAATTTTTTTTTTTTCACTTGTAACATTACATTAAATGATGCCAACAGCAACTGTTTCAGCGAAGTTTAACTATCTGCTCCTGCCTCCACGTATGTCTCAAGGTATAACAAACAGTATTCTGTGTATAAATTTTATTACTGGCCCTATTCATCTATCTACATTATTTGAATAGCCTTTTCTTAAACTACAAATGTTTTTGTTAAACTGATTGCACATGTGCAAAGAAGTGTTTAAGGCCTTTAAAAGAAAAAAAATAAACATTTCAAACACTGACAGCAAATGACTCACGGGCGAAAGGAACTCGAAGGCCTTCTTTCGGCCAGCGGCAAATTCAGCGTAGTTCTTCTCCGAGAGCAGTTTCCGCAGAAACCCGATGGCCTCCATTGCTGGCAGAGACTCGAGTGCCGTCCAAATGACCTTATTTACTGACTCGCCACTTGTGGCACTCGAATCACCGGGGTTGAAAATGACACCAAAGCGCATGTCATTGGTGCTGTCCTAAGGTTGGAAAAAAAAGCACCATTTCATCAGAAACACAGTCATTCATCATCATCATCATAATTAATTTTAGCCTATTTAGGTCCACTGCAGGATGAAGCCCCCACCCAATCACTTCTACTTTACCCATCTTGTGCGAGCCAACTCTATTTTATCCTCAGAAATCTCCTCATGTCGTCGTTCCACTTAACTCGCTGTACTCCTTGGCTGCCTTTCCCGTTCTTTGGTAATGATTCTGTAACGCTAACCACCTGTTGGCTAATAACAATTAAAAAATATATATTTTTTCCAACATGTCATGTCGTTACTTTGGTGATTTGTGGTTACTAATCAAATCAAGTTGGGCAGCTGAACATCTGTACAACACAGTGAATTGAAATTCATATTGACTTTTTTCAAAACGAAACCGGCAGAGCTTTAATAGCTGCAATACAGTAGACTCTCATTAAACAGAACCTGAAGGGTTCCATTTACTGAGAGATGAACAGGGGTGAAGAATACAAGAACAAAACCAATCTTTTCATTTGCACTTGTTCCATCTAAGCAATAGTTCTGTTTAATAGATTTCCATTTGCTAAAAGCCTACGTACAACGAAAGCGATACCGGTTTAATTAAGATGCAAATGTCTGTTTTCTGCTCAATTAATTTCATAAGTACACTTTTCATGTAAATAAAATAAATCATCTGTTTCTTTTTTTAAATCCAATATGAACTGCCAGCATAAACTAAGTTATCTAATTACACAGAGCAATCTACTTTTATAAGGGTGTGGTGGCTAAGAGCATAATTAGTATTCCTTACTTATCTAAATAAACTGAGGGCTCTCTAGGGCATTATATGCCTATCAATTGAATGGTATAAAGTCATGCGCAATATCCTTAACAAGTTGACAAGCAGTGGCTACTGACAAGTATTGGCTACTTCTCAGCAGTTGTATGCAACACAACCATAAAAACAGCACACAGATATGCACCTTATACTGAGCTAATTCTACACAATCTTTGTGCTTCGGCCGTGCTTTAGACACAAGGGCTTAGAAAAGCAATTTTACAATACTTTTAGACCTACACTGCAAATTGAGAGAGAACCGGACGAAAACGGGACAAAGACGAAGTAACAGACAACACAGGTGCGCTGTTCTCTTGCACTATCAAGCACCAAATGGCCCTTCAAGACACCCTTCTGCAATTTATTAGAAATTGTTTACCTAAAACCTACTACTACATGCTTCTACAGCTTTGTCAGTGCTTACTATGTCGGTAGTTATTTTTAGTATATCAGTCGATCAACGCAATCTTGGTTTATGACAGCAGCCAAGTCTACACTAGCCATATTCATAAAACTCAGTTATGCAGTGCAAGTGTATATAAAGCTCTGTCAGTATTTGAACTATGTGTTTAAAGGCACCTGTCATATTTGGCGAACGCCATAATAAACACGTTTCCTTAAAATGACAGTTTTCAGGAGGCTAGCCCACATGACATCATGGTTTACAGAGTCAGTTAGAGTACTGAAATCAAAGCAAGTTAAAGCAGTCTGAGCAAACTTCAAAGCAAGGGTGAAGAAAATGAAATACAGAGTCAATGTTAAGTACAATAAAAGTACGTAAGTAAAAGACCACGGCATTATGCCCTAGATATACACTCAAATTTCGATACGTATAACGAAATGTTGTTATAACAAAGGAAGTGAAGAATAGTCTTGCAAATAATATATTGTTAAAATGTTACCTTTATAACGTATTTTCACATATAACAAACTTATTTTCACGCAGAATGCAACATTCTTAAGACGACGTTTGAGTGCCGACCAATAACTTATATCTAGGCGACAGCACGAGAAGCTGAGACTTGTGCGCCCACAAGCCTTTATTTTCAATAAAGCATTTTCGACATTATTCTTAGAAAGGAAACACCACAGAATTACATGCCGAATGGGAGAATGGGTCTCTTCTTATGGCATTTTGGCTACACAATTCTACAAATTAATGGGAGAAGGTTGCGCACAGAAAAAGCGTATACAACACTTAGCTATTAACCAGAATAAAGATAGCCGAAGCTTTTTTTTTTTTTAGATGAAGAACGATGCTATGCTTTTAAGAGAAAATTTTGCTGAAGAGCAGCCCTACAACATGCACAAGCAGCGGATAATGCAGGAATGATGAAGACACATGCATGCAAGGCACTGCAGGTCCAACCACAAATTTTAAGCAGCACTGCCAGGCAGCAAATACTATTCCTCTTTAACCTTTAACACATTCACGAATAAGTGCACTGTAATGTACAAGGCACCACAATACACCTCATGTGCCGCATTTTGTTCTAGAGTGAGACTTGATATGTGGGGTTTAACATCCCAAAACCACCATATGATTATGAGAGCCGCCGTAGTAGAGGGCTCCGAAAATTTTGACCACCTGGGAACGTGCGCCCAAATCTGAGCACACAGGCCTACAACATTTACGCCTCCATCAAAAATGCAGCCGCCGCAGCTAGAATTTGATCCCGCGACCTGCGTGTCAGCAGCAGAGTACCTTAGCCACTAGACCACCGTGGCGAATCCTAGAGTGAAACTTAGCAACCAGCCCCCCCCCCCCCCCCACCTCCCACACACACAGACACACGTATATATATATTTCTTCCCTCGGTGTAACCATAATTTATGTATGAGCAAGAACTGAATGTTGCCTGGCAGTGCTACAACTTTCAACAAAAAGAAACCACGACAGAAGAATGCGGCCATGCTTACGTCAAACAAAGGGTCTTCCATGGCTGCCTGAAAAAAATAATGACACAATGTGCATGCCTCGAGCAAGAAGCAGGAAGATTGACAGAAGCACAAGGGTGGGGCGCAAAGAGCCCAGAAATTCCATCAACTAAAAGCAGCTTAACTGTACTGTCATGCCTAATCATGCTTAAATGGCCAGCTTAATAGCAGCAGCGATAATTGTCATGCACACCTCTATTACCTTGGTTGTAACTTTGTAACGTGCAAATTTTATAGTTCAGGGTTGTGTGTTGGAGACCTCCAACTGGTACAAATCATCCCGCTTGTCATTGTTATCCTGTTTTCTTGACTTTATCACAGTGCTTCTATTTAGAGCTTCCTACAGATATTCCTTACATTTGCTGACGAAATATAACTGTACAAAACCAACCCTGACCTCATGCAATCATATCAATGACGAAATGTGGTGAGGAGAATGGGGAAAAAGTGTATAATCTTATCTTTTGAAAAGGAAGGTTAAAGAAGTTGTGGAGATAGCATTTCAAATTGAAATGTCACAATCAGTGTAGTGATGTGCAATGTTGCACTGTCAGCTATGACACGCGAACCTGTCATTCAAACAATGCAGCATCCACTATTGTAGCTGTGTAGAATCGGGTGATGGAGTCATCATATTCTGTCCCTCAGTCGAGACACTATAAGTGTCAATAACGCGATCGGCCAATCGGTCCCCTGCTGTCCCTTGACCGCCCCGATTAGTTACAAGATAACGATACCTATTGAACGCACCAGTGGCCATATTTAATGTTGAGAGACTGGGAGGTGTACTTGAGAACGTGATCGTGCATTTACATTGCTAGAGACAACCCAAACCTCTTGTAGCCTCATTAAATATCTGAATTTGCTGGTTAAATTTGCCAATACTTTTTTGAAAAATGGCCACAGTCTAGTATTAGGTTTCCATAAAGAACGCCTGAGAATGAAAACACTACTCATAAATTATTAACATTGCTGATTCATGTTTAAACTCATGCCCACTAGAATCAAGATCACACAAGAAACAACCAAAACCAACACACTAAGCAAGAGAGATAAGAAGAATTGAGCTGCATTGATATATGTAACCTCTCGTTCGCTACCCAACACAGGATGAGGAAAATGGAGAGATAAAGACTCGAAAATAGCAAATAAATAAATAAAATTCATGAGAAGAAAAAGAAGAAGACATGGGGATCATTTGGCAAAATGAAATCATCTAACACATCACTCAAGAGCAAAGCCTTCTATAAATGAAACCTCTATTCACTGATCTAGAAACTGCAACAGAGCTAAAAATGAGGCAGTCAGAAACAGTACATTAAGCTTAGCGTTCCAAGCAGCAAAGCACACGGCATAGCTTACACACACGCACGTTCAGTCATCACTACATAAATTGGCAATAATGCATTTTACCTTGCACTATATGATGATGTGCGTAAACATTGATGAACAAGAATACAAACGTCAAGTAACAGATGCAAACAAACAAATGTTCTCGGCTTATTTCAAGAGTGCCAATGAAGTGCCAATGAAATAAACTAATTAAAATTATGCACAATGCATGAAAGTGCAATTAGTTATTGCATATTTGTACATACAACTCCACCCTGCAGACATAGCTAGTCAGTCTGCAATTGTTATTAAATCTAGAGAACAGACAAGAGCAGTGAGAAGAAAAGATGCAATTACTATGGCTGTCCTAATTCGCAACAGGTCAGACGAATTTGAGAACTTGACAAGTAAAGCATCAGTGACACAGATCACACCTGCAAACCTTAATAAAAATATCAAAAATACTAAAGGTCCTATCTACTGCATGCACACACACGCACGCAAGCTCACCAGATGTTCCATGGCACTGCGCAGCAGGTGTCGTCCCTCTGGAGTGTCGAAGTCTCCCGCAACCCAGGCAGTCAGCGGATAGTACCGCGTTCGGTCTGCATGAAGTGAGGAATTATGTCACGGATGAATGGAAATGCTGCAATGACTCATTTACATTCGTGTGGTAAGGCTTACAATCACTTAAGGGGGGACGCGGCTTTGAAATTGCGAAAAATGGCAAAAAAAATCGATTTTTTGAAACTCAAGTTTTCAGTTTCTGGAACCCTTTTTCTACCTGGTTCCAAAATATCTACACTGAAAACCGCGCAGAAGTGCTTCGGAAAATTCGTTTCACCCACCTAGGTAGCAAAATTTTTTCTGGAAATGGCGAGAAAACGGCGATTTCAAAAATTATAACTTCGCGATGCTTGGGCCGGGAGCCGGCTTCTTGGGCTCATCGGAAAGAGCATTTCTCCGGGTTTAACTTTCCCACCTCAGCTGGCTCCTCCCTTTAACAACAAGCGAGCAAAAAGCAAATGTTTGAAGGTCGTTTTGAGGCACTTGATTGGCCGTGGCCGCCATGTTGCCCTCGCTCGCCTCGCCATTGGCCAGATGCTCGCTCCGGGAGATCGTCGTCTGCTGCTTGTGCGTCGTAAGGACGTGGCTCTCGAAAATCGCTATTTCGCGACGTGTTCACGGCTTGATGATCACTTAAGATATAATTACGCTTTTGTTACAAGCAGTAAGCGGATGCGCGATCAGTTTACTACGAGCGGGCGCGCGGTCTACAAGCGCCGCGCGTCATCGAAGTCGTCTTTAGCCCTAACGCCTCCGACAGCGAGACTGCAGGCAGAAACGACCGCTAGCGCATTCGTGGCGGCGTGCTTCTTCGCAAGCAATGAAGCTGTAAGCGGCGGCACGATCTGATTACTACGAGCGGGCTCGCGGCGGTCCACGAGTGCAACGCTCATCGGCGTCGGCTTAGCCCTAACTCCGCCGACAGCGAGACTGCAGGCAGGAACGACGCGCAAGCGCACTCTTGGCGACGTGCTTCTTCGCAAGGAATGTACATCACTCGCTAGCTTCTCTGAATCGCGTACGGGTATTTTACGCATCGGCAGCGGACAACACAGTCAAGCTCGTCACACCCCCCCCCCCCCCCCCCCCCTTCGCCGCCAAGGAACGCTCGGAACAGCGGCTAGCAGTTTCGCGCGTCTTCATTCTTTTTTTTTTTATTGGCGCTAGTATGCCCTACGGCATCAGTTAAATAAAAAGGAAAAGTTTTGTTTCCTGTATGAAGGCCAGGAGTTGTCGATGCAGTGGACCGTGCGTCCAGCGCGTCAAGTCAGGTGGTCGGCCGGGGTGGTGGTGAAGGCCGCGTAGGTGGCGAGTGCGAGCCTGGTGAAGGCCCGGGCAGGTTCCCAATAGGTGATCAAGCGTTGCCTCTGTGGCTGGGGCAACGCAGAATGGGCACGTCGTTGGGGGAGGCTGTGCACCAGATGTCCATGTAGCCCGGATTGCAGGAGTCAAGGCGGCGCCCACACGAATCCTCCTGAGCGCAACCTCCTCTCGGCGAGTTAAGCCGCCGGGAAGGTCAGATCCACGCGGAGGAATGAGAGCACGCGTGGAGCGCCGGAGGGTTTCTTTGTGCACAAGCAAGCTGTCCTTCGGGGACAAACGAAGTAGAGGCAGCGGGTGTTGAACAGTCGCTGGATGGCAAGCGGCATCTGCTTCCACTTGAGCCGGTGCAGACCGGCGGGTCCACAGAACGCGGACAGGACAGGCACATGAGTGGATCAGTCGGTGTATATCGGAGGCTATATCGATGGAGCTGGTCACTTTCCACAGCTCTCGAACTGCCTGCGTGGAGTCCGTATAGGCAAGCAATTTATCGTGTGACAAAGAATCCATTTTGTATATCATAACTATTAACCCGTCCCGTATTGCAGTGAGCTCCGCTAATACGGATGGGAACGGTGAGCTTGATAAACGAGCCGAGGTTGTAGGATTGATCGCACCAAGATACGGGCCATTCGAGAACAGGCACCCCCCGTCTTTTGAGAGATGCGACGAATGAGATGGAGGGTATTAGCACTCTTCCGGCGAGCAGAGCGAACCCACGCATTCGCAGAGCCAGATGCGTCCAATTCGACCCCGAGCACACGTATAGTGGATACAGGAGTGAGGATTTGGCAATTTAGGCTCAAACAAATCGGCGTCTGCAGGAGGCGACGGCGACCTCGTCTGTTGGTGATAGATATGAATTCAGTCTCCGTGGCAGATAGTGTTAGCCCTATGCGTACACATCAGTCTGACGCCTTGTCCAGAGCACTCTGGAGTGCCTCTTGCTGGCGTTGCAGGTCTGGATGTAGTGTCCACACAGTCAAATCATCGGCATACATGCGTTCAAGAAGCTTGCACAACGTACACGTTAGAGCAATCGGCCGAAGATTAGAGAGGCTGTTCGGGTGCTTTCCCGGCTTAGGTATCGGCACAACTTCGGCATGCTTCCACGATTCAGGCAGCCCTCCGGTCGTCCAGACTGCGTTAAGCGTGTCCAGCAGCCACTGCAGTGCAGGGCCATCCATGTTCTTGAACACTTCATAGGAGATCCCATCTGGTCCTGGTGCCTTGCGTACTTTTGCCTGGTCAATTGCTGCCTGGAGCTCCGCCATCGTGTATGGCGCTTGCATGCCTTCGATGTCCGACGGACTGGGAGTCACGCCAACCTCCGGAGGCAGGTTACACGGACAGTCGAATTGTGGTGGGGCCAGGTTGTAGGCCGGGAAGAAAGCCTTAACTATTTCTGGAGCGAACTGGCTTGGCGTGCATCCAGAAGACAGACACGCACTGGCCGCTGGGTCCGGCGTACGGGTGCCTAGTTCCATACTCCGGAACGTTCGCCATATTGAGGCGGTTGAAGACGATGGACCGAGTGACGCACACCAGTCCATCCACCGTTCGCGGGCGAGACGCTTCTCGCAGCGACGCGCCGCAGCGGTGAGTCTGTTGAGGTTATCACGAAGCTCAGCGGCTGCCGGATCTCGGTTTAAGGCCAGCTCTGCACGACGGCGTGCTGCCCACAGACGCAGAAGATGTAAATTTGGATGTGGTCGGTTCTCCTCTACCCAGCTTGACTGCGTGGCGGCTTGTACAGCTCTGGTTAACACCTGCAATGGATCAGACGATGTATCAGCAATCGAGTCGTTCAGTTCATTGCGGAATAAGTCCCAGTTGGTTGTGTAGCATCGACGTCGGAGGCGGCGCTGGTTATACGCGGCCAAACCAATTTTCAACGGATGGTGATCACTCCCCCAGCAGTCTGGTTCTAGGTCCCACGAAACGTCACACATGCCCAACCACCACGAGAGATCGGGCGCATAAGGTGGAGCACAGGGATGATCCCACCGACGTGTAGAAGTAGCCGGGGCATTCAGAAGGACAAAGTGCGCGTCTGTAAATGTGTCTAGCACGATGTTGCCTCTAGCACTGGAAGAAGGGTAGCCCCACGACTGATGAGGTGCATTGAAGTCTCCCCCAACTAGTACTGGGCACCCAGGATAGGTTTGACGCAGGTGAGCCAGCCACCCCAAACGCAGTCGGGGAGCGCTGCCACTATACGGACGCACGTAAACTGAAACCACAATCACGTCAGTACGCGGAAGTCTAACGAGCACTGCCACCACTTCTTGCCACTGGTTACACCACTGCAGCAGGGGAACCTGCGTTTGAGGATATGTAGTCACAACATACACTGCAGCCTTGCCTGGAGGTCCCAACGCATTGGTGCAGCGTCGATCAGGGATGGTTGGGGAATCATACGCAGTGAATCCAGGGATGCGTGGAAGCGAATTCGTTTCTTGTAGAAGCAGGCACCAAGCGGGGAGCTTCCCCAGCGCAAGGCGATAGCGAAGCTCACCAACTTTATTTGCAAGTCCCCGGCAGTTCCACTGCAGGACACAGTGGTGGCGCGTTGCTTTCAAAGGAGTGGTCATTGCGGTGGAAGGTTGGCGAGCACCACCTTTGAAAGCTCTTGCAGTTGCCGGGCAACAAAGTGGAGGAGCTCTGCCGGAGTCATCTTGACTGGTGCTGACGCGCTTGCGCAGGATAATTCAGGCACAGAAGCAGCGTACGGCACGTCTGTACCGCGCATCGCAGTTGGTCCAGCGGGTCGAGCGAGATGGGTTCTGCGTTGAGCGAGGCGCTTGACTTCCATTTGGAGCTGCTGTATCTGTTGGTCAAGCTTCGCCAGATCGTCTGTACCCGTAACGCTCAATTTAGGCGTATTCGCAGGCTGCTGAACACGTTTTTTGCCCCGCTTGACGGCGTCGCTGTACGTGGGGACTTCATAGCAAGCATTTTCAGGTTCTACCAACGCTGGTGTGTCCTCTTCGGAGGGGGACAACAGTTCAAACCGGTTGCTAGTCGGAATGTCGGCGTCCCTTTCTTCTTGTGTCACCGAACGCTGGCGGCGCTTGCGTTGGCGACGGGCTTTGAGAGCCTTCTGTTTAACTGGACAATCTTTGGACGTTATTTCATGATCGTCCGTTTGGCAGAGCCCACATTTGTACGTGCGCGTCTCGACGGACTCCATGGAGGTGTCTGCGGGTTGGGGACAAGAATCTCGCATGTGACCGGTACGAAAACACCGATAGCAGTGTACCACACCGGGCTTGTACACATGAAATTTCAGGATGCATCCATAGTACGTAATGCGGCTTGGTGGCGTTCGAGGCCCTTGGAGAGTGACAAGGCACGTGCGTCCACGGCCCATATAACGAGCTGTTACAATCTTGTGTGTGGAGCAGGTCAAAGCAGTGATAAGGCCCTCCGGCGATTCCCCTGGGTCAACCCCAGAGACCACATACCGACGCAAGTCCGAGCCGGAACTCAAGTACGCTTGCACCTGTACAGTACAATCAGCTGTGACTGGCAGAGTTTGCAGGTGGGTGAGGCGGTCAACGTCTGCTAGCGAACGCACCCATACGGATACGCTGTTGGTGGGATGGTGAATGGAGAAACCTTGAAACGCGGTGGTTTTGAGGCAGGTGTCGAAGGCTGACTGAAGGAGGCGATTTGACAATTTTGATACATCGAAGCACTCACGAGGTTTTACGACGACTTTGTACTTAGACTCGGTGCCAGGCGAGGCGACAGCTGCCGGAGAGGGGCACTCCCGCTTGCTTGCCGGTGTGGCTGAAGCAGACAAATCATCTATTCCCATTTGTGAGTCAGCCACGCGTTTCGCACTGCGTTTCGGAGCGGATGATGGTTGTGATGGCTGCGTCCCAAGCTCCGCTGCAGCCATCGTCACTGGTTCACATGAAGAACACGGGAGCGCCGCCGCTGCCAGACGCAACCGGCGAGACGCCGGAACCGTCCTGGCGAGCGTCCCACGCACAATGTTGAAGTGAACGGCACCAAGGGTGGTTAGTCCAGGTCGTCGATGGTGTCCGGAAGAAGAGTGCTTGGGGGCGACCCCACGGCCTCGTCCAGGGCGTCCGGCAGGTCTGTCCTTAGCCGGTGGGGCCAGAGAGCTGGGCGGCGTTGCGTTGAGCCAGGGCGCAGAGAGTGGGGGAACGCCGGTGGGGCGATGGTCGCGCGAGCCGATGCTTTCAGCCGATATTCACGGAGCCGTCGAAACGCGTCCGCTCTCGTCGGCAGCTCAGCTGCGTCTCCCGCGTCTTCATTCGAAAATGCATTTTTTGTCATCGTAGTTACACATTTCGCGCATCGTCATCGAACGCCGCCGGCAAGTGCATTACGCACCGGCTGCACTGTCCACGCGGCCGCGCACCCCACGGTCATATGGAGTGCTGTCAATAAGCTTTTGTGATGCGATTCAGACGTGCTTGGAGCCGTGCTTGATATCGCCACGAACGCGTATGAATGTTCCGAGGTTAATAAATTACTGTAGATTAGAGTTTCCGCGACCGGCTGTATGATGATGCGTTTCACGGCTAGAGCGGCGAAAGAGCATGTATGAATCAGGGGCACGAATTTTTATATGCCCGTTTCGTGTCATTAATTATACTGCTAGAAATTCCTGTGCCACCAGTCTTCTGCCCATAACTTTGTTATTTGGAAAGAAGGCATAGCCTGTCGTGGTGTGATCCATTTTTCTGATGCAATAAACCTCTCTCCAAATAAAGAAAAGTTCAGTGAATATTTGTAATCAAGTACTTAATTATGCTAATTACAACTTCAGCACAAAAAAATATGGGTAATAATTTTAGTATATGGTTTTATTCAATTACAATCTTTTCTGCCATTCCTATTACATTACTCCTTCAAAAAACTTGATTTGAAATCCATACTTGTTCTTTGTAAATCATGAAAAAGAGTAAATCATGAAAAGAAGTCAAATATCACAAGACAAACCTGAGATCACAATTTTTAGGTGTCTTAGAGACGTAAAGAAAAGTTGAAACTTTAAACGCAGGTTTCTCAATACTGTTTTTTTTTTTTTGACATTATGCTCAGCCCCTCCACATGGTTGTTCAATGAAGAAATAATTTGTTTCTCGTAAAGTATTTGTGGTATCGCTTCAAAATTTTTATGGAAGCACTGTGAGGTCATTCTTAGTGTCTGTGACAATTTTCATCAATATCCAACGAGAAACAAAAAAGTTGATTGAAAAAAGCTCGTCGAAAACTTCGACAGGCTTTTTCTCACAAGTGTGTTTTGGACATCGTGCATTGCTCGTGGAAAGAGTAGCACGGGAATGACTGGACCGATTTTGATTCTGTTTTTTTCCCTGAATCCCTGAACACTGCTTGGGGCTACAGCAATCTTCAATTTCTGTTTTATGGCCCTGTTATTTTTCTAGATGATGATTTGTCCGTGCCACTGTTTCTGTCAATGTGTGTCGGCAGCCATGATGATCTCTAAAAAAAAAAGAACCTATTAAAAAATTCTGAGAGCGCCATACCCTGTAGCTTTCTTTTGAGTAAAGATCAACACCGTTCGCAGCTTCCTGGCATGTTTTGTTGCAGTACTAGGCTTCTCACGAGCAGACCACGTAATTGGACCATGTAGCATTATGTAACTTGAGAACTACTGAAGCTATCAAGATGAAACTGCATATTTCCCTATTCGAGACACTTATGAGTATGCATGCCAAATTTCATTGCTGTAGGTCAACAAATAAAAAAAATTTTTCAATGCCACCTCCTCCCTTAAAGGGGCTTGAAAGACTTTTTCAAGTAACCATGGAATTAATTAACTGGAAGAGCTTATAGCCTCACGAATTCAATGCCGCAAAAATTTTAAGAATCCGTCCAATGCGAGTGGAGTTACAAAGGTTTGTCACATGCTGCAATTGCATTCTCTCGTAGCGACGAAAGTGCTGGAAGCTAAGCAGGGAGGAATAGCAGGGCCACAGAAAAATTTCATGCTCACTTCGCGACCTTGAATACTTTTTTTTATTTTTTTATTCGAATGCGTGGCTTTTTCAGTGTGATCGCGCGCGCATGCGTGGACAAGTAGCAGTCTCTCGCGGCAATTTCTTTAACAAGACGAAGGCGCCATGTTCCAATCAGCCAATGGCTGATAGATGGGTCATTGGCGTGAGATTTTTAGGCATATAACGTGACTTCTCGAAAGAACAAAAAGCAATTTTTTGCTGACTTTGATAATTCATTGTGAATTCCAGGCCACGTGCTGTGCTATAATATTTGGCTCGTAAGTTGTGTTGGGAGCCTCTACTACCGATCGGCAGCGTTTTCGGACCATTCTCAAAAAGTGTTGCAGGGCCCCTTTAAAATGAAAAAGAGCATGTCATAACAATTACGCTGCAGCACTGTATAGCATGGCCACAAGTGATCGATCCTGCCCTGAAAATGTAAAACATCGTGGCATGTTGCTCAATCGATTGGTTTCTCTAGAAGAATACAGAAGAGTACAACTTAAGACAGAATGCTAAAAAAGACACAAGAGAACCATGACACTGCACCTGATGTTTATTAAGATCCTACGGCATAAAGAAGCAGTGAAGTTCTGCACACAACGTCACGGATCAGAAGCCAGTCATCTTACAATGCACACTAAAGCTATAAAAACCCTTCTAAAGACAATTTCTCACAATTCTGAAAACTCAGTCACTAATGCACATATCCTATAGCATATATCAACTAGGGCACAAGAGTATCACCCTTCTTACCCAGAATCTGAATGCTTAAAAACAGAGACAAGCAATGTGCCATTCTTGTGGGCGTAAGCCTGGCGCAGAGGAACTATACAGTATGTGAGTAATGGTCCATGGTCATCTCTAGATTATTTATAATGAAAATATAAATTTTCAAAAGGCACTTTCCATGGGAGACAGAAGCCGGTTATTTTGATGAAATTCATGCAACTTGTTACGAGAGAAGGTAGAACTTTACCAAACTAGTAAGGAAGTAAACCACAGCTCTTGGCATTTAAAAGGAAGCAGCTGGTGGGTTACCTGGAAAAAGGACTCACCTTTAGGGAGTACGTAAAGAACCTGTGATGCAAATGTGGCGCCCATGTCAGGAGGAGAGAGCGATGCAAAGTCGTCGGGAGTCAGCCCTACAACTGAAAGAACATAAAACGAAAATATACCTTGACACTCCAGAAGCATAATGTAGAGAAGACATAAACACTATTTACCAAGGAATTATATGAGTTTAATTTTTTTTTCCCTCAGTAAGCATGCCACTGCCATTAATAAACAGCCATGCACACAAAAGAGCACACAAAAGTGCACACTAACAGAAATGTGTACAATATCCTGCTTCCTTCAATGCAGTATGCTTCCAAGCATACTGCATTGAACAACCATTTTCTTCCCCTATATTTTTTATTTCTAGTTTGTTTCACAAATGTTGCCTTGCACAGCACGGTTGCTCCAGAGTGATGGTACAGTAAAAGCTCGTTAATTCAACACCTGTTAATTCGGACGACTCTATTGCTCCCGGCCAAAGTGCATGTTAATCTATGGGACCAAACCTTCGTTATTTCATCGGAATCCGGCTCCGCACCGCTTAATTCGGACAAATGCTGACGACTGCTGCTACACAAAAGTGTGATAAAGCAGCGCTGGCACCACTGGAGTGAAACCGAAACTTGAGTGGCATCGCCATCATCATCAACTAGTGGGGGCGATCGCAGCGTCACCGAATGTCGGCGTCTTCTTTCTTCTCCACTCAGCGCCTCCGATGCCATTTTCCCTTGTGTTGTCGTGTCGGAACCATCCCTTCTTGCGGAGTTCTCTTTTTCTTCCATTGTGACCGTATTTGCACGCCACCACCATCGTGCGCTACAGTGATGGCAACGCCGAAAAAGCGGCAGAACTACAACGTGAAGAACTTGGCAACTAAAGTGGAAATTTTGGAAGCACTGAAGAACGGCGAATCGCGACAGCAGGTTATGACCAAGTATAACGTGAAGCGGAGCACGTTGGGAACGTACGTGAAAAATGAACAACAGATTCGACAAGCCTTCGAAAGCGAGAAGTTTCATGCCTCTAGAAAGCGGTTGCGAACTGCAGCTCATCCCCAGCTCGAAGAAGCTTTGCTCCGGTGGATTACTGACTGTCGCAACGCACATCTGCCTTTGAGCGGACCTCTCATCATGGCGCAAGGTGAGAAGTACGCTGCAATGATGAACATTGAATCGTTCAAAGCGTCAGAAGGGTGGTTTGCGAGGTTTCGAGAGAGACACGAACTTGTCTTCAGGTGGCGAAAAGGCCAGTGTTGACGAAAGTGTGACCACCGAGTGGAGAAATGTGAAGCTGCTGGAGCACATCGCCGCATATGAACCACGTGACGTGTTCAATGCAGATGAAACTGCTCTATTTTTCAGAGCTCTGCCCGACAAGACGATGGCTTTCAAAGGGGACGCGTGCATTGGTGGCAAGAAGTGCAAGCAAAGGATAACTGTGCTTCTTGCCGCCAATATGACTGGCACGGAGCGCTTGCCACTACTTGTCGTCGGCAAGGCGCTTAAGCCACGTTGTTTTAAGAACGTCAAAAGCCTTCCTGTCGAGTACACAGCGAACAGGAAGGCATGGATGACATCGGACATTTTTCGCGGCTGGCTGCAGCAGTTGGACCGGAACTTCACGTCAAAGGACCGCAAGATAATTATGGTTGTTGACAACTGCAGTGCCCATAACTGTACAGTCGGACTGAAGAGCATCAAAATAGTTTTTTCACCGCCCAACACTTCGTCTGCTCTTCAGCCGATAGACCAGGGTATCATTCACTACGTGAAGTCGAAGTACCGCAAGCACCTGCTAGAGCGAATGATCCTATGCTCAGAAGCTGGAAAGTTGTATCAAGTGGACTTACCTACTCGGCGCAGTGCACATCATCGCCCACCTGTGGAAAAACACTCCGCCGCAAGTCATCGCCAACTGTTTTCGGCACAGCGGTTTTGTGAGGCCCGAGCATGCAGCAGTAGCTGATGATGGCATCGAGGAGGTGTCAGCCGAGTCCACCGACGATGACTGCCCGACTTTCGATGCTGTCCTTCCCACAGATGTGACCTTTCAGGACTACATCGCGATTGATCATGGTGTCGCCACAAGTGGTCTCCTGACCGATCAAGAGATTATTAATGATGTCACGGGCGCCCATGAAGTCCATGATTCCGACGAAGAATCATGCGAGGAGATACAGCCGCGACCTCATCGCACCTCACGGGAAGTCTCGGAGGCGCTGTTAATATTAGAGGACGCTTGCCTGAACACTCCCGACAGCTTGCGTGCTGTTGGCCATTTGGAACAGTTAAGAAAAATTATGAAGTCAGCCGGAATCTGTGCGAAAACGCAGACGACAATTACAAAATACTTCAACAAATAAAGGTATGCTTCTGCAGCTTGATTTTAAATGTTGTTTTCCCTGTTCATTCGTTATTTCGGCATTCTGTTAATTCGGACAGTTTTTCTGGTCCCGTGCAATCTGAATTAACGAGCTTTTACTGTATTGCATTTGCCTTACCTTAACACCAGAAGAATAAAAAATTGGGTGAGTCAGTTGTGGTAGAAAACTGGCCAAACTTTTTTCCCTGTTTGTAAGCACACTAAAAATTATTTCACTGACTTGCAAACATGTCGCTGTAAGTGCTATCAGACATGAGTGCTATCTAATATTTTAATGAGACGGCACTCTCCTGCGTTCTTTCCTTTTCTGAGTCGCCGTCGCTTGCACTGCCCCATCGAAACGCTTGAGCTTGAAGGACTTAGTTTTTCAAGCAAATGATATTTAAAGATTTCCCAAATATTACAATGAGATACAAATGTCTTTAAACGGCAGCACGGTCAACCATTACAATCAACATTATCGCCACTGTCATAATGAAACAGTGGAGGTGTGTGTTTCTACAAGTTGACATGCAGGCAGGCAACAATATAGTATGTATGGACAAGCTACCGTTAAGACAAATGTTTATTCAAGATAGGAGTTTTCTGACACGCTAATCTAGCATTGTATATGACATATTACATGTATATAGTATATATTTGACATACAGAAGACATGGGTGTTCTGCGCAAAAACAAGGCCAGGTTGTTAGTCTAGGTGTGCAGCGGTGCAATACCAATTAACCAAAAATTGTACGAAGGAAAAAATGACGTCATAGCATGTCATTTTTGAGCCAACATAGCACATACCTGAGTGTCATACAGTAAATAAAGTAAGGCAAACACATAATACCACGAAGAGATGCATTAAACCAAAGCCTGAACTGACCAACACGCCCAGTGAGATCCACAAAGTTGGTGCCCGGAGCAAGGATTCGCTGGTTCAGCCGAGGCATGATGTTGGGCTGTTCCATCAGGAAATCCAGCACGTTCTTTGAATCAATCAACTCTCCCTGTGCACATAGATTTCATTTGTCAGGCAGCGCAACCACACTGAAGCCAGGTTCAGTTTTAATTAAATGATTGCCGACTGTGATAGTCTGAGAACAAAAATAAAGCTAATAAATAGCTTCGCTACTCTGGGGCTATTTCTCATTTCTTACAATCATAACATCATTAGAGCACAGAAACTTGACAATTAATAAGGAGGTAGAAGTTGGATTGCAAACAAGCAGGCACGCTCTCCTTTGCAACTTCAACTTCTAAATAAATGCTCGTTCTCTGTCTTCACCCTCCTTAGTGTTGTTATTTTTATCAACAATTACAGCAATTGTCAGACTAACAGTATGACTTTCCAGCTGATTATTTCTATAAGTGAGTTCAACTGTTCAGCACAAGTTGTGCAAATATTTGAATGCTTAGAATATTTGAACTAATAATGCAGTATCCAAATTCACTTCAAAATGAATTTAAATCATTGAAAATTTCAAATTATTCCAAACGAACGAAATACGAGGTCTGTTAGAAAAGCATCCGACCTTATGTGTAAGAAAAACAAAACTGGCGTAATTATAGTGTTGGAAACCTAATACCCCTTAATGTAGCCCTCTTGGGACTTCATACACTTCTTTCAGCGGTACTTAAATTGTTGGAAGCATTCTGAGAAGGCCTCTTTCGGAATGGAGCTTAGCTCAGCTGTCCTTGCAGCCATAATGTCCTCTCTTGTCTGAAATCGTTCTCCTTTCAATGTCCTCTTAAGTTTGGGAAACAGCTGGAAGTTGCAGAGGCCATATCAGGAGACTTAGGAGCCTGCTGAACTGCAGGAGTCTGACATTTCGCCAAAAAATTTTGAAAAGAGTGCTAGGAATGTGCAGGAGCATTGTCGTAATGGATGCGCCAGTTTCCTGTAGACCGCGACTCAGGCCGCTTGCGCCACACAGCATCATGTAGGTGACGAAGGACATCCCTTAAGTACTCATTGGTGATTGTTCCACCCTGTGGTGTACCACACTGGGATAGTAAAAGAAAGCACTCAGCATCACTCTGACAGTGCTGCGCTCTCGGAGAGCCTTCTTTGGTCTTAGTGACGTGCAATGCTTCCACTGTGATAACAGGGATTTGGTTTCCGGGTTGTACCCATACACCCAAGACTCGTCACCAGTGATAATGGTCATGAAGTTAGCGTGACTGCTTGTAAAATCCAGCATGCTTGTAGAATCCAGAAAATCCAGCAGACTTCAACACGAAGTTGCTTTTGCTCTACTGTCAGCAGTTTTGGTATAAATTATGCTGCAACTCTCTTCATGGCCGAATCTTCGGTCATAATGGAATATGCAGAGAAAGTGCTGATGCCCAGCTCTTCTGCAATTTCCCGGATAGTCACACGACGGTCCCGCTAAAGCACAGTGTTCACTTCAACAATGACCTGGTCATTTCGGCACGTTGATGGCTGACTGGAGCGTGGCTCGCTCGCCACCAATATGCGGCTGTCTTTAAACCGGTTTTACAACTCTTGAATCTGTGTGCGACTCATAGCGTCATCAACTAAAGCCATCTTAATCTTCCCAATGGTTTACATTAGGCTGTCGCTCAGTTTATGGCAAAATTTGACCCAGTAGCGCTGCTCTAGTCACTCCATCATTTTTCTCGCAATGAAAAATCGACGAGAGTAGACTGGTGCGAATATTCGAATGCTTTGAATATTTGAACGAATACTGCTGTATAAAAATTTGCTTTGAATCAAACTTAAATTATTGAATATCTTGCATTATTCGAAAAGAACGAATAGGTGCATAATAATCCGCAGTTAATGCTCTGTAAAAGTGCTTTCACTGCAGTAAAAGTGCTAAGCCGTGAAAACATCTATCCATTATTATTATTAGTATTGGCGCATGTAACTGCGGTTTCTCTTCAGTAAAGTGGTGCTAAACAGTCAAAACACAAAATCTGGAGAAATCCACACTGCAGCAAAGCCCACTTCAATATTTCCGTTTCTTTTTTTTTTTTTTCTCAGTTCAAAAGTTTGTTACACTGACTTACGTGCTCTAAGTATAGCAAATTTTAAAATCTAGCATATTTTACTGGCTATCACTAGTACTGTACCGTAAGTCAAATCCTGCAACTATTCAAAGTTGTTGCCACTTCCTTTGAGCAAAAAAATTGCCTTTGCACAGGCCTTGTCTCAATAAAAAAATATATATATATTGTGCAGGTTAGTTTGGTCATGACAAATATGCCCCTTACTTTTTAAAAAAAGGCGATGTATATACAATTCGAATTCGACAAAAATCACTCTTCGCTTTGACCCTAAAATTCACTATTCGCACATGCCTAGACGAGAGCGCTGCGAACTACCCCTATCAAATGCTGTGTCCCAGTGGCTGACGCTATTGGCAAGCGGGAAAAAAATTCACGCATGCACATCAAGGTTCAAGGTCAGCAGATGCAAGTGCGCTTGTTTTAATTGCATCAGTTGTTTGGAAAAAAATAATAATAAGTTCGGATACTTTTTTAAGAGACCTTGCAAATCCATATAAATCTGCGTGTGGCACTTGGTAAAGGTGGTTTCACTGCAGCAAAGTAATGCTAAGCCGAAAAAGCACCTATTTAAACATTTATTAAATGTAACTCTTTTGTAAAAGTGGCTTCACTGCAGTAACATAATTCAAAGCTGTGAAAACACATATTTACGTGAAATCCGCAGTGTCGCAAAGCCTGACTTCTAGGTTAAATGGGAATATTAGCTCAAATCGATTCAATTTTTCAGTTCAGAAGCTTTTTATACGGACTTACATGCTTTTAGAATTTCAAATTTTAAAAAGTAACATACTTTAAAGGCTATCACTTGCATTTCACTAAAGGTTGAATCCTGCTACTATTCAAAGTTGTTTACACTTTCTTTGAAGCAGAAAAATGAAATTTTCACAGGCCTTGTTTCAATTATTTTTTAAATATTGTTCAAGTTAGTTAAGTCACAATAAGCACACCTGTTTCTCCTCGCAATATGCGATATATATATATATATACACTATTTTAATTCTATTCGAAATTATTCAACCAAAATCACCATTCACTTCAAATTCACTTCAAACCAAAAATTCCCTATTTGCACAAGCCAATGGTGCATTAGCCAGATTACAGTTATGCTTTGGATGAACAAAGCTGTGCAAACTAACTTAATAGGCACGCTTAATCTTTAATTTAAAAGAGCAGTATACTGTAACTTAATAAACGAGAATAAAACTCACCTTATAGATGCTCTTTTGGATCATTGGTGTCTGCTTCATAATCTCAGTCAGGACACCTTCCTCAAACATGTCTGCATTCAACTGCAAGTTGAAAGAAAGTTGTGTCACACACACACACACAAAAGAGAAAGAGAGAAAAGGATGAAGGTGATGTTACATTACAGTGAAGCACTGCTCAGAAAGCATATACAGTAAAATGTCATTATAGAAACCTCAGATTAACCACTTTTTTGCTAATCCCCCACAAATTCATTTCATTTCATTTTATTACCTTAAAGACCCCATTGAAGGGGTATTACATAAGGGGTGGGTACATATATGAAAACGTGAAAGCCATTTTTTTTTTTTTACAATGCAAGGTAATTTGTTACGGTGTTCAAAAAGGTGGTAGGACAGGTTATGGCGGTGATTTCGTTAGAAAGGCCGTTCCAGTCCGTAGCTGCACGAAAAAAGATGTCCAAATGTCCATTGGTTTAATGTAAAAATATTTCACTACTACGAATTTCAGTATACCAAATGTTTTAGAATGACATATCGAACTTTATGCTTCTTATATGTATGCAGTACTTCAATACTACGAATAGCAATTTCAAAAAAAAAAAAAAAGTTACCCACGGCTGAGAAAATAATGCCCAGCTCCATACCTGCCACTACCACCATCATCAGAATGCCCGCGCATCTCTCTATCTGTCCGCCCTATTCAAATGTGCGATCGCCCTTTCGGCATAATCATTCCAGCTAGTACTTGTTTTTCGCGTCAAGCTTCGCCTCGTTGACTTCATTTTCGTCAGGCAGCTTTACCTGCGTGCTTGTTAATGGCTGTTTTCTAGCCTTTTGGTTGGTGGTTGAACGTTTAAAATGAGCTCCGAAAGCAGCATGAAAGGAATGCTACAACAGACTGAAAAATGTTACCCGAGTGAGCTATGGCATGAAGTCGCCAATGATTACCCGTGCATGCTTCACTAACGTTCCAACAATATGCACAGTGCAATGACATAGCATGTAGGTGAGCTTAGCTGATGACCGATAAGACCCATACGATTTGTTGTGATAAGAGAACGGCGAAGAGAGCAACAATGACGACGAAACGGCTTGCACAAAACAACATTAAAAATCGGCAATTAACGCCGACGCGTCGCAGTGCATAAGAAGGATGAGCAACGCTTAAGAGTTCGTCTTTCAGCATTTGAGCTGCCGACATTAGGATAGATCACGTTCTTTCTGAAATAAACACGCACTGGTTTTTTAATATTTTGTGTTTGCTTGTTTTTCCCCGCTGATTAGAGCATAATGCGATTGCAAATGTATACAAACCACAGGTAAGTGACTGACGAGTTTGCGTTTACAACTTTTTCACAAATTTTTAACACTTTCACACTATGACAATTTTTCAAAATAGCGAATGATTTGTAGCAGTCCCTTGAGATTCATTGTATCGAGATTTCACTGTATTAACCTTACAAACAGCAACTCTGAACACAATGAAGTGCCTTCAAAAACACAGAATTATTTTGAACTATTCTGGACTGTTCTGCACTGTCTATAAATCAGAGAAAACTGAGGTTAAAGATGGACTACTGGCTCTATGTGCCATGATGTAGGACCAGGTTAGTTGGTATTTCATGAATATGAGTGTAGAGCAACAGTCAACAAATGCTTGACATAGGCAAGTGCTGTCTCATTACCACAGCACTTTTCTCTGTCATTTTTCTTTGTCCAATGTCTACCGTTACCCTGCGCCCATCAGATACAATATACTGCAGTTGCACAACCATTTTATGATGTAATTAAACATAAAAATGTGCTCATATGTATGCTTGTACACTGCAACGAGAAAGAAACAAAGCATAATTAACAAAGAAAAAAAATTCCCACCTATGTCTCTTTTTGGCTTCATATGATCACAGCAGCAGCATATCACACATTTTCTTACGCACTTATGACGACATATTACATATTTTCTTACAGACTGACAATGACAATTTTGTCGCATTATGGGTATGCACTTACATGACTCGGCTTCAACAATACACCATTCAAGAGTGCCTGTGGTGTTCCAGTGATACCAGTCTTGTTGATAAACTCCCAAGCTAGCTGAAATGCAGGTGAGTGAAAAGAATATGAAACTTGTGACAGCAAAGTAAAATATGTGAAGATGGGTTCACAATCACACCTTGCGTCCAGTGTCGTAGTCCGAGTCTTCCCCAAAAATCAACTCCAGGTCTTCTCCGGGAAACTTGAGCTTGAACTGAGCGATAACCGTCTCAGCTGTAATGGGCCCACTTTTGGTTACCGCATACACCTGGGTAAAATTACAATCTTGAATCACTACGAACTCACTAAGAGCTATATTAGCCTATGCTGCGGAGCACAATAATTTTGCTGCCTGCCAATGAACATAAAAGGAGTCATGCAAAATTTAGTTGACGCGAGCATTTTGTTGTGAAATAAGAAATTGGCCCTATTTTTCCATGTTTTTAGGGTGCAATCAATGACTTAGACTTCCAAAAGCACGGCCTCTTGCTTCAGAGAGCCACTGCATAATGGCAAGTTAAATTTTTCCACTTTAAGCAGCAGTATGTAGCTTAATTTTTTAGACTGATCGATGGCGCAATATCAGAAAGATGAGACTGTGGACAAATTTGCCGTGGGAACACCTGCACGTTACAAAAAACGCTACAAATCACCAATCACAGACTTTCTGCCCCTGCTTTCTCTATTCTCAGGTTGTTTTTTTTTTTTTTGTGCACGCACCACACCACTACGTGTTAGTGGGGAAGCCCTATGGAAACATGACTGTCACCTCCAGAGCTTCAAAACAGAATGCGTAAGCTAAGAACATGCTGGCATGTTTGGTCATAATGGCCATGTATATTTTCTGCATTGTTAACACTGTCACTATCACACCTCAACAACACCGAAAAATTGTGGCTGCCACACCTGCCTCTGCATGCCACCCTTTTTCACCCGCTTTGAAAATACAGCATAAAAAGCGAAAAGACAGTTTTCTCACTTGGCTCCAAACTACAACTTCGGTCACAGACTCTGGCAAAGTAGAGTTGGTCAATCCTAGCCTGCTGGTGTGACTGGTGGCAAGCTGTTATTGTTAGCTCACCCTCGAAATGTTGGGTTATTGTAAACCATTGATGCAGAAGCTGGTTAGAAAAGCCAGGGCTTGCTAGCGAGGCTTACCACCTTTCAAAAGCTTGCAACAACATCATGTTAGTTTAGAAAGCGTAAAAAAAAAAGAATTCAGAGGCTGAAATAACAACAAAAGATAAAAAAGCTGCCCCGGGACAGCTTTTTTTCCCGCCAACTCTCCAGTTGTATTGTAAAATAAAAAAATAAAATTTAATTGAGCTGAAATCTTACGTCAGTAATGAAAGACAGTCCGTCATATGGCACAGTGTTCTGACTAATAAAGTTGAAGGCATTCAGCATGGCCACGCCTGCATCCTCGTTTCCAGTCACGGACATGTCGGGGTTCACGGCAAACACCAGGCCTATCCTGAAAAATGAGACAGCAGAGAAGTGAGCCAAGGCAAAATTTTTGCAACATGCGCTGTAGGCCCTCGAGACAAAAGAACAGGGCTCTGGCGTGTTACCAGCCTTACGATATATGATCACAGCATTAAGCAAGGCGCAAATGCTACCGACATGATGACATGGGTCACAAGCCCATCCACGTTGCACAGCCTGGCCTGCCTGGAAGTGACGAACATAGCAATGTGGGAATGTTGGTATTGCATTCCATCTGACGAATAAAGCAGGCTAAAAGCTGGCACAAGAGGAAAAAGTGACACTCGGCACAACACAGCACTGCGTTGTGTCGAGTGTGCTAGGCTTGTGTGAATGGTAAATATTGAGGTTCGAAGCAGTTCAAAAAACATATAGTACAGAAAAATGAGCATATTTGTCAAGACCCAACTCAACTGCACAATATATATATATATATTTTTAGTTGTGACAAGGAAATTGCGAATGTCATACTCTTTAGTTCAAAGAAGTGGAAGAAACTTTAAATAGCAGCAGAATTTGAATTTTTGCAGGATGCAAGAAACAACTGGTAAAATAAGTTAAAATTCAAAACTTTGTCATACTTAGAGCATATAACCCAATATAACAAGCTTTTCAACTTAAAAAGTTATTAATCAATGCCAGGGTAAGAGTATGCTCATTTAACCTTGCAGCGAGACTTTAAAACAGTGCAAATTTTCTCTTGAAAGATGTTTTCACTGTACGACACCCTTCTCCTGCAGTGAAACCACCTTCACAAGGGGGAGTTATATCACCATTTGTTCATTTCGAATATACTTCGAATTTTCAAATAATTCAAATTCGTGCCAAATTTAGCTCGAATATTTGAAAGGCTTAAATATTTGCAGATGTATAGAGTGTGCTTTTTTTTCTGCGCTACCGTCAACTAAACTACTAGGAGGCTCATGCTGCCCGACCATGTCTGCTCAGTTGGTGCCTGAAAAATATTGATGAAATGTGCTGCTACTCACTTGTCTACCTGATGTTTGTCCCTGAAAGCATCAGCTAACTGTACGGCTTTATAACATAAACATGCAAGTAAGGACTGGTGTAGTAATGCCAGCTGATTTACAAAGCCCGTCCTGGGCAGTTCAAGTTTGTATCTTTGCCTCGCCTACTGCTAAAACCCTGCGCCATATCATCACGAGTGAGCTGACATATCATCAGAAGCTGAAATGTCACCTCATGGATTAAGAATACACCCAATCTCAACCCAATCTTTTGCATTTTGTCCATAACATTAACACCAAGGTACGGTCGTATCTCAAGAGAAATAAGCATGTTGACCAACCAACGAACAAACCAATGGCTGACACATTAAAACACCCCTGCAACACATTCTAAACATCGTCAGAAAACGTTTCCAGACTTGTCAAGGCATTTATGACCCCATGTGTGCCAAATAATATTTCATTACACTGCATGCAGCAGAGAACATACATGTCAAAAATAGCAGAGAATTGCTTGCTCTCTCCTAACCATTGTCTCAACCAACTAACTGTACAGTAAGTTGGATCAACATTTGTAGGCCAATTTCATGAAACGCGTGACAGGAGAATACCTTAGAGGCCATGTGCCACAAATGTGCAGCTACTGATGCTGCCTACAGGGCACTGCCAGTGACGTGACTGCACAGAGCACCTTTAAACAAGAAGCAACAGTCATGTTTGAAGAAAAAAGAAGAGAATGTTCAAAGGCCAAAACATGTGGTGACATAAGTTTTGGGCAGTCCAGGACATGTGGTGACATAAGTTTTTGGCAGTGCACGATTTCGTCATCATGTCCCCCGTGCTCCGTGTAAAATCCAGTGTTCTAGCAATGAATGGAAAAAATGCTAATGCGATCACTCCCTCTCTACTCAACCAATTTGAAAAATTTTCACAGCAGTAGATCTGTGAAGCAACAGTCAGCAAAGCAATTTGACAATAACCTAAGAAGGTGCTGCAGGGCTCCTTTAACCTTTCTCTACTAATTTTTTCAACCGAAACAGGTAAAAAAAAATGCAGATCTTTTTATCTGCCAGTTTGATTCTACATGACTTGACACAGCAAAAAAAAAAAAAAAGGAACATTGAAAGATGCTACCTTCGCAAGTGCATAAGATTGGCTTCACTGCAGTGTACCTCCAAAAGTGCCCAAACCTTCCCACTCTTCAGTGCAGAAAATGCCTCTTTGAAACTTGAAAAATAAAGCATAGAAAAGTGAGCAAGTGAAAACAAACCTTGGACGAGCCGGTAAAGGTTCACTTACATCTAAGGCATCCACTGCTGATAAGTTGATACAAGGTCGTCGTCCAAATACAAAGATTTAGAGGAACTGTGCTGCTATGATTAGTCACTGCCACACTAGCAAAAGAACTAAAATTCTTCATTTAATGAAGCATTGACAAATGATGAATGTTTCCGCCCCCCTCCCCTAAAGGAGATGAAAGAAGCTGAGCTCATGCACAGAGGACACCATTTTCTGATACCAGCTACACCAACCAAGTCTTTTTTTTTGACCAAAATGCATGCTTTGAGCACGTTTTAAAATGTTTTTCTGCGCTATCTGTTAAAACCGACAAGAATACAGCACTGCGAATCGGGGTAGCTTGACTGTGACACCCCCACATGCTTGCTGTATGGTGGACGAGCCCAGCTCTTCTTCAGTAGCGACGAGCCCAGCTCGTCTTCAGTAGCAAAAGGGTTAACACTGCACGTAAGCATTACAAGCACAAAGTCAAGCAGGTACCTCAGAGGAGCCCGATGAATGTAGAATGACTCTGCCAGCTTAAGGATATCTTTGACGTCTTCCTTGGAAGGATCGGCTATAACCACCTGGTAATAACAGGAAATGCACGCCATCATTAAAATGAATGCAATCTCACTTTAACACAAACGTGCCCAATGAAAATTGGGCATGACACAGAAATGACACAGAAAAAATTTACCATATTTTATGGTGTATAAGTCGCACTTTTTTTCTGAGATTTTCACGGGTGTAAAGAACATTTAGTGATCTTGCTGCTTCACATCATAGAAAACTAAAGCAACAATTTCAAGATGCTACTGTTATTCAGAATTGAGCAGCCTTCTCTATCAGATGAATTCGTGCTCCAACTTATAAAAAAAGTACATATATGTGCAAAATGTCATGTGATCTTGAGCAACCAGTACGTCCCGCAAGTACGATAAACTGCGCATGACAACATTTGTAAAATGACATTTAATCTTGTTATAACAGTGAAGTAACCGTGATAACGGGTGGCGGCTACTTCTTGTTAAAGCAGCATGGCGACCATGGAGATTAGTGCATCACGTGCACTAATTTGCTGTCTGAATTGTTTTTTCTCAAAGCATAAAACCCACAGAACTGAGGCAATAAATAAAAAAGGGTGCCGCACTGTACCCAGTTGCGTCTTGCAGGACTAATTATGAAGTTTCAGTGACTAGCTGAAATGTTTATTTGTGCTGTTTAGCGGCAACGATTTACCAGTTACAAAAAAAAAAAACCCACTTCATCTTCTTCATCATCAGTTTCTACTTCCATGAAAGACTTTTCGACAATCTAGCAGTAGTTGCAGCTTTCAGCTTCCCGTTGCCATTTGCAGTTTGTGTGCGTGTGTTTCAATGGTTTCGGAGACCATGTGGTGCAATCGGTTCACTGGTAGGTTACGTGCTTCCGCCGAGCCACTCATTGTCTCAGGGGCGATGCCAGCAATGTGCTTCAAGGTGCTTACAATGCTGCGAGGAAGAGTTACTCCGAGGCTGACAACGGCAACCTGGTGATTTTGCCTAACAATGTGTGAAACCTTGTGGCAGCACACCAAAGGTTCTGGCTCATAGTGAAGTGCAATAAATATTGGTTTGCTGCTCCTTAGGACTGCGTTATTTACAATACTGCTGCTTACAGACATTCAGTGCTGTGTGAAACTACACAATTCGCTATGAATAAACTCGGCGTGTATTATGGTGTATTATCATGTTGACTGGGTTTTAAATAGGTGCGACTTATATATAATTTTTCCCAGGGAAAGATGTAAAAAGTAGCAGGTATGTCTTATACAAAGGTGCAACTTATACACCGGAAAACAATGTGAATTTGGGGGTTTTCTATGCCAGAACCGATACATGAATATGAGGCATGCCATGCCACAAAGTGGCTGGAAGTCAGACCCAAGTCTTCAGGCTTAGCAGTGTAATGAACATAAGGTGACCTTGCTGCTTGAAATCACAGAAAACTTAAGCAACAATTTGAAGATGCTACTGTTATTAAGAATCAAGCAGCCTTATCTACAGGATGAACTAATGCTTGTACTATGAAATGAAGTTGACTTTTGTTGACTTGACCAATTAGACGTCCACTGAAGGCCCCACCCCAGCTGGTGCCAACATGTCTCCATGGGACCAACTTTTCATCGTTTTGATCAAGTGTTTCCAGTCTCAGAGTTGAAGGAAGGACGCACCTTTTTATACTAGCCATACACATCTTTTTCCTTTCTATGCTAACTCATTATTATGAAGGCAGATCACTTAGTATATAGAGAAAAATGATTTTGTTATGTATGCATATTATTTTGTACGTTTGTAGCAATAAGGATCAGCCAGACAGGAAACCAAAAGCATATGAAATATGTATAAAAATGAGCAACACTCAAGCCACAGTCTCGTCGTAATTGCGATCCAGTACCTGTGACTACAGATTACAAGTACAGTGCGTTTAACTTATTGACAATGAATTGAGTATGTGAATCACAGCTCACGCAGTCGGAGAAAACAACTCCCTATGTCGTAAACTCTGTCAACATATTACAGTTAACCTGCACAAGCTGCAGCGAAAACAGAGCCAACGAGCAGGCCACAATTGTGCTGACAGTAGCCATACTTACCAGGTTGTACATGTTCTTGCGCACATGCCTCAGCATGCCAGGGTAGGTTGGTCGTAGCATATCCTGGACGCTGCTTGGCCAGGTACGGTACGCGGAGTCAGTCTCAATGTCGTTGATGTACTAGAGAGTCAGAAAAAAGAACTTTTAAAAGCAAGTGGTACCATAAAGTAAAGTTGTCACTACTTATGTAAAGACACTGCTCATGTTGTATAAGTGACACTGGCTATGTTGCCAAGCTACCATAGAGAACAACAAGCAACTCCACGACAAGTACTAGAACTTTAATTGTAGACTGCGCAAGGCACTCGAGCACCAGATAATTAGCACTAACAATGGTACCAGGACCAATGAAAAGACGAAGATGATTGATTGATATGTGGGGTTTTACGTCCCAAAACCACTATATGATTATGAGAGACGCCGTAGTGGAGGGCTCCGGAAATTTAGACCACCTGGGGTTCTTTAACGTGCAAAAGACGAAGATGAGACATGCATAGATAGCAAAAGAGGTCAGTACTAGTATATACAATTGACATCGTATTTAAGCGATTTAGGTCGACAAATTTTGTCTTAATTTGGAATCCGAAGTTGGGTGGGGGGGGATCGATTTAGAATCGAAAGCGAGTTTCGGTTGTGAAGTCTCTGAAAATGATCTCTGCGTATTTCTGCAAAGCTAGCTTTTCTGCACAGCTTTTAAGTATGCCGTGAAGCCGCCTTCACACATTGGTGGCTTCATGATGTGCAGAAAAAATTTTTTTTTTTAATAAAATGTGCTCGTGCTTCTCTCTCTCTTTTTCTTATATGCCGTGACATTTGCAGAGGTCGACATACATTCTAGTTCACTTACAATCGTGTAAATATGGTATGTGATGCCTAGAACAATCACTGTACACATATTTACCAACGCTCGTGAAGTGTGCAAATTGTCCTGTGCTAAATGAAATGAGATAAAGGACTCAGCCCCCAAAAAAAAAAGACATTATTCCTTACAATAAGGCCATTTTTATATTATATTTTAACAGGCAGAAAGTGCACTAGCCAGAGTCTTATGCAACCAAATTAAACCTGACCAGTTATCAAATCTAAGAAGCAAAATGACCAAACTAAATAAGCTCACGTTATCAGGCCTGTTTATTGGGTATCAAGTAGTAACTTGATACATAAGACATTCACTGACATTCACTACGGTGTGTGACAATAACTAGAAAGCATACTCACCAGAACAGCAGAGTCTCTGATGTCAACTCCATATTCCTGTTTGTTGTTCACGAGGTCCACTTTCACCAAGCTTGGAATGAGCTCTTTCTGCAAGTAGACAGCTTCCTACCTTTTACCTGATCTAGAAACCCTAGTTGGTAGTAGGTATTTTCTAAATTCTGGCATGTCACACCCGCTTCTAGAATAGAGCCATAACCTAAAATTTTCAACAGCTCGTTTTGTGCCTCCAGTCAGCTTGACCCTATATCAGGAGCATAATGAGTGCCACTTTCTGGCATCTGTTACATAGTTTTAAACTCTACTTGTAGTTATTTGTTTAGCTACTGTTTGTTCGAAGCTGATATAAAAATACTCTGAGTAAAACAAACTGAGCTAGATAGTTCTTGTCTCCCTTGCAATGTGTTGCAACAGTCACGAAGAGACATTCCAGACAACCAGTCCACCAGAGGGCAACAGCCATTCTTGCCTAGTGTGTCCTGTTATGGTCCTTTGTTGCACTTGCCGCATTACAAGAGGATTAACAGAAACATGGAGTGACAAAATGATCAAACTTCTTTGTGCAAACTACAAAAATTATTGGACAACATGAAGAAAAACAGACATAAAACACACGGATGCAATCCCCAGTACTTGCAGTAGTTCGTGCAAAGAAAGTTGATTATTTTTGACCAACTAGCCCATTGTCCGGTTTTTCTTAAGTTTGACAAAATGAAGGCAACTATGAAGGTGGTGCACTAGTTACTCACAGGTATGCCGATGTTGTGCAGGCCCTCAAGCAAACGGGTTTCCTGCTTGAGGCTTTGAAGCAGGGTAAAGAGGTCAATGACCTCCACATCATAGTACAGGCCGTTCAGGAAGAGCGCCCCGTCTGTGGGTTCCAGGCTCAGCGAGTGGGCAAATGACTGCACACAAAAAGCCCAACAAAGATTAAAAAAAAAAAGCTTATTATAACTATGTATTTAAGCATGATCCAAACAAAGCCGAAATTCCAGGAAAAATAGAAGCCAGAAGCGATGAGAAATTGTTGAACAAGAAATGTTGCTGGAGACAACTTTTTGACAAGTATACTTGGCTCGAGGCAGTAACTGACTGCTGGCTTGATAGAGACACTTCTCTTGTTGAAACATTGGATCCAGTGACAGTACCTGTTTAATGATTTCTCAAATTGAAGATTAAAGCATCTAGAGTGTGTGTCAAGCAGTTCAATGTGCTGCCTACAAGCTATAATTTACAAGCTTCATATAAGAATGTTAAGTGAGATGTGAATGGAAAGAACGCCAGCATGAATATATGGAGCATTTGTGAAAACAGAGTAGCCAGAGTAGCCTATTGTGAGAGTTATGCAATTTGGCAAATATGAAATACTAATTAGGCCTTACTGTAACAGGCTGCTCCTTGTAGCAGTAGCAACATTATGTATGAAAGACATCACTGACACAATAAATTTGCAATGTCCACGGAGCTAATTAAAAACTTCCCTACAATAACTTTTCAATACGAGGCATTAGATGGAAAGTAAACAGCAATTTTAGAAACAGCTTTATGGCAGTATCTGCTCTAATCCTGTTTTTTTTTTTTTTAAGTAGTTTTTCTACCACAAATACGACACGTAAAATGGATATTTTCACCCTGCCAAAGACTTTGAGTGACGCTGACGAACCTCAGACAAGATGCATGTTAGCCATCACTGCACAAATACTTTGGAGCTGTCAGAAAATAATTTTGTTATGCAACGGGAATTTTGTGTCACCCGTAGCCTTTTGAACCACTTCTATCTCTCTTCCTCTTGACCTCTTTCTGAAGCATTCAATGTTTGCTTAAAATAATACCGTTATGATGTGAACCCGCAGTTAGGCTGGCTAGAATGGGGACATGTGAAAAGCAAGCTGTGTGTCCCTTGCCCAGAGGTGTCGCCTTGCGGGATCTCTCCGCGAGGCCAAAACATGCCGCGACAGTGAAAGGCACTGCGAACAAACATAGGGGAGACAGTAGTGTAGGCTACTACAACGGGAGCTTGCCAGCCTCATCGGCATTCCACGCAGTTTTATGAGTACTTTGTGTTAGTGTGCACTGAGAGCAATGGCACCTACAAAATTAAGAAAACTCGGGCAGCGTGGTTCGTGTCAGGCACTGCAATTCGGGGTAAGGAACATGCATGGCAAAGGTGTCACTTTTCTGTGCGCCGGTACAGCCATAAGTTTTTCTTATTGTGGGGCCAAAGAGGAAAAAAAAGTATATGGAAGTACCCCGGCTCGTACCCAGTATAATGGGGATAAATCTATACAGTAAAATTCGGCCATCTAAGAAAAGCAAACATTTTGGCTCAAGTTAAATGTAGTGAGCCTGAACAAGTGCTGCAAAAGCTTTTCCACGTATGTATGACAAACACCAGGAGCTAAATTACTAGATGCCTTGTAGCTCTCTCAAAAAACCGAACGATTGCTTTGATAAGTGTATTCATCTGAACGTTCTGTTTTCTTTTTCGGTGTTACTTCATTGTATTTTAATCGAGTACTATATAATGCAGCGATGCTAACCTTGTGTATTGCATGCACAAATAAGAATTCATGCATCGTACCCATATATTAAAGCATTGCAAAACAGCTACATAGTTAGGTAATTATAAGAGTAGATACTAATTAAAGGCTGTTGTTTAAAGACCATACAACTTCCATTAAAGACCATACAACTTCATACGTAGATAATGTAAAGCAGGCTGACACATGTTTTTCGCACATTGCACCTGCATTTGAAGATAGTTGGCAGCTTGTGGTAGCTCTGCAAGCAGCGTGTTGCAGATATTGGCTGCGTTAAATGTGTAAGCAATTGGCAAAATCTGTAGTCAAATTTCTTTATGTCACGATCAAGTGGTCGTTTTTATTTGATAGAAATTTAGCTCTAGCATAAGTGAAACGAACACTGACCAGTGTACTTTATCATAATACCGTGTTAACTGAATTTGGTTGATGCCATGAAAGTAACTGCGACCTCAATTCCTATACAAATTTGAGAACATGCACACTGGCTCTGTGACAGCACGATCTCAATCGTAATGCAAGTTCAGCCTTTATTAATTAAAACGCAAGGACAAAGCTACTCACACTATCAAGGTAAAATTAATAGTATGAGGCAATACAGTTTATAAAATTTTATAATCTAATAATGCTAGAATGCTACAAATCTTTCGAAATCATGATGTCCCGCTTGAAGAGCTTTCTTTTTACTGTAATCATGTGGGCAAATATTGTGAACATGAAGATCATTTTGCCTACACCTAACATGTAAAGAGTGGCTCATTTGAGATAACACTTCATTGAAAAATGATTGCACTGAGTTATGGGCAGCTGAGTTATGTCCGATTTTTCAGCAAAATAGCGCTAGCATGGGACATCAAAGCGACAAGACCAGCACTGTTTTTCGACGGTTCAGTATGCACACACCAAAAAGAAGCCCGTACTGATAGATGCTCTATTTATGTCTGGCTATCTGACTACCTAACCACTAAAAGGTTCGCAATTACTATACAGTTAATTATTCTTCAGTTCGGCACAAGTGCCGTGAGAAATCATAAACTTATTTATCACACTAATAAAGCTCTTTCAGCGGTAAAAATGAAGCACTAACCGATGCGAGGGTTTGGGCTTCAGCAGAGGGGGAGGAGCAGTGTAGTATAGGGGGCACATGCTTACCCTCCCCCTTCGCCCTCAAGCCACACGCGGCAACCGGGCTTTGCACGAGCGCTTCCACCCTCCCCCAGCCGCTATGCAGCATGCCCCCCTCCCCCTCCTCGAAAAAAAAAAAAATCTTGCCGACAACGATGCACGAGTGTATTACTGGCGCACCAAGCAAGCTGGCAGCGGCTCTGACTACAGTGCCACCGCTGCAAGATCACGAAGGGGTGCCAGCTTGGAGCGGCCTTGTTTTCACACCTCCCCATTCTGGCCACCCTACATCAGTGAAGGTTTGGTCAATACATTAACATTATGATTTCTCATCTGCCAACAGCTAGTGCCTCTGAGACAAAGCCAGAATAGTAGCCACAGCATTGCGAACCCTTGTGTCACATCACACCAACAGCATACTAGTCAGTATTTTATCGTAACGGTGCTTAGATAACGATATGGGTGCACAGAAAAAACAAGAATATAAGAATATGAGCAAGTCTCCAAAGAGAAATATAAAATGTCCAAAATAATGTATGCAGTTTCCTCTAGGTCTCTCAAGGCCAAAGCATGGCGAAGCTGATTGAACTTGGCTGCCTCAAAGTTATAACGTTGTGGTACTAGGCTATACCATGGCTGAACATCACTATTCAAGGTTCTGGGTATTTAAGATCAGCTTGTCATTGCCGTTGTCTCTCCCGCATAGCAGTGCGTCTCGTTTTGCCAAACGCAACCTCCTCTTCGGGAGTACTGATACTTCTTTAGGGAGACCACAGCAGCAATTGTCTCGAAAAGGCGCAATTTCTTTTTGCTGAGCTTGAGCACAACTACTGCCCAGTTGTAGCCCGACGCGACTCGACATGACATCACTGTAGTTGGTGCGTGGCAATTTTTGACTTGGCAAGAGTGCTCCGGCACGGTCAGCGTGCAGCTGCTACTCCGGTGCACACATGGCTAGACAGGACGTCACACCAGTTGCGCGAGGTAAGTATCTGCTAAGCAACAATGCATTGGGTTTTTTTTTTTAGATAGTGTCAGACACACTACGGTTACCTTATTTTGCTGTTAAAGAAAAGAAAAAATTCCCTTGAGTCAAAACAAGAAATGTGTAAAGAACCCACATGTTGGTTGTCCTCCACCTCTTTCTTGAGCTCGGGGCTGACGGCGATGTTCACGAGTGAGCGTGCTTGCGAGGGAAAGTTCTGCGCGGTGTCCCTCATGGTGCGCAGGGCGTCCTCAGGAGGGGCAAGCAGAATTTTCTGTGCAGCCTGCAAGCTCAGCTCTGCATGAGAATGGATGCATTTTAGGGAGCACACTTTCTGATATGAAGATGTGGCCATCAGAAGGCCCTAAAACAAACAAAACGAATGTGCAACCACACAGCAATGATGCAGCTTCTTGTAAGATATACATCAGAGAAAGAATGCTGCTCAAACGATGACTGAAATTTTCTAAAATGAAGATGTGTGCAAGTGTGTTTACAGTGTATGTGTATTTTCAGTGTATGTGTAGTTGTAAACGAATTTGCATTCTTTCATTCTGTAAATAGTTTTTCTTGTGCTTGCTGTCAGCAAACTTTTTAAGCATTTCAAAAGAGATGTGTGCATGCTCTTTTTTATTTTTTGTACCCACTTGTCACTACTCTTTTCAGAAGACCAAAACTTCGTGAAATGCCAGGGGAAATTTTTTTTTCTCTCCTCCTTGTTCACCCTGTACACCATGGTGAAATCAAAGCTTAGATTTGACCAACTAAGTATATAGCCTGATCTTTTGGCATAAGTCGTGTGTGTACAAGGCACAGCCATTACCTCACTAAAAGAACCATCTGCCACAAAGCGGTGTGAGATGTAACACTGCAGAAGAGGGGCATCGCAACCAAGTACTACAATTGTTTAGCGTTTGTTCATGCAAGTGCTCTTATGAATAAGTTCCCAAAGGTATGATTGACACCGTGCTAGAGACAAAGATGAAAAAAACAGAATGAACAGGACGATAACTTACAGTGATGTTCTAGGCACAGTAGCAAATTAACCCGTGATATCATTGAAGCTTTTCCCATGAAAAGAATGGGAGATGAATGCGTGAGCCATGCGTTGAATTTCTCAACAGACCAAAAGTTTGCTTATCTGCTTGGCTAATATAATATCAGATGACATACTTGAATTTTCTTAAGGATGCACATGTGTTATTACCAAATAATTTGCTTTACTGTTTAATTTATGGTCTGCTATGCCGGTGTTACTTTCCCGCTTTGGTTTTTCTAAATAAATCTTTCCGTTGCGAAACAGCACTTGTCCTGTGCACTCTGTTACTTTAATCTTTGTCTCTAGCACTGTGTCAATCATGCAAGCATTACAACTAGTGCAATTTTCCATTCTACTCCCGAAGATAACAGGGTGGCAGCTACGCAGTATATTAACATGATAGCCTTAAAGAGCTCGTTTTGCAGAAATTCTGACTAGAAAACCGTCGATAAATACATGTTTTTTTCCCGCATGCAGTTCATGAAAATTTGTTTTAGGGGTAATATTTTTGTAAATAGGTAGGCCTATTGTAGAGAGCTCAGCGTTGAAGGCCGTGTCAGGTAGCCTTCCCTTCAAGAACATTATTGCATAGTGTTCTGGAAGATCACAAACACACAGTGTTCAAGAAAGTTTTCAATGTACCGTTTGCAACGAACGCGTTTTTTCGTCTTTCACGCGCCATTTCACTGATGTGGACGACATCGCAGGGAACACAAGGTGCAAAGCACTTCACTGTCCCGACATGACAACAGTCATCCCGCCCACTTTTTCACTGCCACACGCATGCAAAAAAAAAAAAAACACTTCAAAGGCAAGTGATTTGAGCACTCATTAATGCAAAATATTTTTGAAAATGCACATGTTATGCACATGTTATGCGGTACACAAGATCACTGATTAACACATCTTTGTCAAAATGAAAGGAAAACAAATCAGGATGTTCACTTAAGCGCCCTTCCTCAACTTGGAAAGGTTTTAATGACATTCCGGCACATGTTTGTGTTAATGGCGCACCATCAAGTTACATTTCTGGACACACGTTCTGTTGAAAAACTGAATACACTAATGCAGCATTGCAGCGAGTCCTGCTAAGGACACATCCCATATTTCATGTGCCCTGTTTCGTATCATCTGACCACAATTTTACACGCAGCATATCCCACACGGTTTGAGGGCTAAACTTTCCCTTATCTGCTACGTGCTGGCATTCTTACCTATCCGTTCCACAAAGCATTTGATCACAAATTTGAATGCTTTTTATAAAAGAAACATCCTAACTGTCATTACCACCATTAACCAAACGCAGAAGGTATGCGATCTTAAAAACTGTCGCATATTCTGAGTCATTTCTGCCAGCAACTTGTATCCATTGGGACTGTTTCCCTGTAAACACTATACTACTATCATCAGGAAAACTGTGTGGTTGTTTTTACAAGCCTCTACTGGTCTATTCTCCTTTTATTCCCGTTTTTTTCACGCAGTTTTCCAGGTAATAGAATACCAACTTGCCTAACAGTCGGTTATTCCAAGCACTGTAGACTAACACTGACACCTCGTTTTTATACACTTGATTGACTCTACTTGAGTTTTTGTTTCACCATGAGTTCCTCAAGTTATTGCTTCTTTCTGTTTTATGATTGTGTTGATTTTCTGAGGCATTTTATTTGTGCGTCCCTCTTTATATTTGTTTACAACTTTACTTTTTTTGTTGTTGCCTTTCTACATAATACAATAAGGTGCCACGGGTAAAAATGAATGAAATGAAGGCATGTCTTTTTCTCTCATCAGGCACTTGAAGCTTCAGCCCCAATTCCCAATAAGCCATTAACTACAGCAGGAATTCGAACTGGACAACCTAAGGGTAAAAAGAGTGTCACGTGACTCAAGTAACTGCAACAAAGGCTATGCCCACCTTGTAGCTCCCAGACCTTCAGGGCAGCCAGCTCAGTTCCCGAGTTGGCCAAGTGGGCCTTCAATACGTTCAGCTTGTCCTTCTTGTCAGGGTACAGCTCCCTTGCAAGAAATAAGACAGCATACAGTAACGAAAAAAAGTTAATCCCTTCCCGACCATACTCAGTGCACAGCTCGTAACTATCCAACATATACACTGCCACTCTAAGACAAGCAGTGGTGGTGTTTGTAAACATGTCAAAGTCCACATATGTTGGGCCCTTGAATAAGACTTTCAGACTACGCCATGTATAATGACAAAAGCTTTATATAGGCACGTGCATGCCTCAAACATTCTGCTAATCTGCAAGCATGTAATAAACTCAATACGTGTCGTCTACACACATGAAAACATTCATTCACACACTGTCGTTCCCAATGTTTATAAAAATATTGAAATTACTCTAATGCCACATATACTATAGAGGAGGAGGAGATCTAACAACTGAAGTTCCAAGGTGCCACCGCCAGAAGAGAGAAACAAACTCACTTTAGCTTCTTGAAGTCAAAGCCTTCCATATTTTCAACTTTTTCAACTTCGTCAGAGTCCACCACATTCTTTTCCTCTGCGAATAAAGTTAAAAAGAATACTAGTGAAGAAGCAGAAATTTATAGCGAGCCGCTACTTGAGCAGAAAATAATTTAGATGACGCAAATAGAACTAAGGCTAGGCTCCCCAAAACAACCCGATTCAAGTGCAGTGGACCTTTATAATTTTGAAGAGGGTTATTTTGATCTCAACTAAAGGTTTAGACCCCTGACTGCACATTTTTACAGGTCCAGACATTGATTTCTTCGATCCTCAAACGAGCCATCACCGAATAATTTCATCTCTAGTTTTGTCTTGCACACATTAATCCTGAATTGTGACCGCAGGAATGACAGAAACAAATCTCGGCATCGCCAGTTGCCTTGTTAGCAATGTCAGAAAAATCACAATGCAATTCATTTAGTTGATGTCAAGCTCATTTCTTGTAGTACTATTAGTTCGCTCATCACATCAGTAATGTCTTTATTGTGCTTTTGAACAAACTGCAACTGATAGGATTGAATATCTTGGAGTCACCTTTAACCTTAGTGTCGTCCTGAGCCTTGTATTCTGTGCTCTTAATGGCCAGCTCCACACCATAGCCAGATAGACGAACCTTGCTGGCACATGGAGTCTGGAAACACAATAATGGCACAAGGTCAGTGCTGAGAAACCAGTAGCAATAAAGTTCACACCATATGTGAGTGGTACGTGCTCTCCAAGAAAAAAATTACCACAACATCGTAGCCCAGAACCAGACAAGTTTAGTGATAGTCGATAGCTGAGGCATTCACACATTTGAAGCACCTCGCTTCTTCTGAAGAATTGCATCACATTTATCACCACTCTCCTGCTTTGCAATCTATATGTTGTAGCAAACGCTCCACGTTTATCTAGAATAATACAAGCTTTGAAAATGCCTAGCACTTGGCCTATTCCTTTTTTGGCTACAGACCTACTGCTACACGCTTACACACACACACACACACACACACACACACACACACACACACACACGCACACGCACACGCACACGCACACACACACACACACACACACACATATATATATATATATATTTTATAACACATAGTACGTAGGTCAGCAATGTCTGAAAAAGTGCTCGAAAAAAAAAATGAAAAGGTGGACTTTTCTAATGTCATTTAGCAGTACTGGCACAATGAAATTCATTGCAGCATGCAATCTTTTTAAATAAACAAACTCTAAAAACAAAAAGTACAAAGACTACGCTCTTCATTTATTTGTGTACACCCACAAGTACGGTACTCGTGGACTGAAATGCAAAAATTTGGAACTGATTAAATTAGTGCCCATACCTTAATTTCCAGCATCTACAGATTGTGTCATATCAGCATAATTTTGACTCAAACAATAGCATCAGAGTCAATATTACCTTTGGCCGCCAGATTTGCAGCTATATGATGCGGTTATCACAAGCAATTGCTCATAACAGTTGTTACACTAAAAACGATGTCGCACTTCAATTGTTAGTACTGTACATATTTTGATGAATCGCAAAGTAAAATGTCATTAAAAAGAAAAAAAGCAAGAGAATAATTTGGTTAAACTGAACTACAATAAAACGTTTATATTTTTACTAATATAACATACTCAACTCCAGTGAATAGCGGTATCAGTAACATGCTAATGTGAAAACGGTTCACTTTTTTTTTTTTTCAACAAGAACAGTCATGCGAGATAAAACTATGCCCAAATTTCAAATAGAATGCATTGTAGTTGAACGAGCTGTCCCAAGGTGCTATTGCAAGCTTTACTAATCTTGCTCGTCACTTATTCATGTCGATAATTTCATAAACAATCAGAAACAAGCAGTAGGGGATTCACTATATTAATGATGCTTTCTGCCCTCCATCAGAATACCTTGATTGATATATGGGGTTTAACGTCCCAAAACCACCATATGACTATGAGAGATGCCATAGTGGAGCTCCAGGCTCCGGAAATTTCGACCACCTGGGGTTCTTTAACGTGCACCCAAATCTGAGCACACGGGCCTACAGTATCTTCACCTCCATCAAAAATGCAGCCGCGGCAGCCGACATTCAATCCCTCGACCTGCGGGTCAGCAGCCGAGTACCTTAGCCACTAGACCACTGCGACGGGGCCCATTAGAGTGCCTTATTCAAGGACAGCTGCGAAGAGATTCTGTGGCTTTTTTTAATGCCTTTCACAGGCAGTTTAGCTGCCTACTGTTGGTCGAAAGGCATGGCCGGAAAATGTTTACCATGGCCTGACAGCTAGTTGTGGCAAAGGCTTAAAAAAAAGTCCATGAAAATGCTCTGCGATGGCACCCCTGGACAACTTACTCTGACGAAATGACGCAGCACATAGCTGATCTCCCTGCGCTTCGCTCGCTCCTCAAGGGCTTCATGGAAGCTCTTGAAGCCTGGTGCGCCCAGGTCACCGTATAGGATCACAATGGGCCTCTGCTGTTGCTGGCTAGCGCTTGTAGCCACACCGCCGTAAGAGTGGTCCACCTTGAACGTATACAGCTTTGCCCTGCACCACCCCAAACATAACACATGCCAAATCACAGTAGGAAGATGTCATCAGAACAAGAGGTTTCGCAGACAAGAATATGTTGGCCATATGAGCAAAGAGCACTCTTCTAGTTGCTTCAAGGCGATTCTTTACTAATAATAGGCAGCAATGTCCACCCAATGCACTCTCTGGTGTGCCGTTTCTATCAGAGATGTTGAAACTTTCGCAAGCACCACCTGATCTTAATTACAAAACAGAGCAACGGCCAACACAGCTCTATGGTTATTGTAGGTCTTAGCGAAGCGCATTTTCAGAACCCCTGCACTTGTGAATCTCCGAAGACCCGGAAGATTCAAGATATCCAAATTCGTCAAACTCGTGAAGAGTAGTACGGGGCAATAGATCATAAACAAAAAATTATAATGAGCATTGCAAAGTTGAAAACAGCACTTGGAGTTTCAGTTGATTTTAACAGAAGGAGAAACTGCAGTGACACCAGTTATGAAGAAAAAGCATGAATACTGCAAAACTGAATAAATTGCACATCTTTACCAGAAAGCTCGAGATGTTATACACCAAGAATGTACTCTTAATAAGGTCTGAACAAATGTTGATGGCAGAGAAACTTAGCAAATAAAACACCAGGCAACCTTACAAAACAAGTAAAAACAGTTATTGTGGAGGTAAAACACTAGAGATAGCAGAGAGAGCTTAGGACAAAAAAACGCTAGTCTTTTTCTACCGAGTTTCGCAGTACCAGTTGTACTGAAAGAACTGTGACATTACCCAGCCAATCACAGGCTTTGCCAATGATATGGTCACCTCAACAAATGTGACGAACAGAATTCGTAAAGGTTTCCAAAGAGAAAATTCAAGGTTATTTAAGGACTTTCCAGGACTTGTTGCAAGTTTTTCAAGGACTCAAAGCGGCATGCTAAGTTAGAATTTTTCACTCTAAAATTTGAAAAAAAGACCAATTTTATTACACTTACAATAAATCTATAAATATGGCAAATATATAAAAAAGAGCGTAGTCCTAATAACTTCTGGCTCCCTCTCCTACACTCTCCATAGAGTGAGGGCACGATGCCATGTCGAGAAGTCAAGCACTGATGGACTTCTGGACTTCAGAACACAAGTGTAGTCAGGCCTTGAAGGGGTCGTGCCACAATATTTGTGGCTTGTACGGCCTTTTTGCAAGCTTTAATTATAGCTCCAACAAGCACGATACACGCACCAAGATTAATTTATTCTTGCAATATAATTTGTCACCTTTTTGATACGAACAATTTTCAGTTCTTGTTTGTGGGGACCGAGTTGGGCAGGTACGCAGCAGTGTAGCTGACTTAGTCAAGTGATCATAAAACTTTGCACGCGTCAAGCTGAGTATTGTTAGCTCTCGCACACATGTGCCACACAAGCACCTGAAAAACAAGCTCGTCGCTACCTGCAGCAGCCGCAATGCTTTGCCGGTATGTACGGGATGGAAGTCCGGAGGTCACTCACTTGACTACAGATCTGGTGTGACGTCACTAGACCTTTCGTTGCCCTTCCTATAGAGCTACGTCAGTGCTGGATGCGCTCGCGATGGCCTTTAATTAGGAGAATGAGCATTTAGGCATACTTGGGAAGTGACTTAAAATGTATTCCTAAACCCACACTGTGCTTGCGATAGCCTTGAAATTTGATGGCACCTCCGCATCAAGAGTGTCAGCTTGTACACAGTTGACACTCGCAGCACGTTGCTCAACAACCAAGAAGTAACAACTGTGACAGTGGTTAATTCACACTCATCCTGTGGATACACGCGTGTTCTCTTCTAGCACTCTTCTTGATTTGTTTAAGCAGCACGTTTCCAGTGCCGAGCTGTTACAGTCGTTGATAAGCACTCTTCCTGTGCGCTTTATGTGTGTCCTCCGTGCTTGAGCTGCGTGTAGCATATACGGGGTTGCTTGTTCTTCTTCTTGTGACATTCTAATTTCTTTCTATCACATTCACTGCTTCACCCTTGCCACACACTAATTTTTCTCAGATGCACTTTTGCAAAATGGGATCATGTGCATCCACGCCATATTACTGCTTCAGAAATGGGAAGTTTGACAGGTTGACACACCAATGCACCACATTTAGAAGGTTGCGATGGCAATAGGAGAGTGCACTGCTCAGGAAATTGAGGGATTTTCAAAGATGGCAAAAAATTCCACTACTTTCAAGGGCTTTGAAAAGGCTTTTTTTCAAATTCAATGGCTTTCAAGGATTTCAACGACCTGCACGAACCCCGACAAAGAAACGGTTTAATTTGGTCATGAAAAGAGCTAGAGTTATCAGTGAAAAGAGGCAATTTATTGACAACGATGAAACATTTTTAGCCTTTATGTCTCAAACAACACTGCATTGTTTAAATTGCTTTTCTCTCCCTAGTATAAGGACATTACGGCAGTATACAGTACGAAACTTGAAAGGTCTCTAAAGAGCTAAAAGATTTTTAACCGATTAGTAAAGTAGACTTTCACAATCTCGAAAACACCACTCTTACCGCAACACAATGGTTGGTAAGTGAGAAAATGTGATGAGAGAAAATGCGAGTGGATTGATATGTGGGGTTTAACGTCCCAAAACCACCATATGATTATGAGAGATGCCGTAGTGGAGGGCTCCGGAAATTTCGACCACCCGGGGTTCTTTACCGTGCACCCAAATCTGAGCACACGGGCCTACAACATTTCCGCCTCCATCCGAAATGCAGCCACCGCAGCCGGGATCCACCGCAGCCGGGATACGAACCCGCGACCAGCGGGTCAGTAGCCGAGCACCTTAGCCACTAGACCACCGCGGCGGGGCGGAAAAATGCGAGTGGAGATGCCTCCTTTAGATTCCTGCACCAAACACTATGATGTTATACATTTTGAAGGTGTCTACTGGGTCCTATGTAGTGTCTAATTGGTAAAAAGGAAGTACGTTGTCATCTGTGAGCGCCATACACTTAGCATACAAAGTTTCGAAAAATTTCACCGAGCTAATGTGATGAAAATACGAAAAATTCATTTTTAAATTTCTAAGTTAGGCACTGAAATTTCGGCCCAAAATTTAAGAATGAAATTTCAACATTGATTTCCTCCGCTAAGAATGAACTTACAAGAGTGAAACTTATGGCATTAGAGCTCTCACAGTGTACTTTATCAATCTAAACCAAGTCATTGTTTCTCTTTAGTGTCTCTTAAATAGGGATGGTTAGGACTGAAGTCACGCTTTATGCCTCAGAATATGAGAGGCACAGAAAGGCCATGAAGTCATAAAAACAAGAATAAAGTTCACAGCACTGGCTCTACAAGAAAGGAATGGGTGGTTCTTTTTTAATTTACATATTTGTGTCAGCAAGCAGTGCGACATTTTCTTTTGTGTAATATTTTGTAAGAATCTCCAAGCATTACTGAAAAGAAGAAAGCAGACTGCTTACTCTTTCTCTCTTTTTCTCAGAGCCTCGTCCAAGTCCTTGATGCTGCAGAAGGCACCACCTCCTTGAACCTCAATGACAAACTGACAGTCCTCTGGAAAACCCTTGTCCCGGGCAGCCTGCACACAATGTGGACGCCACGCACATGAGTAAACACATAATATATCAAATTTATAGAAAGAAAATCAGGTTGCATCAATGCCTAAATGTGTCACTTTCAATGAGTAACAGTCAAGGGAAATTGTAAGAAAAGCTGAAGTTTCTTTTCTATCAAGCTGACGTCACTGAGTGAAGAGACAGCGGGAGTACAACAACAGCTGATGCCATGTAATGAGCTCACGGATTCAAACACATGAAGTCCTTTTAGTATAATGACCGGTATTCACAACTGCCTGAAATAACCACGTTAGGTCATGATGAGTGTGGTCTCTAAAGTTAGCTCTGGCTTTGACCTGTGAGTCGAAATCACTCTGATATGACCCAAATTATAGGTTTTACAAATGGAGATGTATGGGCTACTTATTCCTGAATTGTCCCGTTATAATCTGTATGTACTGATGGCTTGGGAAAATGGATTGAAAAAAGAACTAGCAGCAGTGTTTGCCACAAATACCAACCATCAATCTATTCCATAAGATTTTTAAGAAGCAGCCCCACCACAAATACCGATCATTGATTCATTGCTAGAAAACTAAGCAATCCCTATAATAAATTCTTAATTCAATAATTAACACTTCATTTTGTTGCTTTTCTCATTGTTCAAAAACAAATTGGCCATTGTTTTACAGAATGGTATTAGAATTTCAGAGCCAGCCATGAGAACCCATATTATGTTTTTGGTATACGGCTTATTGCAAGCAATCTTTCAAACTACGTTGATTTCTTGGCAATAAAACACCATTTTGATGCAATAAAATTGGTTAACTACTATATATGCCCATTCATTTCATTAGTAGTTCCCAAGTTCACACTCACAAGCTTCATTAATTTAGCATAATATGGCAATGAGTGTGCTACTCAGATTCGAAAACGAATCATGGTCTGCAAAAAAGAAAATTTGCGTAAACAGAATGGCAACATGGCTTTCAATTTCGGAAAGTACAACAAAATGTACAGGACAAGGTTAATTAAAGTTTGAAATGTTGTATAATGATCAACTGCATTTGACGATAAAACAATTATCAGCCTGTAATGCACACCTTCTTAGCGCGAAGGAAATGAGCCGGTCAAATAGACCAACCATTTTATTAGCTAGCACCAGGCAGACACATGCAAGAGTGCAATGTAGTAGAGCCTAAAACTGTTTCTGGACCAATAACAAAACACACAAAAATGCCACAGCGCCAGGAAATGGCAGAGAGTTCTAGTGTCAGCTGCCGTTGCCACATTGCAAATGGAAATAAAACATAACTTTATTAGAATTAAAATGGCAAAAAGGAAAGAAATTGAGGGGCTCGAACTGGTAGTGTCTATAACCCCTGTACATGTGATGCAGAGATTGTAGAATTAGAGGGGGTAAATAATATTTTCCCCATGCTTTTTTGAAATATACTACTCACTGACCTCATATGGTCTCATTGATAAAAGTGAGCCTCTAAACAGCTTATCCTTTCAGTGAGCAAGAGAGTTCCATACTTCCAGGATCAAATACTATGCATATACATATATACCCGACAAAGCGTACAGGCAAGCGGGTGCCACTGCAGGAGAACAGCCTACGTAAAGCACGTGTGGTGTAGAGACTGTGTGATTGGTATCAGTCTTATAGTTTCTGCACTTCGATTGAAAATACTATATATGTTTTTCTATTTTCTTTCTGGGGTTTATTATCTCTTGCTTTGATTAGGATGCTTTAATGGAAGCTATGTGTTTCGTGAGGGTATTCAGTCACATTCAGAAAAAGCAGAGTTCGGTGGGTGGACACTAGTGTGCCAAAGTTATCACACGCATGAATGAGCACCACCAGAATGAGAAAAACATTTCTTCCTGTACTCGCTAGATGGCACCACGAACCCACAAAAAAGGCGATGGCTGATAGATAGCACAGCCGCTGGAACTATCCAGGAAGCGAGACAATGAACATGGTGTGAGGAAATCGCCTATCAATGGCAAACAGCACAATCTCACTTTCCTTTTTCTCACGCAGTTATCTGCGTCTCCACAAAAGTGTAAAAGACACACATGTGGAAGGGTCTACTCAAGTTAGCTGCACTTAAAACTAAAGATACAAATAAAAAAGATTTTGCTTCCATGGAACTCAATGCTGTGTGGTGGTGAAGCCATCAGTGTGCCATGAAGCCATGAATAAATACACAGTGCATCAAGTCCCCTTAAGGCAGTCTTTTTGGCAATGACACAGGTGTTTTATCTATGTGGGTCTGAGGGGTGCCTACTTATGACTTCCTGAAAGGGGGGAAAATAGAGAAAGGAGGAGAAGGCCCTTCTGCATTTCCTCTGGTGTCTTATTCGGTCCCTAAAAATGTCAAAATGTAGGTCTCAATGAGCCCAGAAGAGATACTTACACTCGTAGCATATATAGGCATGAGTGTAATTAATGCTAACAAGAAATAAAGTTAATATTACAGAGACTGCAATGTGTCCAGCATTGGCACTGTTATGTCTTCATAAAGAGAGACACAGTACCTTCTTATCATCGACATTTAAGCTAGTATGTACAATGTATATGATGGATTACATGAATGCGGCAAAAATGGCAAAAAATTGACACTGAGCAGCACTGCATCACAGTGATGCCATTGCAGAAAACAGAGGGTTCAAGGAAAAAAAACTCAGAAATATCTTGCAATTATGTAACATCACATCACTTTTAAACCTTTGAACTATTTGATTTTTCAAGAAATTTTTCTCTCTAGAAGAGCCCATTCACATATAACCTATCGCTGCTAAAAAGCATGTTTTATTGACAAAAATTAATAAAAAATTCAAACTTGTACTAACTCAAGTTAGTGTAATAGAGTTTACTGCACCAATGCCAAAGTGTCGCTATTCGTAAAATAACGTCCTCGTAGAGAAACTGCCAAATTTAACCAAACAACTCATGATGTAAACTTTGGTATCTGAGTGATTAGCACCTGAAGAGTTCTACGATGACAAAAGGGTTATTTTCTGCGACAATGCACGAGCAACAAATGTCGCCTTCACAAGACATTTTCTACAGAAACCATAGTCTCAAAAAAATGTGCAACAGCAGTTAAAATATGATGAAAAAAGGCTTTTTTTCCATAGCAGTGCATGAGCAACACATTTCACCTTCACTGAACAATATTTTTTGAACAAAAATTGCAAGAAAAATTGTGCAAATAGTGAGCCGGCCCGCATATTGTATTTTTGACCTTGCTTCGCGTGCTTCGAAAGTTGACCAGGCCAACTCCCCTGTGACACACGAACTATCCTGGAAACAAGCGAGTGTCGTTTAAAACTCGAATTGGGAAATATTATCTGAAGTGAACGAGCCATGCTTGTTTTTTTTTTTAATCAATGAATGTTTATTTTAGTATCTATTTACAAATAACAAACACTTTTCGGACCTATACAAAAGGCTAGTAGAAGGTCCGAAAAAAGAATTCCTATGTGGATATCTTAGCACAGCAGGGGGAAAAATATAATATTTCACATACACAAAAATCAAGATTATTTGATCAAATCAATGTAAATATACATATCAACCAACAAGCATTATACAATAGAGTACCTAAGAACGAAATATATGGGCTACATACAGATAAGTAGAAAAGATACAATGCCTTTGATCAAAAAGCTATAAAATAAAAAAAATCTATTATGTTTGAGTTAGTAGGCAAAATGATTGTAGGTGACCTGAAAAGTACGTACTTCATGAGATCAATGACAGATATACGATCATATGTTACCTAACTACACAACACTATTGCACGTCAGTAATTCCACAGAAAGAGCAGTAACCATAGATGTATATAACTTACAACATTGTACAATACTAAGCAAGCTTCTGTTACTTACTCTGTAGCAAAGAAAGAAAATGTTGTTTCGGGGCTTTAGGTAAGTTTGCCGAATTAATCACTACCATTAGGGCACAGTTCATGGATTAATGCCTTGATTTTAGCGCATACAAGAACATATAACATGCGCGTCAACTTAATCTAATCTACTATAATGTGAACTGTAGAGGATGTTTCAAGTCTGCCTTGAACACAGCAGCACTGGGCCCCTAACCAAGCACACACATTGATTTGGCACGAGCATATCAGACCATCAAAGGCTTTACTTTGTAGCAAGTTGTATAACATTTTAATGAAAATTTTGTTCCTTTTGATCATTCGTTCCCTTGAATAACAACACGCTATCACATAATCTGACATTAGGCATGATGGATTTAACCTTATCACGTCATAAATCCAAACATCTGTCCTAAGGAGCTATCTCCACTAGCATGCCCTTCATAGTGGCAATACTATTTTTCATCAATGGTGGGTACCAATAATATTAGCGCCGGAGAAAATCTCATGATTAAAAAAAATGCCCATTTGCGTCAGGCTAAAAGTGATTGTGTCTTACTCACGAGCCCCAAAGAAAATATTGTTCCTGCTGACCCAATCGAGCTTTTTTTTTAAAAAAAAAAGAGAGAGAGAGAAAGAAAAAGCCTCCGGCCCTCGCATGACACATTTTAGGTTAGATTAAAAAAAAAGGGAAAAGAGAACGGCGCTTCCGTTTGAGGATCATACGACCATCGCGTGGTTGATGGCGGGCGTGCGTGTCAAACGGGAAAAACACCGAGGCAGGCGCGTGGAAAACCCGTGCGCACGCGCATCCCTCTTTTTCCACCCTTCACAGCCTTTCACGCGTCACGCGAAACTCCGCCAATCAGAAGTGAATTCAGCGGCAAATGAGGCGATAATAAAAAGAAGGAAAGAAACGAGCGAAGGAGAAAGAGGTCGGACATGCGACGACGTCAGCGTCACGTGGTACAAGAGCAGTGTCAACGCACTCCATCGGGTGCGATCCGTCGCCCCCGTTTATCTCTGCGTCGACCGCTGAGATATCGGGAACGTACACGCCAGACATCCGATCGAGCTGACGCAAACTAATTGCAGCTTGCGCGGTGGAGGCCGATTAGATAGCA